CGAGATCGAATTAAGCTACGATAGTTATCATTATACGGAACGATTTCGTTACTAACGTAGCTATATAAGTACTCTCGAGTAACTCTTTAGGCTATAAGTTTCCTTGCGTTATTAAACGCGACTTATAGGTAGTAAGGAAATTATTTTCGTCGAATTTATAGTCGAAGACCTATATTAATAGAATTAGCTTTATTCTTACCCGTTTGCGATTAATAATACGCCATACTTAAATACGTAAGAAGGCCTTAATCTTAGATCTAGTGTTTTCTTTAAATCGCTTTCCTAATAGATATTTATTCAAGTCCTTTTATATCTTTAGCGGTTTAAGTAAATCGTCGCGGTAAATTCTTATCTTATTAAGCGATACGCTTAATCGCTCGGCCTTCGTTTAATTAACGGCTACTACGAAAATTAAATATAACGTAATATACTTATCGTAGCTCTTTACTTATTACCCTTTTAATTAATTAAGCTAGAAGGTTATTATAAAATCGAACTAGCGATTTCTTAGGAGGTTACTTCTAACCGTTAGGTTATCCGATATTACGTAGGCTTTAGTACTTAAGCTACCTATTATTCCATTCCTTTCCGGGCTTTTTCCTTTCTTCCTTTTATTATAACGGATAATAAGAAGATAAGCCTTTCTCGTGCGTTACTTACGCTAAGTAGTTTACGGGAATAGGCTATATTACTCCTCTTTTTCGGAAGAAATACGAGTTTCTTTAATTAATTACTCTAAAGGCTATTCCCGAGTATTTATTCCGTCGGCGAAATATACTCGCCGCTCCGGACTTTCGATACTTTTACTAGTAAACGTACCTAATTCTAATTACTCTATACTCCTTATCGGAATACTTTTATTTCCCGTAGCTTCCGCGGATATAACTAAAGTAAGTTTTAAACTCGGGAGCCCGTAAGATATATCCGCTTTTTTATTTAATTTCTCCTAGGTTTCCGCTTCGAGTTATTCTTATATCTCTTATTCGATCGATTCAAATAATTTTATTACCTCTTACGGTTATTCGTTTTTAGACCTAGCCGTTTCGTATTTTAAATTATCGGAATCTATCTCTAGTTCTTTTTCTTTTAAAGGCTACCTTTCCTCCGAGCTAGAACCGGCGGATTAAGTCGTATCTAGATCCTCGTTACCCGAGGTAGGCTCGTTACTCCCGAGGGGAGTTAGTTCGTTATTTAGCTTTCGATTAAATAATATAAACGAATCCTATAGGTTTAATACTTCGATAATTAATTATATAACGTTATTACTTATACGTATCGAGAAATTTATTCGATTAACTTTTTCTCGTTTTAATTACTAAGCTTTTAACTTATTTATTTAGCTATAAAACGTTTCTTCGTTAAAGACTATATCTCTAGTTAGGATTACTCTACCTAGCCTAGAAACCTAAATTCGGTATAGGTTATTAATATAATATCCTATTAAATACCTAATATAAGTTCGTAGGTTTACCTTAAACCTTCTTTTATTAAGATCCTAAGTACGCTTTCTTATTAAGAAATACGCGCGATACCCGTATATATAGATACCGTTCTAGTCCGGTCGTAGGTCGTTCGTTAGCTTCCTTATTACCTTTAGAGTATATTATCTAAAGTATTATTTAAATTAGGTATTTAAAAGCTCGTAAGATATACGAAGATTATAAGCTTAGCTAAGGCTAATATTAATTAGATATATTACGGCTTTAACGGTTTCCGGCTATAGTTTCTTTAGTAGCCATGCTTTAATCCTTATTTTAATTAATTTAACGATAATGGTCTATCTAGCTTTCTTATCCCTACCGGTTAGCTTCTTAATATTAACCGGCGAGAGTTCGAGATTAATGCCTTCTTTTACTACTTAGATCTTATATCCGGATATACCTTTAATACTTATTATTAAGCGCTCGTTATCGTAACGTATCTTATAAATTAAGAGTCGGAATTACTTCCGAACCTATCTTTTAAAGAGTTAAAGAATTCTTATTATTAATAGACCTTATTTACTCTTCAGGGTCTTAACCTATAATATTTCGTTAAATGTATTCCTAATTACGATAAGCTATTTAGATCCGTCGTAATCTTCCAGGTAATTAAATAAATCTTAGTATATCTTTTAAAAAGAACGTAGCAAGCGATGTATTAATAAACGGTACGAGATTACTTTCTTACCTATCGCTTAACTATAATACTCGTATTTAATTATAAATATACCGTTAATCTTAATATTCCGAGCGTTTTTAACGAAGGCTCTAAGCGCTTTAGGACTAAGATACCTTACTCGCTAATGCTAAAGTACCTCGGAGTTTTTTCTCGGTTTAATAATATCTCTCGATCTTCTCTACCGGACGTTTCTTTCCAGGAAATAAGATACTATTACAATCGACGCTACGCTACGTAGAATACTCGATAATATTATAGATAGTATTACGGGTAGGACTTACGAATAAGAAAAGAACTACTTAAATTCGAAAAAAACTAAATTAAAGCGTCGCTTTAGCTTCCTTACTATAATACTTTTCTCGAGGGTTTTATTTCTTAAAGTATAATCTAAACCGTAAAACTAAATACCTATACTACGAAGTTTTACCTTAAAGATAATATTAATATAGAAATCTTTAATAAGTACGACGTCCTTAAGCTTTAAATTAAAGGTAGGCTTATTAAATTAATTTAAGATATATTTCTCGATAATCCTACGACCCGTATTAATAATAGGGAAGCTCGTAGTACTAACTTCGACCGTCTATCTATCTCTAGCAGGAACGAACGATCCCATTATTAAAAGGTTACGATTATTAATAAGGTAAATAGCTCTATAGTTATCGAAGATAGTACTTTCTGATAGTAAGTATCGGACTAGGTTTATTATAAAGTAGATCTTAATTTAGGTAAATAGGTATATAGTACGTAAGTCGATAATTATTACGCTAATATTAGTTAGCTAAGTAGTAGCGTTATTTCCTTTCCCGTTCCCGGAGCGATTATTAGGTATATTATTTACGGGAACGTCTTATTTTTAGCGGTTAATCTAATTTCGGAACTTAGCGTACTTAGGTAAGTCGTATCTAGCCTTAATTTTTTATATAATATTAACAGGGATCGTTTTTAGATTACGTATAATTTAACTAGTAACGGACTTTTAAAGGATTCTATAAAAGCGAGCTAGCTATATATATAGTTTACCTCTAGACTTATAAGGGTATTCGTAGCTCGTTACTTTTCCTTAGCCGTTATTATTACCTAATTTCGCTTCTAAAGTCGGATCTTAATAGGTTATTACGAAAATTCTATAACCTAATTTACCTTTCTACTTATTTTCGGTAGCGAAAGCGCTAAATATAATACCTAATTATTTAAGGATCTTCGGTTATTCGCTAAGTTTATTAGCTTCCGTAAAAGCGATTAATATCCGTATAGCTTAATCGATTACAATCTTAACCTTAACTACTTCGAGGAAATCCTTTGCTCTTATAACGCCTTTAATTTCGTTAATATAATAAGCGCGAGTACGAAGAAAGGTATATTATTACGTAATATAGAATTACTTAGGATTATAAGTACCTATCTTTACTCTTTAGAATACCTTACGGTATTCTCGCCTAACGAGCGTCTTAATAACGGCTTCGGTAGGAGTAATTTACTTACGGAAGATCTTTACGAGGTTTTAAATAATCGGGTTAAGGTCTAGGAACTATATCTTTATATTAGCTACTTTAAAAAAACTTATAGAGATAAATACAAGAATCTAGCTATAAAGAACCTTATACTACTTATTAGTAGCTATAACCTAAGCCTCGATCGTTATTTATTAAGAGACGAGCTTATTATACGTAGCCGTTTATTACTCTCGAATTCGATTCTTAAGCCTTAGTAGTTAATTTTCTCGGTCTTCGGTTAGGATCGACGCTTATTCGTAAACCGCTTTCTTATAGTTTTCTTTAAGGAATTCGTTCTCTTAAGTAATATATTCCTTAAGAGTATCTATTACGACTCGAGTAACGTTAAACTTAGCTCCATCTAAATTAACGTCCTTCTAGATACCGAATTAAGTAGCTATCGACTTAAGCGTAAGGAATTAACATAGCTACTTATCGTAAGCTCGTAAATAAACGTTAATAGGAATCTTATCTAGGAAGAATTCGGACGTATTAATCGTTATAACGAAATAAGTAAGCGACTATCTAGTACTAGATACGAGAGTAAAGTACCGGTATAGAAATAAGAAGGAAGTATAATCGTAAGATCTAAGAGATAGATAAATATATATTACTTACTTACGCTAAAATAACCTAAGTAATAATAACTCCTTAGAAATACCCCGGGCTTATAACTATTACGTAACTAGCGAGAGCTACGCTTAGGTTAACAAGTTATTCGTAAAAGAAGTAATGAAATACGGATAAGAAGGTATATATTAACTAACTAGAAAAGAAGGAAAGCTACTAAAGAGTATAAAGTAATCTATAGGTATATATAGTAGTACTTAACTAGCTTAGGTAAGCTAGGTGGTTCCTACTAGGGGTGCATGCCTACGTGACAAAAGGCTATATAGTCTAGCCCTATCTTACTACTATAGTAAGTAAATAGTAGTAGATAAATCTCGTTGTATATACTATAATTTTATTAAATATATTACTTTTAAGTTATATAATCTTTTAATTAATTAAAACGCGGTTATAAATTTTTAGCTAATTAAAATAAAGTTTTCTCTAAATTTATAAAGATATTAATAAAGGTAATTAATTGGAAATTAATTAGTATAATATCAGTTTAGTATATTATAATTATCATATAGAAGAAATTATACATTATAAAATAAGATATTTAAAAAATAAATATTTAATTTTTATATATCTTATAAGTTTATATAATCAAATTTATAATCTGAATAATTTTTATTTAGCTTATTTTCTAAAAATGAAGTTATAATGTATTTACTGTATAACGTATTATTCTATATGTATGTAGCATTTTTACGTAAACGTTAAGCCGCTTTGCTTACAAGTCCTACGCAAACCTGCGACTTGCGACCCTTTGCCTACAACACAACATTATCCTTTATACGTAACCGGTCTGATCGGCGTTAGCATCAACCTGCACCCGGATCACACACACACATTGGGCTTGTTGGAGACTACTTGGTCGGGCCCGATCTCATACCGCAGTCTCTCGTCTCTTTCTCCCGTTTTCTTAAGTATTTGTCGACTACGGCTCCGTGGTAGTCATGAGATGTCCAACCCACTGCCCTAGGCTAACCCTCCCTTGACCAACATGGCCGATTCGGAGACGAGTTGCAAGATAGAGATGAATGATACTGAAGAGCAACTGTGGATGGGTGCGTCCGAGTCTTTTCCTGCCGCCCGCACCTTTCAGCCCGAACCCGCTCTCCAGCCCCCCTTTTCAACCGATGGGGCATAGATAACCCTATTTACCTTTTGCGTCTGTGAATATGCGACTGATCTCGTTTTACTCCTAGCACTGCGAAAGGTGGTCGCTACTAGGTGTCCTGCCGAAGCCTACGAGACCATCGACGATGCCCTTCGAACATGGCTGTATCTCGCAGCCCGGTATCGAGACGAGTTTTCCCAGTCCGAAGACGATGTCGCAAGTTGCTCCCAGGCCCTCCTGGACGGATTCCTCTTCCAGACCAACCCGGAATACGTGCGCACTCAAATTATCTACAGCCTACTACAGGAAGACGAAACCGGGCCCCTTTATGCCATTGCCAGCTTCCTCCTGCTGGACGGTCGCGCAGACGAAACCACCTTCAAACGGATGATTGGAAAGGACTGTTTCCACCGCCTCCTCGATCTGATCAACGGCCGCAAGGAGGAGGATCCGGGCCTCCACCGACTACTGCTAGAACTCATGTATGAGATGTCGCGAATTGAGCAACTCCGCACCGAAGACCTTGTTCACGTCGATGATGGCTTCGTGGCCTATCTATTTCTGCTGATTGAGGGCTTGTCCGATGATGTGCGCGATCCTTATCACTATCCCGTGATTCGCGTTCTCGTAAGTTGCTTCGTGCCCGCGGGTTATGCTTCGCTTGCTGACTTGGCGATGAAGCTCGTCCTCAACGAACAGTACATGGTCGCGTCCACGGCTGCTGTGAAAGAGCCTACCCCACCAGCTGCGCCATTGACCAACCGAGTTGTCAAGTGCCTCAGTCTGTACGGCGCGCACTATAGGACCTTTGGTGAGAACATTATACTGCTTCTCAACCGCGAAACCGAGACGTCCCTACAGCTTCTCATCCTAAAATTACTATACCTTCTCTTCACGACCAACGCCACGTACGAATACTTTTACACCAATGATTTGCGGGTGCTCCTCGACGTCATCATCCGGAACCTTCTCGATCTGCCCAACGAACTGATAGCGTTGCGGCACACGTACCTCCGGGTCTTATATCCCTTACTTGCACACACGCAACTTAACCAACCGCCCCATTACAAGAAGGACGAGATCCGGAGGCTCATCAAAGCACTGGCTGGGTCAGGGAATACTCACTTTGCGCCGGTGGACGAGACCACGTTGAGGCTTGTGGACCGCGTATCCAAGGTGAAATGGCTTTCGGAAGAGGGCCTAAGCTCGGGAGATATCGCACGTAAGCACCTCGGTATTAGTCTTTCTTCTGCAGATGCTGCCAGCAGCGTTAGTGTCGTGGACGTGGCGGCAGTCATGGAAAAGCCAGGCATCCAGACGCGAAGCCGGCGAATTGAAGCTAAAGGTGACTTAGACACCGACAATGGTGTGTCCCGGGCCGAGCCTTGTGACGAAATACCGGGCGGAACAACAGAGGCACCGAAGCCAGGTAGACCAAAGAAACCGCTTCCCGAAGTACCCAGGCACCGGCACGGAGTACCCTATAGCGGCACGACACATGATAGTGGCGCCAACAGTATTAATAAAAGGCTACCCCCGAAAGCGCCGCCACCAAGACGGAGGGGGAGGCTCAAGCATACAACAACTGCCGAAGCAGCACAGCCTATATCCGAGATAGCCTGAAGAGCCGGTGATCTAGCTTCGGTAGGCAGGCAACGGGATGGAGCATGAAATTATCAGTCGCCACGAACGAACTCTCTCTTAGACGAGCTCAAAAAGTATAATAGCATTTGCGATGTAGGGGACGGCGTACTGGTGGATTGGTGCGTGGTGATTAGGATCCCAGGCTAGCATTTCCGTGAGCACGGCGTTGGAAGGAAAGAAGAACAGGGTGATAAGTTTTCGTCGGGCTATTCAGGCGAGGCAACGAGAGAGCTCAAGCAGTTATTCGAATTGTCGGTTTGCCTCTAGATGGCAGTGATAATTCGAGAACGTATTATAGTTTTTAAGGCTATGTATATACTGTAATAAGTAATGAGAATTATATATTATATTTTTTTTTATATAAGTTTATAAAATGTATAATAAATAAGTAACCATTTATCTCTTTATATAATTATATATGATTTTAAATTATTTTTTAAAGGTTGCTAATATTAATAAATTTTAATATTCACTATTATATTTATTTTAATATTTTTTCACTGATAAGTATATATACATAATAACTAGATAATATTTACATTTTTTTTAAAAATATATGTTGCGTAGAGGTAGCTTCTTTTATATCTTTTTACCTTAGCTATAAGAGCTCATATATATACGCTTCTGTTACTTCCTTTCCTTTAGTTAGGTCTTAGATAGAACAAGACTTATTTCTATTCTTTTACTCATTCTCACATGTTAGGAACCACGGTTAGAGAGAGTACCAATACGTATGAGTCAGAAGACATAAGAGGAGAAGGATAGAGATACTAAGGGAATAAGAGGACTCCAGTCTCTAATTATGCGAGCGATGCTAAGAAATGCTAAAAACGTTGCCTGTTAAGCGACGCTAAGAAAGAAGGGCGATAATCACCTATAGGACGATGGTCGCCTGCTATAAAGATAATCGCCTGTTAAAAAGATACCTTAATATTCTAATTATAAATTACTATAAAATACGTTAAAGCGCTTTACGCTTTTTCAGGTTTTCGTACTGAAAACCTAGAACCTCTCCGAAGGCTAAAAAAAAAAGGGTAAGTAGGAATCGACGTTTAAACTACGAAAAGTATAATAAGCTATGCCTATTATAGGGCCCTAGCTAGTGCTAGAGCTTAGTACATAATTAGTACCCACGGAGGATAAAGCCAGTAGTTATAGGTACGGCCTATAGTGCATACCTTTTTCTCATTTTTCTCCTCGTTTAGCTTTAGTTTATTAACATACGGCTTTTACCTAACGAATAGCTCTTAAAACCGTAACAAAAAGCTAGACTAACCTTTTTTTATCGTTTTACGGATTAGCATCAAAGCGAGCGGAATTAGCAGTAGGAACGGCGATATAGTACCTAAGGAAGCGGTAGCTAGCAAAGTTAGTAGTTAGAAAGGCGGTATTAGTTTTAGATATACGCGCCGGTAATACCTACGAAAGAAAACCGACGAAATATATCTTAACGAACGGAATTAATAATAGGAAAGGCGATATTAATACGGTAGAGTTAATAATTAAAAAGGCGGTATTAGCCTTAGATATACGCGCCGATAATAATTACGAACGAAGACCGATAGAAGATAACCGAAGAAAACGACTAATAGATCCCGAGAAAACGTAAATTTAGACGGTAATTTCGAGATAAGAACAACGAAAAATACGGCTAAAAACGGCAGAAAAACTTTTTCCCAGAGAAAGATGGTAAAGCGCTAAAGCATAGTACTTACGGAGTTAAGCCGCGCCCGAGGCGCGAGTTAAGAACGCCCGAGGCGTAACATAAGGAAGGAACGGCGTTAAAATAATAACGAAACGATAGATTAAGCTAGAATAATAATACTTCGATAAGGACGCTAGCGGCGCTAGTAATAAACGGGAGGGCGCGCCTTAATATGCCCTTAGGCGGAGCCCTTAGTTCCGCTAGCGGAAGATAAACGATAGTCCTTAAACGAATAGGAACGGCGTGCTATTAATACGTCTTCCGGCGGAGCCTCGCGGCTCCGCTAATAATACGATAAGCCCTTAGCCTTTAAATGGTAGAAAAGGCCCTAGTCCTTTTAACGGTAGCAGACGGAAGGGCGCGCCTTAGCGCGCTCTTAGGCGGACCTTTCGGGCTCCGTTAACGGAAGATAAACGATAGTCTTTAAATACGTCGGACGGCGTACTTTAATACGTCTTCTAACGGATCCGACGGGATCCGCTAACGGAAGATAAACGAAGGTCTTTTAACGGCGGTAAACGAACCGACGATCCCGTAGCTACGGAAGCTAAGCTAGACTTAATAAGCGCTTATATGCGACTTCGTACGCGGGGCTTTAAAGCTTTACGGTTTAATAAGAAGATCGGAACTAGCCCCGGGAAGTAGCAATACCCCGGGGAATGAAAATAATAGCCTAGAAAGCGGATAACGTAACCTAAGAAACGAAGATAGCGGCCTTAAGAAAATAACATACCGGGGGATTAAATAATACCCGGAACGCTGGTAATACCTTAGGAGGAGGAGGAACTATCGGGGGAAATAGCTACCGGGAAAGCGTATCCGGTAAGCGAAGAAACCTAGGAGACCTACGGAGGAAAAGGAAGAAGGAAGAAGGAAAAAGAGGAGGAAATCCTAGGGAAGAATAAGACCCGGAGGAAGAACGCCGGAGGGCTAGAGGTATCCGGCGTAATATCCCGGGAAACGAAAGGCCTCGGGAAGGAAACGGCGGACGAGGAGGAAACTCCGGGGTATAGTATAACCGCCGGAGAGGAAAGGAAGGAGGTTATACCTAGAGAATATTAATACCCCAGGAAACGTACGAACGGAAGGAGGCCTAGGGATATACTAATACCTTAAGAAGCGGAGGTAGTAACCCGAGGAGCGACTAACGCATCCCGGGGAACGGAGGTAGCACCTAAGGATACGGTACGTATCCTAAGGCGCGGAGAAAACGGGTTAGGTTATTAAGGCTAAACGCCGAAGAACAGGGCGGCAGGGCGTATTTTTCTTTTTCCGGGAGAGAACCTTATATAATGAGCTATACCTATTATAAGGCCCTAGCTAATAACAGGGCTTAGTACGTAATTAGTACCTACGGAAGATAAGGCTAGTAGTTATAAGTACGGCTTATAAGGCATACCTTTTTCTCCTTTTTCTCCTCGTTTAACTTTAGTTCATTAACATACGGCTTTTACCCAGCGAATAGCTCTTAAAACCGTAACAAAAAGGAATAAATTAACAATCGACTCTTAATTAAACAGGGAGAAACTAACCTTGATTAATTAATTTATTTGTATATAAATAGAATTAAAATAAGTAGGAAATAGGATTAAACACATTAGTAGGTAAATAGATAAACGCATATACTATGGTTTTATTACATATATCTCTTTTAAATAGGCTATACGAACTTTTAATTAATTAAAACGGTGTATATAAACTTTTAGCTAATAAAAATAAAGTATTCCCTAAATAACACCCCTTTATAGGGGTATTTATAGGGGTATTTATAGGGGTATTATAGTAGTACAGTAAGACATACCCTCTTGATACATCACGTGACACGCTACGATAGGCCTTATGCCTATATAAAGTAACTACAGCTCCCGTAGTATAGTAGTGTAGTAAGACATGCCCTCTTAATGCATTACGTAATGAACAGGAGCAGCGTAGGCACGCTGACGGAGGCACGAAAAAGACTGCCCAACTGCCAACAACTAGCCCAGTGCCGATCAACCCTAAATCACAGCTGTAAACAGCTGTAATCGGTTGATCGGCCAGCTGAAAACGGCAGCTAGGAAAGGAGAACTAGAAAAGGGCAACGAGGATAGCTAGAAAGGCATGGCAAGAAACGAATAAATACCTGTAAGGCCGTGATGGCTATGGGTCTCAGTCTGACTGATGAGAATATGAGTGCGCGACTCATATAAATACACATCGAAAAGGCTACGTAGCCTAGATCCACCGCACCACTACAATAAGTATAAGGCCTATCGTAGCGTTCTACGTAATATATCAAGAGAGTATATTATACTATACAATTATAATATATTTAAGTTTAATTAATGATAATATAAGTATAAAATCTATATAAATACTATAGTAGTATAGTAGATCTAAGCTACGTAACCTTTTCGATACGTATTTATATAGGTCTGTACTTATATTTTCATTAATTAGACTTAGACCTATAGCTATTACGATAACTATTGTAGTAGTGTGGTGGATCTAGGCTACGTAGCCTTTTCGATGTCTATTTATATGGGTCGCGCACTTATATTTTCATTAGTTAGACTTAGACCTATAGCTATCACAGCTATCACAGCCATTACTAGTTAGAGCCATTTACTCGTTTCTTGCTATGCCTTTCTAGCCATCTTCCTTTGCCCGTTTCTAGTCTCCTTTTCCTTTCCCAGCTGCCGTTTTCAGCTAGCTAATTAACCGATTACAGCTGTTTATAGCTGTGATCTTAGTTAATCGGCACTGGGCTAGTTGTTAGCAGTTGGGCAGTCCTTGTTTCGTGCCTCCATCACAGCGTGCCTACGCTGCTCCTATTTACTATCACGATGGTATAGTGGTACGGTAAGACATACCCTCTTGATGCATTACGTAATACGCTACGATAGGCCTTATACCTATATAGAGTAACCATAGCTCCCGTAAGTACAGGCCATGCTATATATATTATTTAATTTATTACCTAGTTAAATTACTATCTTTATTATTTTTACCTAAATTAAAGATTCGTTTTTATTATTAGATTTGTCGTTTTCCGATTAGTATATCTATTTTAATTATAGGCGCTTAAGTTACTTCGTCGTACCGCTATAGCCGAATAAGTAACTTTTATATTTTACCTCTTTTCTTCCCTTACTTTTTATACCTTCGGGCTAGCGACTACTATATCTCTACGACTAAAGGGCATAGCTAAGATACGATAACTACATTAGATTCCTTATCTCTCGATTAATATAGCGGTATTAGTTTCATCTATCTTAGACCATCGTATAAGCTATAGTCTTCGGTAGAATGCACTTTCGAGTAAACCTATCCGGGTCTCTAGCATCGCGTACGCTCTGCTCCTCCTCAATGGTTATTATTAGTTATAATTATTTACTCGTTTCTTACCATGCCTTTCTAGCCTCTCTTCCTGCCCTTCCTATTCTAGTATTTTCCTAGCTGCCATTTTCAGCTAGCCGATCAACCGATTACAGCTATTTATAACTATAATCTAGGTTGATCGGCACTGGGCCAGTTGCTAGCAGTTAAGTAGTCCTTTTCTCGTGCCTCTATCACAGCGTGCCCACGCTGCTCCTGTTTAATACATACCCAAAAGGCTACGTAGCCTAGTCCTACCATACTACTATAATATAATATTTTATACTTAGTAATAAAACTCAAGTTAATATTAGAGTATAATATATAGCTACTCTTTTAGTACTTTTAAATATAATATTATTTAATTATAAGGCTTTTTTCTTTTTATACTTAAAGAAGTTTTAGTAAATAATGCTTATATTTATATTATATTATAATTTGTTACGTAGCTGGCGGGGGCTACGTGTAGGTTGATAGGTTGCGCGCAAAGAGAGCAATGGAATGCGGGTGAGAAGGTGTATATTGACTAACTAGAAAAGAAGGAAAGCTACTAGAGAGTGTGGAGCAATCTATAGGTACATATAGTAGTGCTTAACCAGCTTAGGTAAGCTAGGTGGTTCCCACTAGGGGTGCATGCCTACGTGACATAATTTTAAAAGCTGTTTTGCAAGGTAAAAAGGTGTATATTAAATGAATAAAGCTGTACGAAAAGGAAAAGAAAGAAAAGTACAGTCTGCTAAAGCCGCGCTTCTAGGAGTTAGGTAGCTCTATGTAGAAAAAGCAGTTATATACTATAATATTATACTAACCAGGGCTCTATGACTAGGCACAGCCTATTGCATATAAGTTTATTTTAATACCTTTTTCTTTTTAAAAATTTCTCTTTTTTTTATCATAATAATACTTTCATTACTTATAATACTAAGCACTCGATATCTACGTAGCCAACCTTGATATATCCCTCCTGATAATCGCCTCGGCCGAGCTAAACCTGTCTCGGTTGGAATTAGTGTGGACGTATGCAGGCACTTGGGCGTAGCAAGCGCAAGCTTGAGGGGAGAGAGGGGGCTAGGGTCGCAAAGGTGACGACAACGCCATCATCGTCATCCTTTTTCCTTTCTTCCCCCCTCCCCTCCCCTACCAATAGATCTTCCTCCCATCTCTTACTCATAGCCTACGATCGCTACATGTATTCGAGCAGTTTATCACCACGTCTACCCCGGTCACAGTCCGACCCTCAGTCACGCCCTTCCTCGCTTGACTCCGCGCCACCCACCAGGAGGCCCAAGTCGAGCCAATGCCAAAGATCGGATCCGAATTGTGGGCATGTTAGGTAGCCCTCCCACCCGGACGAAGAGCCCCAATCCATTGTTAACTGCGACTTTTTGGCCGGGGGAATTAACCAACCGCGAGCCCGGTCTAGCGTCCGTACTGACCTGACCCCTTTTGCCATTGCCTATCACTGCGTCCCGAAAAAGAATCGAGGATAAACTGACGGAGCCGAACAGGATCGAAGCCTTACCCGGTCACAGTTGTCGTCTTACAAAGGCTGGTGGAGTGCTTTGTTGTGATCTTTAACCCACCTTTGCGAATATTCCACCTCAATCTCGAACTCTATGCACCCGCCGTCCGCCAGCCTACCCAGTAGCTTGTCCTTCCGCGTCAACGAAGGGAGCATTCTTCCGAATCTGAGCTTCGCTAAGCGAACCTTTGAACACCGGGATCTGTTAAAATCGAGGACGATCTGAGATTCCTTCGTACACTTCTTCATTCTGAGCCATCCAGGGTCGGGTCTACCCGAGCACACCCTAGCCGGCACTCGGTCATCGCGACGTGCGTTGATACTATCATATCATGTCGACTAAGCCACCACTCCCGCCTACTCTCCCCGCCAGTCTTAACCCTAACATGAACCCGCCCGCCATTGGCCTCGATCCGGCGGAGTTGTCGACCAGCAACGCTGCAGCAAACTTTCCAAGGCCTAATTCCGTCAACTACGTCGCCTGCGGCCAGCCGCAAAGATCCTACGTTAACGACGAAACCATTTCCAACACCTTGGCGAATTCCCATACCCTCCCAGCTCAAAGCGACAGTCCCCAACTTGACTATAGGCAACCCAAGTTCACCGAGGAATGGGATGCAAGTATGAGGGGTGGCTCGATCGCGGACGGTCCCACTGCGCAAAATAGCTACAATCAACAGCAGAGCCCGGGTGTTGCCATGCAGCGCACCAGCCTCGCCTCCTCACGGGCCGAGGCTACGACCGGCGATGGCACCGGTGCCTACCCCGTGAACTTGTCGAGAGGAAATACACTTAAGAAAAAGAGTTCGTTGCGGAGGAGTGGGAGCCTCAGGCGCAGCGGCAGCCGTAGGAGCATGAAGGCGGGTAGTGTCCGGAGCCTTGCCTTGCAGAGCTCTCACGAGTCGGATGAGGTTCACAGCGCGTTCTACTGCCCCGTTCCAACCTCTGGTAGCCCGACAGACATCCTGGCCAACAGGTTTCAGGGTAGGTTCGCGAACATCCTCCGTGACCATCCTCGCTCTGAGCGCCTACACCTTGTCCGCCGATAGCTAACTACGAAGTGCAGCTTGGCGGAAGACGCTTAAGGATCTCATCGCATATTTTAGGGAGATACAGTCGCATTACGAGCATCGCTCCAAGTCCCTGCTTAGGCTCGCTAACGTTATCAATAATACATCTACACCCGCTGGCTTCCTTGCATCCGGCGGGCTGGATGATGCGCTCCAGACACTACGAAAGTACCACAAAGATGCAATCCTCGAAGCGAACAAAGCTCGGGAGATCGAAGAAGACGTCATTCTAGCCCTCACCGGCTTGAGGAGCGATTTAAACCAGAAGATCAAGGAGATAAGGAGCTTATCCAGTGATTTCAAGAACTCGGTCGAGAAAGAGATGGATGGCACCAAGAGAGCCGTAAACGCACTCCAGGAGGTTCTCGGACAGAGCGAGCTAGATTCCTCACTGGCCACCGGCAAGCAGGACCCTTACCTATTGCGGCTTGCGGTCGATCGACAGGTGGAGAGACAGCTGGACGAGGAGAACTATTTGCACCAGGTAAGGTTATTATTCCCGACACCAACCAGGGGCACGATCTTACGGAGGGCCAGGCATATTTGAATCTCGAGTCATCGGGTAGAGAGCTCGAGTCTATCGTCGTCGGCGAGATCCAAAAGTCTTACAATGCCTACCTCGGTATAATCAAGCGAGAGGCAGATGCAGCCTACAATACGATTGACGAGCTCCGCGCCGGACCCATTGCGATGCCTAGTGATCACGAATGGGCCAGTTTCATCCTGAGAGACTCCCAATTTGTCGATCCCGAAATACCAATGCGATCCGCCGAACACATTCACTACCCGGGACGAGACCATTTCGCCTGTCAGGAGATTCGCGCAGGCTTACTCGAGCGTAAGAGCAAGTACCTGAAAAGTTACACGGCCGGATGGTAGGAAGCTCTCCCTTCTTGTCGTTTCCACGGGTAAGCAGGCAGCTAATATGAAAGCAGGTACGTACTATCGCCGACTCATTTGCATGAATTCAAGTCCGCGGACAAGACCCAATCTCCTATCATGTCCCTATATCTACCGGAACAGAAACTCGGCTCTCACTCGGTCGAGGGAGGCTCCTCGAACAAGTTCATCCTCAAGGGGCGACAGACGGGGGCCATGCATCGCGGCCACAGCTGGGTTTTTAGGGCCGAAAGCCACGATACTATGATGGCTTGGTACGAGGATATCAAAGCCCTTACCGAGAAGTCTCCGGAGGAGCGCAGTACTTTCGTCCAGGACCACGCGCGAGCGTATTCGCGAACCTCCCAGCGCAGCGCTAGTTCCGATGGCATGGTGGATGACGAAGACGACGAGCCTTTCTCGGCGGATCCCGCCGTCGCTAGGCTAGGCTCGCGCCAAGAGCCGCCCCAGAGCAGACCCGAGCCAGGCGGACGTTTCCCATCCGATCTCCAGATCAACGCGCAGAGGGGTTTGAACGTACCGCAATCACCTAGCAGTGTCGGATCCGGTTTCGTGGGCAACGAGTATACGATAGATGGTGCCAGCGTGACTAGCAACCAAGACCCCGATGTCGCCGTCGCTGCCGGCGCCGTGCCCGTTAGCGGTTTTAACGAAATGTACCCTGGGAATCGGCCGTCGCAGCTAGTTGGTCAATCCTATGGCAATACCCCCAGCGTGAGGATGAATCAGGCACATAGCCATGCAGCAGTCATTGACCATAGGGCGAGAGCAGATGGCATAAACCCCTACAGCGGAGAGCCTATCCAGCAGCAGGCAAGGTTGTCGGGGCGAGTGTCGAATGCGCCCCTTACGGCATTCGGACCGGGATCCGCTAGCACGTCGCAGACCATGGACACCGCGATAGACCAGGATTCGGTTCACGGTAGCACGTACGAGATGGCTAATGATATCGGAGCCGAGCAGAGGCACCCGCCGTGGCAGAAGAAGGAACTATCTCGGACAGCCAATATCAGGAATGGGTCAGTGAAGCCGTTGCCCACGACCGCCACTGGGATCCCCCTCGCGAGCCAGAGCGGCAAATCTAGGCCGTACGGCGAGAGAACCAGCAGCAACCCCCATGTCCCCGGCGAGTACCCCCGAGGCGCACCTAGTGGCATACCAGGCGCTTACTAGGCCATGCTTGCGATCATTTCTTTTTGGACAGTCGGGGGAAATAGATTCGCGATTAGAATCATAGGATAACGGAACAGGCTATGCTTGAGAAACGTTACTGGGCGTGTTTCCATCTCACGAGCTCTACGGCTCGAGGGACGCCCATTCTTAGGCTAGAAAGGGTTCGATTCTTTGAGGGAAGTCGGTGTAGGATTCCCTCACCGGGCCCCCTTTTTTCGTTTCAAGTGGAGAAAAAAGCCATCGGGATAGTATATGTTTAACATCTCTCGTTTCCTGCCTTTCCTTCTTTTAAAGAACAGCACACTGCTAAGAACTTTTACCTCCTGGCCCTCTCCTCACCACGGATGGGAAGGAGGGATGGAATAAGGAGCGAGGCTAAGAGAGGCGACTCGTACAGCCAACTTAGGTATATCGACCGCGCCAGTAACGAACGTCAAATCTCTGTACTTTTTTTCTCTCGCGGTGTTTGTCATCTACAATCTACGTGAGACTCTTAAATCTTATCTTTGACGGACAGAGTGCAAGGGGCTGGCCATAGTAGTTCACATAGTTGATATTGTACCGCACCAACTATACATGTATATACGGCCCGGAAACTAGCAGGTCGCTTAGCATACAGCTCACTACACGTATACATGCGCGTCCATGGCGAATTGTAAGTAGCAGCTAGATCTGCACGTATTTTCGTAAACTATGTCTACCTCTTGCTGACAAAGTAGTGGTCACGCTCTCATCCTGCGTGTAGGTATCAACATGGTTTATCAGCAGGAATATGGAAGAGTCAGAGAGGCAGGGAACGAAAAAAAATGAAGAGGTTATATCAGAGATTCCTTATAACGCCATTCCTATGGTACCACGTAAATATCCGAGAAGCAGAAAAGGGCACGTGTCTGTGACTATAGTAGGGGAATGCTGCATCGAGCGTATCGACTGCAGAGGTCGGGAGAATGTGAACAGGTTGGACAGATAGACAAAAGAATCGGGGTATCTTGGTTTCTCTTGGATGAGTTCCTTAGAACCGAACCCCTCTACTGAAACCACCACGTCCCCTACCTCCACCGCCGCCACCCCTGCCACCGAATCCGCTACCCCCGCGACCTCCGCCGAACCCGCCACCACCTCCTCCTCTACCGGCGCCGAATCCGCCCCTACCCCCCCTCGAAGGGCCACCCCGTCCTCCGCGGCCGCCACCGCCACGTATCGGGCCACCTCTACCGCCTCCGCGGGCGCCGCGGGCGCCAAAGCCGCCGCGGCTCGATTTCTTGACCTTGGGAGCGCCGGGCGGGGGCTTGGGCTTGGGGAGGAAGACCTCGAGGGGGAGGAGGCGGTCGGGGGCGACGAAGAAGCGGTCGCCGGGGCGGAAGGAGGTGGCCTGGACGCCCTCGCCGGGCTTGATGGTGAAGTAGACCTGGTTGATGGGGCCGAGGACCTCCTCGACCTTGCCGACGGCGGTGCGGTTCTCGAGGTAGATGGGCGCGTTGAAGCGGGGCACGCGCGGGTTCTCGCTCGCGCACACCATCTCGCCCTCGCACGCGTGCAGGAACCGGCCCAGCTCCTGGATCTGGTCCGGCGGGCCGGCGTCTCGCTGCTGGAAGCCGCCGCGGCCTACGTTCCCGCCGGGAAGGGTTACGCCCCGTTAGCTAGCCCCTATACGATAACTCTCTTACTCTCCGTCTCGGTCTTTCTCCTAAACGCTGCCTAGCTTGGGGAGGGGGAGAGAAAAGGGAAGGGGGGGAAGGAAGGAGGAGGAGGAGGAGGGGCGTAGTTGGGGATTTCCTCGTCGCCATTCCTAACGCTTGGGTTGAGCGAACACGTACCGCCGCCGCCTCTGAATCCTCGACTGCTTCCTCTGTCGAAGCCGCCCCGTCCGCGCGGCGCTCCTCTCGACATGGTGACGTGCGGTGGTGCGGGCGAGGCCGATTGCCCTCTTCGTAGCGTGGTGCGTAGCGGGGGATTCTCGGTAATAGGGTCGACGTGTGTTTTGCGGCTCGTGTTGGTGTGGCGTGTGTGTAAATTCCGCCCGAGAATTGGACCTTCGAGGTAGCAGCTGTAGGAAGACGGCGAACCCAGAAAATCAAATCGATTTTTTTTTTTTACCAGAGCTCTGGTTGTCGAGGTTTGCAGGGGCCAGGCGGATGGCAAGACCCGCCAACGTAGTCTGCCCAATCACAGAGCGGGTGTCGGGTCGTCGCTCTCATTTTCCGATCCGGAATCGGAAAAAGGCAAACCGTAATCAATGTCTTATCGATAACGAGAAGGTACTATAGCAGGTACGTAACTTTACTAATTGCATGTGAATTGCAAGAAGTAATTCCGCGGACAACGTCTCGCAACCTCCCTCAGTCCCCCTCAACTCAGTACCACAGCCATATTATGGCTCGGTCTGAACTCGGCCGTTAGAGAGGTAGATATCCCGTGCCTACACACTATTATACATACTACCTAGGATTTATTAGCCACGCCTCGACGTCGTTCTTAAGTATTCTTAATCGTGCGACGAAAGGCAGGTTGTACTAGCAATGCTTGTCCTCTCCCAATCGGCTCATAACGTCGTCGCTGTCGTGAAAAAAAGAGGTACCATAGAGATACCACGTGTGTAAGCGCTGTGCTAAAAAAGGTTCGCCCCTCACAGGAATGTGGTTCTTACGGAGGATGAGGGGAGAGGTTGGCGGCACGCTCCTTTCCCCTCTCTCAGGAGTGACACCCATAGCTCTGGTCCAACAGGCCCCATTGTTGCGGGATGTGTCTGTCAGACCCAGCCTGCCCCTTAATGTTGGCTGCGTAGTACGCAAACTGGGCGTCTTGACGAGTTTTTTCTCGGGCCTGGCGTTGGTCGATGCTATTTACGAAGCCCGATCCTGTCTGTCCGTGTCCGAGTTTCGACCGCAAGGCAGGGATGGGGGAACACGGAAACAAACAAGCGGAAATAGACGTGCCTACTACTGAAAACCGCCTCGAGAGGGCTCTATCTGTGGCCGTAAACTCATGCTAGGGAGAGATCCGATACGTGTGTAATAATCAAACCAACCCTCTAGACCAGTTTGCTACCTGGGTGCCCTTCCCTGCCGTCCCCTAAGTCGTACCGGCGTTGTGCGGGCAGCTCGCGGATATATGAGCAAGGTAGGACTTTGTTCGGTTCGGATAGCGGACGAGTCGGCATTCTAACGTAGCAACTGGCATCCTCTCCGCCAGCAGATGCACCTCTGCACAGCGACGCCAACGCCACCAATCAACCCGAGCGTTCGGGGAGGTTTATCGTGGCGAGCCAGGGTAGGTACATGACACAAGGTAGGCCGAGTGTCGGGGAAACAAACAGGAAAAGCGAGTGAGACAGGCGGCAGCGAAGCCTTACACAGCAACATGGGGACCGCTGTGGAACGAGTCGCCTTCTCTCGCTCACTTACGGTTAAGTTCTTCGAGAACCGACTGAATGTCCAACCCCTTTGTACTCATATACCTACTCGTAGGAGCACACATAGGTAGGTAGGTACCTAGGTAGGTGCCTAAGGCAGGTAGGTATATCACCTGCTAGGTCCGTGTGGTAGGGTACCTAAAGGTATCCGTCGAGTCGTCATGCTGCTAAGCACGGCTTACATCAGCTGTCCCCAAGATGGGGTTAGTATGACGTCGCGGCCCAATCTTGCGTTCCCCGAACGGCTAGATGTGAAAAGAATCCCTGTATTTGGCGTGATCTAAGTATCGTATACTACCCAACCTAGGTCCTCTACCTACACACCTTTTGGTACATACACGACACGACAAGGGATCGATAAGGAGTACTATACATACACCTAGCCCCATCGACCGTGTACTACGGGATGTACCTACCTATAGGTTTCCACTATAGGCTAGGTGAACGGACTATACGATACGCTTTACTCAGTAGGTGGTGAAAGTTGCCTATACCCCAATCCGCGAAATGGGGACCGTCGATGGTATGTTTTCCGACTGGGTGGTTAATCTCTCCTCGCAGCGTGGCTTGCGGGCGTTAGTTAATACCTAGTTAGTGCCCACCTATTATGCCTATGGCCGCGTGCGTGCTGCTCTCGGCTATCCAAGGTGGTGGGTGGTGGGAGGCTCACGACCTAGGGAGATACGCACATACTCATACTATACTCGGTAAGCCCAACAATCGTTCTGCGATGCTATGCCGAATCGGATCTCAGCGGTGGGAACAGCCCGGTCTAGAAGCCAGACTGGAGCACGTCGGGCCACCCCCTCTCGTCGTCGTGCATGTGTATGCGCATCTTGGTTCGTGATCCAGAGAACAAGCTTCCTCCAGGCCGTCCTGATTGGCGCATGCTGCTTGGCTGCGGCGTAGTCGTCCGCTCTCGTGTCAAGCGAGTCTCTTCTCGCCGACGGATTCGTGATCCGCTCAGCCCAGCCGCAGGCGTGTAAGCCAGGTACCTAAGGTAGGTTAGGTGGGCGGAGGTATACAGGTAGGTAGGAAGGTATGTGTAGCACTCATAGCAGGGCGTTTTGTTCCAACCCGCCCCGCCCCACCCACGAGTCCTCCCCCCCAAGACCACCACGGTGCGACAGACCCTGGCAGATATTAGATATGCATGCGGGTGCTGTGTTCTCCAACCCTCGTATAGCCAATTTCTCGGCTGGATGCCACCTCCACCTTGTCCTACGGATCGCCACAAGGGCGAGACGGCGACCAACCGACGGAGCCCATGGGTTAGGATGCGATGCGATGCGACGCGCTACCGACCTTCTATGTGTACGCACGGCAATACGATACTTCAACATTCGATCCCAGTCCGGGACCTCGCCGTGAGATCTGCATCCGCCTCTCCGCATACGTAGGTTGCGGGGCAGGCCGATGTCTCGCTGAGACCGTCGACCACCTACCTCGGGTACGGTACAGTATAGGTAGAGGTAATATGATGGGCAGGATTCGGCTAGGCTTTGCATCTCGCCCGCCCGGTGGGAGGATGTACGCAGGGAGCTGTTCCTATATAAGGGCCCAACTGCAGACAAAAAACACCTATGCGTACGAATAGGGACCTACCTAGGTACATTACCTACCTACCTAGGTACCTATAGCTAACTTAGGGAGGTAGGTTGGGTTAGGGAACCCCTGATCTAATTTGTCTATATGAGTAGCTTCCTACCTAAGGCATCCAGGATTTTCAGCCCTACCTACCTCCTAGGTACCTCTCCCAGGTACACGGTACATACGTGCCGTGTATGTACATCAGTTCGCATAGGCAGGTACCGTGGGTTACTCAACCTAAGGCGTCCGATAAGCGGGCGACCACCATACCGGGTAGCTGAGCTGGTTACCATGGAACACAACACAGATTTACCCATACACGATAGGCAGCCCGCAGGCGAGTGAATACCTTCCTATCTACTTGGGTGGTATATTTTCATCCTACCTCCTGGGTATCGTTCGCGAAGACCGGCAGATGCCTGCACCCATCTGCTACCATCGCGGCCGCTCCGTACCTCGGGTACCTAATACCCGCACAGATGTACGTGGAGGGGTCTGCATCTTAGCACATGCCGGCTCAAGTAGCCTACTTTAGGTACCTTAGCGGGTAGGCAGATGAGAGTACCTCCTACGGACCTATACAGGTAGGTAGGTAGGTAGGTACCTAACTCCTTAAGCACGCACCTGAGATTGGCGACTAGCTGGCCCTTTGATTGAGAGGTGGGTACCTGAGGTACCTAAAGAGGTAGCCATGGATGTATCGATCTACCTCCGTATATCCGCCGTGTATTGACGGGAAATGACATGGGGTGATGGACTAAGGCAAGTCGCGCGCACCGTCTGGGGCCGCCGGCTGGATCCTCCTCTCCCTCCAGTCTTTTTTTTTATTGTTCTATACCTCCCCGTTGATTGTCCGCTTATCGTTGATATATTCCGCCGCCCCTTCCCTCCTCAACATTGCCCGCCTTTTTCCTCCTTCCCTTTCTTCCTCTCTCCATTCTCTCGTTTCCACTCCATCTCGTGATTCTTCCCTCTCTCTCTCTCACTCTCTCATCTTGTGATAGTTCAACGTTCACTGCGCTGGGCCGCCAGCTTGATAACATGACAGCCCTTCCGACATCGTCGCCATCGCCGCCGCTGTCGCTGTCGTGGTCCTAGCAGTCTTAGTCACGCTTCCGGTCCAGGTGCTGACGCCAGACAAAGACGTCGCAGTCTTGCCGCGCCACCCGACAATTACGCGTCGTCGGGACAGCCATCTCTTGACACGACAAGAATCCGAGAGGGCGCGGGCACCTTGCAAAAATATAGTACCCAACGCGTGGGGCCCCGTAGGATAGGGCAACCCGTACCCGCGTCGGTGTTTTTTTTCCCTCGACGTCCCGGCGCATCCTCATACACCGCCTTCCCCTACACTCGCACACTCGTCGCGGACAACGGAAGATGAAGCAGCGAGAGGAGGACGTCGAGTCTTCGGCTCAGCTGCTGGCCAAGGAAAGGCAGTCTTCGTCGGGCGAGGAGTTCGAGTACGACGATTCCGAAATTGCCCAGAATTGGTCCACGCCGCCAAGGTCCGATCAGCCAACCCACCTATGGCGCCGCCTAAGATGCCTTCCAGCACCGAGTTGGCTGCCCTCTCGCAAAATCAATCCGAAGTACCTGATGCTCGGCGTCGTCGTCTCTTTGATCGGCACCTTACTTGTCTTCAACCCTTATTCGCCAGTGAAGTCTGCCCAGCACCAGGCTGACGTCGACGTTTCCCCCGCTCACACAGGGATGTCGTCGCCGAGCACGTCAGTCGCCGCGCCAGGGGAGGCTGCTACCTCTCACACCCCCTCGCTGTCGGAGGGACAGGGTCAAGATGGGGCCTCCTATAAGCCACCCAATCCCAAATTCGACGAGAAATTCTGCACCACGTGGCCCGTAAACCAAGATGGTGGGTACAAATTGCAGGCGAACGATCGCGTCAACCAGGTAAGGCTCGATAGCATCGCGCCCAAGGGCGGGTGGAAGAAACCGGTAGGCGTCAAGGTCGTCGGCATGGTATTTTACGGCCGCAAGCGATATGTCGACATTTTAGACTGCTATCTACAGCAGAACCTGGCCTCCAACGGGGGCTACTTTGACGAGGTTTGGTTCATGGCCCACACGAAGGACAAGGACGATGTCGCCTGGATAGAAGACGTGGTGAAGAGAACGCCGGGATACAAGATTATCGGCAAGGGCGATTGCGAAGGCAAAAAGTACAGCTGCATGTGGAACTATGCTATCGAAGACAATACCATCTATGTTAAGATAGACGACGATATCGTAAGTAGCCGAACCGCCCCCACAACCGCGCCGCGCTGCTGTCCTAGGCGGAGTCGAGGCTAGAAAGTCAAGTCGGGGCAGGATGCTGACAAACCTCGTTGTGTAGGTGTACATCCACCACGACGCTATTCCCCAGCTCGTCCATACTCGGATCGCCCTCCCTCACCCTTACGCCATCTCGTCCAACCTCGTCAACAGCCCGGTTACGGGTATGGAGCAGTACCATTACGGCGCCATCCACCCCTTCCTCCCCGACCCGAGTAGCAAGCCTTCCTTTACCGCAGCCGAGACGTGGAGGGTGTCGGAGAAGAAGAAGTATCCCGACTTGGATTTGATCGAGGATTACGACGTTATACATATGCGATCCCCGTACCGCGGCCATCCGTGGCTTCTCATATCCGACGACCACTACGACTTGCTCAGGACTCCGATGGGCAAGTACGACCAGAACCGAGGCTCTGATCCGATCGCGTTTGGTGCCGCGTGGAAATCCTGGGGCATCGGCGCCCAGCAGCAATATTCCCTCCTGCACAATCTCGAGCAGAATAAAGTACAGCGGTACTTTTTTGGTCGAAACATCAAATATCCCGAGGGTTCTTCGGCGGCCAACTCGTCGGCGACCATAACGGACGACGGCACCGGCCCCGGCGGCGAGCAGACGTACGACACGGGCTATACGCGGTACAACCTCAACTTCTGTGCGGTCTGGGGGTCGGATATCCGAGACCAGCTACCCATCGCCGACGACGACGAGCAGGACATCACCTCAGACATCCCTAAGCGCATCGGGCGGCCGTTCCTTATCGATACGCGTTCCGTAGTCGCGCACTTCAGCTTCTTCACCCAGCAGGACGGGATCACTAAGACGGACCTGCTCGATCGATGGCGGGCGTTCGCCAATGAGGCGGTTTGCAAACCGGATAACCTGAAGAAGCCGTGGGATTTGATATGCCAGGGATTCGAGGGCGGGTCTGGATGATGACTATGAGAGGCAAGACCGTCTGAAGGGGGGAAGAACAATGTAATGATAAACGCATGGAGTCTTTTCGTTTTTTTTGTTGTTTTTGAACCCGAGGTTGCGCACTATTCATACGGCGTTCCCGGATAGTCGCATACGAATTGAACGCACCCCGCATAGAGACGTCACAGGTCGGTCGGTCGGAAAATTCTCACGGATGATTCCCGTTACATATAGGGCCTTGCAGATATTTTTCTTCCTTTGATAGCCATGAGGCGAGACGGGTAAGGGGAGGGGAGTGAGGGCGTACGGAAGTAGATATCGGCATTCCATGTCTCCATCTCGGCCTCTGTATGCGCATGACTCCAGTTTTTGACGAAATGGAACGGGATATATGGCACGCGGAAATCGAGTGATTTGGCCCGGGAAAGGCAGAAGCTAGATGGGAGCCTCATAGTGATTGAAAACAAACGATGGTCATGTCTGATCGCCTCTTGCGGGCCGGTCTTGAGAAGGGGGTGGCTAAATAACGATGAATGGACAGATCAGTATAGGAGAGGATTGGAGTCCATCCAGTCTTTGCGTGAACTGGTATAAATATATATATATATATACGCAGATACCAAGACACAGTCGACATGCCGCTCTAACCGGCGTGATCTTGGACATAAGCCAGGAGATTGCATCGGATTGGGCGGTTTTTGCGCGCACGAGTGGCTGTGAGACAAGACAGCCCTCTATTAGTTAGTAGTCCCATCCATCCCTTCCTACTCCGTCTCCCTGGACGATCACCGAGACCTACACTGGGTTGAGGAGGCGTTTCCCTTTCCTTTTTTTCTTCTTCTTTTGTTACATCACTAATCGTGGTTATCGAGGTCGATCACTATCACCTACCTGACGCAGACGTAGACTGCGTCGGTCTATGGGGAACACAGCCCGAGAACGCCTGCGCGGCGGTGAGGGCAAGACTAGACAGGAGAAAGAAAAAAAAAAGACGGAGCTAGGTAATCCAGAGGTTCGAGGCCTCTTTTCTCTTCTCCTCGATCCGTCCCCCCCCATCTTCGTAGGGCGAGCAGCGGAACAACTTTCTAGATGAGCCCGCAAACGTGTCCCTCTCTCTCTCTGCGCAGGAGCTGTGGGATATCGGTGGCCCGCGTGGCTCGTCGACGTGCGTCTAGAAATCGCGGGATCCGGCGCCGCACGACTCACTCGGGGCGGGCGCGTCGACGGCAAGTTCGGCGTTGGAGCATCACGGGCTCTGATATGTCTTAGGGCGGTATCGAGGGCACCGCAAGGTGGGTTACCTTGAGGTATCTATGCCGTAGCCGGGAGGGCCGCAAAACTAGGCGAACGGCCATCGGGACCAAGGCCCCGACGTCCTCGAGAGGCGGCTTCACCTCCACGCGGTACTTCTGCCCGGCGGCCACGCCACTGCCGTCCGGCAGCTGGTCTGAGCCGCGGGCGTCGGTCGGGCCAGGAATGTTGAGGCCATCGCGGGCGGCTAGGCGCTGCGCATCTAGCGATCTGGTTGGGTCGGTGATAGAAATGATGGATTAGGAGGTAGACGCGGAACTGTCTCGGTGTAAATGTATGTTGAACTGAACACACGGACAAGCGTGGCCCTGGGAGTGATAGCAAAGAATTCTCCCTTAACAAGAAGAGGGAGGCATAAAGCAGGGAGGGCTTTGACCGGGCACACGGGTCGAATGGATTACCCCGAGGGCATGACAAGGGCGAACATGCAGACTGAGCCGAGTTGGACGTGGCAAGCATAGGTATATTCTGGTTTACTCGCTAACCAGTATGGTGCCGTAGGCCTAGGTCGAGGCTGAATTAGGTGAAGAGGTTCAGTAATGGCACGTCCTGGTGATAACAAAGCTGTTGTGTGTTCAATGCAGGCAGCCGAAGAGGCAATCAGGCCAAAGCTATGGAGACTTTATACCTGCCTGTCTGCCTACAAGACCGTTCAAGTCCTTGATCTCTGGATACAATGCCGACCCCTTGGCCTTAAGGCATAGCCAACCCCGGCTCGCCCATGGGTGAGAGGGGGGTGGATGCAGGTGATGAGCTTGGCGGCCGAGGGTACGGTATGGCGTAGGGAGGGGGGAAGAGGACTCACCGTGTGGTATAAACCCTGCAGGCCTGACTTATAGACAGACCATGAGAGACCTCAGCTACAACACGCGACACGGGGGCATCTAACACGGATCTGTCCGGAGAAGCCAGAGTTGTGGACGCCTATCTTACTCATTTGAATCGCTACCGCTGTCAATATCATCACGCAGGTCCTCCTCAGGAAATCGGCGACAATATGAATGCCCAGTCAAGTCTACTTCTTCCATGTCTCATCGTGTCCTTTTCTTTCCTCACACCACTCATTTTCCTCCACATCCACCCCCGGCTGTTCTCGCTCCCCGGGCTCTCTTTTACACGTAGCGGAGGTATCCGTCCTGGTTGGTTATGTGCTCGTCGAGGTCGATCCGGCTCCGGCGCCAGTCTCCCCTCGAGTTCCGTAGCTCCGCCTCCAGCACCCGTCCCCCGTCGACGAGGCGGACGTCCCGGGCCGAGGCGCTGAAGTTGCCGCCCGACTGTCCCGGCACCCGCAGCGTCTGGCCCGGGTAGATCATGTCCGGGTTCGAGATGTCGTTGATCCGCGCGATCTCCTCGAAGCTGCAGCCGGAGCGTCGCGCGATGTCTCGCAGCGTGTCGCCCTGCTGCACGGTGACGCTGCCGCCGCCACCGCCGTGGCCCCCCCGAGCCCAGCGGAAGTGGCCGTCCTCGTTGCTGATGATCTCGTTGAGGTTCAGGGTGCTTTGCTGGCTGCCGCCGTCCCGCCGTTTGCAGGTCGCGCGGAGGTCGTAGTCGCCCTCGAGGTGGACGTCGTGCGACGAAGACGAGAAGTTGCCGACGTGACCCCCGAACGACCGGTCGCGGTGGGACCCGTGCGATCCGGGCGAGTGCCTCCCGTCATCCTTCTTCTCCTTGCGATCTTCGACGAAGTCCTGCAGCTTGTGGCCCGCGATGGCTCCCGCTATGGCGCCGATGACTCCGTGTCCCATCTTGTGCCCTCCGTAAGCGCCGGCTGCGGCACCGGCCAGGCCGCCCATCAGGCCACGCTCTCCGTCCTCCCCGGGGCCGGCGTTTGGGGGTGCGGACTGGCCATACGGGCCCTGGTTCTGATAAGACGATTGGTATTGCGGGTCGGGCTGACCGTAGCTCTGCTGTCCGCCGGGCCCGCCGGGATAGGAGGAATACGGCTGAGGGCTGGGCTGGCCTCCGTAGTATGAAGCAGCCTCGCCCTGGGGTTGGCTCTGATAGCCTTGGTTACCGTAACGCGGGTCCATCTCTACGATGCTATGGTTCTTGGTTCGAGTTGACTGAAGTCGGTTGCTTCGGCTGGACCTGGATGAGAGTGGCGGGTAGGTATGTCGATTGATTCTCCGGAGGTTTCGAGAAGTGGGTATAATGTGAGACAGACGAAGAAGCAGAAAGGAAGGATGTCGGGGTCTTTATCTGCGTATATCCACGTCTTAAAGACGACGAAAACCGCCGCGTCTGCCGGCATCTAGTGTGACGCTCGTCTCGCCTGACGTGTCGCACCGCAACACAGCCCCCTGAAGAACGTGGTGGGCCGTCATCGTCGCGTAGCGTGGCAACGGTAGGGTTTAGTTCCGCAGAATACGAATCAACTCATATAGCAGGGCTCAGCTTGTTGTGGATATGAACTGGATAACCGGCAATGAGCTGCGATGCGGATATTCGGCAGGGAGACACTGCGGCTTTGCATGCTTGGCGCCGCCAGACGACAGCAACCAGTGGCTGGAGTTGCCTAAGTCAAAAAAAGGCTTAGCAACGTCGACGCTCCGCTCCGAGAGGACGACCAGACCAGGCCGTCTTCACGTCGAGCCATGGGGGACGCTCGGGACCGGGTATTGGTCTGCCATGGGGAAGCCCGTCAAGATTCCATGGATCGCTCTCGTCCACCACCCCTGGCAATTTGACGGCGGGTCGGCAAAGACATACACGGCTATTTCAGTTCTGTATTAGGTAAATATGCACACCGTAACATCGTTCGTGTGCCCGGTCTCCTGGTGTCTTCTGCAGTCTACCGACAACGGCATGGACTCCCAACCAATACATGCGTTTACTGAAGGTGTCTGTTGCCCCAGCATACTTATATATATATACGTATCAATAGCCTTTTTCACCTTCTTTTTCCCGTGCCGTGAGACCCGAGGGCGAGAGCGGGGAGCATTGCGCGTACCTCGCGGCCCAGTTCTGAAGCTATTATTCGCCGAACCCCACTTCACTTACGTTTCGCGTTGGAAACGGATCTCTCGGATCTCGCGAGGTTGACTGGAGACCTCGAAAGCGACAACGCGGGGCTGACGTCAATCTACAATATATCGTATCCAAAGCAAATATCGCAGACCGCATCATACAGATGTGGCGAGTTTTCCCGTGATGCTGGCATGCCCGGCCAACCTCCAAGCCCAGTTAGCCGAGCCGAGCCGGTCAGTCCTCACGAACCAAAGATGACCAGGACTGCCTTGATTACAACCGGTAATTGGCTCTCGTGCCGTGGTGAACCGCGCCGCGGTTCAAACCGTCGATCCGCCTAATTAGCAAGAAGGAAGTTTTCAGAGGTCGCTGCCACAATATGGGAAGACCACGGATGGGAGCGTCGTGGCCACTTCTAATAGGCAGGCCGCCAAGGGGGTGTCTATGAATTCTCGGGGGTGCCGTCATGTCCGTTGCTCATAGGATTGCTTTATAGCTATCAATTACCTACCATCCTCTCCGGGTTCGGGTTGTGCTGCGACCTGATCCGACAGAGAGTCAGAGGGGAGTAGGTTAGCAGAGGGAAGAAGCCGAGAGAGAGAGATAGGTAAAGGGCGTAGGCGTAGAAAGGGATACCTGGTATTTACCTTGAGTAACCCGTATATTCACGACTGTGTCCATAGCCGACCAATCGCGGCCGCAGCGCCCCCCTCCCCGGAGTAACAAATATTAGATAGGTCTGTTATCCATTCTTCGCACATCTTTCGTCGTCGTAAACCAATCGAGTCAGGCGAAATCGACGCGAGAACCGGAAACGGGCGGAACTCTTCCACCTTAAGTCCTTAGGCGGAGTCGGACTGTGGAGTCGATAAGGCACTGTTGAAACCGACGTCTTTTTGGAAAGCCAGTGAATGCTTGGTCAAGGGCAGTTTCGTGATTTTCGTCGTCGTCGTATTCCTTCAGCATATATGCCTGCTCACCTTGCAGACCATGGTCGTTTCGTTAGGAGTACCCTCGACCCTATCGGCATAGAGGATGCCACTGTTTAGGGCTTGGACGGTGAAACCTGACATCGTTTTGAGATAGTCTTCTGTTACGCGAATATTACATCTCCCTCGTGGGCTATGCCGGCTTATAAGATAGGATTCCCTACGTGTCATCTTCATTGACGACGATTTGACCGTGGAGTCGGAGGGAGCGAACGCCGACACCACTTCTGCCCTCTTCAACATCTTATTGGGCAGGGTCAAGTTTCCCTGCGTCAACGGCGCCCGCTTCAGACGAGGTTCGCTGTCGTCGCTGTCGCTGCCGACCTGATGTTCCGGCAATGTGTGGTAAATCATCATCAATGAAGACTATCCCACAACGATGTTACCTGGGTAGGTTTCGCCATCCAAGCCCGAAACAACGGCATCTTCGAGTCCCGTCGTTCTAAAGCGAGGACCTTCACTACATCTGCCGAGCGTTTTGGTGTAGAGCGAAGCGTCTCGGGTGCATGATGGGATCGAGAATCCTGTTCGGAATTAGCCAGAGAGTATATATATAGGTATAGGGAGAATTCTGACCTGAGCAGACTGGCGTTGACGGCAAGAAAGACAGTCTACTGTATGCACGATACGATTCTGAAGGTTGACAAATTGCTCTATACCTCGAATTCTACCGCAGGAGCGACATTTCCTGTGCTGATTCCATATTGACCGAACTGACGTCGTGCCTGAAGCCTCGCACTCCGAAAAGGGGCGTTGCCAACACGCGTGCATGCGCTCGTACTTATAACGGCGTCAGAAGGAATTGTCAAGGATGATAGTTTTGGTCGACGTTCACTTGGGTTTCGGACTCGGTAGCGCGAGGATCGGATTTAGGGGTTGGCCCTTCGTTGTTGCGGTGATGGGTTGGCGTAGAGATCGCAGCAGTAAGCGATGCGCAATGGGCAGCAATAGTAAAAGAGTTGAATTGGAGGTGTTATCTCGGACGAAGTCGAAAATAAGTAAAGCAAAATAAATATAGCGAAAGCTAGGTCGCAGTGTGTGCGCTGCCCTACCCCTTTTACGGACGGCGAGAGTATACACATCAGCCCAACTCGGCCCCTATAGCTCGTTCGCCATGTCCCTGCCAACACGAAGCCGGCCAACTATGGAACATACCTGTCATCTTGAGCAACAAGCTAGCCTTCTTCCCAGTGCAGTGTACGGTTCGCTCAGCTGAGACGGGTGGGTGCTATACCGGCCATATGCTCGAGCTCGAGAAGCCCACCATCTCGTCGCCTTCGGGACCGGCGACAGCTGCCCTCAAAGTCGACGAGTTCACCAGTTCAAGGCTGTAAGAGGCCCGAGGGGAGCCAGATATACCGGCTGATATTCATCTTGTGCAGTCAGTTGGTTGTTTCAACAATATTTATAACCTTGCCCCTTTTACCCCCTTCCCGTTTCCTCAAGAGGGGAAAGGTTGCGACTCTCACCCTGTGCCGGTCACTACTCGGGTTGTTGTCAAGACGAGCTGAGATTTTACTAACCAATAGACAAATTCTCCCAGACAATCTTGTTCCATGCCGGTATCCGTCCTATGTTCAGATCATATAGGTACCTAACATCATATCGTCCCCTCTTTCCCTTCCCCTGTGTCTACTCATATGCGGCACGTCCCCCACTCGCCTTCTTCACTATTGGAAAACCCGTTATAAATCTACCCCGAATCTTCCTCACTCCGTTCTCCCCCCTAACCGTAGCACTACGATAGGTAGGGAGCGCATGTACCCTCTCCCTCCTCACTAGACAGGAAAATCGAGCTCCTTTGTTTTGATGTCTCGCGTCCTGTTTCTTTAGTAACCTGTAAAAAAAAAAACGCCCCTCTCTCGTTTCTCCCTCACTCCGTGGCGGCGTTCCTCTTAGCGCTCGCCTGCGCCGTCACATGCATGCTCTTAGGACCGTCGGTGCGTGGTGTGTATAGCTCGACGAGCCGGAGGCCCTTGCCGTCGGTGAATTCGGTGTCCTCCAGCAACGCCTCAAATTGGCTGCGCGTGCGTACCTCGTACGCCTTCGCCTCTGTCTTTCCCGCACCGAACGCGGTCAGCAGGTCCCGGTGCGACCATGGCGCGATGTCGTTGTACGCCGCCTCCATCCCGTGGATGAACCGCTCAATCGTGTAGCCCTCGTTGCAGATCACGAACAGGATCACGTCGAGCCCTTGCCGAATCATCGTGCTCACTTCCTGAACTGATAGTTGTAGGCTGCCGTCACCCTCGAACAGGATCGTCCGCCGCCGCCGCCCTTCCGTCTCCGTCGCGATGTCCTTCGTCGCCAGTGCGGCCCCTTGGCACGCACCCACGGCCCACCCGATGCTGCCCCACAGCGTCTGGTTCAGCGCGGTGACGCCTGTCGGGAAGCGCGTGTCCCAAATGCCGAAGTTGGCGGTTCCCGTTTCGGTGACGACGATGTCATCTTCGCGCAGCAAGCGACCGACGTTTTCCCACAGCCACTTCTGGCTGATGACGTCGGTGGCCTCATCCGAAGTGGTTGTATGGTTGTGGCTCGGGAAGGGCGGCGGTGGCAGGACCTTGATCTGGGATACGTCGAGCCGCTCGACGACGCGGCGCAGAACGCCCTTCATGCGGACGCCCGGGTACTCAGAGTAGCGGACGATGCAATGGTCGCTATGTAGGTCGATAGTGGAGAGCTGTGAGAGGCGATAGGAGAAGCCGGCGGTGTTGAAGTCGCTCTTGAGCGAGCCGACCGCCAGCACGAGGTCGGAGCTCTCGACCATCTCCTTGACGTCCGGGTGCGAGGCGGAGCCGGCGTAGACGCCGCCGTAGCTGGGGTGGGCCTCGTTGATGGCGCTCTTCCCCATCGGGGTGACGAAGACGGGTAGGCCGGTCTTCTCGATGAGGTCGTGCACCTCTCCGAGGACGTGGTGGCGGACGGCGCAGGCGTCAACAAGGATGACGGGCCGCTGGGCGGCATGCAGGGACTTCAGGACGATGTCAACGACATAGTTCTCGCGCGCGGCGTCGTTGGCGGGATCAGAGAGGTCGATGAGGGTATCGAGGTGCGTACCCTCGATCTTGCGCTCGACCATGTCAGTCGGCAGCATGATGTAGACGGGACGGCTGCGGAAATAGCACTCGCGCAGGGCGAAGTCTATCTGGGCGGCAATGTCGGCGGGGTCGTTGAGGCGGGTGACGGCACAGGAGATTTTGGCACTCATGTCGGCGAAGACGTTGAAATCGCCGTTGCCGAGGGTGTGGTGTAGGAGTAGGCCATCGCGCTGGGAGACGGTGCTGGGGCAGCCGACAATGTGTACAATAGGGACGTGCTCGCTGTAAGCGCCGGCGATGCCGTTGACGGCGGAAAGCTCACCGACGCCGAAGGTGGTTACGATGGCGCCGATGCCCTTGACGCGCGCGTAACCGTCGGCAGCATAGGCGGCGTTCAGCTCGTTGCAATTTCCCACCCAATTCAGCCCGGAGCGCAGCAGGTAGTCGAGGGCGACGAGGTTGAAGTCGCCGGGCAGGCCGTGGACAGAGCTGATACCGACTTGACGCAGCCGCGTGAAGAGGTAGTCAGCCACCGTCACCGGCTTTTTGAGGTTGCGCGTCAGGGCGTCCGTGCTAGGCATGGTGGTGTTGAATCTGATCTCGAAGTTGTTCTAAGTGGTGATTATTGCTTTGCTGGCCAAGCCGGGCCGGTTGCTAAGTTGGTTGGTCGTGAGCGGATTCTTATAGGTAGGCGGATTCCTCTATCTCGCTCCGGATCGGGGGGGTGTGGCGGGTGAGACGATTCAATGTGCCGCGTGTGTGTGTAGTAAGCGAAGCTATTCTCAACAAGCCCAAGGTTTGAGCGGTGGCGCTTCTTGCCTGTGCGACTCAACACTGCGCAGCGGAGGTCGATGATGCTCGGTTGGCTGAACAAAGAAGAGAGGAGGCGAGACAGGAGTGAAGGAACTGCGTCGGGTCAAGTATTATACCTATTCCATCTCGGAGCCGCCCTCGCACTACCCGCACACAAAATCCAGGACGGCCTATCCCAACATATCGGACCACGATATTTGTGGACCATGGCGTCTCTTCGGCGTCTCGCGATGATCAGGCCATGATGTAATGGTAGATCGCAGGAAGGCCTGTGTCGACTTCGACGTGCTATTTCTTCTCTCTGGTTCTGTGCCCGTCATCGAACTGCCCTGCTCCCCCTTGCTTTTTTTCTTTCTCTTTTAATCCTGCTTGCTTCAAGGGAGCGTGCGATCCCGGACCCAGGGACGGGCGCGGACATGCTAACCTGTTTGGAATTGTAGCTCGATACCCCTCTTCGCATGGAAGTTTAACGCCAGGCACACTCGCGTTCTTCTCCTTGCGTGCGTGTGGAGGCGCCAACTGCCTCTCCGGAGAGGGAGGTCAGTAAAACCTATATCGCCGTGGCGGTGTAGGCAGTAAACTAAGTTGGGCGTAATCGGCCGGGTCCGGTCTGGGTCGACTAGCAGGTTATAATTATGTGTGCGTGGGATGTGAGTTGCTCTGTATCGACGTATCAACGGGATGGATGGAGACGGATAAGGAGGGTGGGCGGCTGTGCGCATGTAACCGGTGGTGCACAGCGATCTAGCCGATCTGCCCGGAGTACTCGGCGATACTTAGGCACTCCATCCGTCTCTACATATAGCTACCCAACATAAATGCGCAGAGATTTCAATAGTCTCGTGACATGCAGGTGGGATGCATACGAGTTACGAGCAGGGGGAGGCCGTTCTCGATGCCCCGGCTCGGGATATTATGCCGGCCACCATCAGTCATAGTCTATCGTAGAAGGTTGCCCGGAAAGTGTATTATATATGTTATTGGATTACGTCGACTGGAGTCGCGACTTCGGAAACCAATCCCGGAAACCCGGATCTAGCTTGAGGTAGAGGAGTAGGCTACTCTGGCGGTCTGCCACGAACGATTGTCGGGCAAGGTGCTCAGGTCGGATACTAACCACCCACGCAGGCAGAAGTCATGGCTTAGTCGCATCGTCCGTCCTTCCAGCCGGTCCGCCACCTCTCCTCCCACAGGGAGCAGTCGAACGTGTCCTTGCCCAGTTTCACGTTGACGGCGTTGTGCGCCTCGCAGAGCCACTTGCCGAACTCGTCCCGGCTGCCGAGCCGGATCGGCTCCTTCGCCATGTACCGCTGGAAATCTTCGGCGCACACCCAGCACGGGTATAGGCGTGAGAAAGCTCTCATGAAGCTGTCGAGATCGGACTGCTGAGCCGCGTTAGGCGCCTCGGGATATGTCGCCGCGATCGAGTGCAGTAGTGTCCAGGTGCTTCGGCCGAGTGCCTCAACATCGGCCGGACAGTCATCCGCAGGAGCGCGGCGCTGGGAGAAGGCGGTGATGCCGCCTCCAGCCTTGAGCGACGACCTTGTCATCTGAGACCACATAGCAAAATCTTTCTTAGAGGTGCATGATCGACAGCTGCAAGCGGAGAAAGGAAGAAGAGAAGGGACTCGTGTTAGTGGGGCCCCGGGGGGCTCTGGACACTGCAAGCTGGCCCGTAGCGAGCCAGCGAGAAGGAAGATCGCATTAACTCACGGCTTGCCATCCTTGTCTAGGACGATGCCCTTGGGCAGCTCGGCGGGCTGTTGAGGTTCTCTCGTGTCGGCAGCCATGGCGTCACAGCAACAGCAGTAGCAATGCCCAACCTGAAAACCCAACCGGGTGTCGGGGAAGGGGAGATATGTCCTCAAGAAGGCTTAGAGCGATCAGATAGGAAGTTGGCGTGAATACTCTCGTGACAGCTGGTGATAGCACCGAAAGATGGTGGAAGGGGAAATAAAAAGACCCAGTTTCACTGGCTGAGCTTTCGCAGGTCCACGGCGGTGGATTTGTCAGTCGTTTGGGCAAGGAAGCGAGTCTCGGCGCCGGCCGGGAGGTGACGCGCCAGCTCGCACTCCTTTTCCTCAGTATCGATACGGCCCGATCTATGGGTACCTAGGTAGAGGTAGCGTTACTACAGGTACCTCGAGAGGTACCTGTACCAGTATACAAGCATCAACACCCCCTTAGGGGGTGAGTCAAGGTAGGAGGTACCTCTGTAAGAGTTACGTATGCCCATTACGCACCCGAACCTAAGTGTTGGGAGGGGTTACAGTGCTACCCAGTGGCGGAGGACGGCGGCTCATACGGTGCAGTGGTTTTTTTGAACCTATGAGCATGTCCCTCTCTAATCGATAAAGCTATGTCCCCTCAACCCCTCGTCCTTTCGTCCCTCGCCAACGGTGACATCAGCTTATAGGTACACCCTAACCCCTGCGCAGGTTGACGAGTTGCCATAGGGGAATTACAAAATGCCATCCATTTCTCCATCTCGCTTCTCCCACCCTCACCACCACCACCACTACCACCACTACCACCACTACCACCACTACCACCATCACCTAATCTACGCAACACAATGCGCTAGCGCACGCAACGTGGGTCGGTGGCATGGTGTCTCTAGTTCGCTACCATCTCCCCCCTGTTCTCTTTCGTCTTCCGCCATGTTGCCGACATAATCGCCCGTTACGGTATTATTACTATCCCCAGTTATAATCAATACATGCGCCATGGCCTCAAATCGGCACCAGAAGGTTCCTGTGCTGCTCCTTAAGACCAAGTCGATGCCCACCGATACCTACGAGGAGCTCTTCTCTGCCTCGCTCGACGGTTTCGACTTCGAACCCATCTTCGTCCCCGTCCTCCAGCACAGATTCGACCATGGCGGTATGCGGCAAGTCGACGCATTGCTACGAGGGCGGCGGATAAGCAATAAGTTAGACGCCGCGTACGGCGGCCTCGTCTTTACCTCCCAAAGGGCCGTAGAGGCGCTCTCCAAGTTGGTCGAGGATGGTAAAGGTTAGATTCCCCAACACCCTCCTTTCTCTCTCTGTATCTGTCTTTGTACGTGTGTGTGTCCGTCAGAGAGCGCACCAAACACACAGTGGGACGACCGAGAACATAGTATCCAATGTAGAGGTATAACACGATATATAGGCGACGAAGGTTGGCCGCATCTTCAGGATGTGCCAATCTACTCCGTCGGTCCCGCCACCACCCGCGCCTTGAAGGCAATCCCGCAGACCCCCCCCCTGCAGATCTTTGGCGAGCACACCGGAAACGGCGACGCGCTCGCCCAGTTCATATTGGACCATTACGGCGAGTGGTACCGTGACCGATCAACGAAGCCCCCGCTGCTCTTCATGACCGGCGAGCAGCGGCGCGACATTATACCGAAGACGCTGACGGACGAGAACCTACCGGACGACCGACGCATCGGGGTCACAGAGGTCGTGGTATACGGCACGGGCGTGATGGAGTCATTCGCGGACGACTTTGCCCGTGTGCTCGAGGAGACGGCGGGCCGACGATCGAGGTGGGTCGTGGTGTTCTCGCCGACGGGCTGCGACAGCATGCTCAAGGGGCTGGGGGTGTTGGACGATGGAAACGAGACGGCCAAGGTTGCCAAGGGGTCGCGAGGGGAAGAAGGGGAGAAGAGGCGGACGACGTACGTCGCTACGATTGGGCCGACGACGCGGAACCATCTCACGAGGACGTTCGACTACGTGCCCGAAGTGTGTGCCGAGCATCCCAGTCCTGAAGGAGTCTGGGAGGGCATAACAGCGTTTGCAAAAGGGCTGGTCTAGCCGGGAGGGCCAAGCGTTCTCGGTGCTTGGCCCGTGGTATTTATTATTATTATTATCTGACATGTACTTGAAGCCGTATACACGGCTTATGTGCATTTCGTCCTTGGGGAAGAAGGGCTGGGGCCCTAAGATACGGGAGCCCGACCCGTCGAGAAGCGGCAGAGATAGGGGTCTATCATATAGGTAGGTAATTGGAGTGGATGGTGTACCTATATGTATGTATATACGAGTCGCCTAGCTGGTCCCGGGGATGGTCCACGGGTTCCTAGTTCCAGTCCGTCCGTCATATGGTGGCATGGTTCCCTGGCTTCAGTCACTGTTGGGTGATTGTACTGGGAGTGTTGGCGGTTAATTGGATACCCCCATAAAGCTACGGAAAGAAATTGCCTAGATACATCTTACCTACATATACCTGTATCCCCCGGTAATGCAATGTATTCGCGTAGCTGCATTGCTTGGTTTAGCTGGCTATGACAGACCCTACCGCCAATACCTATTTTACCACCGCCGCCTATTTCCACCACCTCTCTGGTTAGGTGCCTTTAGACCCAAGCTGCCTAAAAACACAGCCGTAGTACTTAACCGTAGCATGCACCTGGGCGCCTACATAGGTAGTCGTCCACGACACTCGGGCGACCCGCGTCCTGGTCTGGTTAGTCAGCAGCGCCGCTCTTGCTCACCCTTAACTCACCCCGTGCTCAGTGATGCTCAGGTTTTTCATCACCTTAACCACCCTCTTCATCCGGATGCTCGACCACCGTCCACTCATAGCACTACCTCATCCTTTCCTCCAACTTCTGTCAACTTTACGCGACGTAACTCTTGCCATGAACGGGGATCGGGACCTCCACAACCAGCAGCCAGGAGAGGGGATGTAAGTTAGCCGGCTGCCAGGCTCCTGGTACCCTCGATGTCCTCTGTCTTGCCCCGAAATATGGTGCATCTTAATTCGAGATGATACTGTCCGAAGCAGTACGTCTAGTAGTCTGACGATTAGTTGGTTACTCTTATTTTCTGACTAGTATCACTTGCTGTCCTGCCCGTCAAGCCATTCTTTATATAGCTTTTGTTGCCTCTCGCGAAGTTTGATCAACTTTTTCTTTGCACTTTTAGTTATCTCCTCCCCTTTTGCGTCCCGGGTCGGAATACCCTGCTCATCCCACTCCGAGAAATGTTCATTCCTGAACATGTCACGCGGATTAACGCTCGCCTTATTATCTCTCTCTCGCTGCTTTTCAGCCTCTTTAGCTTTGCGTTCTACCTTCTCTAATTGAGCCGCTTCGGCGGCGGCGCGCTGCTCTACCAAAGCTTTTCGGATCGATTGATCCAACGGCCGAACGAGCGCAGGACCATTTTGGCGGTCTTCGAGATAGATATCAAGAGAGTAGAGGTGGACATCGCGGAAGGCATCGCAGAGGCTAAGGATGTCCTTGGCAGGCGCGCTCTCTGAAGCCAGATGATGGATGTCATCGCGGAATTGCGTCGCCACTGCGTGATACCGGGTATCGGAATCTGCTAGAGTGCTCGATTGAGTGCCAAGGGAGACACCATTTACCAGCTCTATCATAAGGGCGTAATCAATGTTGCCCTGGTCGGATAGGACCTGCTGTCTTATGTCGTCTCGGAGCTTGGAGGCAGTATAGATGGGCTGCTGGGCAGCGGCTGGTATCTCGACTCCGTGCCAGGCGATGATCTGAGAGTGGTAGCTCGGCACAGGTTGTTGTTGTTGCTCGCTGCCCCGATTCGAGTCACCCTGTGCTAGCACGGCTGCCTCACCTTGCGGGTTGAGGCCGAAGATGGTGACAATGCGGTTAACCCATCTGGCACCAGAGAGCAATGACGAGCTTGAGAGGTTCATGGCGTTGCATTCGCTTACAAAATTCGAGATGATCCTCATGGCTGCCGGAGTGTCGAAAGAATCGCAGAGCGCCTCGTGCAGGCTAGCTTTTGCTTTGTCAAGAGGTTCAAACCTCAATTCCTCATCACGAATGCTGTCCAATGTCGTTGGCAGGTCATCCAATAATCTCCCAACGTCAAGGGCTTGCAGAAAGAAGCTGTTTAATTTGGATTCCCATGCTGCCGCCGAACTGAGGCTGGTCTCAGTCACCTCAATCTTGTCATGCTAGGCACCGAGAAGGAAGCAGATTCGTAGCGAACGGGAGTTCCATTCCGGCTGTTTGAGTGCATCGCGTATTGTGATGAAATTCTTAAGGCTTTTGCTCATCTTTAAGCCTTTTATGCCGAGATGGCCGGTGTGAAGCCAATAGTTGACCCAGGGCACCGATTTGTCATCGTCGGACCAGTATGCAACCGATTGAGCGATCTGTTCTCATAGTTAGTATAGTCTCTTAAGAGAAGAGTGAAAACCTCACTTCATTATCGTGGTGTGGCCAGGGTAAATCTTCTCCGCCAGAGTGAATATCTATAGCACCGCCCAGCACCTCAGACGCCATACAGCTACACTCGATGTGCCAGTCAGGTCTTCCACCATTTTCGCTCCACGGACTCGGCCAGGCAGGTTCTCCAGGTCGACTCGCTTTCTAGAGGGCAAAGTCGGCATCGTTGCGCTTGGCCGCCGACTTGTTCGCCAACGACCCCTCGCCGTCTGCCCGGAGAGCCGCGTTGTTGCGATTCCACGGCTCTAATATAGAATAGCTGTGGCCAGCTGCTTCGAAGGCCGAGATGTCAAAGTAGACGGATCCATCGTCAGTTGGATAGGCAAAACCCTTGTCAACTATGCGCTGAACGAAGGCTATCATCTGGGGAATGTACTCGGTGGCGCGTGTGAGAACGTCTGGATCAAGGACGTTCAATGCGTGCATATCCTCAAAATAGCGCTCCTCATACTTGCGGGCAACTGCGCTGAAAAGATCATGGTCTTTGCTGTCGATTGTAGCGCCGTGGAGGTGGTCCAGATAGGGGTGTAGTACATCTTTCGCATGATCAACAAAGTCGGACAGCAGCGTGGAGTCTGTTGCCTTTTCCAGGCGCAGCAAGGCACTCGCGGCTTGTTGGCCATTGCGGATGTGCATCTTGAGCTTGGCGTCCTGTTCTTCTGTCACCTCCTTATCGACTATATTGCTGTATGCCTTCTTGATTTCCACACCGTAGGTCTCGAACGAAGTGTCAGGCGACAAGAGGGGCAGGTTCCGTGAGATGTAGAACCTTAGGCCTTCCTTGCTAACAGTGAGGGCGTCAGCCTTGGCCTTGCTCCTTTCTTGACTTTCGAGCTCATTTAGTAGCCTTGTCTCGAGATGTAAATACCGGCTCCTTAGAATTATCTTGTCATCTATATCCGTGATATTCATCACAAACTTTACCGAGTAGCCGAAGTAGTCTTGCAGGATCCGACGAAGAATGTCAAGTGAAACGGCATTTCTTCCGTGGCCCTGATGAGCGTCGTCGTAACAAGTCGGGCCACATGTGTACCAAGTAATGCGCTTCTTTTCTAGGTCGATTGGGTGAAGACGGTCTTCTGTCTATTGAGGTTGTTGAGTATTTGAAGGACTGGGGCTGGCGGGTGCGAACTTTCGGATGATGGGTCCATCTTGAGTTGACGCGCAGTAATTGTTGATACGTAGAATGGAGGGTAATAGGCGGGAGACTGGTGTATTAAGGCAGATCAGTAGGTTACTTAACGAAGGATAGGTTCGATTCCTAACAGCGCTACTTGGTAGTCTTCGCTACTTAGCCCATCTAAGGCACACACCTCTAAACACGCTCGCTCGGAGTACCATTCAGCTTGGAACATTTAACTACAAAAGGTCTTTTAAATATTGTTAACATAAAAGCTTCTTTAAATTAAGGGTTATGGAGGATGGTAATGATTAAGTCCTAATGCATGTTGGCAGCTTCAGGATGGTGGTGCACGCTGTGACGTAATGGCGGTTCACTTTCGTGGCTCCGCTGCCTTATTTATCAGGCATGCAAAGCGTGTTGAAAGCTGAACCTAGTTGATCAATTGAAGGTGTAAAAACCGAACTGCTAAAAGGGCTTGAATACAGCGTTTTACGAACAGTTAGCTGTTGCGCGTTTTTCTTCAATCCGACCAATCACAGGCCTCCATTCCTGATGCCTGATTGCCTTAGGGTGCTACACAGGCAGCAAAACCGCGTTAGCTAGGCAGCAGCTGGTCTTTTGCTCCCGTTCTTTATCTAGTGATTCTCCGAGCATTTACCTGCTGATCGTTGCTTACCTACAAGGGGAAGGCCGTTTTTCATGACGGGTCAGTGACTGCTTGGCAACGAAGCTCAAGACGGGCTTTCCTCTTAAGACGGTCCTGACTTCAAACCTCGCTCTAGAGCTATTTTAAGATAGAAATAGAGCCCCGGCCAAGACCGTTTTTTTAGTAAAAAATAGCCCTACCGTAAGACCGTCTTGGGTATTTTTGACCTGGAACAGTGGCGACACCTTCCGAAGGCGCATTGTTTGCGATGTATCTCAAAGCCAGGAGCCGTAAGCCTCTGTCTTTAAGGTATAGATCGCAATATAAGTATCGCGTGCTGATTTTGAGATAACGTTGCAATACCGCGGGCATCGCTACATGGGATAATTTCGTAGATGTGCTTTCATTTCTAAACGCGGAATTTTGGTTTGAGAGTATCGATAGCATCTTTGGACTTCGCAGAGCTCGATGTGACCACGGAGTAGAGAGCTCGAGAACGTTTGACCGCATTTTAGGTAGCGGACCTTTGTATAGCCGCGGCTGTGCGTAGCGAATTCTGACTCCGGGATCCCTGTTGTACTGCATTCGTTATATTATTTTCTGAGTCTGTAGCTGGCATGATGTTTGTTAAAAGTGAAAATCGGGATAAGTTTTCTGCATTTGGCGCAGAAACGTTTATACGGATAATTTGTATAAGTAACTGTACGCCGGGGCCTGAAACGATGCTAAGTAATTAGCTCAGGCTGCTTACCCGGTGGCTTACCTCCAGCTTAGGTTAAAACAGCGATAGCCCAGGCTCTGCACTAGAAACGGATTTAGACGGCAAGAATTGTCGCGGGTGACTATTGAGGTAGGTACCTCTCTACGTAATCATGTACACGGGTACGTGCTCAACGAACCCTGCCCTCCTCCCCGTCCTCCCGTCTCCCCTTCTGGGCCACCCTCCCCCGTCGTCGTCGACACCATGCGGGATCTCTTGTACATGCACGACATGGGCGTCGACCCGCCGCTCCGCCGGACGGAGGGCCGTAGGGTGGGTGCGTGTAGGTACCTAACCTAGGTGGGTAGGCATATGCTGGTTGGCCCGTGGGTTGCCTACAAAGTCGGGTAATAGTTGGCGGTGGCAGCGGCCCGGCCAAGGCGAATCGGGGCCAGGGCGATATACATGTAGGCACGACGATAGCCGGGAATAGCGATGCTGCCGCCCGACCCAACATATGCTATCTCCGGTAAGGTGACATGTAGGGCGTGCGTATGTACGTATGTACGCAGGCGTGCTTCCATCAGTCCCGCCATTGCTGGTTTCTATGAGTACATCGAGGTAGGTAGGTAGGTAGGTAGGTAGGTAGGTAGCTGGTGGCCGGGGTGGAAGGGGACGAGGCCAGGGGAAAGGGAGCAGGGAAGAAAAAGGGGGGGAGGAGATCACAGCATCAATGAGCCGCGGGTGTTCCTCCTCCTCCGCTTCCTCCTCCTCCTCCTCCTCTTCTTCACACCTGATTAATAAACAGACACAACCTGGAAGCTCCACTCTGGGCAGGGGAGGCGGGTGCGGTAGATGCGGATAGGGTCGTCCGAGAGCCGAGAGCCCGGGGTTGGAAATGCTACGGGGGATCTGTGTTGTGGAGGGGGGGGGCATACCGAGATGTCCTCCTGGCTCGGCCATATGACATAGGTAGGTAGGTATGTAGACAGACGGTGATCTTATTTTTTGCTCGCGACATCGGCCTGTCCGTCTCTTTGGCCAACCCCATCCCCTTCTGCCTGTCTGTCTATCTGTCTGTCTGTCTACCTGACTTACTCACTAGCTGACTCTGTCTGACTGACTTACTAGCGAGCTGACTGTCTGCTTCGTCTATTCCCGGTGCCGCGGCCGACTGCCCTGAGGATATAAGTAATACTCGACACCTGCTAAATAGTTGCGCGCCGAAAAGGGCCTGCGAATAACGTCGTGCCAAGCTTGCCTTTGTCCGTTTGGGGCAATAATCTCTTTGAGTGAGGTTCCTTTTCAACCCCCCCCCCCCAACCACCCCCGGCCGGCGATAGAGCAAAAAAAAAAGCACGATGCCGTCCTCACCTTCGCCGAGCTCGAGCTCGGGCCGACTTCCGGTCGACGGCGAGAAGCAAGCCGAGGATGAGGCCCGCGAGGCCCGACACCGGAACCAGGACCGACAGGTCCCAGAGCGGACCCGAAAAGACGAAGAAACGGGCGGCGACGGCGACAGCGACGGGGTCACCGAGGCCCCCGAGAACTGGCAGATACCACCCGAGCCGGACCCGCTCGACACCGAGGCCGATGGCGTGGCTGGCGTCGTGAATCGCGTGCTCAGCAGGATCTCGACACGGTCGAGCTGGAACCCCGGCCCGCCCCCGGACGGAGGCCGGGTCGCGTGGTTGATGTGTTAGCATTCTCCCTTCCCATTTTTTTCTCTCTCTTCGCATCTCTTCTCCTTTTTATCGTTGCCGCCCCTGTCGTTATCGTCGTGGCCAGATAGAAGAATTCAGCTATGCATTTCCCCACGATCAAAATGTCGAAGAGCGAAGAGCGCAGGCGATCCCCTCGGGTCTTATCGTTATTACCGTTCTTCTTATTGTCGATTCTAGGTCTATTAATGCTAACATGCGCCCTTCGGGAGAGGAGGGAAGCACAGGCTTCTGCGCGCACCTGAGCGTCATGAACACTTGGGGCTTCATCAACTCGTTCGGCGTGTTCCAGTCGTACTACGCGACCACGCTCGGGCGGCCGCCGTCGGACATCTCCTGGATCGGGTCGATCCAGGTCTTCCTGACCTTCTTCATCGGCACCTTCACCGGGCGCGTGACGGACGCCGGCTTCTTCCGGCCCGTCATGCTCGCCGGCACGGCGTTTATGCTGCTCGGCATCTTCGCGACCTCGGCGGCGACGAGCTACTGGCAGCTTCTGCTCTCGCAGGGCCTCTGCATGGGGCTCGCGAGCGGCTGCATCTTCTGCCCCGCCGTCTCCGTCCTCTCCACCTACTTCGCGCGCCGCCGCTCCCTCGCCATCGGCATCGCCGCCTGCGGCTCCGTTACCGGCGGCCTCGTCTTCCCCGCCATGGCCCGCCAGCTGCTGCCCTCGGCCGGCTTCCCCTGGGCCGTCCGCGCCATGGGCTTCGTCCAGCTCGCGACGCTCGCCTTCGTCAACGTCTTCATGCGCACGCGGCTACCGCCGCGCCGCACCGGCGGGCTCGTCGAGTGGGGCGCCCTGCGCGAGCTCGAGTTCGCCTTCTACTGCGTCGGCATGTTCTTCAACTTCTGGGGCGTCTACTTCGGCTTCTACTACCTGGCGGTGTTCGCGCGCACAGCGCTCACGCCGCCCATGTCGGAGGTCGAGTCGCTCAACCTCTTGCTGCTGCTCAACGGCGTCGGGTTGGTCGGCCGCCTCGTCCCCAACCACGTGGCGGACCGCACCGGCCCCCTCACCATCATGGCGCCCGTGTGCGTCGCGGTCGGCGCCGCGCTGTTCGCGTGGGTCGCGGTCCGCACGCCGGCCCAGCTCTACGGCTGGAGCGCCGCGTACGGCATCGCCGCCGGCGCCGTCCAGAGCCTGTTCCCTGCCGGCCTGAGCAGTCTCACCACGGACCTGCGCCGCCAGGGCGCGCGCATGGGCTTGGGCTTCACCATCGTCAGCTTCGCCGTGCTCACGGGCAACCCGATCGCCGGGGCGATCATCGCCGCCACCGGCGGCCGTTACGAGGGCGCGCAGGCCTTCACCGGCGGGTGCATGCTGCTCGGTGCATGCATGATGGCGGCCGCCAAGGTGGCGCGGATGAGGCGCACAGGCGCGGGGTGGAGCGTAAAGGTATAGGTGGGTAGGACGGGGGACGAGGGTAGCCTGCGATATTAGTAAGAGGAGAGAAAGGGAGTGTGGAAGAGCAACGGCCAGAAGTAATATCATGACTCGACGGGCAAAGAGGCCGGGACAGCGCCGGAGAGATGCATATCTTCGCCCTCTTAACGATGGAGGGGAGGCGAGGCAGGCGGCATAATATAGGCGATTCCCACTCACGACATTCACGAAATTCTCGCCACAACGACGACGAGAAAGGTCGCGGAGACGAGAGGCGGACGAGGCGACGGGGAAAGGGTCCGGGCCCGACCATGCCGTCTGGTGCCGCCCAGCCATGCGTCCGGCCGTGCGTCCGGCCATTCCATGAAAGACTGTATATACTTAGAGAGCCCTGGGAAAACACAAGCAGGGGTAGTAGTCTGTTATAATTTTGACGACGATCACGCTGCGCAGGACTACGTTAGCGGCTAGGTGGGTTCAGTTCACGATAAATCTGTTTATTTTATGCCTTTCAAGATTGTCGAGTAGCCTCCCCATTTCCTTTTGAGCTGACCGTCGGATGAGGGAGCAAGCTTGGGCATGCCTCCCACCTAGGTCTCTCCGGCATGTGGCTGTTACATGGCAATGTTAGGCAGAGGAAGATAGGCAAACCAAAGCAAAGCAGATTTCCATGTTCGATGCGCATTACACCAGCTCGCGATGCCGTATAGAAAGGCTCTGGGGCGGACTGGTCTGGCCCGCCTATGCCCGTACAGGAGCCCGAAGTCCTCACAGCTCAGGTGATTCACGATATTAGACGCACGTAGACCGGCCCGGGTAGCCGAACCAGTGGGGGCTGTCGAGATGGTCGTATCCAGGAATGAGCCATTTCCCCGTCCCCGTCACCAGAGCCACCCGGGCTTTGAAGAAGAAACCCCCAGGGGTTGAAGTTCTCCGTTCCCGCGCCATTCCAAATCCCGCGGAGATGTCTAACTCTCCGCACGGCCTCACCCCCCCCCTTGGAAAATGGCGTATGGCGGAAACGCGTGCCTGTGCGTGGGTAAGGAGGATGTTCCGGCTGAATGGAGAAACGAAGAAGGCCTGCGAGAGTTGACGGGGATCACCATCGGCCCCGAGTCCTCCCGCGGAGGAACGTGGCGATGGGGAAGAAGAGACTCGCATACCGAGCTCGCAGGCCAAGCCGAGGTGGACTACCTATCTCCATCTGCATCCCTAGGCGCTACCCAGGTCATAAGGGACTATTAGCATTCGGCCCGTAAGTCACGAGAACCACCACCAACTTGGAACCGGGGCTGCGCTGCTCGGCAGAGGCTAATGCCTATGAGATAAATGTGGTGGCTTGCTTGCGTTTTGTATCTACCTACATGCTAGTACGCTGGCCTCGGGATACAAAAGTTGCCAAGGTCAAGAGTGTGCACCCATATTCTTCCCCGTTAAGCATGCGCGGCTTGGTGAACGCCCTCGTCAGATCAACCACCGCCGCAGTCGTGCCTGTATGATATACCACACTTCCCTCCTCCTTCCCCGCGCCCGCCATACACAGGCGCACGACTCGGCTCGCCACGGTTGCTCGTCTCGTCTATAGGGTGTTGCTTGGCTCCAAAGCCAGCAGAGTTCCCTGGGGAGCCTCGGCGGGGGTGTCGAGGAGGCGAGGGATCTTCGACCGGCGCGTAGTCAGGCCCTCGCCTTCGAAGTAGCAGAGGAGCATCTGTGCAGCCGAGGCCCGGCTACGCGGATCGAGCCTCGCCATGGGCTCGAGGCCCGTTCCCGGGACATTAGCTAGCAGTGTGCTCAGGATAATGCCGTAGTCAGAAGAATTGGGTGGAAATGCTTTGAAGTGCGAGTCGACGGCAACGACGGTTGCGAATAGGGACCATACATCCATCTTGGTGCCTTGTGTCGCTTCGATGTCGCCGTACCCAGGCCGGAGCTCGGGGGCCTGGTAGTATCCCGTACCGCAGAACGACGTGGCCAGCTTGGGGTGACGGGCGAGCCCAAAGTCGGCTAGCTGGAAACAGAGAGCACTTTTTCACTTGAGTTGTAATAGAGAATGTTGTCGGGCTTCAGATCTCGATGGACCAGGCTCTTGTTTGCCAGGTAGTCGATAGCACTGAGCATCTGCTTCAGCACTGTGGGGCCATATTTGATGGTCGGTTGGCTCTTGATGAGGCTGGTTAAAGAGCCTGTCCGTAACGGCATAAAGATCTCTGGGTTGGGGGTATCGAAGCGCCGCTGGCCTAGGTATTCGATGATATGTGGCTAGGTGTATTGTCAGTAATATCTCGAGGAACAAGTGAGATGAAGTCTATCGATGAACGTGTTACGAACGTGGCGCAGTCCTTTCATGGCCTTGATTTCCCTATGGAGCGTGGCTCTCGCGACATCGATGTCGCCGACTCGTTCGAGGTCGGCCACTTTGATGGCAAACACGTGGCCCGAGGCTTGGTCGACTGCCTTGTAAACTGTCCCGAACGCTCCGTGGCCTACCTTCACACGAAGTGCCTCGATATCATCAAAAAAAGCATTATTCGTCTCATCCAGCCTGGTCAAATGCCACCTCTCCGCCGCTGAAGTATCGATATCCGTCGGCTGGTCACGCGGTGCCACATCATCCAATAGGCTTAAAGATTCCCGGTAGTCTTGCATGGCCCGGGTTTTCAGAAGCTCAGTACCGGCGGTGAACCAGAGCAACTTGAAACAGTAGGCTGCGATGGAGATCACATAATTCTGTCCCCAGAGGATGACAGTGCTCCCGGTGATTTGCTCTCCGTAGGCCTGGTTTATGTCGTGGATCTCCTCCTGGGGCCCTATCGCCACGGACGTAACCGAAAAGGGTATCCTCGACCGGACGGATAGAATCACAAGCTGTGTATCGGGGTTGATCTCAAAGACGACGTGAACCCTAGACATAGGGTTCTCGGGGCTGCTTTGGCTGAGGGTCAGATCGGCATTTCGTCCTAAGCTAGTAATAACGTAGCCTCGAGGGGTGGACGGGACATGATAGCCAACCTCCAGGCCAGGCTCGCCTTGCTGAGAGGTCGACACGAAGGGAAGGTTATCCAGGAGGGAGCCCTCGGCGACGTGGTTGAGCGGCACAAGGTGGAAAAGCGTTTGCGGATTAGGCGTTGGGGCCATGATGAGGAGTGAATGGATAGAGGGAAGAGGATAGAGGAAAGAGGATAGTGAGAGGCAAGGGGATGGCAAAAAGGGAGTGCGAAGAAAAAGCTTCATCTTATTAAGAAGCAAGAGAGGGGGGGCTCTCCGGGCTCCTGATGGCGCACGCAACACGGAGGCATTCTTAGCCGGTTAGGTTATTCTTACGAGGAGTCACCGTCAAATGTCCAGCGCATGGTGGCAGCTCCCTCTGTATTTTGTGTCAGATGATGATTTCTGAGGAAGCTATTCCGAGACCTGCGCACGTCCTACGTAGCGGCCCAGCTCCGGAAAGGGAGGGCCAGCAACGGGAGAGGTCCGATCCGCCTGTTTTCTCCGGCAACGGGACAGACTGATCACATCTGGTACGCGCCGCGTCCTTCACCGGATTTCTCTCCGTTCCCCGCCTCCGAGGCTGGGAACAAAGAAACGGAACGTGTCTATCGCGCGAGTGAAACCTGTTGGTCACCTGGCGCTTATATATTACAGATGAAGCATACAGTAGCATAAATGTAATACCCCTTGCTTTGCGTTCCTCAAGAGGATGACGATGTCCCTACCAGCTTGTCCCACACCAAGTTCGTAGCAAGGGATTCCAACCGACCACCGACGGTACAATCAATACGGACGTGTATGACTTATTATTACAGGTCAACGCTGTACGGCGTGTGTTGTTATTCAGATTCTAGGCCAGTCTCATTCCGACGGAGGTAAGACAATTCCGAAGGCTAATTGTCGCATGCGGTCCCGTTCCAACCTAGGGAGGTCCGTCAGGGCGATGGATCAGAAGGCTAGGTAGTGAAGATAAAGACTTGAAGTATGGAATAGCGGCTTCCTACAGCAGTGGGTGCCCAAGACGTCAAAGGGGACAGAAAATGTCTCAGAGACGTGGAGGGGGTGACAGATTTCTTTGTATTCCGCTCTAATCTAGGTGGTGGTTTAGGTGGGGAGGAGAGAGGGGAGGAGGAACAAAAAAAAAGGGGAAAGGGGAGGAGGAACCAAAAAAGGGGGGAAAGGGGAGGAGGAACAAGCAAGAAAGGGAGAAGGAAGAGAAAAAGAAAAGGAAGGGTACAGATAGGCTTGGTATTAACGACACGCCCTTATTCTCCTACCGCCCTCCCTCCCTCCCCCAGTCATCACCCTTTGCCGTATGTGCCTCCATGCCTATGTCCTCCCTACTCCCTCTCTACGTCCGTTGTCTGCCCTACCTGTATGGTCCCATGTGCAAGTCTATATATGAAAGGCACGCGGCTGCCTGGCTGCCCGCGCACCCAGAACTACCTATTTCCCATTTACCGACCTACCACCTGCTTACTCTCGCCTACTCTCACCTCCTGTTCCCGTGCAGTTCCCTCATATTCCAACGTACCTAGGCGAAACGCCTCTCATCTTCATACCATGTCTGACCATCCGTCCCCCCGAGCAGCCATGTCCAGGTCCAGATATGCCTCCCCACCTGTACCTCTGGACCTTGATTCCGCCGGCTGGCCTATCTCCCCTGGTACCGACCTCAACCAACTGTACCGCGAAATAACCACCAAAGCCGTGCCTAGAATTCTACGTCTCGCTGCAGACGAAGATCGTCGTATGAATTCGCTCCGCCGCTTCGACCGCGATGGTCCCCCGCCTTACGTATCGTCGACGGAGTCGTTCTTTAGCGAGAGTGGCTTTTTCCCACCCCCCCTAGGCCGCACCATGCCGGAAGAGCTAGTAGCCATCATGGAGCCCCCCCTGGACGACAAAGAACTAAACGTTGCCGCCGAATATTTATGCAGCGCACTGCGGCCCGACAACCGGTATTACTCGGATGCAAAGAGCGAGGATAGGCGGCTCCGTGCTCATCATCGCTCGGCCACGGATATTTTTAAGGGGGTGAATGGTGGTCACCGAACCGGTGTCATCGTTCGGCACAACGTGAAGCGTCGCTGGGAAAAACTGGGCGTCTGGAATCCTCAGTGGGGGTTTGCCGGACGCGGGGTGCAACCCGCTGACGATTTCCGTAAATGGGCCTGGCAATGGCTGTCCGACTGGGTGGTAGACGACGAGGACCGCGCATATAGGCATAGGTTTGATGCCATTATCAGTGCCCTGCGACTACGCCAGAACCTGCGACGAGGCGAGTATGCCCCTGTGGCTCCTCACTCGCACCTTGGGCCGGATGCCACGCCTACCCAGGCCGACGCCTTTCTCCTCTCTAGGCCCTGGTTCGTCTTTCAGATGGAAGTAGCCGAAGAACGGGAAAGGTACCAGCGCCTCTCCCAAAGGGATCAAAGGCGCTATCCATATTCACCCTCCGACGAAGTCCAAAAGCGTTGGGAGGAACGTGGCCACTGGAGGGACGCGTATAACCGGACCCAAGAGGTCACCGCTTGGAAATGGCAGCACGAATCTCCGTCCCCAGAACCCGAAGACCTGGGGCCTATCGATCACATGAAAGCCTGCCCGCTGGACGCGGCAGCCGCTATGCAGTTTACTCCCTCTGAGGTCGACGACCTAGAGACGATTGAGCTCCCGGAATCCGAGCAGCCCGAAGGATTCTGGGCTATAAAAGAAGATGACCAGCCGCCGTACTTCCCTGGGCAGATCGGGAACCCGGTGGCAACGCTGGAGGCTATGGATAACCGCTTTGCGGAAACTGAAGCTATGATCAAGGGCCAGTATGAACAGCAGGAAAAGAAGGCATTGCTGGAGGAGCACAACGCGCCGGAGCCGGAACCAAAACCCCTCGGCCCCCCACCGAAGCGACGACGCTTGCGCCAGCACCGACCGTCGGATGACGTGGACGAGGCGCACGACCGCGGCGGCCAGTCCCTGCCGCCACCGGCCCGACGCAGCGCCAGGATCGCAGGCATGAAACGTCCCGCCGAGCCCCAACCGCTGCCAGCGGCGCCGAACAAGAGGCCTAGGCCTAGGCCTAGGGGCAGCGCAGCGCCTGCCGCCCACCCTGCCTCACGAGGGGCGCGTCGTGCCGCGACAAGCTCCGGCCCCGCGCCGGCCCCGCTAGAAAGGGAAGGGGAAACTCGGCCGAGGCTAAGATCGGGGCGCCCAGGGGACGGGCCGGGCGCCGGTGCTACAGCGGGCAAGAAGCGCGCGAGACCAGCCCCCGCGGGCGGGTCAGGGAGCGCCAGGGCTGCGGGAAAGGAGGCGGCGGGCGCACCCCGGCGGCGAGGTAGGCCGAGAAAGGGTGAGTGAGCCGGTGCAAGAGCTGAAATATATAGCCGGGGTGGGAAAGAAGAAGAATAAGAAGAAGACAAGAGGGGCGATCTCTCCCTACTCCTCCCTCGGTGTCGCCTGGACTTCTCTAGCAGCTTCGGTCTGCTAGGGTGCGCGCCGGCAGTCTAGGCGTGGACGGTATGCCGCGAAGGGCGTCCCACGAGGCGCTTCGGAGAGAGCCTACAGGATAACGGATGGCATGGGTAAGCCTTCGGCCTCTTAGCGAGAGCCGCCACCTCGTCGAGGCCGGTTCGCTTATGCCGCACTAGATACGAGCATACATACGCCGGGTATCAGGATACCCCAGATCACCGCGCGTGTTTCCATTCTTCAAACAGTACATAAGCTCCTAGCGACTATACGCTGACGTAATCAGCCCCTTTTTATGTAGGCAGATATAATAATGTCGTGTCGGCGCGGTACATACGAATTTTGGGCGATACAAATTCCCAGTCTAACTACCGAAATCAAACGTGCCTCCGATGTATGCATCCCCCCTCCCTGGTGTTCAGGGGGCTCAAGCAGCATTTATATGCCTGCCGCCACACTCATGGTTGAGGCAGGTAGGCATATATATACCTATATCCCCTGTTAAGGAGTAGGATCACGTGGACCCTTCGCTAGCTAAGGGCGCAGAAAGGATCCCGTCCCCGTAGATGTCTGCAACGCGTTATGTACGTAGGTGTCTAGACGGTTTCCGCTGTAATAGGTTCCCTGGCGGCGGGACGGATTGTGACCCGTGCCCGTGAAGCAGATCGCACCGATTCGCGGATCCCTCGTGTGGCAGATCCTGCAAAGTCATCGTCGCGCCCTATAACATGGGCTTGAGGTCGTCCGCGACGCGGAACGGGGCCTCTGTCTTGCTCTTTATCTCGTCTACGGTCACGTCATCTGCTATCTCCACAAGGGTGAGGCCGTGGGAAAAATCCACATCGAAGACGCCCTGGAGAAGTCGAGTTAGCTAGGCACGGAGCGACGAACAGGGGAGGCAGAACCGGCACCCACCAGCTCCGTGATAATTCTCGAAACGCATGCCCGACCGGTTAGAGGGAAAGCGCATTGCTTGAGGATCTTCGGGTTGCCCTTCTTATCCGTGTGCTCCATCGTGACCACCACCTTCGTCGCACTCGGGTTGCTGACGAGGTCCATCGCCCCGCCGAAGCCCTTGACCTTCCCGGGCAGCATCCAATTCGCGAGGTCGCCGGTGCCGCTCACCTGCATGGCACCGAGGATCGTCAGGTTGATCCGGCCGCTGCGGATCATGCCGAAGCTCTCCTCGCTACCGAACACCGCCGCGCCCGGCCTCAGGGTCACGGTCTCCTTCCCCGCGTTGATGAGGTCGGCATCCTCCTCGCCCGGCTTCGGGTAGGGGCCGAGGCCGAGGATGCCGTTTTCCGACTGCAGCTGGACCTCGACTTCGGGGCCGACGAACCCGGGGGCGAGCATGGGCATGCCGATGCCGAGGTTCGCGTACATGCCATTCTTGAACTCCTTGGCCGCCCTTCGGACGATCCGCTCCCTCTTCGCGGCCGTGTCGCCGGAACCCAGGACCTTCTTCGCGTCGGCGCCGCCGTCGTCCTTTGTCCAGGTGTACTTCTCGATCTTCTTCTCCGAAGTGCTCTGGATGACCCTCTTGACGTAGATTCCCGGCAGGTGGACGGCCTCGGGCGGGATCTCGCCGGGCTCGACGATGTGCTCGGCCTCGACTATGGTCATCTTCGCGTTCCGGCCCATGGCGCCGTTAAAGTTGTTGGCAGCGAGGCGGAACTGGCAGTTCCCTAGCTTGTCTGCCTTGTAGGCCTTGACGAAGGCGTAATCGCCGTCGATCGAGTGTTCCAGGAGATACGACTTGCCGTTGAAGACCTTGACGTCCTTCGGATACGAGAACACGTCGGGGGTGCCGTCGCTCTTGTTCTTTAGGGGCAGCTCGCCGGTCTGCACGACGGTGCCGAAAGCGGCAGGCGTGTAAAAGGCGGGGATTCCCTTCCCCCCAGCGGCGCAGCGCTCGGCCAGCGTGCCTTGGGGCGTGAGCTCCAGCTCCACCTCTCCAGTCAGGTACATCTGCTCGAAGGTCTTGTTTTCGCCGATGTAACTGGCGATCATCTTCCTGATCTGCTTCGTCCTGAGCAGTTTGCCCAGGCCGGAGGAATCGGTGCCGGCGTTGTTCGAGACGGCAGTGAGGCCGGTGATCTCGGGCTTCTTCAGCACCTCATCGATGAGAGTATCCGGAACGCCGCAGAGGCCGAAGCCGCCGCAAAGTAAGGTCGAGTCTGATCTCATGTCCTTGAGAGCCTCGGTTGCAGATGGGTAGACCTTGTTGATCTCGGCACGCCTAGACGTAGCAGAGAAAGCCTTGGCAAATATCCTCGCATGCTACCGCATCCCGGGGAGGTCAACAGAGACCGGCATCGACGTGGTGGGGGGGCCCGGCGGCATAGGTACATACATTGGATCGATGGCGAGCGTAGGCCCTCAGGGTCCTCGCGCATATAGCTGCAGAAGGCATCGCGGACGACACTCGCTCGGCTTTGGATGCGATCCGGATGGGCGGCTCGGGGGCTCAAAAGCGGACGACGACTGATCAGCGGGTGGGCGACGGATCTACGCGGTCATGGTCCAGTACCGAGGATGCCAAGACAGGATATTGAGAAGGGACAAGGACAAAGAATTGAATCAATTCCCACGTAGCGCGAGAGGTGGCTTCGCGGTCCCTCGTCGAGCACCTCCCTACCAATATATACGCTGGCCGCCCCCCGCGCTCGGCACGGGAGGGCAGTTCGGCTATGAATGGACTCAGTTGGTACATGACAGGGACGAATAAGTACCGACTACGAAGGCCGGTCACTCTAACCGGGTCGGCGACGGGGGTTGTGGGGGAATTTTTTTAGAGGGAGGGAGGGGGGCGGGGGAATGCATCTACCACCTACAATCAGCAAAGGGGGACCCGAGTAGCGGGCAAGGTCCCACCTGTAGCTGGTAGGGTACCTTGCAGCACTTCATGGGTGCGTAAGGTACATAGGAGGTAGGTAAGTAGAGGTAGGTAGGTAGGTACCTGTAGAGGTGGGTACCTAGACAGTGGTGCTTTGGTGCATAATCTCGCCGCCGTGCAGCACTGGTAAGTTGTACCTGTATGGCCGCCTCCCTTGGGGAACTGCCGCCTCCGCCTTCGTCCCAGGTCGAATTGGTGACGGCATCGGCTAGACCCCTTCCGGAAATGGCTCAGCACGTGAGCGCAGCTCGGCAGATCCAGTCAGCAGGCTACTCTCTAGACGACGGGCCTGGGCACCAGGGGGGGGGGGAGCGCCACGTTTTCTTGCCGGGCTCTTCAGCCACAGCCGGGCTGGGCTCCGATCGCAGCCACAGGCCCACGCCTCGTATCGATAACCAGAAAAAAGTTGGGGAGTTCTCTCGGAAACCTTTCTCTCCGTATTGCCAATATGCGGCCACCTGTGGTGGTCTTAGCTTCGGGAGAGCCTGTAGCTTGCTTCTCGTCAATCCCAACAGCTCATCATAACAAGGTCCGCGAAGAAGTCGACGATAGAAGCCCACATTCTATAGCCCGAAACCCCCGCCAGCGGGACCGTCACGCAACCTCGTCCTTCGTCGCGAACACCTCTCGGAGACGGGGCATTTCGGGGCTGGCTATCCGGCCGGTAGAGAACGCGACGAGAGGCAAGGGTATGGAGGAGAGCACGCCGAAGCGCCGCAAGCTGGATCACCGCGTAAGCGGTGTGCCTACCTTCGACTCCTCAAATTCTGCCGCCTCGGCGATGGGCGCTTCCGGCGCAAGCGCCTTCGTCCTGGAAGCAGAGGAACTGCTGAGAGGCCTAAGGTTCGATTATAGCAAAGCTTCTCCGCTAGTCGACGACACCCTACGACGATACAAAGACATTGTCGAGGACCTCGAACCCCACGAAGCCCTCCCCGTAAGTCCGATTCTATCTATACCCGAAAGCTCTCACCAGCCTAGTCTCTAACATGGCTCCCTACTCCAGATTGGCGACGCGTCGTCGCATTTGGAGAAGTCCGCTCGAGTCACGATCCCCTACCCCGACCCCAAGCCCGCCCCGGATTCGCCTTACAAGGTCGCATTGGCGAAGCCGGCCCAGGTCAACGTGGTGGGAAGCTGGATTCTGAAGACCAATATCAAGTCGCAACCTGATGTGGCTGCCGACATGATCGTGGTTATGCCGTCGTCCATCCTGCAGGAGAAAGACTACCTTAACTTGAGATATTTTTACAAGAGGGCTTATTACCTAGCCTGTGTGGCTGCCCGTTTTCGCAGGGTGCTAGGCGACACGATTGACCTCACCTTCGAGCATCTACACGGGAACCTGCTACTACCGATACTGGTTTGCCGGCCCAAGGACGACCCGAGCGCGGGCAATGGCGACAGCGATGCGGACGCCCGGACGAAATCAGCGGTGGCGGTCCGCATAGTCCCCTGCGCTCCGGACGGATACTTCCCAACGCCAAAGCTTACGGCCGCCAGCAACGCTGTTCGACTAGACAAGACTGAGGAGATGCAGGGAAGCACCAGAGAACCTACCCCTTTCTACAATACCACGCTGAAAGCCGAGGGCCAATTCCCTTCTTACTTACGACTCCTCCACCGTGCCGGAAACTCCTGCCCCGCCTTTCGGGATGCTTGCGTGCTGGGTCGCGTCTGGCTGCAACAGCGAGCGTTCAGCAGCCGTATCCACGGCGGCGGGTTTGGCCACTTTGAATGGGCGGCCCTGATGGCCCTCCTCCTGCAAGGCGGTGGTCGGAGGGGGGAGCCAGTGCTCTCACCGTCGCTACACAGCACTCAGTTGTTCAAGGCCACCCTACAATTCCTCGCCACGGCGAATTTACAGAAGAAATCGCTGGTCATCGGCGACGACCCCCCCAGTATGGACTCTCTCCGTCAGAGCATGCCGGTTCTGCACGACGCTGCTCGGGGAATCAATCTTTTGTATAAAATGACACCATGGTCTATCACGTTGCTCACGGAGCAGGCCAAATGGTCGCTTGCTGCGATAAATGACAGCCCCCTCGATCAATTCGACCCCCTATTCATCATAAAGGCGGACCAACCCCTGCAGATGTTCGACTTGCTGCTTGATATCAATATACCCACCTCGGGGTCAGGGCTTCAACCCGCAGATCGCAAGGGCTTCGTTTCCAACTTTGCTGACAGAGTGTACCACACTCTGAAAAAGGCGCTCGGCGAGCGAGCGCGGCTACTCCACATCGACGCGCCGGGAACGGCGTCGTGGCCGATCTCGACGGCATCGCCGGAACCCAAGGGAAATGTCCTCCGCATCGGGGTTATCGTGGACCCCCTTAAGGCGTCGCAACGCCGTGATTATGGTCCTACCCACGAAGAGAAAAAAGATGCAGCTATGTTCCGCCAATTTTGGGGTGCTAAGGCGGAACTTTGGCAATTCCCTGATGGAAGCATCGTCGAGAGCCTCGATTGGACGGATCATTCTCATCTGGGATTTCCCGGCATCTGCGAGGCTATAGTGCGGTACATACTAAAACTGCGATTCGGCTTCGAGGATGGCGATGTCGAGTTCCACGGGCACGAGATGTTCAAGATGATGCCGATAACGCCCGCGGTCAAGGCGACCTTCGATGCGGCAAGGCAGGCCTTCACGACTTTCGAGCGAGACGTGCGCAATTTAGAGAATTTGCCCTTACACGTGAAACAGATCTCCCCCATCGGTTCAGATCTGCGGCACGCGTCGCTGCAAACGCCGGAGTTTAGCTTCAAAAGGCCGCTTGCACATCCCATAGAAATCGTGCTCTCCTTCGAGGTCTCCGGGAAGTGGCCCGAGAACCTGGCTGCTATCCAGCGGGCTAAGGTCGCGTTCCTGTTGAGGATCGGCAAGTCGTTGGAGAAGGCCAAAGAAGATATAAAAACACACATCGGGTTGGAGAGCGCGAGTCGCGACAACGAGAACCTAGCATTCCTAGATGTGGCGTACGACAGCGGTGCGGTATTCAGGCTGCGGGTTAATAGCGATCTGGAAGAAGCCCTTCTCGATAGGCAGACCAAGGACCAGACGGCTGAGCGCTACGTTCGCACGGAGGCCGCCGACCTTCTCGCCGCGTACAGGAGGATGTACACGAATCTGCCTCTCCACAACCAGACTATCTCCACATTCTGCACCAGGTTTCCCGCGCTGTCGGCTTCTATACGTCTCACGAAACGTTGGTTCAACGCGCACAAGCTGTCATGTCACTTCAGTGAGGAGCTCATCGAGCTGTTCGTCCTGCAAGCCTTCCTCAAGCCGTACCCCTGGCAAATCCCTTGTAGCGGGACGACTGGGTTCCTGCGGACGCTCTCGCTGCTGTCGAGGTGGGACTGGCGCGACGAGCCTCTCGTCGTCGACTCGGCGGACTCCCTGTCCACCTCGCAGCGACTTGAGATCAGCGCGCGGCTCAAGGCGTGGCGAAAGATCGACCCCAACATGAACCGCACGGTGCTGTTCGTGGCGACGTCGCAGGACGTCAGCGGTGTCGCGTATACGTCGCACGGCCCGCCGACGGTCGCCGCGACGCGGATGACAGCGCTGGCGAGGTCGGCGTGCAAGGCGGTGCGGGAGCAGGGGCTCGGCCTCAGGATTCAGTCCGTCTTCCAGGCGTCGCTGCGCGACTACGACGTCCTGCTCCACCTGTCACCGACGGTGCTCCGGAAACTCGCCGAAAACAGCGGAGGAGGCGACGACGACGACGGCGACGACGACGGGCACACGCGGTTCAAGAACCTCGAGGGGCGCGGGGCGGGGACGAAAGGGGGCGCCGCAGCGCTACCCCCGGCACCACCGGAACACCCGACCTCAACGCTGCTGCGGCGCCTACGGGAGGCGTACGCAAGCCCGCTGCTCTTCTTCCACGGGGGCGCGGGCGACGGGGTGATCGGGGCGCTGTGGAACCCGCACGTGACGCACAACCGGAGCTTCACAGCGCACATGCCGTGCTCGCTAAAGTCGGTCAAAGGCGGCGACGGCGACGGCAAAGATGGCGACGCCGAGCAGTCTTTCGAGGTGAACCGGCGCGCGATACTAGCGGAAATCGCGAGGATTGGCGGAGACGTGATCGAGAAGATCGAGATGAGGTGAGCTGAGACGGGATGAGATCTGATAGGATGACGCTAGAAGGGAGAGTTGTAGGATTTGGGCATATATATATATATATAGAGAGAGAGAGAGAGAGAGAGAGAGACAGACGGGTAGATTGGTGAAGACCACGACGACAAAGAACCCGATAGGCGGCGAAGCTAGCAGCCGGTAGGCAGCATCGTGCGGGAATACACATGCGCATGCTCTCCCTCCTCATCTGCCTCCCCTCCTAACCTCCTCCTCCCAAAACGTCATTCTACTACGCCTTCACCCCCCCGTGTCTATCTCTGCTCCCCTTACGTCCGGACCTGCGAGCGCACCAGTCAGGTCGGCCGGGGCCATCGTCTTCGCATATGCGTAGGTATGTATGTATAACTGCACGCATATAGACGCCCGCGCCTATATGCGGTATGTATGTGCATGCCAGGCGAAGGTGTGCAAGTTGGTCACGGCGGGCCTCCCCCCCCCTCCGCGGGCGCCACGCTCGAGCCCAAGCCGCCGCCGCACGCACGCGGGAGCGGCTGCGGGGCCCGGAAAGCGGGAACCGCCGGCGCCGCTGCCCTCCTCCCTCGCTCGCGCGCAGGCGAGAGACGCATGGATGCAGGGGGTGCGGGGCGTGGACCCCTCGTCGACTGCCATAGGCTGCCGTCGAGGGGGGAACGGGGGAGAGGGGCGAGAGAGAGAGAGAGAGAGAAGAGAGAGAGAGAGATGAGGGAATGAGGATGGCGGAGAGGGATGGAGACCGGGGTCCGGGAGGCAGGGAGTGTCGTGTCAATATTGACCGGTCCACAATCGGGCCCTATTATCCTTTGACGTGGCCTAGCTGGAAGGGGGCTTTTTTTCTCCCATACATACATACAGGCAGGGTTGAAAAAAAAGGTTCGGTTTTTAAGTTGAGTTTTTAATTGTTGAAGTTAAGTTCAAGTCAAGTTTCCTTGAAACTTGACTAAACCCTTTTTTTGCAACCCTGCATACGTACTTATATATGTGTGTGTGCGCGCTTACAACATGACGGAGTCCGGTTCAATGACGGATCTGCTTCGAAGATGTCAAGTTGTGTAAACGGAGTTGAGATTGTTTCCTTGCTCTGATTATGATTATAATTACTGTTCAGACGTTCATTCGTATGCTGCAACCTGGCTTGGATCGCTAACCTTTCCTTCCTTCCTTCTCTTTCTGATGCTCCGATTCAATGTCGAATGCAGTTATCCAGCGCCACGCTGCACGTCGAGGTCGAATGAACGCCGTTCCCCAGACCAAGCACAGGATGAACCAAACCTGCCCTCGACGCGGAACTCCTCGAAAACCACTGCCTGCCATCAGTCGTCGGGGAACATCTCCCTAAGATTGCTCACGAAAACGCCGCGCTTGCTGTCCCAGCGTTTGAAGAACTTGCCCGCCATCGGCATCAGGTCCTTAATCTCGGGAGGGAGCACCTCGGGACCTCCGCGGAGGTCCACGACCTCGATGTTGTCCTCGCCGATTATGTGGTGATCCGAGCCGTCGGTGCCGACCCTAATAGTCACCACTGTCAGAATAAGGGAAAAAAGAGAAACGGAGACGTTGCCTATTGTCGCGCGACAGGGCACCGCGATGGGGGGCGAAGCAAGCTTACATGCAGCGGTAGTACGGTTGGCTGTAACCCGCCCACATTTGCCGGGCCGGGATCAAGTGGTGCTCTTCCCAACCACTGTTGTCGACAGTCCACCCTAGGATAATCCCGTGATACTCGTAACGCCGATGTCTAAAGACCTGGCCGACGCGGTGCTTGACTTTGATGCCATCGGGGATATCGCAACGCCGCCGGGGTGGCTTCACCGACGCGTCTGCGCGCCTGATCTCCCGGATCTGTTCTCGGACCCTCTTCGAAGGAAGCTCCCACGTGTTCTGGCGACGTGCTGGCGCGGCGAACGTATCGTACATCGGACACACGTACTTCTCGATAAGCCAAGAGTCTTCGGGGAAGTACTCATAGAAGTATGTGAGCAAGTCGCGAACGTCGTGCTGCCAGTCCCAGCGAATCTCGTCGTTCTCGGGGAGCACGGGGACCATCATGATGCTCGCCCAGATCATGCTGTACAAGGCCGGCTGCAGGTTCCGCACCCAGTCCCCCCGGTTGAGCTCGATCATGGGGATCAGCTGAGAGAGGGGGCGCTCGTTGGTTCGGAAGCTGGTGAAGGACGCTCGTATGTTCTGCGCCGTGCGCATGACGATGAGATCGGCGGCGGTGGGGTTCAGCAGGTTCTCGTGACTGGCGTGGACGCCCAATCGAGACAGGAAGCTGTAGATGTAATCCAGCGGGACCTCGTCATCGGACCCGTAGGGATCGAGGAACATGTTCTCCTGGTGGCGCGACTGGTCTTCGGGGAGAGGGTAGCCATCTAAGGATACGCCCGGCGGCGACAGAACCGTGGCGTGGACATGTGTGGGTAGGGCACAGGGATAGGCCTCCATGCCGAGCCGCGACGCTATGGCCGAGTAGATGGCAGCGGAAATGATGGGGAGGGACGGGTGGTGCTCGTCTCGGAGGGCCCTACCGATCAAGCAGTTGCGCAGATAACGATAAGTCTGCTCGGTCGGGTCGTTCAGACCGGTCATGTTGTTCGAGTGAAGCCAGCGGGCCAAAGCGATGGCCCTCTGTCGGGTGGTCATCAAATCGTAGCGCTCATTGGCGCTGCGAAACCGCGCTGCGATATCGTCCAACAGGTCAGATATCTGCCAGGGGAAGATCAGCAAGAGAGGTCGGCCACGCGCGGTTACAAGGGGAGGCGCAAGGAGGAAGAGGGGGGCGCGTTGGCGCAACAGACCTCGTCCAAGTCGCCCTCGTTGTCATGGAGCATAAACATATCAAAGGCGCCAAGAGCGCGCTCGAGACGCATCCCACAGTTCAGCCTCTCGCTGTTAGGCGTGTCTTCGTCGATGTGGCGCGCGGCATATTTCTGGTACTTGGCCCATTCTTGGATGGCGAGGCTTCGGTGTATGCTGTCGAGGACGGAAGAGGAGTAGTACCTTCGGGCCAGGACGTCGTCGGCGGAATCGGGAACACGGCACTGGCTGAGGAGGTAGTCCTTCGCGTCGTAGCCGTACTGGCAGATCTGCTCGATCTTCTCCAGACGGGAGACGTGGGAGGCGACGATGCCGTCGACCAACTTGGCGATGCAGGCGTTGCGGCCCAGCCGCCGGATGAAGAGCCGCTTCCAATCGGTGGCACGGAGGCTGCCCTGCAGGCTCTGCTTGAAGTGATGGGCCGACTCCCAGTACTTGAAAGTGTCGCGACAATAGCACCTCCACAGAAGGGGCTCCTGCGCGACGCGGTGGAAGCGCTTGGACAGGAGAGAGACGCTGGCGAGGGTCTCCTCGGGCGAGACGTAGAGCAAGACATGCTGGACGAGCTCGTCGGGCAAGGAAGCGAAGGAGGCCATAGTCGCCGTCGTCGTCCCGTGGATTCTCTGGCTCCGGGTATCCTACACGGCGTATATCGATGACTAACTAGCAGTTTGGTGATGCGCCGAGGAAAAGGGGGAGAAGAGAAGGGGAAGAAAAAGAGAAGAATGCGAAGAAGGATGGATCGATGCGATGCAAGTCATGCTATCGGCTGAGGGGGGGAGGGGGGCAGAAGAGGAGGAGGGGGGGGGTGAAGTAACATAGGATGGCTTGGGAATGGCCCAGTCCCTCTCGGAGGTAGGAGGAAAATGGAGGGCAAATGGGAACAAATGGGAATGTGACGACGAGGTCTCGTGTGGCTCGGGGTTGGCTGGGTCGGAGATTCGCGAGAGGGGGCTTTACCTACCCAGGTACCTAGGTTATCTTTATGTACATACGCGGTGGCAGGGAAGTGCCCGCTTAGGTGCATCTGCAGTAAGAACAGACAGGAACTTGGGAGACCACTCAGACGGGGGGCAATGCCAATTCCCGGAGCTCTGATACGCCAGCACCGGATGCTGGTATATGAATACTACCTACCTACGTATATTCATGTGCATTCGAGAACCCGAGGCCGATGTATATACCTCCTATAGTACTTGTAGGGAGGTACATATGCCCAGCACGCATAAGAGGTATAACTAGGAGGTACCTTAGGTATCTACCTACCTAGGTAGGTAGGTACCGATGTGTGTGCAACAAGCGGGGTTCCATCCCGCGCAGAGATCGAGTCAGGCTACTGCACAGCACACAGAGATAACGCCATACCTGTAACCACCTTACCTACTGGGTAAGGTTAGGTACCTTTACCTTCTCCGCCGAGCCCAACGCCTGCCCTGCCTCAGGTACAAGTACCTAAGGTACCCAGGTACGCGATAAGGTGCTGCCAGTTGTGCCGCCAGCTGGCGAGCTAGCGACACAAACTAGCACCTAAGTACCTAGGTACCTAAGACAACCTCAGCCAAACACCGTATTATGTAATGTGGGGTGCCTGGGCAGGTACGGATGTACATAGGTATGAGTACGCCCGCAATGCATTTTGCTATGCTGCTCGCCAAAGTAAACAACGGCCAAAACGCGTCGTCCCTCACTCGCCATCTCTTCGCTCTCGCGCCCGCGCCAACCCACCCAGAACCCCAATTCTCCCCATGCCTCTGCTGCAGTAATCCAAGGGCGATAGCAGCAGAGCAGAGCTGCCGAGAGAAGCGTCTGAGACTCCCGAGAAAGAAGGCGAGAGCGAGCCAGCTAAGTTGCTTCCTGCACCTAAGCACCGAAAATAGCCCTACCTGTTCAGCCATATCCCAACCCTCCGGCATTGATGACCGGCCAAGAAGACCTTCGACCGCATTTCTTTAGCAAGACGCAAGAAGGCAGTTTACCTATCCCCGCGCATGGTTAATCCAATCTGTATACGCCGCCGCGTCGCGATAGCCATTCCCACCTGCCCGGCGCCGTCCGCCTAACCTCACCGCGTCCGACCGCCACGATGGACACCCCTCGAACGAACCTGGGTGATGCCACCTACCTGAGTCGAGCACCTCCCGACTTCGATATGACCCAAGAGTCCTCCTTCCAGTCTCCCACCAAAGACAACAACCTCCTCCACCAGATGCGCAACGGCCGCGGCGTCAGCCTGAGAACGCCGCGCGGGAGCAGCCGCGCGCCCCTCGGCGACAAGAGGAATCTCCCGGCCGGCATCGGCGGCGCCGAATTTACCCCTCTGCTCAAATCGGCAACGCGGAACAGCGCGCGTCGCTTCGGCAAGGAGAACACCAACGGCATGTCTACTCCTACGCTAGGCAGGATCGACGAGGATATGAACATGACCAACGTCCCCGTCGAATCCTCCCTCTACGGTCCCTCGCGAGGCGAGTCCTACGTCGAGGCCACGCCTCTACCCCACGTCGACAGCAGCAGCGCCGCCTCCACGCCGTTAGCCGTGCTGCCGCGACGCGGCGGTGATAAGGGCCCGCTGCAGGACGGGAATCAATTATCGCTTCGAGAGCAGGAAAACGTCATCGATAGGATCGAGAAGGAAAATTTTGGTCTCAAGCTCAAGATTCACTTCCTCGAGGAGGCGTTGCGGAAGACCGGGCCCGGCTTTAGCGAAGCTGCCCTCAAGGAAAACACGGAGCTGAAGGTCGACAAGGTCACCATGCAGAGGGAGCTCCACAAGTACAAGAAACACCTGGCCACGGCCGAGAAAGACCTGGAAGCCTATCAGCAGCAAATCCTGGAGGTTCAAGAGAAGGCCAAGAAGAAGTATGCCGACGAGAGCCAGAAGGCCGAGATCGAGACCCTGCGGCGCGGCTTGGAGGACAAGGACGCCGAGATCGAGGAGCTGCAGCGCCAATTGCAGAGGGGGGGCAGGGACCAGGGCAAGGTCGACCAACTGCAAGACGAGATCGGCGACCTCGAGGCGGATATACGCCAGAAGGACCGAGAAATCAACGAGCGCGAAGAGGAGGTCGAAGACTTGAAAACGAAACTGGAGGAGGCAGAGAAGAAGTGGAAGTCGGCCCAAAGCAAGATAACCGAGCTAGAGGAGCACGCACAACCCGCCGAGGATGACGGGAAGCTAGACGAGCTGCAGGAAAAGATCCGCGACCTGGAGGCGGACCTGCGCGAAAAGGACATGGAGCTCAACGACCGCGACGAGGAGCTCGACGACCTAGAAGCCAAGCTCGCGCAGGCCGAAGATAAATGGAACTCCGCCCAGCAGAGGGCTGCCGAGCTCGAAGGAAACGCCCGATCGAGCGAGGAGCTTGACGAGGCCAAGGGCACAATCGGAAATCTGGAATCCGACATCCGCCGACTGGAACAGCAAATTGACAGCATGAGAGAGCAAGTCCAAACCGCCATCTCGGAGAAAGACCGGGCAGAAGCAGACCTCGAGGAACTCCAGGACGAGATGTCCAACAAGAGTCTCGTCACTAAGGGTCTCTCCCGCCAAGTCGAAGAAAAGGTCAGCCGCCTACAAGTCGAAGTCGGCCAGTGGCAAGATAAATACGGAGCCCTGGAGCGGGACGCGGCCGAGAAGGACAGATTCACGGCGGAGTTGAGGACCAGAGCCGAACAGCTCCTGCAGCAGCGCGATTCCTGGGACCGCGAGCGGAGTCAGCTTGCGTCCAGGCTCGAGGTTGCGGAGAGAGATTTGTCGACTCGTACCGACGAGAAGAATCTCCTGCAGCTCCGCCACGATGCCCTGGGAGATGAGTCGGCGTCTCTGCAGCGCGACGTCGCGCGACTCCAAAAGCAAGTCGACGAGCTAGAGCTGGCCCTAGATCAGGAGAAGGCCCACAGCTTGCAGATCGAACGCGATTTGACCCGTCAGTACCAGTCGGAGGTCGAGCGCCTAAACGACGATGTCGCCGACCTTCAAGATGAGCTCCAGCGAGTTCGGCAGGAAGCGTCAGGGGGCCAGTCTGCGTCGGCCTCTCTGGAGCGAGAAGTAGCCCGGCTGCAAAAACGCGTAGGCGAACTGGAGACGAGTCTAAGCCAGGAGAAGGCCCGCTCATTGCAGAACCTGTACGAAGCCAACGCCAAGCATAAATTGGAGGCCGATCGACTCAACGAGGACATCGCCGACCTCCAGGGCGAGGTCGAGCGGGTCCGGAAAGAAGCATCCGGAGGTCAATCTGCGTCCACCTCGCTAGAGCGAGAGGTTGATCGCTTGCAGAAGAAGATCAAGGAACTCGAGACGAACTTGGAGCACGAAAGAGCAAGCGCTCGGGTGCGCCAGGACGCTTCTGGAGACGCTTCCGCCTCGCTTCAGCGAGAGATAACCCGGTTACGAAATCAAGTGGGCGATTTAGAACTCAGCCTCGATCAGGCAAGGAGCCACAGCCGACAGATCGAGCGGGACGTTCGCAGCCAACTCAAGTCGGAGATTGACCGTCTGAACGACGACATCTCGAATCTGCACGCCAGCATTCGGGAGAAGGACAATCTCTACAATAGCGACAGCGAAAAATGGGCGGCCGAGAAGCGCGACCTGGAATCGCAGCGCGACCGCCTCGAGGAGCGAGCTAACGGTCTCGAGAGGACCATCGACCGGCTACGTGACGCGGAGGGGACGCTATCTAGCAAGGAGATGAAGCTGCAAGACGCCCTGAACAGCGAGGCGCAGCGCCACAAGAACGAGGAGGCCGCGCTCAGCCGCCAGATAGACGACCTACGAAAAGACCTAGAGACACGACAATCTTCACTCACGGTCCTGCGCAACGAGGTGTCTACCATCCGCGAAGACCTCCGACAGAGCCAGCTCGACTACCAGGCGCAGTCCGAGAAGGTCGAGGCTCTCGAGGACGAGGTCGAGGTCCTCCAGGCGACGCTCGACGAGGAGTCGGAAGACGCGGCGCAGAAGCTCGACGAGGCCGACCGGATGTGCGAGGACCTCAGGCGGCAGCTCGAGCTAGCGAGGCGCAGCCAGACGCAACGGGCAGACGACCTCGGGGGACAGCTCGAGGAGGCGAACCAGGTGTCGGAGGAGCTGCGACGCCAGCTCGACGAGACGAACGGGAAGCTGCGCGAGGCGGAGCGACAGTGCGAGCGCCTCCGGCAGCAGGCCGAGCGGGCGGCGCGGCACGAGTCGAAGCAGTCGGGCAAGCAGCTCGAGGAGGCGAACCGGACGGCGGAGGCGCTGCGGCGCGACCTCAAGCGGACGACGAAGGAGTCGGAGCGGGCGAACCGGCTGTGCGAGGAGCTGCGGGAGCAGCTGCGGCTCGCGCGGGAGGGGCTCGACCGCGCAGTGCCGGCGCACCGCGAGCTGCGCCAGAAGCTAGAGCGAGCGCGCAGCGAGCGCGCCGCATACCGCGCGTCGGCCGAGAAGCTGCAGGCGGACTGCGAGAGGCTGCAGGAGGGGGCGCAGGAGGCGCTCGCGTGGATCGAGGCGAAGAACGCCGAGTCGACATCGCCGCACGCACGCACGAGAGGAGAGACGGGCGCCGGGCCGATGGCGAGGGCGGCGGCGGCGGCGGCGGCGAGGACGGGCGCGAAGGCGAGCTTCCGGTACGGCGACATCGTCATGGACGTCGTGGACCAGCGCGACCACGAGGCAGTCATCCGCGCGGCAGACACGGCGGAGCGGCGCCACGTCAAGGAGATCCGCGGCATGGCGCTGCAGATGCAGTGGATGCAGGCGCGGTGGGAGCGCGAGGCCAAGCTACGTAACGACGCCGCGTTCGCCAAGAAGTTCGTCGCCCTGCAGCTCGAGGTCGCGGAGGCTTGGTATGTTACCCCCCCCTCAGCCCCCTTTCTTTTCCTCTCTATTGCTTTTGGTTTTATCCCCACCCCCCCCTTCGATATATCGTGTCTATCTACGCGCACTACTACCAGTCCGTATGCTAACCTTCAACCTTCCCCTCTCCAACAGCAACAAGGCGGACCTGCGCATCCTACGGAGCATCCACAAGCAGCTCGGTATCAAGTCGCCAGACGCGCTGCTTGCGTCATCTCGGAAGCGGCTGAATCAGCAGTCATCGTCTTCTTCCTCCCCCCCCCCTTCGGCCGTCGAGGCCGCGAGACGGCAGAGCACCGGGCCCAAAGCGCGGCTGCGCGTGTTCGCGAGCGTGCTCCGGGCCGTGGCGCGGATGCGGATCAGCGCGCGGGAGTGGGCGCAGCAGGAGCGCACGCGGCGCCGGCTCGTGGACGCGTGGGAAGAGAGCCGGCGGAACGGCGCGGCGGTGGTGGATTTGGGGCCGGAGTAAGGGATAAGAGATAGCGGAGACGAAAGCAGGGAGAAAGGGAGGAGGCAGGTACCACGGTTGCTTTTCTCTCTCGCTCTGAGGACGGCCAAGGGCAACTCGGGAAGGGGGGGGAGATAGGAGGAAGAGAAAAATGTTTCCCTTTTTTTTTAACACCTACATGCATTCAGCCAAGGGATGGCGGACCGTTTCGGGCTGGCGTTGGTTATTATAGGATTGTCGGCATGTCTGTAGGGCTACGCCCACGAGCTATGCTCAGCGTGCGCCGGGCTCGGGCCGGACGCGCGCCCCAGGACAGGCAGGGGCACGTAGAAAAGGGTGCAGGCGGTGAATGTGAAGTATGGTAACGGACTTGTGGCCGGCGGTTGATCCTGTAGCTTGCGCTGCTTATTAGTCGCTTTCTGCTTCTCTCTTCGTGTGGCGGGCATGGCAACACGTGAAGGTGATGGGGGCGTGAAGATGGCGCGAGGAACACATCCGTCCACCCACCCACCCACACGTTAGGTACACACAATACATAACATCGGCACAAACGTAAGTTAGCGGTCCCCAGGACAAGCGTCAGATCGACGCCGAGAGAGGAAGTGGGCGAGCGTACCTGTTCAGGGAAAAGTGACAGGTTACGACGTTCCAGCGCGCGTCCATGCCAACTCGCCGTCTTCCCACCCTACCTAAGGCAGGCCAAGACCGCAGATGCCTCCTACGGCCAAGCGTTGCCCGTCGCCCGGTGGGCGCGTCAGCCGGCACGCGCAGACAGGCGCACTCGAGGCGCCGCCGAAGAGCGGTGATGTGTGCGTGCGCAGGTTACACCTATCTGCCCGTGCCGGCGCGCGCTCGCATTTCTTCTCCCTTGCGCTTACGGCGTGGGAGTCGTGCTACCGAATTGCGTGTTAGGGCCACATACCTACCTATACGATATGATATGATATAACCTACGTGCGCACACGCACGCACGCACGCACGCACACATATGTAAGTATATATATATATAAGGTGATGTAGGTATGTGTAGACACGTACTACCCCGATCCGCCTCTCCGCGCCCGAGAAACCACAACACCCACTGGGCCTCCCAGGAGCCAGCCACCCAACCTACCTACCTAGCTAGGGCACGGCGCGGGCCGGCCAGCGAGGAGGGCAGACGGGACGGGAGGCTATACCTACACGGCCCGCCCCAACATGCCATCGTGGCCTCCGCCGAATCTGGAGAGACCTCCTCTGGCTTGGTCGCCGACGGACGGGTAGCCTAGAGTCGCTGGTTCCGGCGGCCCTTCGCGGCCTGCTAACTCGGGGAGGGGCGCGGGCACGCGGGGAGAAGAAAAAAGGGGGTCGAGGGAGGGAGAGAGAGTGTGTGTGTTCCTGAGTGGGCAAACGGTTACGCCCGCCCGCTTCTGAAACCGGGGCAGACTGACAGACTGACAGATGGCTTATGCCACGCGCACACATTGGTGCATACGTCACCCGTAAGCATCGCCATATGATTAAGACCCAGCGGGCTTGCGTATGCGAAGATGACAGCGGGAAAAGAAAAAAGAAAAGAAAAGAAAAAATGGGGAGAGGGGGGAAGGGGGAGTGGGACGAGACTGGCTCCTCGACCATCTCATTCTCATTTTTACATCACGTGGATGGATGAAATTCCTAGCAGACCAACTTACCTCTTCCCGCTCCTATCTTAGCAGGTAGACTACGTCTACAGAACGGACGGACGGGGGAATGAGAGGGGACGGCAGCCTGCAATCGAACTGCTAGACAGGCGGGACGGATAAGACAAGCATCCCAGATGCCTATTCCCGCTACGAGAGTATGGTCTATGGGTGTACTTCCTCGACCTAGGACATGCCGACCAAACGTTCAAGATCGTATGGGGGCATCGCCCGTTCGTATTCCGATCGCTTCATCCTTCGTCATCTACAACTACACATGTACACCTCTTCTCCGACCGTAAAACGATCGCGCTGCTGATACGCTGCCCTACGTATGTCCTCGGGGCAACGGCGTAAACGCGATCAATAAAGAGTGGAACAGACGTAGCTCCATTCTTCGCGAGGTTTTCCAGGTCCCCGATACCCATTATCAAGGTTATGCGTCTTCCCGTTTCTGTTCGTTAACCCCCCCAAACGAAACGAGACCCTCTCTGCTCTCACCGAGAGCCCACAATGCTACACCAGAACCCACAAAGCAGCGTAACGACCAAACTAGCCGCGGCAACAAGTCGAGTGACGGCCCTATCCATATGTAAAACATCTTCCGCCTACGCCGGGGGCCTAACCAAGGGAAAGGGGACGGGTGACACGCCTGCTACATGACGAACAGCAGGTTGGTGTCTAGAGGGTCAGCCGTGGACAGCGGCGGAGCTCCGGGAAGGCAATCCAAACTTACTCAGCGGATGACTACACGACAACTGGGGTTTCTGGGTGTACCGAGTGGCCAGCTCGTCCCGGATGCTGTTGAGCAATTGTACGTAGCTTTGTTGGGGGTTCTTCTTGAGAGCAGTGATGAATGCCCACGACATAGCACCGGTAGCCTGCGAGGCGATTGTAGCGTCGGCCCTGGAACCCAGTTAGCGAATCGACCAACCCTCATCTTAGCGAGCATGTGACGGCGAGGCGATGCTCGGCCGCTCGGCCGATCGAACGTAACCCGTCGCCCTAGATGCAAAGCAACAGCCGCGATAGCTGCGCTTTGATCTAGAGCGTTCGAGGAGGGAAAACCCCTGGAGATCCCGGTTTATATACAAAATCGTCTTCTCTGCGCCCAAATCCCAACCGCGCCGTCCATGCATATGACACAAGCCGCCCACAAAAATACACACCACCAAAGCATACATATTTAGTGTACATATCTGATGTCCCGATAGAAATCCAAGCCATGCTGGTCGTATCATCCGCTAGGTCGGGTGACGGGGGAGAGGGGGGAGAGGGGGGAGAGGAGGGAGGGGGGGGGGGGGGGGGGGTTTCGGTTCAGCATGGGGAGACAACAATAAAAGGGTAAACGAACGAAGTTTGGTCGTCCTTGCTTCCCGAGAGCATGATGACGTCGGCGGCCGACGTCTTGGTGGCCATCGCCCTGTGGTGCGCATCCTCGCCGCTGGTGGCCTTCTTGAAGAAGCCCATGATATTGTTCGCGACACCACCAAGGTCGCCTTGGCTGTAAGAAGAGATAACGCCGAGAAGGCCCTGGCCGGCTTCCTTGGCCAGGTTGGGTTCCTTGAGGATGCCTTGGGTGGAGTAGATGTAGGGAAGATCAAGCGCGGTGCCGGAATGGCAGGAATCGAAAATCGCCGTCAGCCGGACGCCGGCTTGTAGGGGTCGGACCATGATACGGTGCATCTCATCGTCGGTGATGTGGCCGGTTTGGCGGAAATCGACGGGGTATATGACCTCGTCGTAGCCGTCGGGTTCGTCGCCATCCAGGTCCTTAGTTTGACCACCGTGACCTAGGCAAGAGTCAGGAGCCGCCATCTTCACCGCCGCAGCGCACATGTATCACATACCGGAATAGTGGAAGAACAGCGAGTCGTTCGGCCTCGCATCCTTCACGAGCCAATGCATGGCGCGGAGGATGTTCTGCTTCGTAGGTTGACTCATGGGATTCTGTTGGTCGTCGGTGAGAATCACCATATCTTCGCGCTTATAGCCGAAATGTTCGACGAGGTAAGCCGACATATTTCTAACGTCGTTGATGCATCCTCGAAGCTGGCCGCGCTGGCCAAAGTAATTGATGCCGACGAGGAGAGCTTTTCTTCGGCCGGTGCAGTTGCTGTACTGGAAGGCGTATCCTTGTGGAGCGCCGTGGCCGAAGTGTTGCGGCCCGGACGGAGGAGGTGGAGGAGCGCCGAAGTTGCCGTGACCGTACGAGTTCGAGTTCGCCGTCGGTACCCCTGCGTCGATGTTGTTAAGCACGCCGATCCGAACCACACAAGGGCCTTGCTAGATCGGTGTCTTACCAGGTCTGCCGTATTGGTTCGGCGGTGGCGGCTGGCCATAGGCGCCCTGTTGCGGGGGGGGACCCTGACAATCAACGTCAGCACGGAGCTTCAGACACGAGCCGGCACATTAGTAGGGAGAGGCGGTCTTCACCTGGTGGTAGCCGTAGGGTTGGGGCGGAGGCTGGTTATATCCGTACGGAGCCGGAGGTGCTCCCTGCTGAGGGGGGTAACCGTTGTACGCCTGGGGGGGCCTAAAATCGGACGTCAGCAGTCCGACCTCATTAGCGGCCTGGACGGGGACCACATGTAAAGACAGAGCGCGGTGACGACGACGATGGAATGGGCGACCGTACGGCTGGTAGTAATTGCCGGGGTATTGCTGCGGCGGCGGGCCATAGCCTCCCGGATAGCCGTAGCCCGACATATCAACAAGTGGTAGGTTCGCTATATCGCTGGGCAAGGGAAGTCGGTCGGCAGAGGGGGCGCCGGAGAGTCGAATCCAATCAGAGCGTGTATAAGCGAAGGCCGCGGTCGGGGAGTAAAGACGTCGAAGAGGAGGGCGTCTCGAGGGGAATGGCGGGCGTGGTTTGGGCGTCGGAATTGGGAGCAGACAAAACGGTAGGTTCTTATAGGGAAAACGTGGTGGAGAGTCCAACGGAGCTGTGCACGCGATGGGTTTTATCAACTCGCGAATGGGTGTTGCTGTGGTTCAAGCTAAGAGTCGGGCTGTGTTAGGTATGTGCGTGGTGTGTACGAGTGCGAGAGTGTATGTTGTGTGTGGTGTAGGTAAGCGGCAGAGCCCCATGCGGCCACTGCTACCATCAGGTAGGCGGTATAGATGTATACATGTACCGACGAAGGGTATGAGGTCAAATGGATGTGGAGGAGTGAATGTTGCCCGCATGCATGCACAGAGCAGACTGAAGAGAGAGAGAGACAGAGACAGAGACAGAGACAGACAGACAGACAGAGGCGCATATATGGGCTTTTCCGCCAACGACAACAGCGGAACAGGAAACCAATGATACCTTTCTCTCGCTCACCCTCGCCCTCCTCCCCTGCCTACCTCCTAGCCGATCTACCTATACAGACACACGCTCCCTCTCTCTCTTCTCGAAAAGAAAAGAAAAGAAAAATGACAGGAAATGAACGATGCCGCCAAGCACTCCAGGCTAGGGGGAGAAGAGTAACCACACTAACCAGGGTGGAGGGGGGGGTAGGGGAGAGCGAGAAGGGAAAAGAGTAATACCCAGCAGAGCGGTCAAGCGCTGCGGCATTAGGGGACCTGGTCAAGCTCGACAAGCTCGGGCAGGCCAGTCTCTCTCGCCCGTCACAACTCACCTGCAGACAGGGGTCGGTGTGGAAATGCACTACGCCTTCGCCCCAATATCGGAGATGTCACGATGACACCGAACAGCCGGTTGCTGCTATTCTTTTTTTATATTCTTATCTGCCTCTGAGCCTGTGTCGAAGCCCCAACCGCTGCTGCAGGGCATGCAGGGTGAAGGAGAACGAGAGGAGGAGGAGGAGGGGAGGGGGGAGTGTCGAAGAGAAAGAGGACGATAACGGGCGGGGTAATGATGGGCGGACAAAAAAGAGAATCACAGCGAGCCGACAACAAGCTAGGGCCGCCGAGGCGTCGAGGACGCGGTTGAGGAGACAGTTTGCGACGAGCCCACGCTGGCACTGGCGACCTGACCTCGGAGTGGCGTATGCGAGAGGGGATGCGAGGGCCAAAGGGAAAGGAGAAGAAGAAAAGCCATAGACAAGTTGGATGCTGAGCACCGAGCACTGAGATCTGAACAGGGCGAGGTCTGAGGTTGGGTCGAGCAAGAGGAGCATGCGAGTGGCCACGAACAGCAACGGATGGGGGGGGGGAGTGGGATGAATGCGGAGACTGGGATGAGATTCCGGTGTGACGTGTAAGAAGCAACTGAGAGAAGCCCCTCCTCCTCCTAGCACGACTTGCCGACGTACCTCCCACCAGCGTCGACGGCAGGTAGACCACATCCTCTTCGCGCCCTGTGCGTCTCTGCGTCTCCACGCGTTGCGCCCACCCAATAGGTCTATCTTGGGTACGCTGCGGAGGTACATATCTAACCTGTAGGTACCTAAGGTACCTACCGGTGGGCGGTTTCGTGCCTGAAAGGTAGGTAGGTAGGTACCTGAGGGAAAGGTGAAAACAGAGGCTGCGGCGGTGGAGAGAGAGCGCGCGCGGCCAATAAGGAGGATACGGAGGAGGGGAGGTGGTCGCTAAACTTGATTTGCCCACGCACGCGCACTAGCCGCAAGGGGCAACAAGCTATCGTCGTCGGAGCTGGGCCCGGTCACCACGGTGGCAGCCAACCTCGACGTCGCTACGCGGGCCTGCCGCTCTGCTGTGTTTATTTCAAGACACACATCCGGGTCGGGCAGCAGACGGACGGTAGACGAGCAAGCACTACATGTAGGCAAGAAGAGCGAGACTTGAAGTGGAGAGGAGGAGGAGGCTATGTACACACCTACCTACATTGAAGCATCCATGTATGGCGACATCATCGTACCGATACACGCATCCTCTATAGTAGTCCTCCGCATCCGTCTATACCTAGTAGGTACCTACGAGAGTGCACACTATAAGAGCCCTGTTAGGTGCCTTAGGTACCTAGGTAGGTAGGTAGAGGTAGGTAGGTAGGTACCCGGGTTGTCGACGCCGGCGTACTCGTAAGGTGAGGGGAGGTATGTAAGGCAAGGTAAGGAAGGTTGACATACCTACGATACGGCAGGTACCTCAGAAGATAGGCACCTAGAGGTAGGTGCTCATAGAGGTGGGTGCCTGAGGTCCCGGAGGTATCTCCGTCGAGGTGGTGCTGTGATGGACCGGGTAGGTAGGTGTTCTATCCTTTCCCTGACAGCCTTCTGCCGAAGCTCCTCCTGGCCGGGCCAACGCTAAAGCGCCTCCCAGTGGGACTAACCCGGGGCCTAAACCCGATACAAGCATAGCTGCCACCGCCATCGACGGCACCTCGCCTAACATAGGTAAACAACACAGCGGCCAATACGTTAGGTAGGTAGGTACCTAGGTGGACTCAACCCCGGACGCCAGTCAATAGTTGACCTTTTCTCTTGGTCCTTTTGTCTCCGCCCTAGGTCCCTCTCTCTTCCGCATCTAGGTACGTACGCACGTACTCGCGTCCTCCGTTGCCCCTCCAGCTCAGCAGCGGATTCCACTCCCGGCCGATATGATCGACCACTATAGCACTCAGCCGGAGCCAGCTCTTCGTTCCTTGGGACGAGGGGGTCCCTTGACGATATCTCGACATCTTAACGTCCCAAGCGCTCTCCTGTGAGCTCCCAGAGGCCAGAGGCAATTCAGGTAGGCCCGCAACCAGGCGTCTACTCATATTACGTAGCTGACTGGACCCGGACCTTGGCTGGGGCCAAACACCCCCCTCCGCGTCCGTGTCCCACGCTGACAACCTTGGGCATCTCGAGTCTGCACATGTACCTACGCGGGCCAGCAACGGAATTGCTAGGTGAGTTCTCCTTACCCGGATGACGGACGGTATGGGGCGGCACATCGGTCGCTCAGTCTGCGGTTACATACCTCCTGTTGCAGTGCAATTTCTCGACCAGCTTCTCGTCTCGGCGAATGAACTGCGAGGACAGCCTCGTCGCAGCAAACCCCGATCGGCGACCTAACGCCTAACCGCGGATCAAGCGCTCGCTTGCGCGTCGTCTTCGCGAGTCTGGCCCTCTTTTTTTTTTGGCTTGGGGTCGTCGCTCGACCTCTCCGGCGTGTCCGTTTCCCCATACATAGTGCACACCCAACTAGCTCGCATGGCGTGCGGTAGTTTTGCTCTCGTCCGTCCGCCCGCGCCCGCCCGCGTGCGCCACGTAACCTAATGCCGTCCGCTATGTTAGGTACCTCCTATTGTACGTATGCACAGGTAGGAGGTACCTAGGTAGGTACATTCCTACTGGCCGCCCCTCTGCTAGCCGATCCCCCCCCCTCCCTCCCGCTGGGTTGGTAGGTAGGTAGAGGTAGGTACCTAGGTATGTACCGGTGCACACACGCACACACACACGCACACAGAGAGTGTGCTTCCTGGAGGTATGGATATGGATGGCATCCATTTTCGAAAAATAACATACGTCCCATGCAGGTATACCTACCACGACCTGCCTCCGTGCGCTACCTGCGATGCCGACCGCAGCATCAGCTGATTAGATACAACCCATCTGAGCCGCAAGGTGCCGGTGGGGGCAATCTTGCTAACCCCGAGTCGAGGGCATGAGACGAAGGCGTCGCAGGGTGACCCGGAGCGCGTCAAAGGGCTGGGAACAATGGATTATCCGCCCATCCTTGCCGCGCCCGTTTCGGGATACCCGACCAAGCCGCTAGACCTGGTGGCTGACCTGCAGCGATTGACGCGAAGCTGCATCTCCGGGAAATGGCCGCGGACTAGCACTTGCGTCAATACCTTTCCTCGTAGGGTCGGAGTGCAGAAGCGTCGCATGCTGCTGTGCAGATTCTGCAATGTCCATCCGAGAGATCTTACTGCTATACATAGGTGCACCGCTGCTTATCCCGGCTCTGTCTCACCACGCGATGCGTCGGGTTCGCATGGTCGGCAGCCGACAGTCTGTGGCAGTGACACGAATGCCGGTATATGTCTGGGTGGAATATCGGCCCGGAGAAGAGAAGAAGATCACCAGGGAAGTCGAATGCAGCAACTCCATGGGCGTCATCGCCTTTCCCTCGCGGCCCCGTCGTTAGCCGACCGCTACCTGGCAGCTCTCGACGACGGTGTTTCCGCGTGCGGTATACGCGAGTAACCGTGTTCGGCCCAGCCAGACCACAGGAGTTATCTATCCACCAGAAGCCAAGCAAAGCCGCGAATCGTCGCGTATCCGACGCGATTCCACGTATCCGGAGAACTTCGATCCGTCTATCGTCTCCGGTCGGGGAAGACGGGATGGCGAAAATTTCGTCCCGTCTTCCCTACAGGCGCCACCTGCATCGTCCCTAGACACTTCCAGGCGCCTGGGAAGGAGGGCGAGTGGAGGGGCCAATCGAGGTCAAGCCGACGAGCATAGCCGCAACCCGGCACCACCTCGTCTGCACGATTATAAAAAAAAAAAAATTTTTTTTTCTGCAGAACACCGCAGACTATGGGACACACCAGCCCTACCGAGATATCGTACCGCGCTACTCCAGACTTGCATCTGCGAGTCAGTGGCCCGATACATCATGATTCAGATTCAGTTCGATACCCCGTCCCAACGTGGCAGCCCAGCCACCGCCGTGGGCGCGCACACATAGAGCACGTTGGTGCCGCAGGTACCGCTTCCTCTGCTACCTGCCACCTCCCACTACGGTCTCTGCTGCATGTAACTCTCCCCCGGGCTGTGCTCCATCCATATCACGGCATGGCAACGATCGTCCCCCGGCGCCCCAAGACCGACATCAGCTCGCAAGTCTCGGTAGTAGGGGGTCTCGCGCTTTTCCGTTTGCGTATCCCTGCCCGCAGACGCAAATTTGGGCCCTGCACCTATCATGTCGCGCTGCGGTTCAGCTACCCAAACAGGGCTACGAGGCGTCGCAGCTGTGCTAGCCCCATATCTCCATATCTCCATATCACGTTACATCCTCGAGCTCGGTGGTTATACATCGCAAATTGCGAGAGCTCTAGTGTAGATTTGCCATTGCGATTCCCGGTCCTGTCAGGTAGGTAGGCATGTCTAGGCAGGCAAAGGCTCATCCGCCGCAGCGTCCGAATCTCAGTCTCTTCTGTGGGCAGGTAGGCGTAGTCGTCAGCACCGATCGCGGCTGGATTGCAGAGTGACGGTTCCTCCCGCTATCACGACGCCCACCCACCCTGGGACGAATCTCTGCCAAGCACTGCATGTCTTAGACCACCGAGACCATGGATGGGTGTTCCGGTCCGTGCGATACCACGCTGCCAGGAGTCCGTACGTCATCTATGTCTCCGAACGCGTAACTCTGCCAATGAGGGCGGCCGAACGAGAGGCATCCGGGGCAGCATATCGCGGATCCATCTCGTGTAAGGTTCCGAGGTAATTCTGGCTTAGCTGATATCTCAGCAAGGGGTGGGGCGATCCCTTTTATCTCCGACGACGGGCCATGTCCAGAAGGAGGCAGGTGTTTTTTTCTTCTTCCTTTTCCGACTACCTAGGATCGAGACGTTGTCGATAGGCGACAGCTAACCGTGTAATCTACACACCCGCCAACCTACGGAGCATACACCTACGCTCTCCAACACCGTTTCGCCGGCATGGCATTGGGGCGATGGGCATTGCTAGTAGGATGCCTCACAGTACCTTACAAATCACACCTACGCATCCGCGCGTAGCTCTCTACGCGCGCTCACCCAGCGAGCCCAGCTTCCTACCCCCCCAGCACGCCTACACAAAGCCGGCCCGACCAGACTGGCGCGTCGCAAATACGTAATACCACCCCACGGTCTCTAGTCGTGTCGAGCTCAAGGCCCCGGTACTGAACAATCTCGAGGCGCCTTGTTGGGTCACTTTGTCCCATCACACCCTATAGTAACCGAGCTTAGGTGGGAGGACGCCGCAGACAGCGCTCCCGCCTCGCCCCCATATTTGGGTAAGCAAGAAAGGGGTGGGAGGCCCCAAAGTGGCGCGATCGGGGGGGCAGGCTGTAAGGACTGTGAGGACTGTGAGGAGAAGGAGGAAGGGTAATGATAAGTGATCGCCCACGGGCTAGACGAGCGGGCGGATAGGTAGGCAGGCAGGCAGGCAGGCAGGCAGGTAGGTAGGCAGGCAGGCAGGCAGACGGACAGAGAGAGGTAGAGCGTGCGTGAGTATGCCCAGTCCTAGGTATGTACATGGGTCTACGTCGGTATCCTATGCACTACGCATGCTACTGGAAGCATATACGGCACTGACGGGTAGGCCTCTACCACCCCTATATTTAGGGGCTCGTACCACCCACACACGCACACGTCCAGTCGGCGATGCTAGGTGGCTAGACAAGAAGGCAGGCAGGTAGGTAGGATCGACGGGGGGGGAGGGGAATAGCGCGCAGGCATGTAGTAGATGTGGTGAGTGGTGTGGTGTGGCACGTAGGACATTATGCCAATTCGCTCTCACGCGCGCTCTCCCATCGCTTACCACGCACTCCGCCCCCCATCGACCGCCTCCCGCCTCCTCCCGTCCCTTCCCACCCTCTTCCTCTCTCTCTCTTTCTTGCCTTTCCACCCCTTAGTCCCCCGTCCCTCTCTCCTTCTGCCCGTCACAAAAGCAGAAGAAGTCCACCCGTCGCCGCCTTGCCATCTTGTACGTACTCTACATATGTACCCGGAGAGGGGAGGGGAAAGGCCAAGCCCTGGGTTCCTTCGCCTCGACGGGTCTGCGGCGGCAGAACAGGCCTGGCGTAGAAAAAGAGACGCCGGGAGTCGGCCGGGGAGCGAAGGGAGACGCACGTTGGAGGGGGGGAGGCGTAGGTACGTAGGGCACGCCGACAGACTTGCGTTTGCTGGTTAACCACCTAAGGTGAACTTACCTACCTACCTACCTACCCACCCACCCACGATGAGGGCACCCCCGTCGAGAGCCGGCCACCCTCCCGCCCGACACCCTCCCCGTCGAGATAGCCGCGAGCGGATACCACCCGGGCTTGCTTCGAGTTCGTCTTGTCTTCCTCGCCGCCCTTTGGCTGGGCACGTCTTCCCACGCCAGCCCCTACCGCCGCGGGGTGACGAAAAGAGAGGAGGGGGAGGAGGAGGAGGAGGAGGAGGAGGATAGCAGGACGGGCTCCTCCCAGGCGGTGAGATCAATGCCCGAGGGCAGGCTCGAGCGTACGCGTTTATAAAAGAGAGAGAGAGAGAGCAGCGCGGACGTAGTACGCGACTGCGCGACCGCTCGTCCTCGTAGTCGTTTCCGTCCCTGCCCTACCTACCTGTCTGCCTGCCCTGTACCTCGACCGTGGGCCCGGGCCGGGGACGGGAATACGGCGTGTATGCGGCACGCAGGCGCCTGCGCATACCTATATAAGTGTGTGTGTGTGTGTGTGTGTGTGTGTGTGTGTTGGCCCGAGTATCTAAGATGCACGGCGGCGCATGAAGAGGGGAGGGGAGAGACGACTAGGCTGGCGGGAAGGAGGCGGAGGGACGGGAGCAGGAGCAGGAGCAGGAGCAGGAACACAGAAACGGACACCCGGGTCTCCCACGTCGTCGCCGTCGCCGTGGTCTCGCCGTGCGCCATCGCGCATCTACATAGCTGCAACCAAGCCTACCTACCGAGCGAGCACAGCCTACGGGTTGCTAGAGAAGAATATAGGTAAACGTCTCGACCGTTGCGGTAAGAGGAGGCACATTGCGTACGGCAGCGGCAGCGGCAGCGGCAGCAGCAGCAGCAGCAGCAGCAGTGATAACACGCGGTATTAGACACGAGTTGTGAAATTCGGCCTCGGGGGTCGAGGCTAGCTCCCGCCGAGATCACGGCAGCCATTCCTTGGTTGGGCTCCGATCGCGCCCGTCCCATCTGGACGGAGGACGGCACGGCGCGGCGCGGCGCCGTAAACCCATCAGCCCTTCCCTCGCCCCGCCACCCCTTTCTACCTAGTCGTAAGAATATTTCGTAGGGCTAACCCCCCTCGGCCCCGTTCCCTTCTATTCCTATATTTGCTTATTCGTTGCCTCTGGCAGGCAGGCAGGCAGGCTCTACGGGAGAGAGGAGAAGCGTCTCTGACCCCGAGCCTCCCGGCTCTCTCTGGTCGCCTACCTGTCTCAGACATCCCTCATGACGACATCCCCCCCGGAAGCGCCGCTGCCGGCTGCCGCCTTCTCGTCGTCTTTGCCTCCCCCACCGCCTTCTCCCGTCTCCTCGTCCGCCCGCATCACCCACGCCATCACGCCCCAGAGCAGCCGCAGGGCCTCGAGCCTCTCCTCCGGGATGAACAGGTCGAACCACTTACTGCGCCACATCTCGAGCCGGCCCCAGCTTCTGGGCGCAGACGCGCCCGACTCCGCCCCGGCATCGTCCCCTTCGGGCTCGCCGCCCAGGACCGCGAGCAAGCGGGCCGGCACCCGCACTCGCAGCACGCACAGGTGGTGGAACAGGCTGCTGAGCACAAATACGTCGTCGTAGTCGGCGCCTTTGGCCTTGCCGATGGCCATGTACTTGGTCTTCTTGTCCCAGTTGGACGAGGGCAGCCGCACCATCCTGTAGTTGTCGTAGATGCTGAGGTTCTTGCGTGGTTTCTTATTCAGGGGCGGTCCGCGCATGGGGATAGGCACCGTCTTGCCCTTGTCTTGCGGCTGCGAAGGGCCTGCTCCTCTCCCTGCCTGGCCGGCGCCGTCGGCGGAACCGCTTTCCGACGGTCCCACCGAGTCCTTATCGCCAACGACGGAGTCGCCATCTACTTCCCTTCCTATGGGACCGCCCTCGCCTCCGCCCCAGCGCTTCTCCGTCGCCCACCACTTACCCTCGCCGAACCTCTTCTCCGTCTGTCCCTCGCGGGCGCGGTGTTGCGCCGTGATCAGCGCGGCTACGATCTCCCGGCCGAAGTCGACGTTGGAATCCGTCGGCAGGGAAAAGTTGGTGGTGTTGCGCGCCGATACGGCCGCTATGGGGCCCTCGACGATGCCCGCGCGAGCGGCCTCGCGGGTGGTGGGAGAGCGGCATAGGAACACGCAGCCCGAGGGGAAATAGGAAGCCACCTGGGCCTGCGGAGAAGGCGACTTTGATTTGCGCAGGGGGGCGAGAAGCTGCAGGCGAGGCTCGACTCTCGGCGGCACCACGTTGCAGCCGAAGTCGTAGGCTACGAGCTTGACGAAAGCCGCGATCAGACTGTGGCGGAATTCGGGCGGCATCTGGGCGCCGGGGCTCGTACGGTAGGTGACCCGCTCCGGCTCCTCCCGCTTGGCTTCCGAATCCGGTGGAGAAGAGGTGCTAGGCTCGGGGTCGGTAGCGGCGGTGGCGCCTTGCTCGGGTTGCCCGGGCTGCCCGGGCTTGGCGCCCTCGGAATCCGGACGGGGCGGCAGCGGCGGCGGCGACTCATCGTCCTGGCCGTCGCTAGCGAGCGGCGGCAGCGAGGTGTCGTCCCAGTACGTGGCCATCAGCTCCATCTGCTTGAAAAACTCGTAGCAGTTTCCCAGCCGGACCTGTTGCTTGCCCGGGTCGGGCTTGATGCGACGGATGGTGCGGAAAGCGGCCTGGTTTGGTATGGAAAGTTCTGCGCGCCGCTCCAGGTAGACCCGGGCCTCGGGGGAAAGGTTCCCGTTGGAGAGCTTCCTGCGGAAGGTCTCGTTCTTGCGCTGGGCGCCGTCCAGGTCCATGTCAGCCCAACCGGCGGATTCGGGTAGGCAGGCCGGATTCGGGACGACATGCTCGGCGGGGGCATCGGGGTGCACGTGCACGCCGAGGGCGGCAAAGTGAGCTTCGGTCAGCTCGGCGGGACGTTGGAGCCTCTGCAGGAAAGGAACGAGAGGCGGGCGAGGCCGGCCGTCAGACGACGTGCCCGGGAGCTGCGGATTGCATTGCGGTAGTCCAATAGGAGTGGGCGGCGGAACGTCCTTGGGCGGCGGGCCGATAGTGGCTGACTGGGCTAGTAAGTAGGCATGAGATGAGGTCCCGACACAATAAGCACGACAAGCAGAGAAGCATCATCAGGTTAGGTGAGATAGACGGTCAGATGGTCGAAAGCCACGCGTGCGTATAGGGAGGTGTATATGTATAGCGTCTTTCACGACATATGGGAGTGAGTTATTAGGTGAGATTAGGAATATATAAGAGAGGAGGTGAGGGCGATGAGCTTGTTTCTTTATAATAATAATGATTAAAAAAACAAGAAAGTCAGCACTGATCCGCTGATCGGTCTAACGAATAGACGCGTATATCTGCCTTTTTTATTTTTTTCTCTCTCTTTTTCTTTATTAAATACTTCCCTTTTCTAAAATCGCAACGGTCGAGAGCAAGATAGGTATGACGTGTTATCCTCGACGGACAGGCCATGCCGTCTCTCTCTCTCTTTCTTCCTCGCCGATGGGGAAGAGGGGAGGGGGAAGGGGGGAGTAAGGAATATGTGCGGCACAGCCGACTTACCCAAGTTGATTAGTCCGCCAAACATCCTCAAACGAGTTGTCTCGTCGACGGTTAGAAGGCGATGCTGCGTGCGCAGTACGTAGAGGGGGGGGGGGGGGGGGGGAAGGGAAGCGAGGGCGAATAAGTGATAACAGCAGCAAATAATATTGATAATGATAACGGCAGCTAGTAAGATGGCATCTAGTGTCCGTCCGGGTGCCGCAGGGGGTGTCTCTCGCTTCTTCTTCTTCTGCCCTCCTCTAGTGCGGATGAGGAGGCGATACCCGGTTTGGCCCGTCGGTCGGGTTACTCAGGGTTGGGGGCAGGCTATGTAGTGTTTAGCTGAGCCAGCCTAGTAGCGCAGCCCAATCGACCCGGGTGGTCGGTCAGTTCATCAATCGGACACACCCCAGGCGGGTAGTGGCCAAGACGGCGAGGGCGGTAAGTGGCAGCAGTTAGGGAGTTAGCGGTGGTGGTGGTGGTGGTGGTGGCGGCGGCGACGGTGACGACAATGGTGGTGGTGGTGAGAGCGGAGGGGCACCGACGCAGACGAGCAAGCTGAACAGCCCAAAGCAGAGCGGAAGCGACGTGCTCGTGACTCGAGAGGGGGAGAGGGCAGCGGAGAAAAGGGGAGAGGTAGGGAGAGGTAGAGAGAGAGACAGAGAGAGCGAGAGAGGGAGGGAGAGGGGAACGGTATCATGGGAAGACCCTGTCGAGGACGAGGTGGGTGTGTTGGGTGTGTTGGATTGACTGGTTCAGTTAGGGCCGGGACTTGCTGCTTCGCTCTCGATCAGGTTTTTTTTTTTCTTTCCCTTTTTCCCTTTTTTATTATTATTTATTATTTACCTATTTATCTGGTTGCACGTGTATGTATTTACCTAGGTACCTACCTAGGTATTTCTTGGGCTCCACACCGGGCCGGACAGGGGAAGCGAAGCGACCCCAGTTGAAAGGGGGGAGCCGGGGGCCTCGTGGCCCGTGCGCAGACGTCGAGGTGATGATTGATTGACATTTCCTGCCCTCCGTCACGTAACCTGAGGAGACGATATACCTACAGTGAGGTAGTAGTGATAGGTAGGTATGCTAGAAGGCGCCTACAGTTAGGTACGTGTCAAGAGTGTCCCTAGGTGCCTACCTACCTATAAGGAATAGGGGATAATCCCTAAGTTAGGTACCTACCTGTGCCGAGGAACCTAGGTACCTAAGGTATCTCTAACCTGCGGGTACTCACTAACTCCCGCTCCCGTGTGGCCAACTCGCATACAATTAGACTACTAGGTGCCTATACGGTTATTTTACACTTACCTGAGGTCCACGTAGTATATCACCTATTTATCTCTCTCTCTCTCTCTCTCTCTCTCTCTTCCCGGCCCACGCAGCAGAGATAGATAGATACCTACCTACGCATAGGTCGCATCCGTCGGCGGAGCAGAGACGGTGCCGCCGCGAATCCTTCCTCCCATCCTCCCGCCGCCCCTCCCTCTCTTCCTCCGGCAGCTCGGAAGCCCCCCAGATCCGACCAGCCGGGTCCTGGAGGCGCACCCGCGCAGAGCAGCCGTTGCAGAGGGGGGCCTTCTTCTCCACGCACACGGGAGAGCTGCGTCGGCGCACCTCGCCTACCTAATCCTCGACGCATGAGGTGCCGTTTAGCCAGACCGGCACGGCATGTGGCGGCATGCGACGCGAAACCGGTGTCGACCTCTCCCTCCCTCCCCCCCCTTCTCGTGCCATCGCCTTCCCGGCCGCCTAAATACTGAATGTCTAGGCAATACGCGGATTTGCATACCTACCTGCTATACGGTGCGGGCGCACAATTGTAGTAGGTATATGCCTTACCTACATGGTAGGCGCCTCTATGTAGGCGTGTCAGTAGCTGGGCGCCTCGACCAACAGGCTGGCTCCGCCGTCCGTGCCGTGCCGTGCCGTGCCGCCGCTGCCGCCGTCAGAAGGAGGAAGAAAGGAAAATAAGAAGACAGGGGAGCGAGCGAGCCGGGGTTCTAGAAGAAGAAGAAGAAGAAGACGACGACGACGGTCGGGATATGTGCCTACATACATACCTACTAGGTACCTACGTATACCACCACCACCTATGGTAGGTATATCATACGTGCGCCTGCTAGGTACCTAGCTAGGTATACCGATCCACCCCTCTCTCCACCAACCTGTCAAACCACCGTCGCACGGATGCGCCCACAACAGCACACAGCCAAGACGCGCCTAGAAAAGGGGGGGGATAGCCAGGCACCATGTACCTATCTGTGTATGTACCTACCTACGTACCTACTTATAGCTGCGGCCCTCTGCGCCGTGCCCGACAGTAGCTCGGCCGCGTGTTCTGCGGGAATTGCATTTAGTGCACCACGGCGTGCGCGTCTTGCTAGAACCTATAGGTACAAGTCGGTAAGTGTGTCAGTAGGCGTGGTGTGTGAGACAGGGTAGGGAGGCACGGTACGGTAGGGCGACGAGGAGGAGGAGCAGGGCGTGGTACGGCACGGCATGGCGTCGCATGGCGTCGCACGGTCGGGTTGTAGAAAAGGGGATGGCTAGGCGTCTCGGGAACGAGCACCGGCGCCATCCCAAGCGTATACCTGGCCTGCGATCTCACCGGTGTTATTATGCCGACCTACATACCTACATGCCTAGATAATAGGGGGTATCGATTTACCTATTTATCTGTCCATCTACTAGGTACCTGGTATGGTATTCGACACCCAGGTAGGTCTCTCTCTCTCTCTCTCTCTCTCTCTCTCTCTCTCTCTCTCTCTCTCTCTCTCTCTCTCTCTCTCTCTCTCTCCTTGTCTCCTCCTTCGCTCGAATTTATGCCGCGTCTCGAATACTCATTACCCACAGTTCCAGCCTGTAGGTAGGCATGTAGGTATGTACGTAGTAAGTGCATATAGTACGTCGGTGATGTCGGTATGGGCATGCCGTTCCATATCACACTATACTCATACACGTCTAATCTACCCACACACGCATTTGTCGATGCGGCTGAGGAGAGACCCGCTGCTTCAGATGCGTCGCAGGTCCGGGGTTCGAGTGTTTTACCCCACACTTCGCTGCCATTGGTAGGGAGGGCCAGCCAGCGGAAGAAGAGAGCGTGCCACACGATAGCGTTGGCCAGCATCGGTTGTGTATGTAGGTATGTGTGTGTGTGCCATAGGTAGGGTGGTATTTCGCAGCGTAGCGAGACTCTGCGAGGCTCCGCCAGGGCCCGGTCTCTTCTCCCTCTTTCTCTCTCTCCTCCCTCCCTTCTTCTCAAGGGAGGGGGGGCCCCGGGCCGTCGAAATGGAGGTTTTACTGCTCTCTGCTGCCGACTACGACGAAACCACCACTTGGAACCCCTGGCCCGACTTGGCGTCTCCGCCGCTATGTTTCTTCCTGCTCCAGCCAGCCAATCCCCTCCGCCCGTCGCGGGATGCCTTGCTACCAAACAGGCCATCGTACAGGGTCTCGTCGCTTTGCGACAACATTTCGACGGCCGTGCAACCCATGATAGCATGCCCGGCCGTGTAGGTACATACAGAGAATATGTGGCTGTCAGCCTGTAAGTATGTACCTACAATACACAGGTAGAATGTGTGTGGTACACACCTCCGTTGTATGTATGTAGGTATGAGTATGTGTGTTCATACGTAGGGATCTCTCACCAACCCCCAACCCCCCCCCCTCTCTCTCTTTCTCTACACGTACTAACAAGTGAACTCTGGTAGTCTGGGTGTTTAGGTCCGCCGTGGTCGATTGATACCCTTCCCCTGCCCGTGCTCCATCTTTCCTCGCCGCGTCCTGCTTGAAGCTATCCCTACTCTCCTTCTTCTCTTCTTCCTCCGTGCATCGTGAGAATCGTTCATCGAGCCCTGTCCTCTCACCCAGCCCCTAGCGCGCTGGGACGGAAGGAGACGAGAGAGAAAAAGGCATCTCATCGCGTCCGCCTCTCCGATTCTACCCAAAAGAAAAGAAAGGAAAACCATCCCCAAAAGTCTTTTCGTCCTGGAAAAAAAAAAGCCGTTGTTAATGATCTTATGATCTGTGCCCGGCCGTGACGGCCGTCCCCGTCTTTTCCCTTCCCTTCGTGTATATCCCTTTTCTTTGGACTTCGTTCGCCTAGGCGAACGGCGATCACAACCTCGTATTCATTTCTGCGACTGGTTTCGCTTTGCCACTGAGTAGCTCTACCGCTATGTCGTCGATTACGACCCGGGGGGGCAGGAGGTGTACGCGAGTACCGAAGAATGTAAATATTCTAGAAGTCTCGCCAACCTCAACCTCAACCTCAACTTTCCGTATTTCCACGAGCACCAGTACGAGCTCGACGTCGACGTCAACATCGCTCGCCTCGACCTCTACAGAGACTCCGAGCCCGAGCCCCCCCCCCTTCACCCCCGCGCCCGGCATCGATCCTACTTCTACTTCGGCCACAGCCGTCGCGCCTAGGCCGCCTCCTGCGGTCGAGAACCCTATCCAGCCGAGCTCGTTCGTGCCACTCCCCACGGAGATATTCCCGACTACGCCCAGCTCTACGCCTATCGCAGACCCTACGCCAACCACAGCCCCGGCAGGCGAAACTCCGGATCCGATTGGCGCCTCTGCTCCGGAATCGTCTCCGACGTCGCTCATCACCGCTACCGGAGGGATCCCTTCTACTGTAGGGACCTCGCTGCTTCTCGACCTGTCCCGTACCCTCTCCCCCAGTGGCCAATTGATAACGGGGACGCAGGGTTCAGATGGAGTGCTCGACACCAATGTAGCACCGACACCTTCAATTGAAGGCCAGCTAGGATTGGAGGATCCAACCCCCTCGGAAGGAAACGCCGCCGTATTGACGGGAGGGTCGCGGCCTACTAACTCACTCGAGTCCGGTACGAGCGGCTCGGGGCAAGTAACTGACAATGCCATCAGCAAGGAGCAGACTATAGCGGTGGCAGTCGGGGTCTTTGGAGGCGTCGTAGTCATCTCGCTCATAGCCTTCATCTTCTGGCTCTGGCGATCGAGGAAGAGAAAGGAGCGCAGGAGCTCAATCTTGACACCGCTCTCGCCAGGCCCCGTTTTCCGCGATGAAAAGGGCCCGTACATCATCAATCGTGGATCCATAGGGCCGACTTCATACACGGATAAATTGTGGACGGTCCTCGGCGCCAAGTATAGACGACTGCGTGGACGCATGAACGACATAGTGATCCGGAGCGGGAGCCCAAGCCCTAGCGTAAACCTGGACCGAGGGAACTCGCAATTCGGCCCGCCCTCGGCGATGCATAGCCGATCAGGTTCGCGAGTTGGCAGTCCACCCGCGGCGAGAAACCGTCCTGCGGACCAGTGGGGCCGGCTGACCGAGGATGAGAACCACAATTGGCGACTGCGCCGCGAGTCTGGGAGTGTCTCGATGGGCAACACGGTGTTCGGCGTGGCCCAATCTACCAATGATAGGGATACCGAAAGGGGCCAAGTAGACGCAGCGAACGGGAACCGGCGCCGTTCAGCGTCCCTCGGCAACGAGCAGCTACTCCTGGGTAGTTTGGGATTTGACTTCGGGATGTCCGATCCCTTCTCGGACGCGAATGCTGTCATCGGAGAGCCGACTAGGGCGAAGCCCACGGTCGTCACGGCAGCGAAAAATCCGTTCTCGGACGCGAACGCGATCGGGGAAGCGGTCGGTGCGGGAAGCCGGAGGGGGCCAGCAACTTACGTGCAGAACGTGCAGCACTCCCGGGGCCACAGCGTCCACGGCAGCATCAGCCGTCAGCCGAGCAATTCCAGCCAGCGCAGCCAGCGCAGCCAGCGTCAGAAGGACATGTACCGCGACTCCAACGCGAGCGTCGAGTCGTTCGAAACCCGGCGCCACAAGTTCCGCTCCGATCCGTTCGATCTAGACCGGCCGGATCTCCTGCAGAGCGCCAACTCCAGCATAAGCATCACCGCTGGCGGGGCCGGCAGAGTCAGCCGCGGGAGCAGCGTGGCGATGCCGGACAAGCTGCGCCAGGCGCACGTCAGGAACGACAGCTACTCGTCCGAGTACTCGAGCGGCGTCAGCATAGCCGAATGGAGCGATCCGGGCCCGGACGTCGGGCCGGCAGCCGTATGGTGGAACTCGTCGACGCCGGAGAGCACGGTGGGGAGACGAGGCTAGGCGCGAGAACACCTACGACATAGACAGCATAGAGCGGGAGAAGCAGCATCGGGCACGGCGCACGTCGGAGCGCGGGCTTGGGTTTTATTGAGCATACGCCGAACCCCCCCTTCCTCCAGAAGGGGAAGAGGCGGGGAGGGGGGGGGGGAGGAGGTTGGCTCGGCGTCCTGGGGCGTTTACGAATGCATTGATTGGATTTTGTGATACCTGGCGACACCACGCTCTCTTACGATACCGGCCAGGAGGGTTGCGGGCGGCCGCGCGCTCCCCGCCTACTATAGATAGTCTTTCTTTTCGTTGTCATCGTCGTAATTCGACAGGGAGACTGCTCCGCGCCGTTCCCATACCGTAGGGACAAGCCGAGGAACCATACACCCAAGCGAGGCCAGCACACCGGCTCCGATAGCTGCAAGATAGGGATTGTGATTTGCGAGGACGTCCGTAGCACCACAGTACGATCAAATCAAAGCCTTATAGTTTGCTTTCCCGTACCTGGATATGGCCATGTGCGATGTGCGGTGTTCTTCTGTGTAGCGTGAGGCGTGAGATAACCGCTTGGTAGATTGGATATGGTGCTGGGGGAGGTATTGGAAGTTGGGCGGGTTCCATCGTCCCTAAGCTGCCGACTCTCTGTGTGGTTTCTACTCATAGTTGAAGAACGCCGAGCTGACAATGCTGACCTAATAGGTGGCAGGTTAGGTGCATAGTCGGGCTAGAGTTGGAGTTTGCGGGTGCATATGTACATATCCGTAGGTAACTTCGGGTCCGTAACCAGCAACCTGCCTCAAGTAACAGCCACCTCTATATATGAGTACCCACCATAGACTTGTAGCAGTACCTGTACTCATGGGCACCTCTTAATAGAGGTAGGTAGTACTTTGGGTACATAGGTACCATAGTAGCAGCGTTGCCTCCGTAATGCTACCCAACCCGCATACCTCCGCGCCGTCCGATTGGCCCCTTGATACCTCCCCCGACCACTAAACGCGAAAACGCGTGCCGTCCAGTAAGAAATCCCCCGGCGACGTCGTCGCGCGTCAAATCCTGTTTGCAAGGGGAGAGGGTAAAAAAAAAAAACCACTTTACGCGTCTCCATCGTCGTAAGGACGGCCCCGTGCGTAAAACAAGAAGAAGAGAAAAAAGAGAGAGAAACAAAGTCAGGTACGTGGTCGTCCGGCCAGTTATCCCCATTCCGTCGCCGCCACCACACAACGCCGTTGCCAAACACACCACGCCATTAACACCGCGACACGCCCGCGACTAGGATCGCGATGGCGGTGATTGACAGTGACACACGCGATCCGGCCTCGTTCTCACCGCTCAATTAATATCGGCGCCGCCATGATGACGCCGTCAGGCAGGCATGGTATCCCCGCCAGTTGTGATTTATGTTTCCCCGAGAAAAGGGGGGGGGGGGGGGGGGGGGGCAAACAACAACAACAACAAGCAATGGCGGTAGCAATTGGTCGATTGGCGTAGGCTGCCTATGTTGATGTCCCTAAATACCCTATACCCTGTGATCGACCTGGCATCCAACCCGTCTATTCGCCCCCGTCTCCCTAGTCTGTTCGTCAGGTCGTCTTCCCTTCTTGTCCCGAGGCCCGGGCCCACCCAACCCTCGCGTGACAGAAACAATGAGACAAATAGCAGCCCGAGTCCGAACCCGAATCGGAATTGGGTCCCTCTGGCGCGGGATTGAGAAGTGACTGTGGTATCGCGTAACCTATAGGGGAGGAGGGGGAGGGAGGGATGGGAAGAGAATGAGCGAGGGATCAATCCTCTACACGACCAAATGATAAGACTCGACTAGTAAGACTCTCGGCGCGTCCAGCTCTGCTGTCAACCCTACGAAGAAAGTAAGAAAGAAAAAATTAATGTGTCCATGCTCTCTTTCCTTTACGGCATATCAACAAGTAAGATCCATACATTCATCCTAACCAAGACATGCTGTGAGTCGGTGGCAACGGCCGGGTATTGTCGTAGTGCACATGTTTACATGAGAGAACAAGGGCGATGCCCAAGTGAGAACGGAAATTGGGGGCAGGAGGAAGGGGCGGGTGTGTGGTAGAGGAATACAAAAGGGGGTGGGGGTTAAGACAACGTGTAGAAAGGGATACACCATCGATGGCTGCCCTAGCATTGGGCGCCCCGAAGTAGCGTGAGCCGGCCTGGCCTCAAGGCGGTCCGAGAAATGTGCCAGGCTCGTCGAATGTCAAGCGTCTCTTTGCCCCACCCAGCGGCGTCTTGGCTGTCGGCGTCTTGAGCGATAGCGGCGTCTTCCACGGCTTCTGGGCCGGGCTGGGCGTGATGTTGACAAAGTCGGAGATGTCGAACGATTGGCCGGGCGTCGTCGGGAAGAGGTTTCCGCCTCCCGGAGTAGTCATCATGGACGACGGGAGCGCGAGGTCCTTCTTCGGCGGGGGGGTCGAAGGGGGCTCCATCCGAGTCTTGGTCGGATGAACCGCTGGAGATGGAGAGGTAGCTAAATATAGCAACAAGTCCGCGCCCTCCTCTCCCGACTTCTGTCCGTTGACCACGCCCTTCTCCTTGCTTCGGCGGTTAATAGCCCTGCTGCGCATGGGCGGTGTCTGCGGGGGCGAAGATCTATCGTGGTCGACCATGAAAGAATGGGCAGGGAGAAGATCATCGTCATCGTCAGAAGGGGCGGCGAAATTAGGCGAAGCTAGGTCTATCGAGGGGCGGCGGGAACCTTGGAAAAAGGAGACGTCCGGCCCGTTGTCCGTCGTGAAATGCTGTTGCCTGCGAGGCTTGGCCGGGGAAGACTGGGCCAGCTGACGGTATCCTTTCCAGGAGTTATGGTTATGTGTTGGGTGGTTCGAAGATGACTTGCGCCCGGCAGGGGATGCGCGGGATCGCTTGGTAGGGCTCGACAAGGGCACATCGAATGAATTGATATATGTTCGCTTCCGGTGGCCGTTGCTGCCGTTGCTAGAGACTACCGCATCCGAAAAGAGAGGCGGCTTCAGCGGAGAACTCATGAGCGTCAAGCTAGATGACGGATAGGGCCACTCCGAAGTGCTGGAGGAGCTGTCGGACAGGATATCGCCATCGGCCATGCGCCTTCGCCGCATCTCTTCTTCGATCCTGGGTTCGATCGTGTCGAGTGCGTAGTCTTCCAAGCCATGCTTGGTCTTGAATTGCGCCAGAGCTAGGCGGCCTTGCAGTCTTCGGGCGATCTGCCAGCGGGTTAGAAAAGATGGGTTAGCTTCCACGGTTTTTTTTTTCTTCCCGGGATGCACTATGCGGGCTTGACATACCTTGCTCACTTCGGCTCGTTTCAGGACTTTGTCGGCCACAGCCTCCGGCTGCTTCTTCAATGGCGACGACATTTTCGTCGGCTCGAGCCAGAGACAATTATCTTTGGCTTCCGCTCGCCACGCGCTCTCTTCTATAACCTCGTCGGCCAAGTCGCAAGTGACGTCTGTCAAGCGGTTGTCGAGTAAATATTGCGGGGAGCGGGCACGGCTGGGTCGAGTAGACGGTCTGGCGCTTGCGGGAGGGGGGGCAAAGGGAGGGGGGTAGTTCCTGGCGGGCGGAAGGGTCCGGTAGGCTAACCTGGATGTGTAGGCCGGCCGTGGACGAGACCCAGGAGGGGAGAGGTATGGCCGATGGTTGAATTATGTATTATGAATAAGTGATTGGTCTGGGCCTCGAGCCTCGAGGTTCACGTTCGACCGGAGGACGGATAGGGTGGAGGGAGCGAGGGAGCGAGGGAGTGAATGAGGGGAGGGGAGGGGGGAGGGTTCGAACAGACTCGAGGGCTGAAAAGAGTGTATGACTGTGCTACGCTACGTCGAGCAGGGCTGGGTAGGATGGTTGGTGGTGATAATGAACGACGGTGAAGCAGACGGAGGTGAGGAAAAGCCGGCCAGCAATTTTTGGAGATTTTTGGCAGAGGCCTGGACGGGATGTACCTAGGTGCTAGATCCCGTCGGGAAATACTCTACTATAATAAGCGTAGGTACATTGCTTACGTTGAATGTCTGTTGTCTGTACGTGCATCGGGCTTGGGATGTACATGGCGAGTGTGAGCGTCCCAAGTACCCGCCCACATACAAATCGGCAGGGCTCGTCAGCTCTCCGGTACCTGTCCTGCTAACGCCAGAGCTTGTACCCAGGCCGCGGCCTAAACCCGGGGCGGGCTGGCGCCAAGGGTTGAGCAACTCGGGCATTCCTCACCGTGGAAACCGGGCGACGACAGCACACGTACATATGTGAGTGGTTTTAAGCCTGAGCTCAGCTCCCTTTTTTTTCTGGCTGTTTCTGCTCTCCCTTGTGCGTATCCAACTTACGACATCCCTCCCTCCGCATCATCCCTCTGATTCCTTCCCCTACCTCAGGTGCCAAGCCCTCGGGCAATTTGCCTGCCTAAATGCAACGACCCGTCGCTCAGGCGCCTCAGTATTGTGCTGGGCAGCACATCTATCAGCAGCTGTCCCTCCCATTGGGATGGGCCGAGCTCGTCGTCGCACCGCTAGTTCCTGGGGGTGCCAGCTCGGATCCCATAGGGCAATGGCTGACCACTACAATTCTCGCTGCAGTTGGCGCGGCCACCAATCTGTAGCCACCACTTCTGTTTCAGCAGCCGGGGTCAACCGTCTTGTCGGCCCCGACCAATCGTGAGGACCCTCCTTTGCCTACTTACCACACGCCCCAATACGCTAGATGCGCTGGATATCCGCTTCCCATAGGCGAGCCTTTCCGCGGCGGGCCAGCACCGCTGCTCACTGGCCCGCTAGCATTCGCTCTCCTCCCATTGTCTGTTACTCCCCCTTTCCAAGCGCTGTCGCCGTCGCAAAGGACGCATGTGCCACCTACTGCAACTCGTGAGAAGACCGTGACAGGTCGATATCGGCGGCAGCGCAGACGAAGTTGCTAGTATGCAAGCCTCAATAGGCAGACCTCGAAGGAGGCTATGAGTCGTCTACACAAAGACGCTGGATAACCGACGAGGCCATCATCTGCCAACCGGCGCGGCAAGTTGAAACGGGCCGAAGGCTTCCATTGGACATACAAGCAATCTAAACATCTATCCTGTGCATATTTCTATTCGGATCGGGGTGGGGGAACAAGCATGATTGCGGCTGGGCGTGACGTTGCCTGCCGGCACGGCCGTCATACATTTGGCGGATGATTGCAAGGGACGAGGAAGACGGAAACAAGTTCGACCGGATGCGATTGGTGGTGTTTTCTCAGTCACGCGGACGCTTCGGCATTCCTCCCGTCGATTTCAAGCCGGTGGGAAACGGAGCTGCGGGCCACGCCTCGCATCATGATTCTATCATGAGGAGGAGGAGGTGGTGGTGGTGGAGGAGACGGTGGTAGTGAAAAGAGCGCGTGTGAAAGTTTCGAGGCTGGTGGAGAGGATTTTGGGGCCACTAAGCACTGGATGGACGAACGCGTCGTCTTAACGTTCCTCCTCCTCTACTGGTGTCGAGATGCACGCCGCCGCCGAATGCTGTCACTCGTGAGAACAAGAAAGGGGGAGAGGAGTGGTAAGTGGAGGGCGGAGCCTTGTCTGCTCTTTTTATCTTTCTTCCCGTTCCGTCCGATGTACTGCGTACCACTGCAAATCCCTCTTACCCGGGAATGGCCGCTCATTTAACCCCATGTCGGACGGGCATATCATAGCTAAATAAGGGACGACGAAAACGTGCCATACCCACCTCTCCACCACAAAGTGCTTACCGGCGTAGGTAAGACAAAGAAAGCTCAATCCGTGTATATATATATACCTAGCGTAAGTGCACTCGTACGTGCAGCCTAACGTGCTGGATTGGTACCCTCTATAATAGTGCCCAGGGATCGATACGTGTGTGTACCTATAGTGTTAGGTATATTTCTAATACCTTCACGGTATTATATACAGGTACGTTGTCAGGCAAAACCCCTATCATAGACTGGTACTGCATCTACCTACCTGGGGTAATTAGCGGCTGCATTGATGGGGATGCTACGGAGAGCGAGCCTTACGGGTATAGACGCCCATTAGAGCTCCTGTCTAGGAGGTGGGTAGATGTCTGGGTAACCCCGAAATTTTCAAAATGGATTTCGGATCCCGTATTGCGCTCCGGTTATTTCATCGGAGGGACAGGATATAGCAATATGCAGGCTGCTACGATTCAGGGTGGCAGGGCGAGGGAATACGAGATCTGCGCCTGGACTGATTGGCCCCGACATGCGCGCGCGCCGCACTGATATGTGGTCATGTTGGTCATGGCGAACATGCCTGTGCTACTTTGCGTATGACATATAACTCCGTATTACATGCCTCCATGTATACACTAGCACAGCATCTAATCAGAGCCGTGATCCCTACCTATGTGAAGCGAGAGGCATGCTACCTACGTAGTAGAGTCCGCGGTAGGAAGATGAGACTGGAGGAGCAGGCACCCAGCCAGTCACGTCTATGCCTAGCAACCCTTCCGGCGGTGTCGCGACGCTGTGGGAGAACTTACTAGCAAGACGGACCACACGTATGCATACCTATATGTACGCGTATGTATGCATGCGGGTGTGTCGGAGGAGGTTATATTGACTGAGGGTGGGTGCGGTTGAGTAACGGGAAGTCCAGAAACCCTTCGATTTCCGTTACTGAAGAAGGAGGTGGTTGGCGATATGCGTGCATGCCTGCTGGACTTCGAGGTGGTGGAGGAGTTTTGCAGTTGTCGGTTGTCGAATCGAGCGAAACAATCAGGCCAACATCTGACCTGATACTGCTAGACTCAGGCAACATCGTAAGCACAGATGAGATGAAGCCCTCCCTGCGCTGTTACTGCGCCTGCAAGACCTTGTCCGTCTAGAAGCGCGAGAGTAGGCTCGAAGACGGCATATGCGAAAAATGACTTCCCCCCGGAAGCTCTGATTTGGTCTGATGTCATGCTCAGACTTCTTCTAACCATATACTATATATCTGTACATCCGGGGCCCCTTTCCGAGACCGCCTCCTGACTTACACGTACACAGATTGCATACCCCCTACATAGGTAGGTACCTTATATACCTATATCAATAGTGAGGTTGTGCATTTGCCAGTGCTATGTACCTAGATATTAGGTACATTACCTGCCCACATTGGATGGATACTGCCTTAACGCCGAGGTCGACCGGATAGACCAGTACCTATGAGGTAGGATGTATGTATGTATGTATGTATGTATGTGCATATATTGATGAGTGTATGGGGCTCAGCATCTCCGGAGCCAGACTACTATCGCTCTCCTGGTGACTCTCTACCAAGGTGTTTAGGCGATGAAATCACCTGGGTATATGCATCGTTCTCATCTTAACCCCAGCACAGACAGCTAGTTCAGGCCGCGGCCTCCGTCAGATAGTAGGATGTGGCCCAAGGAATCATAGCAAGGACCCGGTTGAAGGAAGTTGGCTGTGTTATTATCACGAAAAGAAACGCTTCACTCGGGGGGGGCCACTCACTCCGCAACATAACGTAGGCACACCACCTGTCCTTTGTATCGTCATGGGGAGACTCGCTATCCCCCCAACCAGCCGGTTGCATACCTACCCGGTATTCCGGAGGCGTCAAAGCGACGCCGTAATACAATGTACAATATCCCGCGTTCAATCCATCCCACACTGACGTGAGCGGCTTTTCTTCGGGGGCCTGGACGATCTTTGTGTGTGTTCTTCCGGCACTAAGTACACACAACACACCTCACGCATGGAGGTAGATGGCGAGCGGGAGAGGGCAGATCTGCGACCCGACAAGGCCTAAACTGGCTGGGTCCCGGAGGAGGCCAATCACTCCGGCCTCTGGGTCGCCGTCTTCAGTGCATCCAACTTCAGGATGTGTGTATGCACATACATTCCTGAGGTAGCTACCCGTGCTCGGGCCCGTGGGCGTGCACGTAGGTAGGGAGGGTAGGCAGGTATGCGATATTACCTACCTATCTGATACGCAATCTGCCACCGAAATTGCTGTGTACATGCGTTATGGAGGTGTCTGCCAAGGCATTTGCAACATTCGCAGGGAGGACATCGAGATCCCTACCCGAAGACAAAGCAACATTACATCGCATCGAACCTGAGTAGGGAGTGAGGTCCTTATCTACCACATCTGCCGTAGGTACCTATAGGGATCACGCACGGTACGCGCAATACCTACCTCCTAGGTGCATAATTTCCTAGTGGATTACGTGTAGAGGGTAAGGAGTCGCGTGTGGATCTGGCTCTCTCCACCGCATTTCCCATCCATCATCGACTTATCATATATATCGTAGCCAAGACCCGTCTATCTGTCACGCAAGAGTAATCGATATCCGTCCGTCTCTTCTTGCGTGCCCCATCCGACAGGGATCCCGGAACACCAGCACACGCTGCGTGCGCTGCTTTGCTAAATGTGTAGGTGTAAGGAATCCCGCTCAAGCTATACAGATCATGCCTTCGCGGCAGGTATTTTTCAATTGTCTGCGTGTATAGGAAAGGCCACCTCCCTTAGGAAACACCTTAGGTAAGCTGAGCCTCTCTCGCAGCGGCCGATACCACATCTGTGGCTCCTCAGGGTTAGCACCATCTCGTATCCAAGTTTTATACCTTCCCAAAGCGTGCAAGCGACCCGGTCCCCTCAGCGGCTCGGTTCGAATAAATTGGGGAGCCACAAGAGAGAAACTCTCGACAGAATCCTGCTGCAGACGGACATTTTCAAATCCCAGAGGTATAGGTCCCTACGGCATGCACCACCAGTATGTCCGCAGACCTGCCTAGGTAGATACCTAAGACAGGTATGCGGAGGTATGCAGGTACCTGGGGTGTCCGCTCATTTAGGAGGCTGTGAGGTTAGCAGTAAGGAGCTCCGTCAAGGTTAGGGTACCTTAGGTACCTACTCATTCACATAAGTTCCTTCTCCCCCCTGTCTCTTTCAAGTACCTAGACAGCCCACTTATCAGCCGCGACGTCATCATCATTCGCCAATTCGTCAGCCACCCCACCCGCCGACACATGTCAACCCACATTTCTACGTAACGGGGGGGAGAGGAGCCACCCGACTGTAGGTATGTTCGCGGTATATGCACATAAGCCGTGCGACCCGCTGGCAATCGGTCCTACACTTCCCCCGGTGCTAGAATATACCTAAAACGGGAACGAGAATCAACCACGTTCAGCCACATGCATAGGCTAACTGGAACCTCTTGCAAAGGCGTTAGGCACGTAGCAGGTACCAGGTACCGACGCAGGTCTCTCCTATTCTGGGAAACGCAGCAACCTGGCGCTGATGTGAACTTCGTCGGGTACGTCTACCTCGTACACACGGGTACATGGCGTGTACCTGCGGTGTATCTATGGTATACCTGTAGTGTACCGGCAGTTGTCATTCCTCCCCTACCAAGCCCTACGGGCAGCCGTGTACCTGGCCTGCCTCGCCCCCGGTAGATCTGCCCAGCCTACGAGGTAACCACCATGTTGCCGTCCTCTTACCGGGCTCCAGCCAGGTTCCGAGCAACCTCTTGTTGCTTGTCGATCTCGGGCCAGGGCATCGGCCAGCGTACAGGGGTCTGCCTCTACCTTACCTTCTTGCTACCTCCCCTAACACCTACTCACACACCTACACACACGCACACACGCACACACGCACGCATTACACACCCTGCTGCTACTTACTCTGGTTTCGCCTCTCCCAACCACTTCGCAAAAGAGACAGCTCTTCGCGTAAACCGCCGCTTTCTTGCTCGGCTTCTTTCTCTCCCCCTCCCCTCTCTCCTCTCCTTCCTCTCTCCTCTCCTCCCCCCCTCTCCCATCTCCCCCCTTCCCTTTTTCCTTTCTCTCCCCTCTAGTCCTCGAACCCACTCGACCGATTCGCTCGTTGCGGGAAGCATACTAGCCACGCTCTCCTCCCTCGTAGCTGTGGCGGTTGGCTTCCCTTCCCAAGGTAGATCCGAGATAGACACAAGGGGGAGGCCGGGTCGGCTTTTGCCAGTTCTTGGCCCGTTCGATACAAGAAGTCCAGACCCCCCAGTTTATCGGCTTCCCGGATTCGACCTACCTCGCCAATCAGCCTTCCCCTCCGCCGCCTGCTCCCCGGCGTCTACGGAGGCCAAGCTGCCATGGCGCCGGCGTTCCTGAATTTTAAAGAATTTCGAAGACGATCCCGCGCCAGCTTCCGCACCGATCAATCCACCGATGTCTCGAGTTACGACGAACGGCGTAGCCAGAACGCCGCTTCCACCAACGGCTCCATTACGCCGCCCTCTATCTCGGCCCAGTCCGATCCTGCACTCAGTAGCCAGTCCAAGGACCAACTGCAACCTCCCCCCGTTCCCGGCAACCGACCACCTCCCAGTAGCAGCCGGTACAGTGTCTCGGGTATGACCGGAATAGGCTCTCCCAGCCTGAATGGCAAGTCTTCATTGCCAGTGTCGCAATATGCTCCTCGCATTACCAACTTGGGGGAAAATACTTGGGTATGGCGCCAATTTCTATTCCTGTCAAGGCCTCCGATCATGTAATCGACGCAGGAAGTCCTAAGTCCACGCATTCCCCCCCTCCGAAAGGGGCAACGCGATCAAACGCCAACGCATACTGGCACGTATCCTGATCGTTCTATAGGTCTCCCAGAAGATTCTCCTCGTCAACGGGACAGTCGGGGAAGCGCAGCAGAACTCGCTCGAAGGAAATGTCATCGTATGTAGACTAGATGACGGGTTCCCTCCCACGTATTGGCCGGTATGCGACTCGCAGTTCAAGGCTCTAGTGTATCTCATGCCCGGGCCCAACAAGCTTCGTTTCGACTTTTCGAGTCCGAAGCTCGCCAACAGCGGCTCCTCCAACCCGATCCATTCCACCTACATTACGGTGCACATGGTGCCTCCTACGAATTCGCCTCCGCTGCAACTCGCCATATTGGTGGCCAAGGATTCCCCGGGGGTCTTCGATGCCGTTCCCGCTCGGGTCGCGAGAGAGGGCAATAACCTGGAAACGGCTATCCGCAAGTTTCGAATCGCCGCTTACCTGTGGCAGGCGTTTACCGCCGAACAGATGTGGAGGAACAAGTTTGGGCGGCGAGTGTTCAGATTTGAAGAGGAATGGACCACGGGCACCAGCAACTATCGGGATCGGGAGCTAGGTACCATGCGATCAGAGGCACGGATTCACGTTATCCGATCGGACAAGACCTTGGCCGAAATTCGAGATCTCGAGCGGGCGCAGCAGAACCCCAAGGCGACAAAGCAGGGCGAGCTCTTCAGTATCGCCGCCGACGCCGTGAAGAATTACTTCAAGTCCCTGCCGGGGCAGACTCAGTACGTCTCAGTCCTCATCCTGGACTCTCATTGGGATACGGCCTCGAAGACGATCACCGGCCACGCAGCCTTGGGCGGTAATTCCGGTGATCTCCACCTGGGCATTTTCGGATCACATTGTCTGCAGAGTTACCCGACCAGCTTCGAAGAGGTGGTACCAGCGTTCACCGACTGCACGCCCACCGATACTAACTTTGTCGCCAATGACTGCAACGAATGCGGAAGCTCTTGGGAGGCTGCCAATCTCGGCATTGGTGCTCATCTCCACGAAACCGGTCACCTCTTGGGGTGCCCCCATCAGGAAAACGGTGTCATGTTGAGGGACTACGTCAGGTTAAATCGCTCGTTCGTGGCGCAAGAGGCGTATTCCACTCGAACCAAGTCGATCGGTGGACCTGTCTCGCAAGCTGGCGAATGTACCTGGCACCGGCTTGATTGCTTGCGATTCCGGAGCCACCCCTGCTTCAGACTCCCTAACGATCCGGTCTTGAATTCCGACGCGAGTGTCCAGGCCTGGCCGGTCGAGAACGGGCAGGTTCAGGTCACGGCAGCTACGGGAGTTTCGTTCATAGAGATCTATCCCGAGGGTGACGGCGTCTGTCACACGTGGATCGAATATCCGTTAGAGAACGGCCCGGTACAGCGCAATATTAGCCTCACAGAACAAGAGTTGCGGGACAGACTACCAGAAGGAAAGCGGCGATCGAAGCTGAGAGTGTGTATCAAATCCCACGGCGGCGGGGACCTCGAGATCCGGGACTTTCATAACCTATGTTCGAAAGCGTCCTCCTTGAAATTAGCCTCCGGGAAATCGGCGTACCGGAGCGACAAGCTTGGTTTCTCGCAGATGGAGGGAAGCACGCCGCAGGAATTCATCTTCACGAGCGCGACGCAGAAGAACCGAGTCCTATCCCGCATCGTGTTTTACCACGGCTTTGCTTTGGACGGGCTAGAGTTCTTCTACGATGACGATTCCAGTCAGCTTTTCGGGAAGCGCGGGGGAAAACCCGGTGGTGATACGTTTGAGATGGGTAAGCGGTTGCCGGCGTTTGATGACGGGTAATGTTCGGTGACGTTGGCTGACGCTAGAATGTTAGATATCCGACGTGGCGAGTGCATAACTGGTTTCTGCGTCCGATCGGGGGTCTGGATCGACGCAATCCAAGTTCTGACGAGCCTCGGGCGGAAGTCGCCTCTCTACGGAAACATGGCCGGTGGTTCTCTGTACGTATAGACGACGCGCCCCTTGAAAGATGTGTTTTAGGAATGCTGACCAGGATATTGTCAGCCATACGCTGCTCCCGCCGCGCGGGTACACGGTCTGTGGCGTATCGGGATCTTGTGCAGCCTGGATCGACGGCTTCTCCGTCATTATCGCTCGATGAACCGCCCAGGTGTTCTGCGTGAAAACGCCTAGGGGGGGCTTCCCAGAAAGCTTCGGGGCCAAAACCACGGAGGGCTCCCACGACAGCTCCGGGGGGGCGGACGGTGTCCTGCATTTTACATCTTTGCTCTATTAACGGTGTCATATCTCGCGGCGTACAGTGGATTCTCGAAATATTTTGAACTTTGGGTTTCGCATCCATCTAGCATACATAATCACTATTACAATACGGCATAATCCCCTAGACCGAAGGGGTGTTCGAGGAAGGGGAATAAGGTTCATTTGGTGAGCATACCCGGACGGACAGGCTATCCGTTTTTCATCACTGTACACGGTGGATTTCCAAGGACGCGAGGAGGATTGCCGGATCGAGGCACCCGGTGGTCGGGAGAGAGGCGCGGGCGACGTCTCGCGAAAATAATAATCAATCGTCGATGTTGACTCTTGTCTACTTGGGAGCTAGAGCTGGAGCTGGGGCTGGAGCTGGGGCTAAAGGCAGCAACGGCATCACCCGACGGGAGGATTTTTGCACATACGATATAGATAGCCAACTGCGCCCAGAGAGGGACTAATAAGCCACGTCCCTCCGCCGGTTGCAGAAGAGAGGAAGCCATTCGCGAGGTCCGGCCGTGTTCTGGTGTGGTGCGAAGGGCAGATTCCGTCGGATCGAAGATGGGGTCTGACGAGAGGGCCGGCAGCTAACCAATGTCCGTCGGCTCGGTCGTACGCGCCGGTGTCGGCTTCACGGGCGACGGTGCCGAGGCGAGTTGAATTCGTCCACGACGGGAGCCGAACGAAGCTACGGTGTGTAGAAGTTGCCATTGGCATCGGCAGCGAGGACGGAGGTAGCCAAAGTTGGTATGGATGGGGCTCTGGGAGGGTTAGAGGTACCTTAGGAGGTACACATCTGCCTGACCGCGTGTGCCTTACGTAAGTACGTCGTCATATGCGAACTCACCTACAGGTAGGTGCCCATACGTAGAGCCCGTACCTATAAGTACCTAAGGTACCTACCTACCTAACCTCTACCTCCAGGTCGTGGCCTCTCCAGATCCGAGCTACCTCGTCTTGCTATTATAGTACTTGGATTGGTAGGTACCTAGGTAGGTAGGTAGTAGGTAAGGAGGTAGCTTCTCGCTTTAGTTGCCCCGCGCTAGTCTGGGGAGCTTGTCCGAGATAGGGCTAGCGGATCCTGGGACGTGTCCCAATGACGGCATCAATGGCACTCCGCCTACCTGAGGTACCTGGCTGCAACATGCCTACCTGGTAAGTACCTAATGGATACCTATGTTTTTCCTTTTTTTGGTTAATTTTTTTTTTTTACCGCCTGGATTGTTTTTGTCTGAGCCGACTTATAGATCTCAACCAAAGTCTCTTTTCTCGGTCCGTCACGATTCCTCCGACCCCTCACCCAGTCACCGCCCCCTCACCTCCTGTTGTTGAGAAGAACAGCGGCTCCCCCTCTTCGTCCGAGAGTTGGGCGTTTCGCACCATTTGCTCTCCTCTCTCGCCACGTCTTCCTAACTTCCTGCTGACCATTGTCCGACGGGAGGCCGCGCTGCACCGCCCCCTCCCCCCCCCCGACTCGCCGCCTTCCACACGCACGCGAAAGAAAAGACAGGCGAAGCCCAGCAGTGCTACCCAACCGAAGGGAAAAGAATACGGAAAGGCGGAGACGATTCGGACGCAAAACCACGACATCGGCACGAACCACGGTATACCCATATCCATAACGTTCGGGGACAGCGGGCAATAGCGTAGACGCCACAAATATCATGTCCAAGCGAGTCTCGGGCGCTGGTAACGGCGCCGCCTCCAAGATGAGTCCGACGGAAGAACCTTGTGCGTTGTCCCTCCTCGTCAGTAGCTGCCGCGTGCGGGCTACCAGCCAGGAAGCGCGTCGGGCAAGCAGCTGGGGATATCTCGACAGGCAACGGACATCAGCTAACCGTCTCACTCTCGGGCACGTAGCGTATAACAAGCAGAAGGATCTTCTCTCCTCTCCAACCGGCGGCCACTTTTCCCTCCTGAGGGCTCTGCACATGGCGGATTACATCACCGAATTAAACGGTACCGCACCCTCCCCTCCCCATACGACCCGGGCAAATCGTTGCAATATATGATAGCTAATCTGTCTCGGCCTCTCGCGTATACAGGCCTATGCGGTATCTCGTCCGTCTTCTCCTCTCTGCGGTACTGCCTCGGCGACCCCACGGACAAGAGCAATCTGTACATCGCGCTCGCCTTCCTGCCCTTTGGGCTGTTCTTCGATTTCATGGACGGCCGAGTCGCGCGGTGGAGAAAGAAGAGCAGTATGATGGGTCAGGAACTAGACTCGCTCGCTGACTTGGTACGCTCCGTTCCCCGCCCTCCAGATCCTTGTCCGGCCACGCGGGTCGGACTTGGCTTTCCGGGTTCTCTTCCCCACTCCTCCGTACCCATCACCCCCCCCCCCCCTACCCCCGGTAATCTCTCACGCGGCAGCCTCACCGACAAGGTGATCGGGCTGCGGAGCGGCGGTCTCGTCGGCTAACCAAATCCCTCGACGGCACGCAGATCTCCTTCGGCCTGGCTCCGGCCTGCGTAGCGCTCTGCATCGGCATGCGGACGCCGCTCGACCACCTGCTGCTGGCCGTGTTCGTGCTGTGCGGCCTCACGCGGCTGGCGCGCTTCAACGTGACGGCGTCGAGCGGCAACATCCCCAAGGACGCGAGCGGCAAGGCCAGCTACTTCGAGGGCACCCCGATCCCGACGACGCTCGGGCTCGACGCCCTCATGGCCTGGTGGATCTCGCGCGGCTGGGTGCTCGACCAGCTACCCGGCGGCGTCTGGTTCGAGGGCGGCCTGTTCGAGTTCCACCCCGTCGTCGTCCTGTTCCTCGTCCACGGCTGCCTCATGTGCAGCAAAACATTACACGTGCCCAAGCCTTAGCTGCTTGGCGTCGTCCGTCATCGGTATCGGTTGTTCAGGTAGTATTTTCTCATCTCCGGAGGTGGCTGGCTGGGCGGGTTTAGGTAATAAGCAACATATTAGGCTAGGAAGAGGAGGATAGATTCCCAAGTCTCTCAACGCGTCGTCCGTTCATAGTTTGCTATTCGTTGGGCCTCGGCCCCCCCCCCCCCCCCGGCTGTCGGGTTGGGCGACCATAAAGGCGTAATGGAGGAGGCGAGGAGGACAGGGTGTAAACGAAAACTAGTACGCATCGTAGCACGAAGAATAATAATACCGAAGTGATTGGAAGACGTATGTTTTTATTAGCCGTTCCCATGCCGCGGCCCCCCTTGTTCGACTCCTTTCTTCCCATCTCCTGTTCTCGTATCGGGTGAGACAAGTTACATTGAAGGCGAATACGCGAGAACGCAAGAGCGGGCCGGGCGAGAAGGGTGCGTTTCCATTAATTAGCTATCGCCGAGTGTCGGGTCTACTAGCAGAACCATCGCATATCCCTCCCCACTTCCCGGCGCCCCCCCTCCTCTCTCTAGGTATCTATCCGGCCCCCCTCCCTGTTCCCTACCACCGTAATAATCGCCGCCAATACTAGGCGAGAAACAAGCCTCTCGGGTCGCGGCCGCGCAGAGACAGGTAAACGCCCCCCCTTCGCGCCCGCCCCCCGGGGACGGAGACACAGCTCGTCCCGCCCCGGGAGCGACACAGATCAGCCCTCCTGCTCTATCTCCTGGATGAGCGCGCGGAGGGCGCCCTTCTGGGCGAGCGCGCGCACCCACTGGTGGATCGCGGGGGTGTAGTCGCGCTGGCGGCCGCGCGCGGCCTCGGCGGCCTCGTCGGCGGCGGCGAGCTCGGCGGCGTACCGGGCCTCGAGGGCGTCGCGCTGGGCGGCGAGGCGGCGGGCGGCGGCGTCGGGGTCGGGGTCGGCGAGGGCGGCGGGGGGCGGCGCGGCGCGCGCGACGGCCTCGCGCGTGAGGCCCCACTGCGCGAGGCGCGCCGCGTCGTCCCAAGGGGGCGCGGGGTCGGGGCCGGGGTCGGGACCGCGCCGCGCGGCGAGCGCGCGCGCGCCGGCGAGGTTCGCGGCCAGGTCCGCGACCAGCCCCCGCACCGGCGACCGGCACACCGCCAGCAGGCTGTACGACGAGAAGTCGGCGCCGCGCATCATGCGCTCCTGGATCGCCGCGCGGGCCGCGTCCAGCCATGACTCGGACTCGGGCTCGGGGGCTCCTGCGGCAGTCCGGGCGCGCGCGGGGCGCCCCGGGGAGGTGTTAGAACAGAGCGCCGTAGGTAGAGAGAAGAAGAAGAAGGAGAAGAAAAGGAGGGGGGGGGGAGGGGTGAAGGCCCTACCGAGACACAGCGGCTTGCATTGGAAGCCGTCGAGCTCCCACACCTGGCCGTCCACGGGCACGTACGCGATGTAGTGGTAGTTGGTCTCGAGGCTGGAGCGCTTGCGCGCGGGGCGCGCCGGGTTCTTGCGCCCCCTGCTCTTCTTCTTCGTCCTCTTGAGCGACTCCTCGAACTTGTTGTCGAGGGAGAGGTCCTCGGCGATGAGGTCGATGCGCCTAGATGTCGAGGAGAGAAAAAGCATGCGTCGTTAGAAGGAACGTCGCCAGCGGGGCAGGGAGAAGGGAGGGGTGGAGTGAGCTCAGGCCGTACCTCGCGACGGAGTTGTGGATGCTGCGGATGAAGTCGTTCGTGTTGAGGAGATGGCCCCGATGGGGCGGCGGCAGCGCCGCGGTCGAGTCCTTGAACTCTTGCAGCTGCCGGCCGAAGCTGGCGCCCGGGGCGTTCATGACGATGTTCATCAGCGCGACGGTGGCGCAGGCATTGGCGGTCGTCTGTAGGCCCCGTCAGCACATGCGCGCCCGAGCGGGATTCTATCGGTGCCGAGAGCGGGCCGTACCTGGTTCGCAAACCAGAGGCCGGGCGGGCCGTCCTGGCGGGTTTCCTCGTCCCCCGGCTCGTTGGTGTCCTCGTACTCGAATAGGAATACCAGGCCGTAGACCGGCTTCCTGCCTCCCGTCAGCCGGCGGAACCGCATCGCGCTGGGAGCAGGGTGATTGCCTGCGGGGCCTTACGATAAAAGCTCCAAGGTATCGGCATCTAAACTATACACCTCCTGGACTTTGAAATCCTCAGCACCAAGATCTCGTAGCATCACGTTAAAGAACCCCTGCGTAGGAGCGTCAGCTATAACGGCGGAAGCTTCTCTCTCTCTCTCTCTCTCTCCTCTCAGTAGGCATTCGACTTACCGGCTCTGACTCGAGTTCGACCCAGCCGCCGTACTCCTTGCGCTCGTCCGGGGACATCTGGGCCAGGATTTCCTCCAGGAGCTGGCCGGCGTCTTCCTGTACGAGGCTCTGGTCGGCAGTCTGCGCAGCCTTACGCTTGGAGCGGGTTGCCTGCGGGGTGGGCTGGCTCCGTGTATCGTTGGCAGGAATGACATACTCCTCGTCGTACTTGGCCGGAGCCTTCTTGGCCCGGGCGGAACGACGAGTAGGAGTAGCCCGGGTGGTGTCGATGGAGACGGGAGACACAGGTAGCACCACGCCTTCGTTAGGTGACTCCATCACGGCAACGAAGCAGGTCTGTGCCCGAACCGAGTCACGCACGCATGCACATTAAGTCTGCTAAATAGGCAGCATGCGCCGAACAGACAAAGATGCGATGGGACACGATGTGATGTAAAGGGAGAGGCGCAACGAAAAGGGGTGAAGAGAGGACGGCGATGTGAGTTGCTAAGGGTGGTTGCTGTGCCGGAGTAAGGAAGGGAGGGGCAACAGAGAAGAGTAGCTTTCTGCTTTCCCTTTAACCGCGAGAACTTTAAGTTAGAGGCATTTCTTCGTCTGGTTTCTCAGAGATCTTTTGGGTTTTTTCCCCTTTTAATAGGAGGAATATGTACTGGAATGCTTGATGATCGGTTATTGTTAAGAGTCCTAGGGTTAAGGATCACAAGTTGAGCTTCCCAAGATAGTAACAAGACGGGAATTAGAGGTGCTAGTTGACCTAACGTGACTTTTATATAGCCTCATCACGTATCTAGTTTCGTTAGCAGATCTTCTTTCAGCTTGTTCAAAGAGATGCTTTTTTTTTTCCTAATAAGAAGAGAAAACCTATGCAAGACGAGATTGGGAGAATACTTTACTCAAAATCAAAGAGCTCTCAACAAGGCTTCCTTGATAGTTAAGTAGAATAGATACTTTGCAAACAATAATAATAAAAGTTATATATTAGTCTCCATTACGAACAAGCCTTATAACTAGCCATTCTATTAATTAGCTATATTCTTTTTGAGCTAAATTTATATTATAAAAAGAAAAATAGAAATATATAAATATCAACTAAGGTTAAAGTATTATAGGCTTTTTATTTTTACTAATTAGTTTTTTAATATAAATTTAAGCTACTTAAAATATATGTAATGATTTTAATATATATCTGTCATTTTTTTTTTAAATATTTAATTCATTAAATAAATAAATATATTATAAATAGATTATATATTATATTATGAACCTTTAAGTAAAATGTTTCTACTTTTCTCTCTATAAAAGAAAGCAGTTAAATGTTAAATAATAAATATTTGATTTTTATATTTAGCTATGTCGATATTAGTAAAGACGGGCAGGTGTTACGATTTGCACATCTGCTTTATACATAGATGTACACATTATAATATCACCTTTGCTACCTGCCTTAGGTACCCAAGGTAGGTACAGTACAGTCGGTCTTATGAGCGGAAGACTAGAGCATCCTAACTGGTGCCTCCTTGACTGGATGGAATCTGAAATGACACTTTTAGGTAGGTACCTACTTACCTGAGTGCCTGCTTAACACTCCACAACTCCAACAAACATCAGCTTGGGGGGCAGCAGATGTACAAGATACTAGGGCATGCTAACTGCAGAGAGATTTCAGGCATCCCGTACCTAAAGTTAGGTGACTGGGTGTCTTTGTAATCCCCTAACAGGTGGCATTCAGTTAGGTACGTCAAGTACTTAGTACCGCTTCTGGAGGTGGTAGATGGGTTGCATCTGTGATGCACTACAGCAGTTGCCAGCTGGCAAGACAGGGATGCTGATTACATCCACCTCTCAGAGCTCTGCAGCAAGGCGGAAAAAAAGCTGTCTAGACGAACAGACACGCGCCGCGACGTGAAGCCGCTTGTTGTTATCACTATCACATAAAAATTTCCGGCTTAGGTGTTTATATTACCCACACAACTCGACCTCCTCTTCTCCTGCCTTCCCTTCCCCTCCCTCTCTTTGCGCCCGTCTCAACAATCTCAACGGGCACCCGAACATACCTGGCCTGTCCGGGTCTGCCATCCTCCCTTCCACTCATTCCTCTCGTCGAAGACACCCACATCCCAGTGCAGAGTCCTGTTCCGTCGCTCCCTCCCTGTCTCCCTCTCTCCTGTTACCATCTTCCTACTCCGTTAATCAACTAGACGGACCTGCGGATCAACCGACCAGCGGATCAACCGGCCAACCAACCCCAAACCAGCGGAACTTGGCCGACTAACAACACCAAGCCCTCACGAGTTGTTGTCCTACCGGCCCTATACTCCCGCCGCCGCTTTCGCATGGGCTGTTGCTGTCGTCACGGCATGCCATGAATCCCGGGACCCCGCGAGTCGGTGCTGGCGGTTACCCGCAAACGCCAGGCCACAGAGGACAGAATCCACGTCCACCACCGAAAGATGCCCGACCCAGAGGCCCACTGCCTGCCGCCCCCGCTCCCGAGAATGCACCGCCTGCTACCACCAATAGCCAGCCGGTGATCCCCCTCACTCTCATCGATGCCCCGAGCCAACGCTTCTACGCCTTCGCCATCTATGTTTGCCTGCTGGGATGGAGATTCTACGACTGGATACAGGTGCTCGAGGACAGTGGCGGCTCCTTCTACTTCTTCTTCAAATGGATCCTCTTTGATTTCGCCTTCTTCTTCTCCCTGCCCTCGCTGCGCATCCCGTGGCTTGAGCTCTCCACATCCACTGTCTCCTTCATCTTCTTTGCCCACTTGGCCCTCAACTGGGTGCTCATGTTCAACATCCCCGTCCCTTGGACTTCCTGGCTCCTCGGTATTGCTAAGGTCTTTTATGACAAGGAGCTTGCCATATCCGAGCACAATGTCAAGGTCTCGAGCATTCTGCACAACTCCTCCCTCATCAGGGGCAAGCAGATCATCAATATCCTTCCTGAGGGGTGAGCCCATGCCACACCCTCTATCCTCTGGGGCCTGTTCCCAATAGACTATGCTGACTTATCCTTCTAGCTCTGCTCTTCTCAACCCCGGAAAAAATCCCTACTGCCTCGGCCAAGGAGTGAACGTGGTCGCTGTACCCATATACTTCAACGCCACCGTCCCTGTCGACGTCGAGCTTATCCGCTTTGACCTGGAAACAAACTCGCAGGAAATCTTGAGGCTCGGCAGGAGGGAGATCAGGGAAATTGCCAAGCAATCTGCCAAGTCGATTGAGGACGGGAATCTGGGGTTATACAGGTACGACGTAGCCCTGAAGAAACCCGGGGTCTACCAGTTGAACCGGGTCCTCGACGAATACAAGCTTGAGGTTCAGAGGATCACCGAGCCGACCTATATCGTCCCGTGCCCCCGAGCCAGAGTCCGCGCCGCCCAGTCGGGAACCAAGTGTCTAGGTGACCTGTCCAATCTATTCCTCGACGTTTACGGGACTCCGCCCCTCAAGATTGTCTACAGCCGAACGATCAATGGAAAAGACCACAGCTTCCATTTCCAGAGCCTACAACCCGAGGGGTTCTCATCCCCTATGCTCGGTTCCCAGCGCACTCCAGGCATAGTCCCCGTAGGAGAAGAAGATTACTCGTGGGCCAGATCCCAAATGGTCGAAGTTGGCCTAAACGAATCGATGAACGCTGCCGGAGAGTGGCAATATTCTATCGACGAAGTACACGACGCTTTCGGCAACATCATACAGTACCCGCAGCCTGAAGACCCTGACGCGAAGCCCAAACCGAAGCACCTATATCAGAACTTCGTTGTGAGGGAGCGTCCCAGGGCCACCATCGCCGGCTGTGACTCTCGCCACCCCCTCAAGATCGCCAAAGGGAAGGCGAGGCCACTCCCTGTTAAGATCGGACGTCCGGGCCGAACCCCGAAGGGCGTCTTTCACACTCTGACCTGGAATTTCTCGCCGATCGATACGCTGACTAAGAGCGGCGATCATGGCGATGTTGTGGAAGTCGGTTCGTTCACAGCTAAGAGCATAGATGATCAGCCGTATATCAGCGCTCCAGGCTTGTACACGCTAAGATCGGTATCTTGCGAGTCCTGCGAGGGAGAGATACAGGAGCCTTCGTCCTGTCTGCTGCTCAACCCCCTCGAGCCGACATTGACGATCCAGGCCGAGGAGATCCCCGACAAGTGCGCCGGAAACTCGATCGGATTGCGAGTAAACATGGACCTGATCGGAACCCCTCCGTTCATCGTCACCTATGAGGTTACTGGCGACGGCGAGCGTCGGCGAGAGAAGATCTCGGTCACGGGACTGAGACAACAAATCGACTTGCTGCCCAGGAGCGCTGGCCACTACGACTACCGATTTGTCAAGCTCGAGGATTCCATCTACTCGGTCCCTTTGCCGCAGTTAGACGAGTACCATTTAGAGCAGAATGTTAAGCCGCCCGCGACCGCGTACTTCGTCCGCGGGTCCGATACCATCAGTACCTGTCTAGATCAACCGATCAAGCTTGATGTCAAGCTCCTCGGGGACGGACCCTTCACGCTCGAGTGGGAATTGGTTCACGAGGGGAGAAGAAAGGCAGAGAAGGCGGTCGGTATCACGAGCGATACATTTACCATCAAAACCTCCGCGCTGTCGGCTGGTGGCGAATACACCCTAGCGCTAAAGAGTATCCAGGACAAGACGGGATGTCGCATATTTCTTAAGGAGGAGACTAAGATTTTGGTGCGGCGTCAGCGGCCCCGGGCAGCATTCGGTCCCATCGAGAATAAGCGGACGACCACGGTCGTCGAGGACGCCGTCGTCAAGCTTCCCCTGCGGCTCTCAGGAGAAGGACCGTGGAAAGTGTCGTATCGCAACGTAAACGGTAGCTCCGACACCAAGGTCCGCGTCGCACGCTCCAACAACGACTATATCGAAGCAAAGAACAAGGGGACGTATGAGATCGTCGATGTCATGGATGATCAGTGCCCTGGTATTGTGGATACCCAATACAACACCTTTGAAGTGAAGTGGTTCTCTCGCCCTGAACTATCATTTGTGGCCAGCGACGCCATCCAGCCCTTGAATAAGGATAACAAGTTCCTCAAGAAGGACGTCTGCGAAGGTGATGTCGATGGGTTCGAAATCTCCCTGCAAGGTAAGCCTACCCGAGCTGTCAACGCTGCCACGCTGATTGTACTAACTGGCGGTCTTAGGGTCGCCTCCCTACCACGTCGAATACGAGATCAGGCACAAGCCCAAGACGGGCTCGGGCTCGGTGGCTCGAAAGGAATTCGACGCAGCTCTCGGCAAGGCCGCCATCCCTCTCGAGACTACCAAGGCCGGGCTCTATACCTACACGTTCTCCGGGTTATCGGATAACTTGTACAACGACAAGCGACGGTCGGACCCACTAACGCTGGAGCAGACGGTCAACGCGAAGCCGTCCGCCTCGTTCGTGAAGCCGGGCCAGACGGTCAAGATGTGCATGTCCGACGAGGGCTCCGAGGAGTCGATCCCCATCAAGCTGGAGGGGATGGCGCCGTTCTACGTCGAAGTCGAAGTCAAGCACCACGCCGGAAACCTGCCCGAGATCTTCAGGGTTCCCAACATCCAGACCCACAGCTACGGCATCCAAATCCCCAGACAGTATCTGAAGCTCGGCGGCCAGCAGATAAGGATCCGCAAGGTGCGCGATGCCCGCGGCTGCCAGCAGAAGACGGAGACAGGCGGCCCCGTGGTCCATATCCAACTCTTCGAGGCTCCGTCTATCTACCCCTTGGAGCAGCGGAAGGATTACTGCGTCGGCGAGCGTATCGCCTACACGCTCTCGGGCACACCTCCCTTCGAAGTCCAGTACGAGTTCGGCGGCAGGGTTATGAAAGCTAAGTCGACCAACACGAACTTTCGACGCGTTGCGGAAATGCCCGGCGACTTTACGATTGCTAGCATCAGCGATAAAGGGAGCGAGTGCCGCGCAGCTGTCAACCTCACCAAGACGATCCACCCGCTGCCGAGCGTCAGGATCAGCAAAGGACGCGTCATCCAGGTCGACATCCACGAGGGCAGCGAGGTGGAAATCCTGTTCGAGTTCTGGGGCACGCCGCCGTTCGAGTTCACGTACACGCGCAGCACGAACGAGCGCAAGGGGCAGAAGAGCCAGGTGCTGGAGACGCGGCACGACATCAGCTACGAGCACAGCAAGGTTATCACGGCGAGCCTCGAGGGCACGTACGAGGTCGTCGCCATCAAGGACCAGCACTGCGCCTTTTCAACCCAAGGCGTCCAATTAAAGGAAAAGAATTCACTTAAGTACTAGTGGTGCTGGGCGACGGAGTAGACGGGCGCGTAAAATCGCGCCCGATCGCGCAACCGATCGTCGGGAGACGGGATCGAATGAGTTGGTAGGAGGATTAGGTGGGACGAAACGAGGTCTGGCCTGCCGTACTAGCAAAGTCTGACGGGGCAGGAGGAAACGTGGACTGACGGAAAGAGGGAGTCAGATGGGTGGCGACGATGAAGGAATGAACTCGGCACGAGAAAGGGGATAAGGGCAGGGCAGAGCAGGGCAGAGCATGCAGGCCGTGGATGTTAAGAGTAATGTGCGGCGGAGGTAAGCCTGTCAGCAGATGTAAAGCTTGTCGAGCATAGCATGAGCACGGCGTTCCGGTAGGGCAATTTCGAGAACTCTTTGCGAAAGACCAGCATTCCCCCCTTCTGGTGGCTTATTGTCCTCTGGCCCGCTGGCTTGTAGGTATCGTAAGGATACCTTCGGCCGGATATTGCTACTAAACTGCTCAAGGGGTTTCATAGTCGAGTGCGCTGTGGTGACGGGGGAGGAGTTGTTCTAGAAGGCGAAACCGCCCTCGTCTCTTTTCTGAGATAGAGGCGAGCTCGCACAGCGAGGATGTAGGTCCCGGGTCGGTGTCCCGCCGCGTAGTCAGATCGAGAGTGATGTTTCATACCCCTCTCACCGACCTATTTCATGATGGATCACCTACATGAATATGTTACCGGGCGGTAGAGTTTGAGCCCAGAGTCGGTCTGAGTAAGCTCTGGCGATGTGTCGTCGTTGCGCAGCCCTACAGGGAGAGGGAGAGGGAGGGAAGGATAGTAGAATAGACGGGAGAAAGAGATATGTGGACTGGTATGCAGATGGGCACGTACTGTCACCCGGTAAGTCTCCTACTATGGAGGGGGAAGAGAGGAAGTTGGGATGGGCGAGCAAGCCTAGTTCGGGCTTAGACTCAGCGTCTGCGAGATTAACGGGCACCCTCGTCCTTTGGCTGGCGGGCTCTCGCCGTGTCTGCGGTGTAGCCCGAGCTTGCCTCTCACGCCCGCCGATATATCATTGCCTTGGTATACTGCTAGGAGCAGCCGCCCGCGTATTCAATAGGGCGAGCGACGGCGCCTTGTGGTATTGCGGCTGGCCGGTCTCACTAGTTATGAGCACGCGCAGGGACGCTGCGCGCCTAGTATACGCATGGACGGCGCCCGGCACCCGGGGCGCGGCCCGAGGGCGATTCCCCCGGACGGCTCCTCCCGCCTTCTCCTGCCGGGTATAAGCACGACGACGAGCAGTACATACGGTGGGGATAAAAAGGCGGCTCGGGCGCGGTAAGGGATGAAGGGAATAAGATGTTAGGACAGGCTTGAGGAGGAGAGGACGTGTGCTAGACAAGCTCGCCGCCCTTTGCATACCAAGTTGCCGTTGCTCTACGTCCGGCCGGCTGGCGGGCGCCGGCTGGCGTCAGCGTCGCGGCTGTCGGGGTAGGCGAAGAGAAAGAGGGAGGCTTTTGTCGCGTCGCGCACGGCAAGCCGTCGCGTCACATTGCCGCGCGAGACCTCGGCGACTTATCCGGGCAGGCCGCGCCTAGCGCAGGGGTGGATCCTGTCGATCTGTCATGTATGTGCGTGCGTGCGTATGCATGTGTCATATATGTATGTGCATATGTGTGTGTGCATACATATGCGTAGGCGCGTCGCTGTCTCTGAAGCCTGCAGCTGGCTGGCCGTATGGGGACGGACGGATGGATGGTGGAGGTTGAACGAAGGACGTCGAACGAGGGACGTTGAACGAGGCACGTCGAGAGATGCGGGAGGTTTCCGGCACTTGGCGTAGGTGCCTAACGTAGGGTACCTGCCTGGAGGTACCGACACCTCGCTGCCTGAGGCAACAAACAGAGGTACCTGGTTCTGAAAAGCTTGGCCCTTCCCCTTATTCAGTGGGGCCACCAGCAAATGCCGGTTGCCTCGCGACCCCTAGAGTAGTCCTGGTTACGTAATGGAGGCTGCGCCGGTGGTGGAATCCCTAGGATGGAGCTCACCCCCATAACATTCACCCCCTTTGCAACCCGTGAGACTGAGAGCCTTTCCTCGGAGTCGAGTGGCACAGGCAGGGAAACCCACGGAATAGACCCATAACCATGCAGCAGCAACAGGAGAGAGAAACATCTAAGATTAGAGGTAGGTTGGCCTTGGCCTCGCCCCTCATAGTACCACGGTAAGACGCCAGCGAGCTCGTCGCCGAGAGAGAGGGGGGGGAGGCACGCCTGTAGCATGCCGAGAGGGGAGCTGTATCAGGTCCAGGCGTAAAAAGTGCCAAGGATATCGACATGGCAACCATATCTAGTGGGGGCTCGAATGGTTGGCTGGCGACTCTTGTTGTTGCTCCTGGGCCCTCAAGGGCTAGCTACCGCATAAGAGCTCACGTAATCATCCTCTAGTAACAACGAGAGCAATACAGCTTGTTCCTGATTCCCGTCTAACTTATAACTACCTAACCCAGTAGGCAGGGCTATCGTATCTCCTAGCCAGTTTACACAGTACCTACCATTATCACGATATCGGAAGTCCGGCATCGTACTGGATCCTTGTTTATCACATGCCTAGGTATTCCATTCCGTCACCTCCGATCGTCGAGTCTTTCCGCTCCTGACGAGTCACGGCCTATCTAGGCGCAGGACGTCACTCCTTCTTTCGCTGCTAGAAGGGATCCTCTCGTTCAAAACACGAACACACGAGCTAAGCACCCAACTCTCACTCGACGTGCCTATTAGTATTGCTGGGGTTTAGGCTGTCGGCGCTGCGTCCTTCGCCCACGAAGTTCGTCAAGGAGTGACTACGTGTATATGGAAGCGTTGGTACAAGGTAATAGAGACGCCAGTGCACACGTCGCAATAGACCTCGGCCAAAAGCAGCGCGCCTCGGGGCTACACGAGGCTTCTAATCTTGCGTGTAAAAGCAAGGCGTATATTTAGGTATCGGAATTTTTTTTTTGAAAAAGAAGAAGGGTGAATCACACCTTTACGAGATAAATAATAATAATCATGTCCCTGTCGGATGATACTACGTAGCATGCTCTCCTTGCTTTGGCCCTATTACAACAAATAATTGCCATCGTGCCTGTAAAGGTCAGGGGTGGTTCGGCCCTATATACGAGTGACCTGATTTCCGATTAGAGGGACCTACCTATCTGGAATGCCTGCTCTAGACCAAGAGTTTCCCCACACATTACAATACGGGGTCTCACTACGTAGCAATCCCACCATGTGTAGGCGGAGAGAGTCTTGAAAGTCCCTATTAGGAGACATTGTTTCGACGAGGGACACAAACTAGCCATCTCCGGACTGGCACGACAAGGCTTGGCAAAGGTAGGCCGGGTGTCTGTCCATTGACGGGAAGACAAAACGGCTGGCTTTCCGCTTCCAGGAGCTCTCGTCTCCTCAACTCTGTACGTAGTAGTGAGTACTTGGGGCCGACACCGGCTCACCTAGGTAGTGAGTGTATTGACCGTTGCCGGAATATGTCTTCTTTTGTAGAACCCTGCCCGCTCCTCAACCCCCCCCCCCCCTTCGTCACATCCCTGTAGGAGTCGATATGCTCCACGAGCCCGGGCGGCTCATGACTCGCTACCGCCTCGCTACCGTGGACTGCAGGTTGCTAAACTAACTCGGCTTAGGCCGAGGCTGTTGGGGCGGGTGACTGGCTGGAGCCGGCATCGCGCATCCCACGATCAGCTTCAGACCCATGAAAGGTGGCTCGTTAGGTTATCATTCAACTCTCGGCAGGGGAGGGGACACGGAGAGACTACATGTGTTCTCGCCCAACCGCCATGCAATCATTCATGCTTGCGTTCCCTACCGGGTTAGGTGTCCAGGTATTACCCCCGTGCCCGCTATACCTTCTGCTCGGACTATTCGGGGCTGTGCAATGAGGCGACTAGGAACTTCCCCGAGACTAGCCATCCACTTGCCTTGGGAGTCCTCACAGCCTCCTACAACTTCTGGTGAAGCGTTGTCGTCCCCCCTTGGCTTGTCCTGGCCCCCGGCGTCGTCTACATTTGACCCTGTAACGATTTCCTTGTAACCCCCCCCCCCCCCCCCCCTTCCCCCCGTCCCAGTCCTACAAGGCAAGTGTTGTTTCTATCTCTATCTCTACCTCTCCGCTTTGCCTGTGCGTGTAGCCCGTAGCCCCGTTGCAGTAGACAACCCCCCGGTAATAGTCATCAGATGATGAAGGGCGCAAGCAAGCGTCGAGAAACTGCAGATTGCTCCGGGCATCACCCAATCACCTCTTGCCTGAGCTCGTCCTTATCCAGATTGACGAATCCAGGATACCTGCCACAGCTCGCCGTCGACGGGGGCTGCGACACAGACACATCTGAAACAGAAACACGGGAACGGCGAGGAGCCGGCCTTCACTGCTACCCAGCTACAGATCGGCGGCCCCTCACTCCCCCCACCACTGTCGCCCCCCTGTCCTGTCATTATCCCTGTCCTGTCATCCCCCCTGTACCGTACTTACACACCACCCGGGTAGCATTGCCCGGCTCGAGGGCACCATATAATATCTGGTTCTCTACGTAGTGATAGTGATATTGGGAATGCGCGTTGCAACATGTGGCACAGCGAGACTCCACGATAACCCCGAGTTGGCGATCTACTTACATCTGCTACGTCGGATCCCGGCTATAAACCTATCTGCAATAACATCGATTCAGAGACTCAGCCCGTAGTTTCCTGCGTTCACGTCCACCTGGAATTCATCCATCCGAGATAGACAGTGCGGTAGAAGGCGCTTGATAGCTCTGTTTATCTGAGCTGGCTGAATATACGACAAGAGAGACAGACCTCCTTTCTGCGAATATCGACTTGCTCGTGAAGCGCTCGATGAGTCCATCGGGCGCTTAGACGGGTTGCTATAGCTAGCTACGAGGCGAGATCTGCAAGCGGGCCTTGACGCGCCGCCATATTCGGATTTTTTCTGAGGATGGTGTATTGTGGGAAGCCCTCGAGGGGGTGTCAGATGTGCAGGACGAGGAGAATCAAGGTAAGTCTTGCCGTCGGTTCTCGCCTAGGGCCTCTTCTACTATTTGTGCCCACTCTCGGATCCGCAAAGCGCCGCCCGTCTTACCAGTCAAGCAGTGTGACGAGACGAAGCCTAAGTGCAACCAGTGCGCCAAATCGCGCAGGATCTGCCCCGGGTATCGGGACGAGTTCGACCTGGTCTTCCGTAACGAGACGCAGGCCACCGAACGTAGGGCACGGAAGGCGAGCGCGAAGTCGCTGACGCAGAAGGCGGCCAGGTCGCAGGAGGTTGCTCACCGAGGTAGCCTCAGCTCACCGCCGTCGCCTCGACCGCAGGCCGTCGTCCCCGCGCTGAACGTGCCGGTGGAACATCAGGCTCGCTGCCACTTCGTCGCCAACTTCGTCCTCGTGCCCCACCAGGAGGGCACGCGGGGCTTTATGGACTTCACGATGCCACTGCTACTGCAGGAACCGCGCGACCACCTGCAGTACGCCTTCAACGCGTGCTCTATGGCCTTCCTACACAACCGCAGGGGCGCTAGCAGCACGCTATCGGAGCGGGCGCTGCATGAGTACACCAGGGCGCTCAAGGAGACCAATGCCGCGCTTAGAGATCCCGCAACGCAGACTATGGACTCGACGCTGGCCGCCGTGTTGCTTCTAGGCTTGTTCGAGGTATGTATCCTATTGCTAGCGGCTTCTCCTCTCTCCAAGTAAACGCGCAAGCGGCGTGGTGGCGGTAGCGAGGTATGCCTGCTTGGTTAGGCGAGGAAGCTTTAGACTGACCAACTGACCCTCCTCATAGACTATCTCGGCCAAGCAGCTCCGCATGATGCACTGGGGCTCGCACACCGAGGGCGCCATCCAGCTCGTCAAGGCGAGGGGCAGGAAGCAGCTGAAGACGAAGGTCGGTTTGCAGCTCTTCATCGCAGTCCGCACTCAGATGGTCAGTCTTCCGCATCCATTTTCCTGATTCTACTCATCCCTTTCCTCCCTGTTCTCCTCCATTCTAAATATTGGACAACCGCCTCCCGACCCGTCTGACTTCCCGGCTAGATCGTTCACTGCCTCACGTCGGGCACGGCGCCCATCATGGGCGCGGAATGGTGGATCAATGACGCGGCGCGCAACCGCACCGCGGCGAAGTGCCACCAACTGCTGATCAAGACCTGCGAGTTGCGCGCCGAGCTGGCGCGTCTGATGGCAGGCCCGCCGGCCCCGCGCACGCCAGCTCGAGTCGAGGCGGTGCTCGAGCTCGCGCGGCGGGCTCAGGACCTCGACCGTGACGCCGTCGCCTGGATGCGCGGCGTGCCGGCTGGGTGGCTGCCACGCACCGTGGCCTGGGTCGACCGGCGCGCCGGGGGAGCCGCCGCCGAGGACTACGCGCGCGCTGAGGTCTTCCCCGGTCGCGTCGACGCCTACCGCGACTTCTACACCGCCGGTGTCTGGAACATGGCGCGCACGGCGCGACTCGTACTCGCCGCTATCGTAGTCCGCTGCGCCGCATGGGCCTGCGCCCCCGTTGATTACCGCACTACTCCCGAGTACGCAACCGCTGCTCGCGTCTGCGTCGAGACAATCGCCGACGTTATCGCCTCCGTGCCGTACCATCTAGGGTGGCGACCGCGCCGGGGACACGACCTCCATCGGCCCCCCTCGTTTTCCGCGTTGTCTTCTACTACCCCTCCTACTTACTCCGCATCCTACGCCGTTGATTCCACGGCCGCCAAAGCTACTGCCATGGCTGTCGAAGATAGTGCTGAGGCCGTCGGTGGCCCGACTCTCGCGTGCAGGGTGACGGCCGCGGGGGGGGAGGAAGAAGAGGAGGAAGAGGAGGAGGGGGAGGAGGGGGTGGATGGTGGCGTGAAGGCGCTGGCGGGCTACTTTCTGACGTGGCCGCTGGCGAACTTGACTAGCCAGGACTACACGACGGACGCCCAACGGGCGTGGATCCGCGGGCGGCTAACATATATCAGCGACGCGCTCGGCGTCCGATATGCGCATATCCTGCAGAACCTACAGATCCGCGTGCCGAGCATGTTGATCCGCCAGGACTGGGTTACCACATCTCATAGTAGCGGCGGCGGTGTTACCGCAGCGACCAAGGACTACATAAAAACGGCGCCAGTGCAACAGCACCGAAAGACACCATCGTTTACGCCAGTCCTACCGCCGCATATCCTTCCCCAACCATCAAATACTATAGTGATGGCGATGCGAGACCATATGCCCCCCTCTTTCTAGATCCGAGGGCGGACGCTTGATTTTCTGCCCCTCTTTTGATGGGGACGAGCTCTGGCATGGTACCCGCGTACGGAAGAACCATGGGGGTTTGAAGAACCTTACACCATGTGTATACTTATGACCTCACCGACAAGGGGTAAAACCCTCTTTGCAGGTTCGGAGAAGGTGAGGGTAGACCGAGTTGGATCCCAGAAGAGCCTTTGCCCGAGATTTTAGACCGTTTTTTTTTTTTTTTTGCGCTCTATGCTTTGCGTCTGGATTCTCCTCCTTATTAGCCTCACTGTACTTAGAACGATCCTAGCATCAAATATTCGAGAGGATCAGACGAGTGAGAACAAGGGCCTGAAAGGAAGTTTATAGGTGGAGATATCGCTCGGATAAATCGAAAGCGTGTACAGATCGCCGTGTACTATCCTCACCCGAGTTCTGTGGTAGTATGTGACACCCACAGCATTCCAAGGTCTTTCGGGCAGCATCATGTGTCTTTGGGTTCAAGTATTCGCCGGGTATAACTCGAGGATGTAGGATGACGTAGCTTCACAGAGGGGGCGTGGAAACGAAGCGGACTGGATCAGAGGTGGACGCGCGTTCTGTTGGTACAAGATGTAGCCGTGATATCTCAACACCGAAAGAGCCACACTCGTCTTTGCAATCACTCGTAAACACAACCATCTGATAAAAAACCAAGGGTATATACCACAAACCGTCCTCCCTTCGCATGTCCAATACGCCGTGCGTGGGAAGCGAGCGTATTAAATCCCACCGCGTTGTCTGGCCGATAGCTCGATCGCGGCGTGCGGGTTAGCGTAGGATACGACGACTCAAGACGTCCCTAGAACCCCGAAATCTCGTTGAAAGCGTCGTGTATACCGATCTTGATCCTGCGAGCAACCCGTGTCACCCTTCCTTCTTAACCCTCCGGCGCCTTTAGGACTTCACACATTATTTTCTCTTGACGGGCGGGGGGTTCCCCATATTCCAGGCCTTGACGACCCAATTCTGCGTCGCGTCGATGTATTTCTCCTGCTCAACGTGCTGTACGCCAACCTTGAGACCGTCCTTGGTCCACATCATGTTCTTCTTGGCCATGCTTCGCTCCGCGTTGTCGCGGATCTTGGTCACGCTGAGGTAGATCTGGTAGACGACGAAGGCGACGCCGCCTAAGACGGCGAACAGGATGAATAGCGGTAGTAGCTGTCTGTGATAGGATGACGCGGGTTCGATTGTTAGTTGCAGATAGCGCGCGCATGAGTGGATGTATACCCGTGCATGTGACTGGGGGGTGAGCGGGCTTCTATTTCGCGCACCTAAAGACGGAGGCCTTCACCTCGACACGGGCGGATTTTCCTCCCCAGGCCATGGCTGCCCTCGAGCTCGCTGCTGGCTGGACTCTCCAGTCGGGTATGCTTGGCGTTTGTCGAGGAGAGGGAACGGCGGATGGTGATCTTCGAAAGAGGGTACCGTGGAAATGCGCAGGTGCTGTTTCCTATTGTCTCCACCCGGGGGACACCTTGCGCAGAGTGTATAACCTGTATCGGTCTTTGTTGACTATTCGGTAGGTGGCACGGTACAGGGGAAGTTTAAGGTAGCGAGGAAAGACCAACTAGGTGGGCAAGGGAGTAGGTGGGGGGGCAGGCGGTTGGGTTGGTCGAGAAAGGTAGACGCATACGTGATTCCGAGGATTTTGCTAGATTGGTTAGTCCGTAGCCGCGACGACGACGGTATATTTTAAATGGTTGTACCACCATTGAACACGGGCACCCAGGTCCCGGATAGGGCAAGGAGAGAAGAAGTGGGAGGTATATGATATGCCTAAGTATGTTGGGCTCTGCTGTGGACAGGCATCACAACGAGGGGGGAAGGGGGTTTGTTATATGTGTATATGATGGGGGCGGTTTGAGGTCTTGATTGCTGTCACTCGATGATACACAGATACTGTTTGCAGTGGTATGGCTACATGGAGGCACGAACACGATACGGGTAGAATGCGGGTGGGATAAGTAGGGCGGGTAGGGCCGCGTACGACGAACTCTCTCTCCTCTCGCTCGTCGCCCCGTGCTTCTTCCTACCGTAGCATCGAACTGTAGATTTCCAAGGTAGGACCAGACAGCTTCAGCTCGACATGGTATCGAGAGTGAAAAGGGGGGGAGGGGGTAAGGAAGGGGGCTAAAACCTGCCCGATTCGGGCTTGAGGGTTGACAAACTGAGGGCCCAGCTGGAAGTTCGGCACGGCGAGTGGGTGTGGCTCGATCGATCTGGATTGACTGCTTACGAAAACGGGGGTAGGCGTACGGGGATGAGAGGCTTAGAGGAGGAATGGTTATAAATGGAATGGATCAAAGGTGAGACGGAGATGGGGGGGGGGGGGGAGATGGTGGAGATAATGGGATGGGACAAAAGCGATGGGCGGATGGAACGCGGCTGGGGGATCTGGAGGGGCATCTACCTCGGTACCTACCTCTTACCTAAGGCTTATCGCCTTATCACCTCTTATGCAGTGCTTCGCAGCAATCTTTATGTGTTGCATTACGAGTATAATACGTAGGTGCAGTTTCGTTAGTTCCGTCAGGTGACTTGCATCCTGTTGATGGAATTTCTTGCGTACGTAAACCCTTGGTTACTTTAAGTAAAGATACCTGTAAGCAGGGCTGTAAAAAAAGTTTAAGTTTTTAAGTTAAGTCAAGTTAAGTTAAGATTTTTTTTAGTTTAAGTTAAGTTTAAGTTTAAGTTTTTTTAAGTTTTTTATACTAGAAATATATATAAATTTATATATAAAATACATTTTATACTTTTATACCTTTATATATTTCTATGAAAACTTCAAAAATAAATTTATTATTATTATTATTATTAATTAATTAAAGGATCTCTTTTAAAACATATATATTTTTAATATAAAGTTTTATAAATAGATTTTTAATTATAAACTTCTAATATTAAGTTTTTAAATTTAAGTTTCTTTTATAAAATTTATTTTCTTTATGATGTTAATATTAGATTCTTTTAATACTACTTTACTTATATTAAATTACTAAAATGTAATGTAAAAATATAATATAAACATATAATATTAAAATAAAAGAATAAAAATATTATAATATAAATATATAAATATAAAAATGAAAATATAAAAATATATAATGAAAATAAAGTAAATATTTTATATGAATAATGATAAAAATTTAAATTATAATTAGTACTAGAAGATAATTTTTTTAATAAAATTATTAAAATTTAAGTTTTTCTTAAAAAAAGTTTAAGTTAAGTTTTTTAGAAACATTTTTTCAAGTTAAATTTAAGTCAAGTTCGAAATTGCTTGAGTTAAGTTAAGTTCGGGCCAAAAACTTTTTTTTTGCAACCCTGCCTGTAGCTACCTACCTGTAGGTACCTGTGGTTACCACCTTAGGTAGCGAGGTACCTGAAGTAACCCAAAGCTACGGTCGGTGGAGGAAATGCTGGCTGAATTGCCCGCCTGTGGGCAGCCCTCCCCCTGGCCAAGCTGCCCACCAAATCGCTACAGGCTGGTCGAATCAACAGCGTCATGCGGCTTGTGAAATTGACAACTTGGCTGAATTTGGGAACATCGGACATCGTGCTCGACGGTAAAAGAGGCCAAAAAAAAAGAGGCACAACGGACTACCTCGCGAAACATCTGACGACTGACGTACCTACCACTCGGCGACTTACCGTACCTCTCTCTCTCTCTGCCTCTGCTCTCGGTCTCAACCTTTTCCCAGTCGACGTCCGTCATCGCTATCTCTTCCTCCCCTCTACCGAGTCACCGCCCACTTCTTAAAACGTGGCCTCCGCCGGGCATCCCAATCCTGCATCGTGGCTATAAGTTGAGAAGCTCCAACGGCATCCTACCACTTTATCGTCTTACTTATCACCGTACAATCCCCTTATCTCGACTCCCCTCGACTCGATACGACTCAAGTCAAGGCGAAGGCGGGAATTATCTTGACGCCGCGAGCCGCAGCGAGCCTGTCAAATAGTTCATCAACGCCCGCTAGAATTATTCGCGCCTCGGGAAAAAGGACGAGCCGTATACCTATACTAGGAGGAGGACAATCGCGCCAACATGGCTGCCCCCAACGATGGCTACGGCCAGTACCCTCCACAGCAGTACGGCCAGGAGGCGCCCTACTCCGACCAGCCGCCTACCGCGTACGACGGACCGACGTCACCGCCGCCTCAAGCCACGTCGCATCAGGAGGCCGGCAAGAAGAAGAAGAGAGGCTATGCTACCCAAGCATTCGAGTTCGGAGCCGGCGCGAATGCCGCCCCTACCCCCGGCATCCCCGGGCCCAATCCCGGCGTCACGTCCCCGACCAACTTCGGAGGCCCTGCGGCGCCACAACTTTCCCCGGGTTACGGCGCGTATCCCGGACGGGATTTTCAGCAGCCTGGCTACGCCTCTCCGGGGGTCGCACCCGTACCCTCACCGTACGGCGCTCCCCAACCAGGACTTGCTGCGCAGCCGGGCGTAGGAGGGTACCAGTCCCCGGAGCCATATTACCAACCCGGACCCGGGAATCCACCTCCCGGCGTCGCTGGGATCACCCAGGGCATGGCCGGCATGAACATGGGCCCCGGCTCCGTCCCCGGCCCCCAGCCTGGTGCTCAGCAGCCCGGCCAGCCAGCCCGTCTTGCCCTGAACCAGCTCTATCCCACCGATCTACTCAACCAGCCCTTCAACGTCTCAGAACTCGATTTGCCTCCTCCCCCTTGCATACTGCCGCCGAATGTGAGTTCCCCGCGTTTTACGCTGCCGAGTTGGGGCTAATACACTTTGTCTCATCATCAGGCCAGCGTCACCCAGTCTCCCGACGCGAACTGCCCTCCCAAGTATATCCGATCGACGTTGAATGCGGTTCCCACCACCCACGCCTTGTTGAAGAAGTCCAAGTTGCCATTTGCCCTCATTATCCAGCCGTACGCCGCGCTTCACGATATCGATGACCCCGTGCCGGTTGTCCAAGATCAAGTTATAGCCAGATGCCGAAGGTGTAGAACGTATATCAACCCCTACGTGATCTTCCTAGATCAGGGTCACAGGTGGCGATGTAATATGTGCAACCTTACCAATGACGTGCCGCAGGCCTTCGACTGGGATGCGGCCGCTCAGAAGAGCGTCAACCGATGGGACAGGCACGAGCTGAACCACGCCGTCGTCGAATTCGTGGCTCCCCAGGAGTATATGGTTCGTCCCCCGCAGCCGCTCGTATACCTGTTCCTTTTCGATGTCAGCTATGCCGCTGTTTCTACCGGTCTCCTCGCTACTAGTGCGCGGACCATTCTGGATAGCTTAAATCGGATACCGAATGCCGACCGACGGACCCGACTTGGCTTCATCGCCGTTGACTCAAGCCTGTCCTATTTTTCGATCCCCAAAGACCACGAAGAGAACGCCGAGACGGGCATGCTCGTCGTTAGTGATCTAGACGAGCCGTTCCTTCCCGTCCCTCACGATCTCCTGGTCCCCCTGATCGAAAGTCGGAACACCATCGAAAACTTCCTGACGAAGCTTCCCGACATGTTCCAGAACAACCAGAGCAATGGTTCGTGCATGGGGTCAGCCCTGAGAGCTGGCCACAAACTCATCTCACCATTGGGCGGAAAGTTGGTCGTTCTCAGTGCTTCACTGCCGAACATGGGGGTAGGGAAGTTGGAAATGAGAGAAGATAAGAAGCTTCTCGGTACTTCCAAGGAAAGCAGCCTCCTCCAGACGGCGAACAGCTTCTACAAGTCGTTCGCGGTGGAATGCTCAAAAAACCAGGTCTCTATCGACATGTTCCTTTTCTCGTCACAGTACCAAGACGTCGCCTCACTAAGCAACCTCCCTCGATACACCGGTGGCCAGACGTGGTTTTATCCGGGATGGAATGCGGGCCGTGCCGAAGACGCTGTCAAATTCGCGTCAGAATTCAGCGACTACCTGTCCTCCGAGATTGGTCTGGAGGCCGTCCTCAGAGTGCGGGCCACCACCGGCTTGCGCATGAGCACATTCTACGGCAACTTCTTCAACAGGTCTTCGGATCTCTGCGCGTTCCCGGCGTTCCCCCGCGACCAATGCTACGTGGTGGAGGTGGCTATCGACGAGACACTGCAGAAGAACTACATTTGTTTGCAGGCTGGCGTCCTCTACACTACGTGCAACGGAGAACGGCGCATCCGTGTCATGACCTTGTCGATTCCCACAACCACTAACCTTGCTGACATATATGCTTCTGCGGACCAGTGTGCCATCACGACGTACTTTACTCATAAGGCTGTCGAGAGAGCCCTGGGGAGCGGCCTAGACGCCGCTCGTGACGCCCTACAGAGCAAGCTGACCGAGCTTCTGCAGACCTTCAAGAAGGAACTCGGAGGTGGGAGCATGGGCGGTGGCGGCCTGCAGTTCCCGGCCAATCTGCGCGGGCTACCCATACTCTTCTTAGGGTTGATCAAGCATATCGGCCTCCGAAAGTCAGCCCAGATCCCGTCGGATCTCCGATCCGCGGCTCTATGCCAGCTTTCTACTTTACCGCTACCCCTCTTAATGCAATATATATACCCCCGACTTTACTCGTTGCATGATATGCCCGACAACGCCGGCGTTCCTGACCCGGAGACGAGCCAGATTGTCCTGCCACCGCCCCTGAACCTGTCTTCGGAGCGATTCGTATCCTACGGCTTGTACCTGATCGATGATGGCCAGACGCAATTCTTGTGGGTCGGTCGCGACGCCGTACCCCAACTCCTGGCGGATGTATTTGGAGTGGAGGATCGCACTCAGCTCCGTGTCGGCAAGGGGTCGCTTCCGGAATTAAGCAACGACTTCAACGAGCGGGTACGAGCGGTTATCCAGAAGAGCCGGGACCACCTGTCCCGTGGCGTTGGGAGCATCATTATACCGCATCTATATATCGTGCGAGAGGATGGCGAGCCAAGCCTGAAGCTATGGGCACAGACACTGCTGGTCGAGGACCGGGCGGACCAGGGGATGAGTTTCGGCCAATGGATGGGAACGATGCGAGAAAAGGTAAGTTGAAACCCCCCAAGCGATATCCGGATATCTAGCCCGTGCTCATTCTTTTCCCTCTAGGTTGTTCAGTAAAAAGCCGTCCTTGCTACTGCGACTCGAAGCGATAGCTGTATAGAAGGTAGATATTTAGCTTCCCGCGTGTTTACTAGTAAAAACCGAAAGAAAAAAAGAAGAGGGAAAACGCGACTAAGCAAAGACATGAAAGCGTCATCAGTAAGGCTCCGAAGCTGTCGAGACGACTAGGCCCTCTGAATCGCGGCGTGACTAGAGAGGAGTGATAGCTCAGCTAGCCAGGTAGCCTCCCAACATTATCGTCGTGTACGTATATAAGCCGGCATTGGGGCCCCTAGAGCGACAGTAACGAGTGGGCGGATGGTGGCCCCAGGTCGACCTTGCGAGGCCGGCCGGATACGGTCTTAGTAATAACACCTTATCTAACGACGAAAGGCTAGAAAGCAGAGAGATGGGGCATCTCGTGCCAACTCGACGTAGCCTCTCTGATGGATGTACACGTTAGTAAGATGTCCTAGGCGCATAGTAGGACTACCTGTTACTGGAGCGAACCCCCAAGAGTGGCTGGCGGCGGTACCGACAGGTGTAGCTGATGTGACAATCCACTGGTTTAGGTGGAAGATGCTTACCCGATGTTAATGGAGGGTGCCTCCTACGGCGGCATGCACTGGATACCGGCACGGGGGATGCGCGCCGCTTCGTTCCGAGCGATACGCTGTCCTTGTTCCTCTTCAGACCAGGCTTGCACCCCCTCATGAAATGTTGTCTCATTAGGCGAGTTGGGTGGCCGGGACATCTGGCGAACTAACAGGTGTTACCACCGGCACCCAGGCACGTATTATGTATGTTGGAAGGTCACATTCTTTTCACACCAGTCGGCCCGTGTTGGGAAGAGGGAGGGAGCGACAGGGGCTTGATGAAAGGTTAAGAGGAGAGAGGTACTCGGGAGAAAAGGGGGAGGAGAAGACAAGGTGGAATTCGGAACTGGAACCGGGACTGGATTCTTAAAAAGATGGTGTTTTTTCTTTCCAAGTACAAGAAATCACAAGGACGTCCACGAGCAGGTCTCAAAAGGGCACGTCATCCTTTACCATTTACCTGCTCGTCCCTGCCCTCTGGCGGGGAGGATGAAGAGAAGAAGGCCAAGAATCCGCGTCGGGACATACAACTATAGACACCTACCCACCCGCGTAGAGATGCCTCTCAGTTCTCTAAAGGAACGGCCTGCCGGCAAGATAGACTAGTCGCAGACGACAGCTCGTCCCAACACTCCGGGTATTGGACGCTATAATAGACCGGTACGTCGTCCACCTGGCCCTGGGTCGACAGTGTCAGGGGTCCGGACCGTCGAGTCCCGTGTTGTAGATATACTTCCATCTAGGTGTATACGTACTCAGCCGCAGCAGTGATGGTGACGGTAGTAGTTACACGCTGGTGGTGTTAGGTAGCCCCAGGCCGGAATGGCTGGTTAGCTGGGTGATCAAGTTTAGCTTATAAAGAGAGTCCGAAGGATATATATATATATACTCGAGGCCCCAAGCCTGCTGTTCTGATGCGATATAGATAAGAGTAGGAAAGGGGGGAGAGGGGAGGATATATAAGTTCATGCCTCAGATTACGATATCCTCCCGTTCTTTTCTCCCCCTCTATCGATACGAGATACCGTAGGGGAGATAAGATGTCTGAGATGCTCATCAACGTTAGCGAGATAGGTACCTGTAGATATATCTACCGGCCTATGGTACCACTATTGCGACACACGACGTTCAAACATACGCGCGCGCCCAGGCCCTGGGCGAGCGCCTACGCAGGCTCGCCATTGGACGACGAAGCCGGCGGCGCACCTCCGATTAATCTATCGGCACGCGCGAGTGGACGCGACGTGTGGGTGTGGGTGTGATGGGTGATAGGGAGCGAGGGGTTCTTGGGCGGCTATTCGAACACCCACCCAACTCTCCGTCGTCGTCGGAGGCCTGGGTGCCGAAGGTAGGTAGGTAGAGAGGTACGCATCGAACTGTTTCGCGTCGGCTGGAATTGGTCGAGACCAAGCTAGCGTCTTGTTTCTCGCTCCCAGCGAACTGTTCAGGCGTGTCGTGATCCTACGGCCATAAGGGTTGGACACGATGGGAAGGACAGCAAGGGGGACAGGGCCTGTCACAGAGCCAGCCTATCGGGGTCGTGGTGTCTGGAAGTCCTACGCGCGGCATGTTGATCGATTTTTATCCCCGGGCGATGTGCCCCCCCAGGCCACAGGAGAAAGGGGAGAGGGTGGACGATACTAGGAAGCAATTGGAGAAAACACTCGTCTATGCTGAGAGTTGTTTATGCTTGCTCCGTCATGTGTTTCTCGTATGGATGGAAAGGGACTGACTGACTGGGTTGGAGGTCCTCGTATGGGAGGTAACCTGGGAGGAGGTAGGCATATTGCTGGGACCAAGACCTGTATCATGTATGTGGGTAAGAGCCTTGTGTCTCTTAGATAGGGTACCTAGGTACATTTGCTTCCTTGCATTAGATACCTGAGGTTAGGTACCTTAATTATCTTAGGTAGGTACCTCCTACCTGTAAGTACAGGCTGATATGTAGTTATGTCGAAGCGGTGCGCGTAATTTGAACCTCGCTGAGATCCCCTCGAAAGGGTGAGGTACCTAAGGTAGGTCCCTAATCTACTACCTAGAGGCAAAGAAGGATCAGGGGTAAAGGTAAGAAGTACCTATCTAAGGTACCTAACCTAGGATATCTGGCATATCAGGTACCTGCCGATCTATAGATGTACCTATCCAGCAGCGGGAAGAACATATAGGAGGTACCTGTCTACCTTAGGCGCCTGACTTCCAGCGAGCGAGGAGGGCCACCACCACCACTCCCTCGTCGATGGAATCCGATACGGTTTCGTATACTTCATCGCGAATCCCACATCCTTTGGGCGCTCGCACGCCTCATTCTCGGTCGGTGGTGGTTTATGTGTTGAGTAGCTACCTAGGCACATGTCAGCGTGTTCCACGCAGGTCGTTTCTCCCCTTCTTAACCACCCCCGCTTCGCCTGGCCTGCCCCTCGCCGAATCGCCTTCTATCCGACAGAGGGAGATGACAGACACAGGCCCGGGGAGCAGACACAGAGACAGATAGATAATAACCCTTGTCTCGCCCAACCGGCCCAGGTCATCCAACTGGCCTCGCCCGCTTTCCTTCTCGCCAGTAATTCTTCGTCGAGACTACGGCCACTGCTGGTTCTGCTACGGCGAGCACGCTCCCGCACCAACCGCCGGCCAACCAAACCAGACGGTATACCGTTGCGCTCTAGTGTCTTGTCGCCGTCACATTATCGAGGTCCACTCCTGGCAAATCCGGTCTCGACAAGACGGGGCCCCATATCTCTTTACACAGAGACCCGACGGGTTTTATCCACTGTCACTGCAACGGCAGCTCTACCTCTCTCCTCCCTCCTCCTCCTCCTCCTCTTCTTCTTCTTCTCTCTTCTCCCTTTCCCCCTCCCCCTCTCCCTTACTCCCCCCCCTTCAAGTAAGAGAGAGTCTGTCGAGCTTTTTGGCATTTCCCCACTCGTCCACACACATACGCTCATTCTCTCTCTCTCATATCCCGTCTTCACACTCCTTTCTTTTTTTTCGCCCTTCCCATCTGCGCCGTCGAGCCCCTCGCAGCTTGTCCTGCTGGCTTATACCTATATCGAGACTGGTTCACCTGCCTACCTGGTTGCCGTGGTCGCACAACCCCCCGATCACCGAGGAAACTCGAGAGGAGTTTTTGTCGACTCTTTGGACCATCCACTCCGAATATCTCCCTGCCCGCTCCCCCATACCCGTATACCTAGGTTCCTCCTATCTTCCACCACCACCACAACCTACCTACAACCTGCAGAGCAGCTGGCATCTTTCCCCCCGCTGAGTAATCGCAATCCGACCCTCTGGACTCGTACTCGGCCAAACTACCTTGGTTGTCGTGGTCCATTAGCCGAAAGGTGAGAGTGCTTTTTTTTGTCGGTTATCTGTTTTTTGGGTTTCAGAGGAGGACCGGCGGGAAAATCTTCTCCTTACCCCTCATCACCACCATCAGCCGTGTAGCGATGCACCCTCCTCTAGTCGTGAGCCGGCCACACGCGCAGCTTCAGACTACGAACAAAGGCGCCAAGACCCAGCTTGATCCGGTGTACCTCCTGTCACTTCCTCCCCCTAGGTTGGGAGGGACCGGACGAAACGTCTGAAGTTCTGTAACACGGAGAGACAACTCTATGCACTCTTTGGCCTCAACTCCATCCGAGCGGTGTGCTTCTCCTCGGCTTCTAGAAACTGCCAACCACGCGAGCCACCAATCACCCACACAACTGCCCGTCTCTTCAGAGCGTCGGCACTTCGATCGATAAGCAAGTGAATAGATGATGGGCGGGCGATCTCAAGCGAGCGCATCAGGGGGACTCTGAGATGCACAGACCCGGGAATCCAACTACCCGCCCACCTCGGTGCTCGACGATCTGCATTGCAGCGATCAGTCGCCCTTCGCTTTAATGTCATCTATGATCGTCCCCTCTCCCTACCTCTCTCCCTCTCGCCGCTCGCTCACGCGCTCTCATCTCCACCACGCTCTTCTGTTTCTTTCCTCACGTTCGTAACGTAACGTGGCGGGTCCGGCTAATACGCCCCAGTCCTCCCTCAGTCCTCCCTCGCGGTCCGATCACGTACCTAACCGCAACTCCGACGCGCCAAAGCCGAACACGACGAACATCGGGAAGCTGTAGCGCTCGGGTCGCCAGCCTCAGAGAAGACAATTCGGATCGCAGCGCTGCAAGCACGGCCCACTCGACCCCCCCCCCTTGCGACGGCATCTCCACCCTGGTTTTCTGATTTTCGCTACCCCGGCGGATCGAGGTTGACGGCTTCACTTCCGAGCCCCGCAGCAACTAGGCTCACCCTCGAGGCGTCCGTCCGACAATCGTGGGCCGCCTTCGGGATCCCCTTGCGCTGTGTGCTCCGCCGTGTGGAGCGTGCACGAATTTAATAGTTGTCATCGAGCCGATACTACCTATACAAACACTCTTATTGCCCTAATCGGGCCATATTATACCCGTGGTTGAGGCCTCAGCAGGTTCCCCAACACCGCCGACCTCCTTCGCTTCTCGAACTCTCCGTTTCCCCCAATCCCTCCGTCTCGCACATACCAAACTCTACGCCAACCACCTTCTCTGTCGTCACCGAAAACACTATGTCGCGATCTAACGCCCCCAATGCGACGGGATCCCGAAAGATCTCATTCAACGTCAGCGAGCAGTACGACATTCAAGATGTCGTCGGCGAAGGTGCCTATGGTGTTGTCTGGTACGTTCGTAGATGCACCGGAAGCGCACGACAGACTGCTAACCCGCCATGCCTAGTTCGGCGATACACAAGCCATCCGGCCAGAAGGTTGCCATCAAGAAGATCACGCCGTTTGATCATTCCATGTTCTGCCTGAGAACTCTGCGAGAGATGAAGCTGCTCCGATACTTCAATCACGAGAACATCATATCCATCCTCGACATACAAAAGCCCCGCAACTACGAGACCTTTAATGAAGTGTACCTCATCCAGGTAGGAGACGAGTCTAGAAATCTCCGGACGAGGACGGATAGTCACTAACCCGACCCTGTCGTAGGAGCTCATGGAGACGGACATGCACCGCGTGATTCGTACGCAGGATCTGTCGGACGACCATTGCCAGTACTTTATCTACCAGACGCTGCGAGCGCTCAAGGCCATGCACTCGGCCAATGTCTTGCACCGCGACTTGAAGCCCAGCAACCTGCTGCTGAATGCTAACTGTGACCTGAAAGTCTGCGACTTCGGCCTCGCCCGATCTGCCGCGTCCCAAGAGGACAACTCTGGCTTCATGACCGAATACGTTGCTACCCGTTGGTACCGCGCGCCCGAGATCATGTTGACATTTAAGGAATACACAAAAGCCATTGATGTCTGGTCTGTCGGCTGTATCCTGGCCGAGATGCTGAGCGGAAAGCCGCTGTTTCCCGGCAAGGACTGTACGTGACCTAGACTGCCCGCCTGCCCTTCTTCGTAGGCCCCCCCCCCCCGCTAACGTGCGCCTCCTAGATCACCACCAGTTAACCCTGATCCTGGACGTTCTCGGCACTCCGACGATGGAGGATTACTACGGGATTAAGTCTCGCCGCGCTCGCGAATACATCCGTTCTCTCCCCTTTAAGAAGAAGGTTCCCTTCCGAACCCTCTTCCCTAAGACTTCCGACCTCGCCTTGGATCTGCTGGAGAAGTTGCTGGCTTTCAACCCCGTGAAGCGCATTACTGTGGAGGAGGCCTTGAAGCACCCGTACCTCGAACCATACCACGACCCGGAGGACGAGCCAACGGCGACGCCGATTCCGGAGGAGTTTTTCGACTTTGACAAGCACAAGGACAGCCTCAGCAAGGAGCAACTGAAGCAACTGATCTATGAGGAGATCATGCGGTAGAACCGAGAAACCCTCGATGGATTGGCTAGCGGCTTTTGGCGGCCTTGGTTTGACAATGCGGTTCCAGAAGACTCTCCGCGGCAGCTGAGAGGTACTCTGTAACGGAGGGTACGAGGAATATTGACGGGCGAAGACCGGCCAGCCCGGTTGTGGCATACACGTGTGGTTCGGGGGTGGAGTAGCCGCAGCAGCTCTCAGATGACGAAAATCATCGATCAAGAGGAATCTAGGAGGGGGCATATTTTGTGTGGTCCCTGTCGTAGTTCCCCGTATGGGGTGGGAGGAAGAGGAACGCCGCAGTTTGGGCGGCGCGGGTATGCAACCCCCGAGGGGAGGAGGGGAGAAGACGAGGAAGAGGGCCCGGGGAGGGGGGTTGGGGGAGATTCTGTCCCGCGAAAAGCAAGACGCCAAGCCGGCCCGAGATCGGCTCCGGCTCCGGCTCCGGAGAGCTTGGGTGGATGAGCAGGATTGTATCCTATTCTCCTTCTCTCGCCTCCGCCGTCCTCTTTTCCCTCTGCCCTTTCCTTTTTCTGTTTGATTTTTGTCTAGGTTGGCTGGTAGTTGTAAACACGGAATGCTGATTTTCTCATTACCCCTGAACGGGCGCGCTGTCGTGTATGAGTAAGCCTTGCCTGTGTGCCTGTGTGCTGCGCGTCCGCCGCCCGGTGGTGCACGGAAGAGCGAGCAAGGTAGGGTAGGGAGACTGGATCGGCATCAAGGAACCTAGCTGGTCAGGCCGACCTGCGCAGTGCAGGCGCGTCGTTTTATCATCCCGTCCCGCTTAGCCGCGTGGAAACCGAATATCTCGAGGCCCGAAGAGGTCCGTCCCGCCGGGCGCGCTGGGCATAGTATTCTCCTCTCGCCCGCCCGTTATGAGCATCTACACGAAGCACACACATAGGCCGGTTAGTACGGGAATATATGCACACACATATATATATATATATCAAAATACACACCTAGCCACACCCCTTAGCAATCCTGCACACTCTCTCCGGTCTCTGGTCCCCGGTCCGATCACCCTATTATTCGCCCGCCCCCCTGGGCGTAGATGAACTCATAATATCTATATTGTATCGGTGCATTCGTACCCTATTCCAAAGAACCGCCGACTCCCCCTCCCAAGAACCCCCGGAGACGCTGTGTCCTGCTTGCCGGGCCTGCTATTTTCGAAGCTGGGGATCGTATGCTCCCCTCGCTGCCGCCCCCGCGCTCTCTCTTCTTCCTTGGGCGTTGCTCTGTCCGACGACGCCGCGCGGCGTATGGTCCGTTCCTATCTCCTTCGTTTCGAACGCGAGTTATGCAGAGCCCCAGGCTCGATGCGTGCTCAAGCTAAGCTCAGAGACGCCAATTAATCATTCCTTTTTTGTTTTGTTTTTTTGCGCCTCCAGCGATCATCGATAATTACTATTCTCCTTTCCTCCTCTTCTCTCCCCCCCCCCCCCCCTCCTACCCTCCCTTCTTAGCTCGCCCCGATAACCCACAGCTCAACGCCGAAGACGTCGAACTTCTCGCCCTCGTCGCTCAGGGACTGGTTGAGGAACGTGTCGCAGGGCGCGCTGTGGCCGAGGCTAAGCGAGTCGTTGAGCCAGAGCCCGTACCTGCCGCCGCCGCCGCCGCCGACCGACAGAAACTTGGTCTCGCAGAAGATGCAGTAGTCGTTGGCCCCCGTGTACGCGAAGTTCTGGAACCGGATGCTGTGCGCCGGCACCGACTGTGGCGGAGCCAATTTGCCGGTTCCCGGGTCCATCGCCCCCGGGGCGAGGTGGTGGCCTGGCGGCTGCGTCGCGGGAGGTGGGGGTAAGGAGTCGGCGGCCGGCGAGGCGATCGTCGCCGTGCGGTAGTTTATATTGGTAGTGTCGGCAGACGGAGGCGGCGGCAGGGGCGGGTGTAGGCTCGCCCGCCAGAGGAAGCACTCCCCCGTACCGAAGTACGAGGGCGCCGGGTGCGGGGCTTCGGTGAGATATGCACCGAACGTCTGATGCAACGATCAACATATACAATCAGCCATGCTGTCCGAAATTAATAGACGAGAAACAAAGGTCCGGGGGAGGAGGAGGGGAAAGAGTTACTTACGGCATCTTTCCCGTCCCGCACGACGAGCACAAACCCGACGCGGCGGCCGCGGTACTCCTCGCACAGCTTGTACAGGGTAGCGAGCGAGCTGCCGTCCTGGTAGAGGCTGTAGACGAGGTGCCAGGAGTCGGCGATCTTGAGGCGCTCGGGCAAGAAGGTGCGGATCTGCTCGGCGAGGCCCCGCGTCAGTAGCCGCTCGTCGGAGTCGGTGTCGGCGTGGTAGCCGCTCAGGGACAGCGGCTCGAGGGAGGGGAGCCCGCGCGGCGAGGGGGTGCGCCGGAGCCCGCCGGGGGGCTGCGACGGCGGGATGAAGGGCCGGCGGACGCCGTCGCCCGTCGAGCCGAAGATGGCGGGCTCGGAGGCGGTATGCTGGAGCTTAGCGTGGGCGTGCGAGTGTGGCGGGGAAGCGGCGTCGGCGTTTGCGGAGGGAGGAATAGAGCCGGGCGTTTCGAGAGAGGATAGACGGCGCCAGAGGCCGAGCACGGCCGAGCCGAAGCCGTAGCCGCCGCCGTTGCCGGGCGAGAGCTGTTGGGAGGGGGACTGCGGGCGGGAGTGTGGCCGGGGTGGCGTATAGGAGCGGGAAGGACGGGAGACGGGGGTAGAATAGCCGGAGGAGGGCGGCGAGAAGTCGATTAGGTTGCTGTCCTGTCGGGCAGGCATGGCGGCGGCCGTAGTTGTTACGCTGACTAGAATAAAGATGCCAACTATACCGCCGCTTGTTGCCGGGCGTGCTACGTGCGCAGTTGGGGCGGCGTATGTAGGTACCGCAACGAGTGTGGATTGTGATGGTAGGTATGAGTATATGTTTGCGTAGCTCCCCTGGGTGGGCAGCGGAGATCGTGGGTTTGTCGCTGTGATCGTCCTGGCTTGTCCCCGGAGGTGGGAGAGGCGAGTGGCGAGTCAACCTCGTCTCGGCTCGAGACAGTTGAGATGAGAAGGCCTTCTGTGGGCTGTATACGGTCGGAGGTCGTGAATGTGACGTAGCGCGACGACGGTGGTGCACACATTGAAGTGGGAGCGGGATGAGTGGGAGAGGTATGAGCAGGAAGAGGACGGGGTGCACGGAGTCGCATAGCTACATCTGGGGAAAAACCCCCGTTTCGGGGTGGGGTTCTCTACTCTTAATGTCTAGACTTACACCCCAATAAGATGGGGGTATCCGGTTTTAATGCATATTGCCGTTGGCGTAGTATTATAGCTATAAGAATTCATATATTTAGTTATGGGGTCTATTTTCATGGTAATTTAAGATCGTCGTAATCAAAGGTAAGTATAAATTAAAGGTAATCGTAATTGAAAGAAGCTAACTGAAAAAAGCTATAACCAAAGGTAAGAGCAGGGTACGATAAATAAATATATACCTTCAAGAAGGGTATGTATCTCTTAATAAGGAGGATACGTACTTATCGATAAGTAGAATACGTATCTATTGATAAGGAGGATACGTACCTACCGATAAAGATGGTACGTACCTACGAAAAGGAGAAGGGTACGGAGGTACGAACCTACGATTACTGAATTAAATATTGTAGCTATGCGACTCCGTAGGGGTGGTGTGTTTGTGGGTTTGTTGCTACCTACCTAGGTAGGTATCTAAACGACAACACCAAGGGCGCGCTTATTCCTGAACATGTTTTCTTCACCATAATCCCGGTCCTTTGCTACTTTATGATCTATCGACCCCCCCTCCCCTCCCACCATGTCGCTTGGCCTGATAACCACTTAGAGAGCTACTCGAAGCTCCCAAGTCGGACGGCGAGGTATTATTAGAAGGGCGTGGTACGCGATCTCTCTCTCGGGTAGAATATAGGTAAGTCTGGTACCAGGTAGGTACAGCAAAGGCACGAGGTATAACAGCAAAGACGCGAAGTGAAGGTAGATTCGTGATGTCAAGCACCGTTCGTTTCCACACTCGTCACGGTTCCATCTCACGATCTTCAACAAGATAAAACACAGCTACGTTCAAGGAAATTGCCTGCATAGGTATACATATCTATCTACCTGCCACGACTATGGCGATTGTTGCCCCGGCGTAATTCTCACCAAACTCACCGCCGCCACCACCATCACTCCTCCCGTTAGCTAAGTAGAAACACCACGTAGACATTACATAGCAGCAAGACGCCGACCAAGGCTACCGTCATCTCTAAAATACCTCCAGCTCTTTCAATTGGTAACATCCTTAGCCTTATCGTAACCTCACCTGCTAGAAATACACCCTACATCCGAAGCAAGCTTGCTTAATGCTAAACGCCTGCCAGTTCTTCGACCCTAGATGGCACATACCGACAATACCGCATTGTAACCTCCAACATTATAGAGTCAAGCGCAGCCGTCTTGTCGTCCCATTGGTACACGCTTCAGCGGAACAGACCGGGCATCGACCGGGAGCCTTCTCGCACGCGCCGTCTCATCGTCCAGGAGCAGGGTCACGCGTCCGCCGGGTTCCGGATAGGAGCACCGTCATCACTGGCACCGAAGGTGGGACGGCCCAAAGAATTTCTCTTTGCACGTGCAAGCCTTCCGGAGCCGTGACTCGCAGTAGGCGTCCCGCGAGCCAAATTAGGCGACCGTACAATGATTGTTGACAGGGTGGATGGTAAGGACGGGTCGACCTCGCTCTGGGTTGAAGGGGCGTCATCTCCGTCAGAGGATGCCGGGACGGGTCGTGGTTGGCTGGCCTCCGACGAGCCGGCGTCGACGACGACGACGGTGGTTATCGAGACTGGAATAGAGCTGGCTTGGGCCGGAGGCGTGATCACTGGAAGAACCCAGATTAACCCTCATTCAACTGACACCGCGGTTCTGAAAACAGCATTTGTCCAAGGGCACCGGCGCGGCTTTCCACTTGCTACTGCCGGCTCCTCGACGGGATCCTCAGCGCAATTTGAAGCATCCGGCCTGCAAATGACCATAGTGATCGTTTCGTAACGCCAGGAGACTTACCAGCGGATGCATTCGGCACGACTTCATCATCAGAGTGTGACGTTGGGTCTGGCAGTGGCGTTTTAGGGGGTCTGTGTGGTATCGGAACTACACATGTGTAGGTCGTGTAACGGATTGAAGAGCTGCTAGTTTCGCACGGCTCTGTTATCGTTCCAGTCACAGGACAGGGAGAAGTCGAGGGAGATCCGCTGGAAGTTGTCGGCAGGGCGGTATCCGAATTGCTGTTGCTGCTCTGGGAAATAGAGGAACCTGAACGCGAGGTAAGCGTGCCCGTACTCCTAGTAGTTTGGGAAATCTTTGTCGACGTCTTGCAGCTGGACATACTTGAAGAACTAGAAGAGCTGGTCGACTCAGTCGGCGCTATCCTTGATGTGGGGGTGGTCGTGGAGAAACTGGTTTCCGACGTGGTAGTCGTTGGGCATACCGTAACCGTAGCGGTGACGGTCACTGTCACAGCGGAACACGTCGTGACATTATCACCAGTACTGGTGGTAACCCTGTGAGAGCAACCTAGTTAACTCGGCTGGTGGACGGCCGATCAAGCGGATCGACTAATGTGGTTACTCTCACATTACAGTAACAATCGCAGCTGTGGCAAATCCGACTAACTGAAGGATGCCTAGAGCACCGACAAAGGCGGTTGCACGCATTTTCAATGCGGTTTGTGGCCAAGAGCCGGCCGGCCTAACACGTAGTTGGGGACCAGTTAACGAGCGACGACGATGGGTATGAGAGCGAATGGAGTTGTGACGACGATAGCGGCACGAGAGACACGGGAAGCAGGAGGGCGGAAGAATGGGATGTGGCAAAACGTGAAACCAAAAAGGCGGCGAGAGGACAAGGACCTTAATATATCGGGAGCGGGCGAGGGCGAAATTCTCCGAGGCAATGTCGACGCCGGGATGCTTCAGCGGCGCCTTCGCGACTCCTCTTGAGGGATGGCCCCTCCCCGTCGAAAACAAGAGGAAGGCGACAATGATCTGGCTAATGCCACACTCTTAACGCCTACGCAGGCACCTGTCGATCCCAGCCTGGAGACCTACATCCGCACGGCTCGTCGACGGCAGCTCTCTCGGCAACGGATAGTGTGCTTACCACCGAGGCCACCCCCACACCCCTCCAAGAGCAGGCGAGGAAGACGATATGGATGCCCGCCTTCCATAGGCGCCTACGTCGACAATGCCTACGAAGATAGCAAGAGTACCTAGCCTCTTAATAGCCTCTTTCCTCGCGGCCCCCGGCCCGCAGCCCGGTGTGTACCCACGATAAGAAGGCACACGTCAAGTACAGGACGTAGGTCTATAGAGGTAGGCGCCCAACGCAGTCCCTAGTGTGAGGCTGCCTCTGTACTTTGACATCCCAAAGGCGAGCGGCAAGCAGGTGTCGATCCGGGTATGCATCGGCTACTGTTGACAGTCTGTATGCGGGCAAGTATGCCTGCTCTCCCTCGTCCTCAACGGGGAAGTCCGTGGTGGCACTTCATTTAGGTAGGTATTGCATTAATATGTAACCTTCACCAACTAAGGCGTGTCCCGACAGAGGGAAGTCAACACATGAATTCAACTTCTAACCACCCGGGATCACATAGGACTGTCCACGTATGGTGGAGGAGGTTCATCGGGGCCATGCTCTCGTGGAGCCGCCGGAGTCGGCGCGGGAGTGGGGGCTGGGCCAGAAGCATGTACCGCCCTCGCCTGGTGCTGCTGCTGCTGCTGCTGCTGCTGCTGAAGCTTGGCCGTCCAGAGCGCCGCGCCTGTCGTCGAAGTCAGGAGGAAGAAGAAGGACAAAACGGGGATCAGCTGGAGCAGCATCGCAACGGTGCCGAACCAAGTGTACTCCCACATCCTGCTCCGGACCTCCCTCTTCTGTTCCTTCTTCGTCATGCCCCTCAGCGCGAACCATCGATACTGCGAAAAGGTCCCCAGGCGGGCGCCGGTGATGATGACGAATGCCGGCATACCGACGTAAGGGACGAGGTTGAGCGGTAGGAATACGACCAGCTCGACGATCTGGATCAGGCTCCACGGCTGGTAGACGGCCGGGGTCGTCGGCTTGCCGAGCTTCTTGACGGAGGTTGGCGCTTGGAGGAAGAGGATTCGGTGCGGCGCAACGAGGCTCTCTAGACCGTTGTCGAGGAGCGTCGCCTAGCTCGAGTTAGTCTTCCCGTCGGCAGCTGGGGCGAACGCGCGGATGCGAGGTTGGCCGCCAAGGACTCGGGCTACTTATTCGCCCCTGGGGGCGCGACCTACATCGAAGACATCGACCCGACATTCGTCGACGAAGAAACCCTCGAACAGGCCCTGGATGATGACCAGGCCCTCGCCGAGGACTAGCACCACCGCGTTGACCCACGCGCCCCAGCCGTGGAAGATGGCTAGGAAGGCATATTGAGGCAGGAAGGTGAATGTGAAGAGGATCGTATAGACCAGGAACGAGATGACGGACAGGGGAAGTAGCCGGCCGACAAATAGAGGATAGTAAGCCGGGCGACGTAGGAAGTAGTAGATGCCGCGAAGAGGATACGAGGATGCGATTAATGCTCGCGAGACGTAGGAAAAAGGCGTTCCTAGGAGCCGCATAGGCCGAGGGCCGCGATGCTGGGAGTCCATTCTTGGAGGTGCTATCTCAGGGGTGGTCGCGTGAAGGCTGTCCCGCCGCTATCAGTTCTCTTGACGTCTTTACCGCGCTCTGCTCCAAGGTCCGGCTGACTTGACCTGGCGGTTGTCGCTGTGCCTACGCGTACACACGGAGGGAGGTACGTGCCTGCCTAGGTACATAGGGTAGGTACCTTAGGTAGGTAGGTTAGGTACCTCTATGCGATAAAGCAGGGGCTGGCATCGGCCTTATCGATAGGCGCCGATATTCCTAGGTACCTGTCATCTTACTGCAAGGCATACCTGGCACGTAGTGGATACACTCGAAGGTATTATAAACTGTGATGCCGATAGGTATCTACTACCTGTCTTTAGTACCAAAAAGGTACTGAGGGGGTACCTACCTGAGGAAGGTATCTGAGGTGCCCGGCCTGCTCGTATCTGCTCAGATCGGAGGACGTTGGCGGGCCTCGTTGTCGCTAAAGGGAGGCTCCGTCCCAAGGCCCCTGCTAACCTGCATTGCTCCCATCTCTCTCTATCTCTCCTCTCCGTCTCTTCCGATGTCACCCAACTCAAGGGAAGAAGAGAAGTCGTCAGCGCCGTAGGGCAGCCACATTCGCGAACCGAAAGGTACCTAGGTAGGTACCTACCTATATGTATGTACCCCGTACGGAAATTCGCCGCGTGCCTGGCCTCATACGCACCAGGCCCTATCTTGCACGGAACGCTCGTCCGCTTGCCGTCCGCCATCGCGAGTCGCCTTGGCGTAGGTAAGTCCGGGCAACCACCGGGAAGTTCTCCGTCGAGGGAGGGGTCGGCCGTACTGCCATGCACGCTCGTGTTCGTACCTACCTGGCTCGCTGCCGCCCCGGCTGCCGAGTCTAGATCGACTGGGGATTCGCAAACACGTTTCCCGGGTCCAGTTTCTCCTTCAGGCTCTTCAGCTCGTTGTACAGCTCCCTCCCGCGGTACTGCTCGTGCGCCTGCTCTCGCGTCAAGCTCGGGTCCGTGTAGTTCTCGTACGATCTGTGCTCGGGGAGGTGCCTGGTCATCGACTGGACCAGGCCGTCGACGAACTCGAGGCCTTCGGCGGGAAACGGCTCGTCGTTTCCCACGTAGCCGTAGACCTGGGCCACCCAGAGCGCGTCGCGATGGGCAAAGGCCGAGGAGCCGGCGCTCTTGTTGTTGATTTGGCTGTCGGCGCCCCCGTACAGGTCGAGCATGATGAAATAGGACACCGGTGCTCGGGCGCCTTCGCCGAGGAGGTGGGTGAAGAAGCTTGCCAGCGCATCCTTAGTGTAGCCTGGCTCGGGCACGATGGCGCTCTTGGCGAAGAAGTTACTGTGGTCTGCGTAGTTGTCCGAGACGTGGAGATCCTGGCCCTGGTTGAGGAGTTTGAGCGACGTGAGCCAGTCGACCTGCTGCACCTCTATGGTTGGGTTCTCTGGGATACCCTTCAGGAGTGCTGGCAAAATCGCGTCCTCGAAATCGGCGCGAGACCCAAAGTAGGTGCCTCCTATTCCGAAAAAGTCAGACGAGAGAGACACGTTCAATCCCAGCCGCCGATCGATTAAAGATTCGTCGTGAACATAGGTTTGGATGTGCTGCAACGCACTGACGGCATTCTCGACACTCTTTGTCGCGTCACAGATCTTGATATACCAGTTGGTCACGGATTCAGGAGCTGGTTGTGTCTCGAGGTAGAAATTTACGGCAATTCCGAATGAGTCAGCCGCACCGCGCATCGCCTTGGGCCCAGATTGTTGCTGTCAGCCCTGGTATCGTAGAGATATTGAGGGCCGAATGATGTAAATCGCAGGAGAGAAGAGGGAAGAAAAGGAAAATTACTAACATAATAGAGGTCGGGGTTCTTCGAGTTGTCGACGTACTGGCATCGACCATCTGCTGTCACCACATCCATCGCTACTATCTGGTCCATGGCGAGGCCCCATGCACGTGAGGAAAGTCCGTAACCGCCATGGGTGAAGTGGCCGCCGACACCGACTGCTGCGCAGGTGCCGTGAGCAAGTGCTCTCTTGGACTGGTCATATATAGCACAAGCCAGGTTGCCCACCCGCACGCCACCGCCAACGCGGACGACACTATCGGAGATGAGCTCAACGTCTTGGAAGTATCGAAGGTCCACCACCACGGCACCATCTACCCCTCCATTGCTGTAAGAAGCGTACGAGTGCCCACCCGACCGTGCTTGCACCTTGAACCCATGCTGGGCCGCGCAGAGGACAGCATCGCTGACATGCTGGACGGTGCGTGGCAGGACGACGGCAGCTGGGACGACGGGGAGGCGGAGATTGTAAGTTGAGGAGAAGACGGTCCAGTCCGAGTCTGCGGCTCCTTTGACCGGAATCTCCATGTCAGCCAACTGCTTGGTGATAATATCGGCCTGTGTTGATGTCATCTTGGCGGCGGTGGCCTTGAGTATTTATCCTCTAGGTGGGTAGGTGATGCGAAGGCGGGAGTGGGAGAGGAAACAAAACTGGTGGGTGTCAACTATTAGCGTTGTATATCAAGCGTTCGGTCGCTATCACCCTCTTCCTGTTATACCGTATATTGGCAAGGACACTTGGTTATCCGCGGGATGAGTTTGTGGCTGGACGCGAAGGGAGGAGAGGGACGGGGAGAAAGCGAACGGGCAGACTTGTTGGTATCAGAACAAAAGGTGTGTCTCTGTGCTTGGTCCAGATTATTCGAAAAACTGGCCCAGGTAAAGGGCAAACAGGCATACCCTCTCTAGTCTCCTCGATAATGTAGCTCGATACGATGGTCGCAGGCCGTGTGTGTATGTGTGTGTTAGGTGGGGGGGGACATTGTGTAAAGCTCCCTAGTCTAGTCGGCATGGCAACTCTGTTTGATCGTTTGTCGATATTAAGAGGAGCAGGGGAGGGGCTATACATTCTTCTGCTTTCTGCTCGTGCCTCCTCTCCCATCCGCTCAACTCAAACCCCGGAGGTCGTGTCAACTCTATGCTTCTGTGGAGTGGCACAGGGCGGAGTGGGAATTGCCGGGCTAGTTGCGGTTATAGATGAGATATAGGTACCTACAGAAGATGCCCCCGAAGAAGGAAGCACGTAGGTATGTATTTATAGCTATTCTTACAATCACATAGATAGACAGCCGTCGATCCTCAACATCAGCATCGCTTCGGACGACAGCACATCGGTTTGTGCAAGACACAGCGCGAGACCGGATTCGATTCGCTCCAACCAGCCCTTTGTATTGGAACGCTCGTCTGATTGATAATGTCTCTGTCATGACGCTGCCCACATCACCTGGCAAACTACAGCAGCGAATCGCTCATAGCCTATCAATAAGGCCTTCCGCAACATCGCCAATATTCGTCCCCCAACGCTTGGCGGTGCACTGCTGCTGGGTTAGCTCGTCTGCTCCCAGCTGGTTGGGGTTGTTGGGGGGGGGGGGGGGAAGGTCGCTGCGCTCACCTGCAAGTACAGAACTCCATCTTCGATATCGACCTCGCAATACGACTTATACTTGAGCTTATCGACGATGCGGAAGGCGATCTCGCTCTTGTCGACGGCCTCTTGGAAGCCCTCGCGCAGCAGGTCGTCCTGGTCGAATTTCTGGTCCTTGAGGCGGGTGGCGAGGGTGTCGAAGTAAAGCTTGACGAAGGAGCCGAGACAGCTCTCCCAGTCGCTGCGCAGCTCGGACCGGTCGCCCTTGTCGGCTTCGGCCTTGAGCGCGGCGAAGACGGCCTCGAAGTTGGGGTTGAGCCGGACGTCGGGCAGGCCCAGAGTGGCGGCGATGCGGCCGCGGATCTCCTCGGCGTCGGGCTCATAGTCCTTGCGGACGGACCAGCGCGCCACGAAGCTCAGCGCCGAGCCGGACGGCCGCGGCGCCGCGTTGAGCGCCTGTAGGAGCCCCGACTTTTCGACGGCGTCGCCGATGTTCGTCCCGAGGTACCCCGGCGCGAAGAGGATGCGCAGCCGGCCCCCGTCGTCGACGTTGACGCCGCAGTACCGGACGCGCTTCTGGTCGTCCAAGTCCATCGTCAGCACGTGTGCCGAGCAGATCTCGTTCAGGTCCTGCAGGCCGGCCTCGCCGGCGCCGCTCGCGAAGTCTTCCAGCCGTCGTATCGCCGAGTCGATGTAGCTGTCCCCGCGCAAGGCAGGCAGAAGGTAAGTAACCATTTATCTCTCTCGTTATCGCCCTCGATCTCGTCTACCCTCCCGCACGCGGGTAGATGTAGCTTGTGCGGGTGGTGGTAATATGGTGCTTACTCGGCGATGCAACTGCCCAGCCGGTCCTTTGCGTAGGAGCTGTCGGCGTAGGGGTATAGCTGGTTGGGATTCACATCGATGGTCCAGGGAACGGTGAGAACCTTGGAGAGCTTCTGCTCGAATTCCGGCTTCTTGCTATCCCAATCATCGCGAACTGTCTCGGTTAGTCGCTGGAGCGGTTGGCGGCGATGGCCCTGACGCGTTGGGACATACTGTTCTTGCGCAAGGCGAGGGGGAGCTTCTCGACGGGAGGTAGCTTGGACATATCGGACGATGGTAGAGGGGTTACCCTTTCGGTGGAATGAACGGTGTTAGGCAGAGAGAGAGGTGGCAGATGCCGGAGCGGGACTTAGTAACTGATAGATTCGAAGGAACAATGTCGACTAGAGATGGGAGATTCGGGGGCGCCTTTAAATTGAAACGGTCTCCTCGTCCTCCCCGTCTCCATCCCGCTATCTCCCGCCAGACGGCGTTCGACTAGGCTGGTCGCAGAACTGGAGAGTGGATGCTTCGAGCTAGCCCAGGACACGGTACGAGCTGCTAGCACGATGTGTTTCGGGGGCGTCGTCGTCACCACATTGGGACATGAGTCGAGAGATCTTGGTGACGGTGCGACCGTTGTCAACCTTGCCCTCAGCCCTGGAAGAGCCCCTGAGTCAGTGTCGACGCACAAACGAACCGGCGCCTCTAGGCACCGTCCGGTCGTTTCGCCAAGCGTGCGCTATTAGCGCCCGACGGGTAGTTGGCTCCGATTCAGCCGCAATCGCTGTAGCTATAGCAGTATCGCATGCTGGCGGGACTGTTGCCTGCGGTTACGCGTGAGGAGTAAGACGGGCAACCGCCAGGGCAGGTTGTCCGACACTAGCGTTTGAAGGTGAGGACAAATCGATAGGAATAGACATCGTCGTTAGTGCACACCTAGGTAAGTAGTAATAGCCGGAGCAACGAAAGAAGAAGACAATTTCTACGTGCACCTGCACATTGCCGGTGGTCTCCCTTGACTCCATGGACATAGGGTCCTCAACCAACTCCATAAGCGTGACGCGGCATGGTGGGTTTCGTGCCCCATTTCCCAGACAAATGCCGGTGGTGCTGTAGATCGTACAGCAGTAGCAAGTCGGCGGGTAAGCACGTAGACGGCGCGGATGTGCCTTGAGGTTCAGCTCGGCTTGGCGGGATCGCGAACCCCCCATCCACCCCCTTTATCCTGTTTCTCTTTTTCTTTGGGGGCCTACACTCCGGCCCTCCCCTTCGCAACACATACCGGGTAGCGCAAGCCAAGCAGCCGTGAACACAGGTTACCCGAGCCGGTCTCGTGCTTGGGTAGGATTGTGGCGGCAGTCGAGGTTGGGGATGCGGGACGCCTTGTGATAAGCCCAGGCTGGGATTGCCTGTCTATACCCGTGCATGATAAGGAGAAACCCGTGTATGATAAGGAGAGGGGTACGGAGGTACGAACTTATGACTGCTTAATTGAATATATCGTACGTACTAATTACACCCCTTCCTGTAGATTGTCGTCTCCCTCGCACTCGTCTCGTTCCCCGGGGCAGATTTGTGACTGAGTACCATAGCCACAACTTCTAGCACATATCTATCGTCTACACTCCGCGGGTGCCGCTGTGCAACTCGGGCGTCAAGCTGGACGAGTGCATTTGCTCGTTCGACGGATCTTTGCCCTTCTTCAGCCGCTATGGCATCCAGAGTGTAAGCCGCCTCGCTCCTCATGCGCGTCGTCTCCTTCCCCCAACTGTGGCGTGTTCGTCTCGTCATTAAACACACTACAGGCCTCTTCAAGTACGGATTGGGATCAGGGATCACTGGGACAATCCCGACGGCCCTCTGGAAAGGGCACGGTCTGCCCTGAGGGAGCTCATCGGTGTCGATATCGAGGTCAAGGTAGTATGGGAGCTTGTAATCCCCGATCTCTACGACACTTACTCGGACAAGGCCACATTCGTGCCTTCGCTCGCGACATGTGCACAGGCCTTCCTATCCGCGCTCTCGACGTTGGCAGACGACGAGTCGAACGCCCAATGGATGGACGCCCTACTGGAACGCGTCGGCCAATGCCTTAAGGCCGACATAAGCGTAAGTTTCATTCTTGACACCTACGTGGTCAAACCAGATGTTTTATTAAACGCCCATCTGCAGTACCGAGCCGCCCCGAAGCAGGAGGGCCTAGGCCTGTCTTGGTCCAGCAGCCGAGGGGCCTTTGCCATCCACGTCCCCGAATACCCCATGCCGTCTCTCATTGCGATGGGGTCCTTCTTCGAAGGGCAGCTACTGCGCTGCTTCGAGGACAAGCAAGCACCGGCAGAATCGCCCGACCGGGAGGCTTCCAGCGATGACTGGGCGGACGTGTCGGTGGATCGCGCGACCGGTCAACCCGCTGTGTCCAACACGCGCCAGCCGCTCACGCTGCAGACTCGACCCGAGGTCGACGCGCTGCCGGACATCAGCACGATCCCACGCCTGGAAGAGCTATTTCTAAGGCCACCATACCACCTCATCGTCTCTGAGAGCGGCAGGAGCTTGGTCGAGGTCCACTGCAGCCACAGCCCATCGTTGGAATTGCTATCCGACTATCTCAAGAAAGGGTGCAGGGTCAATTACCAGGACATGCGTCTTGTAAGTTCCCCTTTGTTGTTTTATTTCCCCGCATCATCGGCACGGCGGCGGCATACGGTGCCTAACAGATCTTGCAGCCGCCGGTGGTCGATATCAAACTGCACAAGTCGTCGTTCGGCCTCGGCTCGACCTACGACCTGCTGACCCTGTCGGTCCCGGGCCGGGGCTCAGCGTCCCATGTGACACCGGTGACAGTGCTGGCCTTCGTGGAGGGTGTGCTGGGCTATAAGAACGTCGCGGTCGAGGCGTCGACCTGGACCTTCCGGAAAGACGTCGAGTTTCGGAGGACGAGATAGCCAACTGCTGCTGCCCTGCACGAGGGTGGTGATGGTCGGGATTGGGGTTCCTCGGTTGGTCTAGGCTAATAATCCCGGGTCGTAGGTGGAAGGAATATGGCACCGTTTTCGTCGTAGATCTTTTGAGTACTGTTAGTGCCGCCGTTGACGACTCCGGGGCTCTGAGGGCGGAAGCACCTACTTATTGTATGGTATTCCCGACGATAGCGCCACGTATAACCTGCACCGCGATCGGATTCTGGGGATTCACTGTGTGAAGTTTTTCTATGCGACCTCTCCCAGAGCGAGACTTTTTCCGTGGGGACAGGTTATGTTACCTAATCGAGACCTGTTACCTACGGTAACGCATGAGCCTATGCCTTACGTACCTACGTACCCTACCAAGCGTATCTGTACGTTTCCACCCTTACATAATCTGGACAATAATTCGCTAAGACAACCTAGTTACGTAAACCGACCACCCCGCCTTGGTGAGAGTACCGAAAGTACCTATCTAACAAGACGCGTATCCCGTCGCGTCACCGGAATACATCACTATTTTCCTCCCCCGTTCCATTGCCTTACTGCCCTTCTTCGCTAGAACAGGACGTTTTGTTTCGTTCCGGTCCCGTGAACAGCCAACTTCACGACAGACGTGTCTATCCCACTGGTCCTTAAGCGTATTGTGAGAAACCCAACATGGCGTCCTCGCCACCACGACACGAGGAATACCAGTATCTTGATCTTGTGCGCGAGATCTTGCATAATGGGGAACGTCGGCCAGACCGGTGAGTTACGCCAACATATTATATTCACTGTTTTTTTCTCTCGTTCTTGTTTGCTACTGCGACGACCACGGCAAATAAGCGCAACCGCTTGCCCGCTTAGTAGCTGTACCTGACGCCTTGTTTTCTCTCTAGAACCGGAACTGGGACCTACTCTATTTTTGCCCCCATACCGCTCAAATTCAGCCTCAACGATAACGGGCGGCCGATCCTGCCCCTGCTGACGACAAAGCGCGTATTCCTGCGGGCCGTAGTAGCCGAGCTGCTGTGGTTCATCGAGGGAAGTACGTCGTCTCTGCCGCTAAGTCAGGAGGGCATCAAGATCTGGGACGGCAACGGGTCGCGCGAGTTCCTCGACAACCTAGGATTGACGGAGCGCGAGGTCGGCGACCTCGGCCCCGTCTACGGCTTCCAGTGGCGCCACTTCGGCGCCGAGTACGTCGACGCGAAGACCGACTACGCCGGCCAGGGCGTCGACCAGCTTGCCGAGATCGTGCGCAAGCTGCGCACGAACCCCCACGACCGCCGCCTGATCCTGTCCGCCTGGAACCCGCGCGACATGCCCAAGATGGTCCTGCCGCCCTGTCATATGTTCGCCCAGTTCTACGTCTCGTTCCCGAGGCAGCAGCAGGGCGTGGCGGAGGAGGCTGTAGCCACGGCCACGACCAACGGCGGGGACAAGCCCGCCAAGGGCCACCTCCATTGCCAGCTGTACCAGCGGTCGTGCGACATGGGGCTCGGGGTGCCGTTCAACATCGCGAGCTACGCGCTGCTGACGCACATGCTCGCGCACGTGTGCGACCTGGTGCCGGGCAGCCTGACGCACGTCATGGGCGACGCGCACGTCTACGTCGACCACGTCGACGCGCTGCGGACCCAGCTCGAGCGTGAGCCGCGGCCCTTCCCCGAACTGCGCCTCGCGCGCGAGAAGGGCGGTTCCATCGACGGGTGGGAGGCCGAAGACGTCGTTGTCCTCAACTACGACCCCCACAAGACCATCGCCATGAAGATGTCCGTCTGAGGAAGGAGGGAATGTCCCCGGAAAAGAGAGGGAGGACGAGATGGGGGCGTACTCACGTCCGGGGCATCGGGCCCCTGCTTACCTTGCGGTAGCCCGCGACGCTTTTGCCAATCGGAGCACGAAACCGTGGCGCGATGCGTACGTATTACGTGCCTATGTATGATACGGGGTGACGCGGAGGGGATTGGGACAGCCATTCGGTCACGAAGACGAGAGTAACGCTAGAAGTCTCTCACACGCACACATATAGCGTATGTAGAACTTTGTTGGGATTCGGTAGATACCATGGCCGTTGGCCATCTTAGACGAGGGATAACTAGAATTACAGCTTCCTGAGCAGTGACAGCGCGCGATCCCGTGGTGCGACATGCTCTTGAGCGAATAGACCCTCTTTGGCGTCCCCTATGAGACAGGAACATCACGAGAAGCCTCCGAGAGCATTGCCGTATTTGCACCGATTGTGTCTTTTTTGTCTGCCGAGGCGGTATCCGGAGAACGTACCCCTCTGTGAGACTTAGGTAGGCCGTATGCAATTCATGATGAACCTACACATGTGTTAATGCGTGACGGCTGTCTCGAGAATAGGAACCGGCAAGAGAGGGGAGATTCGTATCTCTATTCCTCGTGTCGTCTAGGTACTACGCACCGGTCAGTCTGACAGTGGCCGCGCACGGTTGACTGTCCTATGAGCAAAATAATGGGTACTAGGTATCATTCACGATCTGCCATAATATTAAGGCTCGCATTTCAACCGACGTAGCGTTATGCTCGCATTTGTAAAGCCAAACCCCCTCTTAGGCTCGGGTGGGAGCTATCTATGCATCTTTGAAATCGGCCCCTTTTGTGCTCACCTCCTTCGCGTGCGCCTCCTCGTCGAGCGGCTGCCCCCTTACGACCCCTACACCGTTCTCCGCCATGGCCGTCTTCAAGATAGGGGGGCCGGAGAAATGTTTACGGCCCCAGGCGAAATACCAGACGACACTGATGGTCGCAAAGCCGGCGAACACGACGCTGGCGTAGTTCATGGTGGAGGCGTCGAGGCCGGTGAGGTTGGTCGGCATGCAGAACAGGAAGACGGCGAGGAGGATCCAGAGCAGCGTCGTGACGTTGATGACGAAACCGAAACGGCCAAGCGAGTAGGACGCGTGCTCGAGCTGCCGGCGGCCGCGGACGACGGAGACGAGGATGGGCAGCCCGTACGACGTCGAGAGGCAGATGGTGGCGACGCCCGTGAAGCTGCCGAAGGCCGCCGACGAGCCGAAGTAGATGAGGCCCAGCAGGCAGTCGACGACGGCCGACAGCGAGAGGGCGAGCAGCGGGATGTCGAGCCGCTTGTCGACCTTGCTCCAGAGGCCGGAGCCGGGGATCGCGCCGTCGCGCGCGAACGCGTACGTGCAGCGGCTCGACGCCGTGAGGGCGCCCACGCCGGCGAACAGCCATATGCCGAGGATGAGGAACAGCAGGCCGAACCCGCCCCCGGCGCTGCCGGTTGCGGTCTTGAAGATCAACCCGACCGGCTGCCCGTTGGCGACCTCGAGCAGCGTCTGCACTTCGGGGAGCACGAAGAGGATCGGGATCAGGTATACCAAGCCCGTAAGGCCGGCGGCCACGACAGACACTACAGATTACCGAGTCAGCGAGAGCAGGCCTGCGTTATCATGATTGGATTTTGACAGATATCGAGCGCGCTGGGACATTGGCCGGAAATAGGTAGGAAGCGAGGCAGGCAGGCGATCGACACTTACAGACGATGGCCTTGGGCACCTCGCGCTCGGGCGCCTGGACTTCCTCGCACATGGCCGCGACCATGCCATAGCCCGTAAGCACGTAGGCGGGCTGCAGCAGGCCGACAAAGAAGGACCAGCCTGCAGGCCACCCGGAGGCGGAGGCGTCGTAGTGGGCGAAGACGAACTCGCCGGTACGCTTGCTCGGCGACATGACGAGCAGGACGATCATGATGACGATGATGGAGGCGGCAGTCCAGTAGATGCAGACAGTGTTGATGAGGTCGAGGTGCTTGGCGCCAAAGATGTTGATGAGGTAGCAGACGAGCATGACGGCCCAGAACATGAGGATGGTCTGCCACTCGTTGGCGACAAAGTCCTCGTTCCACAGCGAGATGGCGCTGAGGATCAGCTGCGCGCCGCCAAAGTTGATGGAGAGCGTGACGGTCCAGTTGCCCACGAGGGTCAGCCAGCCCGTGATCCAGCTCGCCATCGGGGCCCAGCGGGGGGTTGACAGCAGCGCTGCCCAGTAGTAGACGCCGCCGGCCGTCGGGTACACCGAGCAGATCTCAGCGAGCGAGGCGGCGATGGCGGTCGAGAGCAGCGAGAGCAGCACCCAGCCCCATATGATGGTAACGGATTGGCCGTTGGAGAGAGAAATATAGAATGTCGTGCTGAGGCCGTAGGGCACGGCCATCTGTTTCACTTCTGCATTAGAGAGCATTCTCATCCTCGTTTGGGGCCGATTCGTTTCCATCGATCGCGAACGTCCGGCCCTTTACCCAAGCCACACCAACCGCAGATCGAGGGAGGGAGCCGGACACAGCATCCTTTATGGCGATAAGGTTACAACAACAGTAGGTAAGCAGGCATTCATGTCGAGCGGGTCACATACTACCGGAAATATAAAATATTAGCACCTCTACGATGACATGCTGGAGCACCGGGCATACATACCAATGGCGAAGGACAGGCCGAGGACGGAGAGCATGCTCAAACTCCGGGGCAGCTCGGCCTTGTACCCCATCTTGGCGAGAGCATCGTCAGCTGCGGCGGTGATCTCGACGGATCTACGCCGGCCGGCGCTGGTGACAGATCCCTTCCGCATAGTTGGGGTAGTGTTGGCACAACCCGTCAGCGAATCGAAAAGCACAGTCGAAATAGGTCGGATGGCGGAAGACGACACAAGGTGCTACTTCGCACAAGAAAAAAAAAAGAACCAGTAATAGGGAAGAGGAGAAATGCTGGGCGCCGGGAGCGCGAGAGCGGTATAAGACAGAAGGGAGAGGAGAGACCACAGCGCTCACGCGACACCCCGGCAAGCGGCGCCACTGATAGATAACAGCCAACATGGGCCAGGATACAATATGGGGGTGTGTTCCCTATCTTTTCATTAGATGATCCTTATTAGTCAAGATGCGGTAGCTCACGATCCCAGTCACGGACTACCGGGGGAGTCTACATTGTACGGCGTAGTAGACCTTATCCGCGATCCAGCTCTACCCCAGCTTACACCCTGGATATCACCGGGAACCGAAGCAGGCATAGGAAATACCTGCGTAGGTAGGTAGAACGGGGATGACAGATGGGGGTTTCTGGGCCACCGCCACCGCCAGCAACTAGCCTCCATCCGGACACCGTCGCACTTTGTCTGGCCTTGTCACCGACGCGATCTTTGCCTCTCTAACTCGCCCGCTTTCCTGGAACACGAATCCGAGTCAATTAGGTACGCCGAGCATCGAGAACATGGCGCCCCTGTTCCGAACGTATGTCCGAACATGTGGTGGGCGGCGTCACCGTAACATCGAACGAGGTATACGGAGATAACGGGGGAACGAAAAAGATAGGTAAAGATAAAGTATGCTGATGCGCCTCCTACCAGTACGTAGGCAGTAAAGTACCTAATAAATATAGTACGGAAATCCTGGTTGCCGGCTCAATCCACCCAAGTTATGATGGCATCGAATTAGATAAGGGATACGAAGAGATGGCTATCGACCGATGCAGGCATGATTGATTATTTTGTACATGTTATAGGTAAGCCAAGCCAGGAGGTTGGGTGCCTAAACCAGACAGTAGGAACCTTAGGTAGGTAAGTCTCCGTAGAGGGTTTCCATTCTCTATAAGAGCCCTTGTCCAGAGCTCGCGGGTATCTCAACCCTCTACCCTACAAATAACCCTCTACAGGAAATGAATAAGCATCCATCCACTGAAATAGATGAACGATCCCGGAACTAGCGAAAATGACCGTGCCTATTTTTTTCCCCTTCCTCTTCCCTTGACGTTCATGCACGTACTAATATGTAACAAACTACCTAATAACTGAGTCGCTAATGAGGGGGATATCTGACTTGAGGGCTTCGATTCGACAGGGCCCGAGGTTGACCAGCGCCGAACCGGAACCCCCCTTTCTGCATTCCCCGCACGCTATTCGCCCCCCGTTGCGCCGCTCCTCGTGGGCATTCGGTAGCCTCTATGCCGTGTTCGTCTTGTTGAAGCAATCATGTAGCTCCGCGGTGGTTTGCGTGAGACAGCCATAACCTATCCGGATCGCCGTCGACCAGTCCCAACACTCAACAAAGACAAGCGCCCCGGGCAACTGTGGTCTTACTTACCTGTAGTGATCTAGCACCGCGTATGTGTATACCTTGACGCTGGGCCAAGGGGCCTCTACGCTGCGTCTTCTGCTTGTACGTACTTAGAAGAAGAAGAAGAAGAAGAAGGAAACAAGAAGAGAAGAAAGCACCCCGAAAACAAGACCCCGCACGTCATGGCTCCCGGATCGCGTCTCGAAGGCAAGGTCGCCATCGTGACGGGCGGCGCGTCGGGCTTCGGGCGGGGCATCGCGGCCAAGTTCGCGGCGGAGGGGGCGCGGGTGATCATCGCGGACCTGTCGGAGGAGGCGGGGCGCGCGGCGGCGCAGGAGCTGGGGTGCGTCTTCGCGGCGGGCGACGTGACGAAGCGCGGCGACTGGGAGACGCTGCTGCGGACGGCGCTCGACAGCTTCGGGCAGCTCGACGTCGTCGTCAACAACGCCGGCGCGACGTACGCCAACAAGCCGACCGAGGACGTCGACGAGCGCGACTTTGACCTCGTCATGAACGTCAACGTCAAGTCCGTCTACGTCTCCACGAGCGTCCTGCTCCCCTACTTCCTCGAGGGCAAGCGCCCCGGCGCCTTCATCCAGGTCGCCTCCACCGCCGGCGTCCGCCCCCGCCCCCGCCTCACCTGGTACAACGCCTCCAAGGCCGCCGTCATCAATGCTACCAAGGTATGTACGTGTATGCGTGAGGGCGCACTCACTCCTGAAAGAAGAAAAAAACGTGGGGGGGAAGAGGGAGTGGGCCGCATATGTGACCGCCTCTCAGTGTGCTTTTGCTTGCTTTCTCTCTCTCTCCGACACTGGGACTTCTGCTGACGAGGGGCTGCGGCACACTCGCGCGCACGCAACACGCAGACGATGGCAGTGGAGTACGGTCCGCACCAGATCCGCTTCAACGCGGTCTCGCCGGTGGTGGGCAGCACGGGCATGACGCACCTGTTCATCGGAAAGCCGAATACGGCCGAGAACCGCAAGGCGTTCGAGTCCGTCGTGCCGCTCGGCCGGGGCTCGACGCCCGAGGACGTCGCCAACGCGTGTTGCTACCTCGCCAGCGAGGAGGCCGCCTTCATCACGGGCGTCAACATCGAGGTCGACGGGGGACGGTGCGTGTAGACGCCAAGAGAGGGGAGAAAGGGAAGGGAGAGGGGAAGGGGAGGGATAACGGGGGATTTTCAGTCACAGGGCACTTCTGTCTCTCGTAGGTAGCGGTCATCGGTCCGAAGGTAGGGATGACGGGGTAGCTGTCGGAGCCACGCCGACAGTGTTATGACCCTGCTCTCGTTATTGGCCGTCAAGCAGCAATAGGACAGCTCACATGATTCATATGAGGGGGTGGCTTAATATAAAAATCCAGATCACGAAGGCTCGGAGCCTGTCCTAGAGGGGATAGAGATCCTCTTGTTGTTCCTCCGCCTATTCAAATGCAGCCAGTGGACAATCCCAGGACGTAGTCTCCAGTTGAAACGTCCCGACCTAAGAGAGGAAGAGAGGGAGAGGCACAGAAACAAACAGGGACGTAATGCAGGAGACGAGGCCCTTTCTTGGCCGCAGTAGTCCCGGATGCGGTGGGCGGCAGTCCATCGTATCCTACATAGCCATACGCATGGCTGTAGGCGTACGTGTGTATTCTTAGCAATCACCTGCGGTACCGCCCCGGTTTCCGGCGCGGATGCGTAATATAAGTGTTCCCAGCACACGGGTCGCGGTGCCTGGCCCCCATCCCTGGTTCAGTTGCGTAGGAGTGCATCTGCATTGACCTGCCGAATGGGTATGATATCTGACGTCCTTCCGGCATTGCCCCTTTCGGACGCTTCGCGCTGCCCCCTTTTCCCCACAGGCACCCCACGACGGGGGAGGGAGAAATTGAAACCCGCGAGGCCACGGAGCCCGTGCAAGCTCAGATACCAGGACGGGACGGGCCTCTATGGCGCCAAGTCGTGAGCCTGATTCGTCGCAGTAGATGCCGCCGACGATGGAACGACGGTCCGGCCGAAGACGAGCATGAGACTCCAAGCGGTGGGAGAATCAACAGTGCATGATGGCACCGGGTTCCTCTCCTACGTCTTCATCTCGGATGTGATATCACTTCTCCTTACGAAATTCTTCCGTACTGGCAGTATATCTAGAAGCCCTTCGCCTCTTTACAGACCCCAACTAATACTTACAGCACAACCACCGCCGAGATCAGAGACCAAGAGACACGCAAACCAGCCCTCGTTCCTCTTGCCCTTCCTGCCCACCATGAAGAACTTCGTCAGCGTTGCCGCCGCCGCGGCGCTTGCGGCCAACGGCGTCTCGGCCCACTACATCTTCCAGCAGCTTTCGTTGGGCTCGACCACGTACGCTCCGTTCGAGTACAGTAAGTCCCAGGACGACAGCTACCAGCCGCTGCTAGGCGCACGCAGAACAGGCTGCTAACACGGGCCAACGCGAACAGTCCGCCAGAATACCAACTATAACTCGCCCGTTACAGGTATGTCCAGTCCGCGGGACACGCTCAAGGGCCGATCGACGCTGACCCGTGGTGTGCCATAGATCTGACATCGAACGACCTGCGATGCAACGTCGGTGCTCAGGGCAGCGGGACGCAGACGGTGGCCGTGAAGGCCGGCCAGGAGTTCACGTTCACCCTGGACACGGTACGTCCGGCCTCGGGGCAGTCATTCGGAAGAGAGCAAGCACTGACGTCCTCGCCAGCCCGTCTACCACCAGGGGCCGATCTCCATGTACGGAACTGCCCGAACTGAAAAGGCGAGCTAGTACGTAGATGAGGATGCTAACGGGACACCAGCTACTTGTCGAAAGCGCCGGGCACCGCTGGGAACTACGACGGTAGCGGCGAGTGGTTCAAGATCAAGGACTTCGGTGCGCCACGGCCCCCCTTCTTCCTCGCGGCGGTCCCCCGCGCGCGCCGGCACCGCTAACCCGCAGTCGTAACAGGCCCGAGCTTCTCCGGCGGACAGGCGACGTGGCCCATGACCGGTGAGCTCGCGCCCTCTCTTGCTCTCTTCCGCCTACCAAGGAGGACGGCGGGCTCTCTCCCCCCTCCTCTCTTCCGCGAAACACCTCACTGACACGCCCGCGCGCGAAAGGCTCGTACACGTACCAGATCCCGTCCTGCATCGAGAACGGCGAGTACCTGCTGCGGATCCAGTCGCTCGCCATCCACAACCCGTGGCCGGCGGGCATCCCGCAGTTCTACATCTCCTGCGCGCAGATCAACGTCTCGGGCGGCAGCGGCAGCTACAACCCCCAGACCGTGCGGATCCCCGGCGCCTTCAAGGAGACCGATCCGGGCTACACCGCGAACGTAGGCTCTCCGAAGTTCCTTCGACTCTCTCTCTCTCTCGTTTTCAGTTCGGGCCTTCTAACAATGGTCTCTCTCCAGATCTACAGCAACTTCCAGTCGTACACCGTCCCCGGCCCCGCGCCCGTGAGTACACCCGCAACCCGGAGCAGAACTAGACAGCGCCAACTGACACTGCCTTCAGCTGACATGCTAATTCAACTCCTCGGCTGACCCCCTCCGGGGAATCTGGTCTCTCGACTTTTGGATACGGGGGCTTGGGCATGACCGTGGTGGGGTGTGCGCCAGACATTACACACCCCTATATATAGCATTCATTGTATATAACTTGTCGAAGTTGGTCGGCGTTGTAGCATTTTATAACTCGCTATAGCGCCAGTGGGTTTCATATATACACATATCTTATCTATTCATGCATAAACGAAGGGAAAACGTGATGTATTATGACCGTTCACGCAATACCAAGAAACGATTAATCGATCTGATATAGTGAAGATTTGCACCAATGTCAGCCCGCCTGATTTAATGTCTATGAGCACTATATTGCTTTGTTCTCTGTATTTTGAGAGAAAGCACCGGGTTGGTTGCCCGGGCGTAACTGTCGTGAGGTGCGTAATGACCCCATTTGCACACACAAGATGCACGATGGTTACCTGCGAGCGGAGACCTGAGGTACAACAATTGATTATCGCAATTAATCCTAACCTCTGACAGAAGAACTTATTGAAGAGAAATATAGAGACCGGAAAGGAAAAAAGAAAACAAGAGAGGAAGCATGCAGAGGAGAGTGGGAAAAAAGGGAGTTTTGCTGACAAGACTGGGACTCGAACCCAGGCGGATTGCTCCAGCAGAATTTTAACTTGCGTTTAGCAAGGAAGCGAAAGCTTGAACCTGCCGCCTTAACCACTCGGCCATCTTGCCTTTCGTCTGACTAGGACACGGCCTATTAGGCCCTATGCGACTCTGCACGATTGCGCCTTTCCCATGGTGGCCTTGTTAGATTTAGGGTGACGGTGCCCAATGCCCGCGGCCAATGTCCAAGTATTGCTGTCGGCGTTGCCTTGCTTTGCAGGCTCTGATTGTTATGTCTCTTACCGGCTATCCACCAGGCCGAAAATCATGGTTCTGGCGAAACTAAAACCACAGTATTCCTGCTTAAAATCACGGTTCCCCGCCTGGTATGTATACCTGATGGAGCATCCTTCAGGGGTGCCCAAGTAGATAGGTACCTTCTGGAGGAGGTCAATAACGACGAGGACGACGACGTTGCATTTTGTTTTACCTTACCTAGAGCCTACTTAAGGTATATAGTTATATTACGTAGATCGTAGGAGCTACGTATACGAGAGCGCGGGCGAGGAGCTATCTTACGAGTAACGGAAGAAGGAGTAAAGGAGAAAAGGTCTTAATCTATCTAAGAACTAGCTAAAAGAATAGAAGCAACGGGAGCGTATATATAAGAGCTCCTATTGCTAAGGTAACAAAGAGGAGCAACCTAAGGAGCAACCTCTACGTGACAAGTTGTGATTGCGGGTGATTCGAGCTGATGCTCTTACTGTTAGAGCCACCGTCCCGGTGGCTGACTATAGTACGTTACGCGCAGCATCTTTCGAGGTGTTTTCTGGGCTCTACGATGCCACTTACACTCTTAGCACCACCTTTTTGAGACTCGATCAAGAGAGACCTAGGGTCCAATTCATGGCCCCGAGAACAGCCATTTCCCCTAGATGTCTGGCAGCATTCCTCCAACCGAGATGAGGAAAAATAGATGGGAGGAATTACTTCAACCAGCTCGTCCTTACTTAACCAAGTGTGTTCATACAACTGGAAGTATTCGTACCGTAGCTATCTAAAACCGAGCTTTTCCAACGTTTAAGGCTTCCTTGTCCCTAGAGCAGTAAGGTATTGGAGGTTAACGAGCGGGAGATGACAGTTAGACTACCCAGTTGCCCGATCCAGTTAAGATACGTTTAGCCGGGCATTTACACGAATTCACAACATATATAATATACTTATCTAAGGTGGTTTACCTATCTACCTCCGCAAGTATAGTTAAGTATGTTAAGAATATAGACGATCTAGCTCCTACTATTATCAAGCCATACGCAAGGAAGCAACCTACCTTATTGGATGAGTCTGTAGTTCTACGTCGATCACATGGCTAAAGCAAGTTAACCTACGAAAATTTCAGGCAGAATTAAGCAAACCAAGTGAGAGAGCCGTGGAAAACTCGACATGTCTGCCGATCATCCCCAAGTCCTCTGCAGAAAGCAACATTATTACCATGCGTCGTGCTCATGCAAAATTGTTGATCTGCTCTCCAATTGCAATCTGACTTCACCAATGTAGTATTGTCGAATAACTAATGATGAAATCTGGGCTAACAGGAGGGGGATTTCTCTTCCCCGATGAGTGGGAGGCATCCCTTGCTCCTCGTCCCCCCCCCCTCCTCCTCCTCCTCCCTCTTCATCTGGCCCCAACGAAATAGTATCCAACTCACGAGATCGCTAAGAAGCACATGAAGAAATGCTGCTAATACACTAAAGGCTACGAGATCTAGTCACCCAAAAATTACGTAGTACCAATATACCCACATCATGTTATGTGTCGTGTAGTAAGACATCAACGGTAGTTTGCTTGCACTTTTCAACACAGCGCTAACAGATGACAAGATAACGCATACCGGGCGGGCCAAGCTGCCGGGAAGACTCCAGCGTTATGTGAATCAGGTTCTTCCTTCCAGCAGAACGTCGCAAATTGCAAGGAGTACATCCCCTCTGCGGCCAACTCGACTTACGAATTTGAGGGCGGGTTAGCCGAATTCATCCGTTAATACTGTGATACCTTGAAGCCACCCAGACCAGGTCCTTCCACCGTTCCGTCCTTGGCACCGTTTACGACGTGGACGTTCCCTTTCGGTCGTACCGGTTCGGATGGGATTGCGATAAATGACATTCATGCCGAAACACTGTACCCAAGTGTTAAGATCGCCTCGTCCACAACGACTGCTAACGGCTTCGTTATCTCGTGGGAATATACCACGTTCGTAACGAGCATTCCTAGCACCTCTCTTGGGCACACGACAATTTCGGGCCCCGGTGCCTTCTTAACCTCGTCGGCCAGCGATACGTCGGGGGCCGCTCCCGGCCGGCCTTTCGCGACGCAGGCGGGCATGACTTCGAAGGCCTGGATAGCCGGACCCGTGGTGGGGTCGGCGGCCGGAATAGCGATGGTGGCGCTCCTATGGCTGCTCCTCACACGAAGGTGGCGACGGCAGAGGCTCGGGAAGAGCGTGGCCGAGCTGGGCGGCGACAAGCCGGGCGAGGCCGCGGGGGAAAAGAAGGCGGACGTCGAGTTGCACGGCAATCCTTTGCTGGCCGAATTGGACGGCAGGGGCGGAAGGGAAAGGGGGACTCTGGACCCGACCCCGAATCAACAAATCCAGGAGTTATGCGCGGGGAACAGGGCTTAGTTGGGCCGCGTAGCACAAAATTATCGGCGTCGAACTTGGTCGCGAGAGGCAGATAGATCGGACTGTCATTTGTTTCCAGGGTCGAGTCTCAAATGCAATGTCACGATGGGCGGCCATGATTCTATAGGTTTCTCTGCTTTCCGCTCCGACGCTTCGGGGAACTTGTCAACGTCAAAGCTGGTGGCCATCTCTACGCCTCTCCGCTGCTGAAGTCGGTATCCTAAGAGGACGTTTGCCGATGTTGGTATGTTATATAGTAAGCTAGTATTATAGCCAAAGTCGGCAAGGGGAGTGTTTGGGTTTGGTGTTTAAGAAATTAGGTCTTTGAAGAAGCCTAATATCGTTGCCGAGTTATAGTTTCATTATACACAGCTATCTATCAATACCTAGCAAGTATGAACATTGTCTAGATTGCGTATAATAGCCCTTGTTAGAATTTTGCATTCTAAACTCCAGGCCCTGAGTTGTTGTTCCTATTGCTCCCCTTTCTTGTTGTCTAGTTCTCGTAAATACCACCTAGGTATAAGTAGGTAATAACGTAATATACCTACCTGGTATATTATATTATTACCTCGGTACTAGTGCCTATAAGCGTGTATCGACGAAGCGCATTATAATACAGAACACCTAAGGAAACGGCTTCAAAGCCTACCACTTTTCAAACAGACCGGTTGGGGAGATGACCTGGTCGCAGATAGCCTGTGAAGCTCGCCTCTCCTTTCTCAATCCAGGCGTCATCGAATATCGCCTGAAGGTTGTCTCTTCCTTGGGTATCCGCCGATGCGCATAGGTATCCTAGAATAGGTACGATTGGCCTGAGTCGGTGAGAGACAAAGAGAGAGAGAAAGAACGCGCTGTAGGGTGCCTACAGTGCCACTACGTTGGGGGCCTGACCCAGCAAATCCTAGGGAGCTCTAGGCGGCCACCTTTAGGCCCCTACGTGCCCTTCGGGTCCCCCGGGTCTGCTCCAGGTAGTAAAACCCACTCTCCGCCAGCACCGGCGAAAGCTGAGCATAGAACCAACAAGACAGTGGACTTCTCTTCCCTGGGTTCTTCACCGTCGGTCTCCAATCCCTCGTCGGCTATTCCTCATCCCTCCGTGCATCCAATCAGCACCGTCGATCCTCAGGTGGCTTGTTGGAGTAGCTCATGCCGCCCGAGCGTCTTATCGCCTGTTTCGGTGAAGATGGGCACACCGAGGACTGAGGCGCGATCGATGCGATCCTACCTTTCCCGGTTTCCGGGTTCACTGCCTTATCGCTAGGCGCCAGCTCCGTCTCAAGCCCGCGATCCTGGATATGCAAGTGGAAATACCTACCATTTTGGCAGCTCGTGAACCTCTCACGCCGGGGTGCGTCGGTGTTGGATTCGGCCTGCGAGTGGGCGGATCAGCCGGGTTGCCTCCTTGGTAGCCTGAAACCTTCTAACGACTGCGCGTCGTCAATCAACACAACACACACTGAACCAACAAACCGGGCCATAGTTTCTAGCAGCCTAGGGCCGGAACGAGGCACAATATCACCTGTATCTACCGCGTAGGTACTCATGTGTTTCGGTTATCCAGCAGAGCCCATGTATAGAAACCCGACCCACCGTGCGATCGCTGAAGTACGCAGGTAACTAGACGTCCTGGTACAAATTCCTGACCACCCGGGGTTCCGGCAAGCGTCTCTTTTCATTCAGGTCCTTTAGGCACCTATGTACAAGAGGGAGCGCACAACTCGTTCGTGAAAATTGCCCTTCTGTAAATAGGCATGAGAAACTTCGTCCGGTCAGTCAGGAAGCTAGGATAAATCCCGACTTAGGGCCCATACCAGACGACACAGGCCTTTCATAAGATAGGACGAACCAATATTGATCAAAAGAATACTCCCGGCATCTAGAGTATTTGATCCACCCCCCAGGCTATCTCACGGATCACTCAAACTTCTCCCATCGCGGTAGTTATTTGTCCTAGCAGCAACCCCCCCCCTCCTACACCGAAGTCAACGCCCAGGATCGCGATCACAGTCACTGGCCCCCCTCAGAGATGATCACGAGCAGGAAACCGTTCCTTCTGGAAGGCATCCGGCCGCTTCCCCGGAGAGACATGGAATCGAATCCCAGGCTGCCCGACGCCGAGTTCCAGCCATGGCGTCGTCTTCTACGGGTGCCTGCCTTGGCGATTGGTAGCGACGGCTTGTCTGATAGCAACGTTTCCCTGCGACTTGTCGAGGGGACGGACCGTTTGTATGCATGCATGTTTCGAGTCATATCCGCAGCTTTGCTTTGCTTCTAGGACGGGGTTTCCGACCGTGCAGGTCTACCGGTGTGCATTCTTGCATGTGTCTGCAGGCAGAAATCTCCCCAGTTCCACGTCATCGTAGAAATCTGGCATCTCCACCCCCGGGCGGAATCAAGTGGTGGTGGACCTGGTGACGGTGCCCTTGATAGCCTCGTCGAAATCTATCTTTGCCAGGCCAATTAAAGTGGATGTCGGTGAGTAATCCCGGAGAAACGGAAAAAGAAAAAAAAAGAACCCGCGAAGCTCTTGAGGTGGTGCCGGGCTTGGGCGCGACCCTGTGAATTAACAGGTAAACTGAGTCCCCTTAGGACGATTTCCCCTTAGGACGTTGAGTTGACTCAGACCCCAGAGCCCGAGACAGGGCCGAGTCACATTAGGCATCCTCGGCGGAAACACAAGGCTGCCTCTAGGTATTTGAAGCCTCAGAGGGCTTCAAAGGGTCTTTTGACAACCTCAGGACCCTACACCACGGCAAACTTGCCAATTGCGGAAACGTAGTCATACGTTTCCAAAAGCAGCAGACCAAGAGGCGAGGATGACAGCACAGCAATAGGCACGATACTGGAACTCCAAGGCAAACCGATAGCCCACTTTGTTGAAGGCAAGGCCCGAAAATAACGAGATCGATAACCAGGCGAAGGCGTAGATTGCAACGTGGCGAATCAGCGTAAACGGGAGTCAGCCAACGTGCCTCTCTTCCCGGCAGCTAACCACCAATCAGAGAAACTCCAAACGACTCTTTTGAAACGGAGCAACAGCCTCGTGAGCAACACTCTTTTACACAACCTATGCTTGGCAGAATGCCCGGGCTCTGGTTCGAGGACTTAGCTGCCTATACAAACTACTACCTGGCATAGAGGGGAGAGGGGGGATGCCTCATAGAGCAACGTAATTATTCGTGATTGAACCGGACTCGACAAGCCACGCGCAATCCACCCACCGTGGCGACTTCAGTCTGCTGCAACGTGAAGAAAAAAGAAACAGGCAAAGGAGGAGGACGACAACGGCTCCAAAGTAGCACGAGCACTCCCGTTTTGTCGAGTAACGCTTCCCCCCCCCCAATCCGACGTCCGCCCCCATAAAGAGCGAGCGACGGTGTATGTATGCATATGTGTGTGGTGTGTGTATGTGTGTGTGTGTGTGTGTGACCACACCTACGCCGACCCCTCACTCGCGGGCGCAGCAAGTCAAGCCGACGCAGGCGAAGAAATCCGCCGCCTTCTCCCTTTCTCTCTCTCTCTCTCTCTCTCTCTCTCTCTGACCGTGTCTCCCTGCCCGTGTCTCTCTTTCAACCGGCGAGAGACGAACATTGCAGGCAAGCCACACACGGCCAGACAGGGACCAAAACGTAGAGGAAAGAGGAACTATTGAGACAGCCCGAAAAGCAAAAGTAGAGCGAAGAAAAAAAAAACACGGGACTCCCCGCGTAAGAAGCAGGGTGCCGCCGTCACGCGGCGACATTGGTGAGTAATAATAGTTCTCCCCATCCTGGTTTTGCCCCCCTTTGCCCCCCTTTGCCCCCCTTTGCCCCCCTTTGCCGTCCCTATTGCGCCCCGTCTCCTCCCGAACTACGAGCCATGACGAGAACGCGCGCGAGGATCACATGGGTCTTCGTGGACGCGTCGAAGGGGCGCAGGCCGTGGCGTGACGGGGGGGTAATAGATGAGGGAGGGGGAAACAGGACGAGGATGGACGGGAAGAGGAAACGGAACGGGGAAGTAATCATGTAATCATGTCAATTATCTACTCCGGGCGCGTACGCATACTCACGTACGCATACACGATGTACGTATACATACCCTGCGCACCAGGGACCGAGACGGAAGAGAGCGAGGGGTAAGGGGGGAGACCGGACAGGCAGGGATCATTGTCGCTGCTACTTGCTTGCTCATGCATACACCGAACCCGCCCACGTAGGTACTTGTTCATCAACCCTTACTTATGTCTTCGCGAGCGTAGATACAGATACTTACCTATGCCTCGCCCACACCAGCATCTCCGTGCCGTCTGTCCCTCTGCGGGAGTCTTCGCGTATCGCTCCCGCTCCTACTCATGCAGTCAATAATATATGGGAGCTCCCACATCGACCAGGGGTACCGGGGTAAAAATGGCCAGAGGGATGCGGTCCGGGTCGTGGTAGGTAGTACCGACTTTCTAAGTCTGTCTCCTGAGACCTCTCCGTCGCCTGACGCTGCCGCCATGGCAATTTAGGTAGGTAGAGGGGTGGGAGGCTCGGGAGCGGGGTGGGATTTGGACTTGGAGAGGGGGGCGGCTTGCGGCAATATGCCGCGACTCGGCCCTGTCCACCTGTAGGCATATTATAGAAGGATTCGACGCACTTGTTGATTAGCTAGGCATACAGCGATCTAGTCTAGGTTGAGCTCGACATACCTAGGCAATGAGCCTCAACGAAGAAGCCGGAAACCCTTGCGGAGCGATGGGGCGGTCGATCTCCCGTCCGGGACGAGCATATAGGTGTTTTATTTGATATATCCGCTGCTGTCGTCCCCGGCCTCACCTACCCTCCGCCAGAATTGTCCAAGCGAGAAAGTAGGCCGAAAGCCCATGTAGCGTGATCTCCCTTCCGGATTCATATGTGATTTTCGTCTCCGTATGGCATCCCCTACCCGACCACCTTCCATTTGCATGCCATCCGTGTGCGTGCAATTGTTAGTAATGATGCCTGATTAAGGATAATGTTGCCGTATACTGTCAGATGCCCGCCCGTTTCCCCCCATGTCTCCTCATCTCTTCCAGGGGTCTCGTCACGATTACTTTCGACAACACACCTCTCAGGCCGATAAGCCTAGAAGTTTCCGAATAGGCAGGTCGCGCGAATTAGTCTCCCCTCGCGGCCGAATCTGACCGATCCGCATCTTCTCATACGGCGCGTCTTCAGGCTGCTCTGCTGGCCTTCGTCGCGCGGGCGCAAGACGCTAAGCGACGCCTGCACGCCATCAAATACGTATACCGTAGCGAATGGACGCGATCTCCTCGTCGCCGACTCGCTTGCGTTCCTAGACATGCCGCGTAGATTAGCGTTCGTTGCATCGGCCCGCGGGATCGAGTGCGTGGTCAGCGAGACAGGCCCCCACACCCTCGCCAGCTGAGGTTGGGCTTCCACTCCTTCTGTCGTTCGAACGGCCGGATTTGCTTTTGGGATGGTTCGTCACGAAATGCCGCGGCGGCCGGATGCAATGAACCGCTCCGAAACCTGGGCGGCGACGCTTATCTTGCTAAGGCCTAGTCGACGTTGGCGAAGAAGCCTCTGAGGCGCAATACGGTAGGCGTGACGGGCAGTGGGACGCATCCTGCACGGACGACGGGCGCAAGTGCTTGCGTATGTCTCATCGTATCCCCCCATGCATGTGCGTGGCTGATGGAGGGCTGGTGTGGGGAGGGTGCATCATGGGATGGCGAGGCCAGGTTAGCGAGGGTGTACTGCGTAGGGGCCCTAAGCTATGCGTGAGTGGGAATCTCGCAGATCATAGGATCTCGGCGGGTGTTGACAGCCGATCAGATTGCACCCCTCCAACAGAGAACCCTGCTCGGATGGTCGGGAGACGAGGATAATCCGTCGCACTGCAGCGGAGAGAAAAAGAGGGTGTCCAGGGTGCTTTTAAGCATAAGAGAACGGCGTCATGGGATGTGGGTGCAGTCTGGTTGAGACGTACCGGAATGGCAACCAATGGTCGATCCCTCGGCGGAATTTGATAGGCTGGTGGATGACACTCTGTCGTTCGAGACATTTCGCCAGTGTCGCCTACGGCTCTGGCCTGAGTTCGAAGGGACGACGAGTCTTCAAGTAGCACTGTGTATGTGTAAGGGGGCTACAGGGTCGCAGGAACGTGGGCCTGATAGAAATTGCCTAGGCCTGCTCAACCAGCGTGCCCACGAGGCACGCTGCCTCCTGATTCGCGGCCCAGACAGCAGCGTGGGAGGCGGGTTCATGATTTCGAACATTGCTAGCTAGGTTTAGCTACGGATCCGGACTTCCTGTCTAAATGTTAGGTAGCCGTTGCCGAGTACGTCGTGGATAGACTAAACGGAGGCGCACGCCAACGTCGTATGCAGTAGAAATATAGGCGAGGAGACAGGATCGAGAAATACCCCCATGGAGCCACTCACTACGGGTTGGTCGATACGGCCTTGGGCCGGTGTGGAGGCTATATGCACCATACCGATGATGTCAAAGTAGTGAGGAGAGGTAGCGAGCGATTCTCCAGCGCGAAACGGCGCCGCCGCGCCACCGGCATGTCGAGCATGGCCATATAGCTGACGTGACTGGATGCGTGCGTAGCGGGGTATCGGGAATAACCTCATCCTCACAGGTCACGAGGAATAAGTAATGGCGATAACGAGACCATCACCGCTTTTGGTGCGCCCGTGTCTTGGGGAGGGGAGCCAGCGGTTAATTTTGAGTCTAGACGTGTTCGGCTGACTTCGTCTTACCAGTAAGCGAGGCGTCTAGCGCTTAGTCTCTCTATGACCCTGTCGGTCAAGTTGGAAGCTTTGTCGAAAAGGTCAAGACCGAAGGAGACCAGCGAAGAGAGCTTACCATTAGAAACAGAGGAGCCTAAAACCAAACACCACTTCCTCGGCCGGCCAGGGTCGACTGGAGAGGTTGACTAGGGACTTGGTTAGATACTACTATGCATATTGTCGAGGAGCCCCCCGTAACCTGTGACTCTATACCTACGAGATACGCCGCAGCCTCGCGCAACTCAAAGAGAATCCAGTGGATCGTAAAGACCACGGAGAGAGACTGGTCAAGATGGGCCAGGCGGGGCAAGAAACGTGCGCAATAAGAGGTGAATAGAGGGAGCTTGCGTGTATAGTATGGGTAGGATCGGAAGACAGCAGACGCCAGGGAAGGGCCGAAGTATACAAACCAGGTGTGGTAATGATGCGCGAAGCCCACCCCCGAAGAGCATGAGTGAGCAAACCGGAGCCTAGTGGCCTTCGTGCCTCATGTCTATCACGTCCTGTTCACTTCGGCTTAAGCGGACACCAAATCCCGGGTATGTTTCATTCTCGACGATCCGCTAAGAACCTCGGAGCTTGATGTCTATGGAAGATAGGAGCGGGATGGGACGGGGTTGAGGCAACCACTAGCGACTAGGTAGGAGGAGAGGGGCTTTACTCCGCTCAAGACGGATTACCCAAGTAGGGGAAAGCTCATGGGCGATGATGACGATATCTTGGTTCAAACGGCGTCCCTACTAACCCAACGCTCCGGGCGTATCAGCTCACGTAGAGGCGATAGGGGGCGTCGGCGGTCACCTCGAGTCGGTCGGTTGGTCAACCCCAGCTATGCTGGGTGTCTTGGGCCAAGAATGGCCTTCGCTCTCTCTCTCCCCCTCTCTCTCGCCGGTAGTTGAGCGAGTTCGAGATCATCGCTGCCGGGATCTGAACAGGACAGACATGCATCCATCTTCAAGCAGGGTGAAGAGCGGGATGGGCCATTACGGCAGCGCGATAACGTCGCATTCACCATGCGTCGGCCGGAGGCCCCTATGCATGCTAGAGAAACAACCTTGTCTCCGATCGCTGTCTGGTGACGGAGCCTGTTGGGAGCCTGTTGAGAGCTTGTGGTCGAGGGGGGTGGATCCTCGCGCCCCTCTGAACCCGTTGCTTGTTATTTACGTTACACCCCCTCGGGCCTTCAAGGCCTCTAAGCTTAGTGCGGATAGGCGAGAGGGCATATGGGCGCACACGAGAGAGAAAGAGAGAGAGAGAGAGATGCGTGTGTGGTGTGTGTGTGTGTGTCCGGTTATGGTGTGTATGGGAGTCGTTGGGGAGTGTGGGTGTGGGTGCGGGTGCGGGTGTGGGTGTGAATTATTCTGAAGACGCGAGAGGCGCCAATCAAATGTATAGGAGCTGTCCACCTCTCTCCCTCCAGCGGACCAGAGGCGTTGCCTCAGGTACCTCCTAGAAGTACCTCCTATAAGGAGGTACATGTGCTAGGTACCTTAGGTAGTAGCAGGAGGCGAGATGTCCCGAGTGGGTGGTACATCGATTGGTGGGGTTGAGGTACCTACCTCTCACTCCGCAGCTAGCCTGTACTTTAGGTACCTACCTACCTCCTAAGTAGGTACCTTTACCACATTGCTGACTGTCTCCAACAACGTGCCTTTCTCTGCCCATGCGCCACCGGCGCCACATGATGTCTCGGTGTGGGGGCACCCACCGAGTCTCCGTATTCCTTAGGTACCTGCATCCGGGTATACATATACCTCCTAGGCGCCTCCTTACTTACATAGGTAACATATACATATACCCGTATGCGCTTTGAGTCTCCCGCTGCGGTTTTCTATACACCTGAAGCTGGTTGCCTCTATGTACCCGCCCCTAAATATACTGCATTCCCGGGTAAACCTGAATGTTCATATGGCAATTCCCGCCCTGGTAGGTACCTGAGTACCTAGCTAATATAAAGCACAGGAGGACCTCAGGTAGGCAACTTAGGTAGGTACCTATGTACCTAACATCCTAGGCAAAACCGTCTCCTGGGCACGAACCCCCTCTCCATCACCCCCTCCCTCCCTCTTCTACCCGTCCCCCATCATCGCTGTAGCATCCATCCGTGGCGCCTCCGTCTCGCTTGGTCGTTCGGAAGGGTATCTACACTGGCACACACGTCGTTACTACTATCGTCATCCATCATCGCGTCGACTTGACGAGGTGGAGACTGGGGACATGGTACGGCTCACGAGCAACTCGCTACCAGCACCAGCTATTGTCGGGGTTCTTGGCCCAACCACGATCTACTGGCTACATCCCGTATTGGGACTATGGCTGAATATAGTATGTAGCACGAGGCGACGGGGCGACGCGGCGACGTCGTATCTCGGCGACATGCAAGACCTTTCGTCGCTCAGGTTGACGAGTATGAAGCTCTCCCACAACATCGTATCGTCCAGCGTCGCTAGCGCAGATAGAGCGACCTCGCGACCTCGTGGCAACACAGCCGATGCAGCCAAGTTATGTATGTATACGCGTGTATGCATGCGACAGGGTGGGAAGGCTGAGACCCTACCTACCCTTATTTCGTCCAAGAGGCAGTCCTCAGATCATTCGACCACGCACCATCGATGGCCGGCCTTGTTTCTCTCTTTCTGCCGTTGTCTGGAGACCGTCATCCTGGAGATGTGGCCGTATTCTTCGACGTGCGTCGGACGCTTGCTTACAAGATCGCCATGGCACCGTCGGGGTCTCTCTTCTTCGGTTACCGGCTTGATACCATCCAGGACCGTCTCCCCGCCTCGAACTAGAATCCCCCAATGATGAGCAGAGGCGAATTCTCATGCGCCGGTGCCGTGTGTGAGCATATGCGTGTAAGTGGAGGTGGAGGTTCTGCGTGCATATGTATGTACACATAGCATAGGTACGTGCCTACGGCATCTACTATAAGTCATCTCAGTCTTGGTTTCACTCGTTTTCATCCGGGGCGTCGGCGAAAACATGGCAGTGGTAGCTCCCGTCGCCAGTCTGCATGGGCGGGTATTGGTGCGAGGAGAGAGAGAAAACAAACAAGATCGTCGTGAACTGCAAGACACGGGCTTCCCTCGTGTCTCTTTCTTTCTCGCGTCTAGTGTCCTCCCGTGTTAGACGGATGCAGATACCTACAACCATCCATCCACCCACCCGCTCTCTCACCCACCGGTCCACACACAGCTCTCCTATACAGCCACTTACCTACACACAACATGATATATCTACACGGTTATTAATTCGGCACCATGGGGGCGGGGGCCTAAACGGGCGGACGAGCCACCGTGGTACGTCATGTTCTATCCGGGGGGTCGCGTTTCTTTTGTGGGCTCTCGGTTAACAGCGTGGTCTACTAGCGCTCACTTATATCGTGCCATATGACGCCTGTGACATAAATAGAGCTCCAAGACGGGCTTCGAGGATAAGCCCGTGTTGACGAAACGAGGGCTTAGCAGCCTAGATCCCAAATCCATCCCCTTGGGACGTCTCGAAGAGCCCCTCCCCTCTCTCTTGCTTGCCTATAACGTCTACTTGCATTCCAGTTCTCCCGCCAATCCCCTCCTCCGCTTTTGTCCAAACATTGCAGTCCCGAAAAGCTCCACTTAGAATAACAGCATCTATCCACCCACACAGCATCGCCGTCTTGGCCGCCGGTAAGCGATCTCATCTATGGTCCCTTCGCCTCTGGCTCCACGAAGCACAGCAGCGACAATGGGATGCGGTGTGCTCCCACAGAGATGAGCTAACGGGGGAGCCCAGACCACCAACCTGCTGGATCTGATATGTCACCTAGGTTGGCTGCCCACTAGTCAGGCTAGTCGCTGATCACGGACGCTTCGGGACGCATGAGAGAGGGCGACACCCGGTCTTACCACATTGTAATTCACGTACGGGTTACACCTTGTATCTCTTAGCCTCACCCGGCACGGCATTGCCCTCTTGACGCACGACACTAGATACGAACAGATACGATATATAATAAGGTGAGCAGTCACTTTTCTTCTTCTTCTTCTCCTTCTTCCCTTGTCACTTGAACCACGGTCTTTCCCGGTTTCAGGGACACATATCACGATATATTAAGTAGCGTTGGCGCACCTGGCGTCTGTTGAAGATGTCTACAGAGCGGCGTGAACCTGTCCGGCGTGAACCTGTCCGGCGCGTCATCCTTTAGACCAGTCCTCAGCTAGCTCCCAAAAGTCCACAGTCGTTCAAGATACGATCCATCCACTTGGCATTCCCACTATCCAGAGACTAACCCGCCTTGAGTCGTCCGTGCTTCCTCGCCGAGTCGACTTCGGACCCATCCTTCACCGATTCGAACCCCCCCCCCCCCCTTTCTCTCTTGGCCCAGAGAAAACCGGTCATCCGTTGCGTAACCTCGAGGTTGACCTGGGCTCTATTCCAGCAAGGTGTACCTGGGCACTGGAGAATTGACCCCGCGGCTTATTGTTATCCTCATTTGCTGATCTCTAATGTGGTAATCTCGAGCCGGATCCCCAACCTCCAGTGATTGGACGCCGGGCATCGGGATTCCAGGCAAAAGGATCGATCATCAGGTTTCCAGGGTTTCTCACCTTACCCATTGTCTCTTGCTTACGGGCGGTTTCGTCCACCGTCGCCATTAGCATTACTACTGATTAAGCCGTAATTTTCTGGATTCGTCCCATGCTGATTCTGACACGACCTCTCCCCGCTTTTGGCATAGACCAGCCGTCCCACTGAGCTGTTGTGAGATTTACGGCCCAAAGGCGCAACCACCTCTCTGCCCCAGCTTGGCGGTTGAAGAGCGAAGTCTCGTCTTCCCCTAATTTCGGCCACCCATACGTACACACCCACACAAATACCTGTCTACCTCTATCTATCTACATACCTACATGCGTTCAGTACCGCCCAGTACATCGGTTTCGTGAGATATCGTGACGATCCATCCAACGTACCGTTTCATTCCCTGTGGATCGTTCCCTGACGCAATTTCTCCTCCGTTCGCAACGGGAAAGTCACGAGAGCGGCAGGAATCGGATCCAAACGATTCAATAGAGGCGTTCTCTCTACCCTTCCCCCCTCCTCCTACAGCCAGATCGGCGCGTCGAGTTCCTTTGGCCCAAGCGCTCTCGGGCACCGAGGGTTGAGAGCTCCTGTAGGACCCCCACACAACAGCAACCCCCCTGCAGGTCTCGCCCGAACCATCGAATCCTGGACCCGTCCTGGCACTATTATCCTGGAGCCATTCCTCCGCACTTCCCTACACCAGAATACATACAGCAGTTGATACCTAAAACCAGGACCCATCCAAGGGTTTAGCCAACAGTTCCTCCCCTCGCGAGAGAGAGAGAGAGAGGGAGACAGGGCCAACAGGCAGCACGAGCGGCTGGGGTACCTGCTAGGCGGCTACCTACAATTCTCGCTTTACTGCTACTTTGGGTACTGCCTTGAGGTCGAGTACCCGAGAGTGCCTTGCAGCGAACCTGCATGACCTCTCTTATCTGGTAGGACGATTCGTCTATTACTCATTTGGCAACTCCTTTTGCATCTTCTTCGCTTCCCTCTGCCTCCGCCTCGCTACCTCGAACTAGGTACTGCACGGTTTCAACACAGGCTGTTCCTACACATCGACAGGACATAACAACGGCAAGACGAGGGGGCGCGTGAGAAGAAGAAGACGGGGGGTAATAAATTTTTTTTTTTGGTCGACACCACAGTACTGCGTCCTCGTGGTTAGTCGGAGTCATTTGCTATACAATAGATCAGAGACAGACAGAGGCATCCGTGGTTCCTGAATCACCTTGGCTCCTCCGGCCCTGTTTAGTGACGCCGTAGAGAGAGTATTTGCATTCCACCCCCGGGTGTGCCTTGGAACCGGTCCGTCAGCTAGCTAGCAGGCCGATCACTCCTCGCCATCACCCGTCCCCTCTCTAGGCAAGAGTCTCAGGCATTGTCACCGACTTCTTCGAGTTCAACCTCCGAAGGCAATTAGGGAAACGGGTCAGCGGAACGAACGAACCCACAGCGCCACCTAAGCCGAGCGTGGGAGTGATTCACTCTCAGCATCGAAGCCCCGCGAGCCGACGCAAATTCCCCTATTCTCCGAATCTGACCCTTTCCTCTTTTCGACGAGAAGGGAGCGAGCCAAGGGGGACGTAGAGGCCAGGAAGAAGAAGGCCTATTCCTTTTTTTCTCTCTCTTTCTCCCTCCCCCGTTCTCCTCTGCGCGGGACAAATCGCAACTCCTCGACAATTCACTGCCACTCCTCTCGGCTGAGCGCCAATTCTTTTCTCGGTATCCCTGCTCCTCATCATATCCAGAGTCGGTCACCTTTCTCACCCGCCTACCTTGGTCCTGGTTATTTGCATGGGGGACACACATTATGGTCGACCGACGGTACTCAGCTAGTGTCGTACCCTCGTATCTAACCTACGCATGTGTTTGACTTACTTAGCGATATAACTTCACCCATTCTTCGTCCCGCCGGTCCCTCTGACCTGTGCACACGCGCAACTCGGTCTCCACCCTTCCCTGCCCGGCGCCAGAACAGTTAAGAGAATAAAAAGAGCGAGGAGCCCCCTCTCCTCGCGGTCCCCTCTAGCCTGACCCTCCTCGACGGACCCTTTAGGTATCTTGGTCGCCCTCCGCCCTCTCGTCGAACCCCCCTGGCATTCTCCCAGGATTGCTGTCTGCGAACCACTGGTAGCGAATCCGTCCCTCGCTCCAATCAGAACCTGGCTGGTAAGCCGTTGCAACGCAACTCTCTGTCTCGTCGCCTTCGGGTTTCCTCCCTCTCTCCCTCCGTCGCCCACTCGCTCACTCGCGCTCATCCGGCGTCCCTTGGATATCATCCTCACTGTCGTCGTCGTCGTTGTTGTCGTCTCTGCTTGTCCCCCCCCGCCCCCCTCTCCCCTCCCCATCCTCCCATCTTGTCTTACGGCTCTGAACTCGCCCGCCTCCGCTCGATGCTGCCAACGTTAGTGACCGCAGCAGCATACCCACACAAGCCGTCTGATACATAGATCCATCTACGGAGTGCATGACATAACCGCGGCCTGCTCAGGTGTGCGCTGGGGCATGTCGGCGGATGCATTGCGCCGTATCCATAATTAACTAGCTCTGAATACCGGATCTTCCCATTCCCATTTCCCCCCTCCCCCTCGTCATCTTGTTGCTGTCGTCCCGTCCCTGCTACTACATAACCTACCTTACTTACACGTTACCTACCTACCTGCCTACCTACATAGCTACCATCCCATCCCATCTCGTCCCATTCCATCCCATTACTATACCCATATTTCCCTACCTGCTCAGACACACATACTATCCATATCCGTACGTTTGGATACATCGAAGCCATATATTCTGGCTCCGTGGATCTGATCTGATTTGACCGAATCTCTGCCGCCGCTAAACCCGTCCCGCCCACCCACGCATCTTCTCTCCTCCGCGCTCGTCTCTCCCCTCGTCCTTTCGCCTCTCTCTCTTTCTCGCTCCCTCTCTCCCGCACACCCGCCCCCTCCTCCTCGCCCTGCTATCCATTCGTTGCTCGACTTTTCGCCGTCCAGCGTGGTAAGGACTGAATCCCAACGACTCGCACAACTCATCCCCCTTCCCCCCCGTTTCCTCCAGTCACCGTCCGACACACACGCGCGCGCACATACGCATCGCATAGCCCGGATAGCACACATAGCACGCATATATCCGGAGCATTGGGATTCTCAAATCACCGTCGCGCAAATTCAATTTTCTCCTGCATCCTAATTTTAACCCGTGGTTCCTGTACCTTGCACATCCAGGTGGTAGCTGAGGCGCATGCGGGATACGTGTAGGGTTAGACAGGCATTTCCTTTCTTCTTCCCTCGCCGTGTCTCTGCATCGCCGGCATCGCCGCCCATCGTCGTCTGCAGCCTGTTCTTCGTCTTCGTCTTCGTCACCAAGCACTTGCCATCACCACCGCCGTTGTCGTAATCCTCAACAGCAGGTAGCATCCGCCATCCTATCGTCCTCCCTTACCCGCACTCCTCTCCCCTACTTTCCCTGCCTACCGGCACGCTCACAAGCCCACACCCACCCACACACACACACACACCCACCTACATGTCTACATGCATGCCTACCGAACAATGCCAAACTGCGTGTGGACTCGCCTGCCTCCTGCCCCGGGTTTTCCTGTCAACACAGATTCGCATTTATGAATCTCCATGTTCTTTCCTTTGGCTTCTCCTCCGAATGCATCTGCCTCTCGGAATCCTCACAGCTTGGCTCCCCATTTTCTTGACCGTTCTGGGCGAAATCCCCTCCGCCCGCAGCCTATAAATCCGGATGCTGTCGCTCTGCTTACCTCTGCAACCTTTCTTGCCTTGACTTACCTCCCCTTGCGTTTGCCCTGCCCTGGCGCCTCTCATCTCCCTCGCCTCCGGCCAGTACTGCGATAATAACATTTCGTCATCTGTCTAGGTTGCGGGCTATCGACGTCTACATAGTCTGGCTTCGGGTGCGCCTCGGTCCCGGGCGTGGGAATGATAAGGAAAGGAGATTAAAATAAAAAGGGCGGAAAAAAATTTTTTTTTCTGAAGAGGACCTCGACACGATCTTCGAGTTACTCTTTTTTTTCCCCGGCAGGTATTAAAAAAAATAAAGGCAAGGAAAAGAAGAGAGAGAGTGAGTGAGAGAGTGCGAAAAAAGGGGGGCGTCAATGCTCGCTGCGACCAGGTTGTCGTCGGCGCGCCCCTCCTAAATCCTCCCACCCAGCTTCTCGCTACCAGACAGCGCTGTAACCACTACCGGGTACAGCCAAGTGCTGGCCGATCCAGCCACTGCGCCGATTACTATTAGTCCGGCTCCTCCCTCTTCTCCTCATCTCTTCCCCACCTTTCGAAAAATACTATATTTCCGCCCGAGCTCGCCGCCGCCATTGCCGCCGCTGCTGCTGTTGCTGCTGCGTTGGAAAATGTCCGAGTATCGCCACATGAGGTCGGGCAGCCTCAACATCCCCTCGCAGACCAACACCATGAGTCCGCTAGTCCCGTCGCACGGCCGCTTCGATGGCCCGCGAAGTCCGCCTAGTAAGTCCCCGCTGCTCCCCTTCGAGTCGGCGTCGTCCTCGTGATGGCGGTCCCGCTTGTGTCCTGCTTGTGCGTCCCTAACCTCGATGGCGCGCCGTGACAGACACCTCGCACGTGCCGTGCAAATTCTTCCGACAGGGCGCCTGCCAGGCCGGCTCCGCGTGTCCCTTTAGCCACGATCTCGGTGCGGCGTCGGAGACGGTGTGCAAGTACTTCGCCAAGGTGAGTCTGAGAAGGGGAGGCAAGACGGGTCTGTCTCTCTGCGCTGTGGCACGACGCGCCGCGAGGGCAGAGACCGAAGCAGGGCAGAGCTAAGAACTGGTGACACCACCGCCATCACAGGGCAATTGCAAATTCGGTCCCAAGTGCGCCAATGTCCACGTCCTCGCCGACGGCCGACGCATCAACTACGGCAAGAATGGCATCACCATCGGCCAGCCCATCCACCTCGGCGGCCGAGTCAACGCCTCCGCCTACAACTCTTCCAACAGCGCCCTGACCAATTCCTTCATGCGCGCTGACGCCAATCCGCCCTACAGCAACGCCTACGGCTATCCACTGTCCCCGAACGACACCTACCGGTCCGTTGACCGCCGCCCAAGTCTCGAGAACGTTCCGACGATCGACACCACCTACTCCCACACCAGCTCCCAGTACGGCTCGCCTCGCGAGGAAGACCCGTCCCGCCTCGGCCTCGGCCTCTCTCCCGTCGCCGCCAAGGGTCTGTCCGTCCTCGACGCGCCTCTGCCCGCCTCCTTCGACTCGAATGGCATATCGAACGCCGCCCGCTATCCCGGTGGCCCCTGGCCCTCTTCCGTACCCTCGCAGTTCGGACTCGACTCACCCTCGCCGTCCTTGAACGCGGCGAAAGAATCGAGGACCTCCGAGACCCTGAAGCTCCTCCACCACTCCGCATTTGGCAGTAACGAACATCTATCCGCCACCGCTACCACCGGGTCCTCGCCCCCGACCCAGCCGAACGACGAGTACTACGGCAGACGCCAGATGCATTCGAGTCGCTATGCCAAACCCAAGATGCTCAGCAGCAGCGCGCCTCGTGCTATCGTCGGCGGCATCGATCGGGACTGGGAATCCGAATTCCCCTTCCTGGAGGAGGATTACCTACCCGATAACCTGAAGGACCTGCTGACGCCCGCCGAGAAGGCTCGGCGCGGCTCGCGAGCGGCCGAAGAAGAGGCCAATGGCCACCGGGGGAACGGCACATCCCCCAGCATCGTCGGCATGAGCGGTACGGGCACGCCCAACGCCGAGGCTAACTCCAAATTCGGCAGTCCCATGGCGTCGAGCCCGAGTCGATGGGGCCCGCTCTTCCAGCGTCAATTCGAGGAGCACGAGGCGAAAAAGCATGCTGCCGCCGCCAGCGCGGGGGCTTTCGGGCACGTGGGGAGTCCCCTACGCCAGTCCAGCCTCAGCGCCAACGTCGCCCGATCCCACAACGCTAGTCGGTCTAGCAGCATCGAAGGGCTCAGCGTCCTCACCCAGCAGCTGCAGCGCACGCGTGTCGACAGCAACGGGGGCGAGTCGCTCCATCCCCATTCCAACTCGCACACCTTGCGACCGACAAACGGACGTTCGGCTGAACGACACGTCAGTAGCGGCTCCATCAGCTCGAGCGCTCGATACACGACCCCGATTGGGGAGGAAGACGGCGAGTTCGTCTTCAGCATGGACGAGGACGGCGAGCGAGATAGCACGATCAGGGCCAGGAAGCGGACGTCCGGAGTGGGCACGGCTATGAGCGTCTGGGGCTCGAGCTACGTCGGTGTCGTAACCGCGGCCGGGAAGAAAGACGACAGCACCGCCGCGAGGGTGGTCGAGGGCGTCGGTGGTCGGTGAGCAACGACGGCTCCGAGACATGAGACAAGTCTTTTTTTTGGAAGAGACTAGTGATGATAATAACGATGATGCGTATTCCTCACAGGGCGGTCAGCGGAACAGTCACTGCCACGGACACGATGCCGGAGAAGAGTCTGCAGAAGCAAGACGCCCGTTCCTTGACGCGAGAACCCCCCCGATGATAGGACGTGCCCCCCGAGGATGGGAATGTCGGGACGCCGACGCCACCGACGCCCGCATCATGAAGCCACGAATCACGAAGCAGTTCTTTGGCCGGAGAAGCTCGCTCGCTGCCTACTAGGTATTGAGGTATACTCGGGACAAGCGCACACACATGCACACACATAAACACGCGGCGATGAGCGTTGCTCGGGGCGTCCAGCATTGGAGTATTAAAAATGAGGAAGGCTGTCGTTGAATGCATAGCAAGCAAGGCAGATACATGTATAGAAGAGATGGGACGGAACTGGATCTGGATCGGGGCTCATGTTACTCGTAGTATATCAGGCACTTTTTTTTTTCAATTTTGTCTTTTTTTTATTCCTTGTTCTATCCATCTCGGCATTCCAGGTTGGCTAAAAACAGAGAAAAAAAACTCTCGCACACACGCAGACGCGCATACAGACTTACACACATACAAGTATTGCCCGGCATGGAGGGGAGTGGTGTGGCATGGAAACGAGAAACACGCACGCACACACACTATAAGAGGCGGCACATAAGAGGGAGGGAGGGGGGTTTCGGGCACGGCGGTTGGAGTTCACTTGGTTGGTAAAATATATCGCGTTTTTCTTCGCCCATTGCTACTACCGCTGCTACTCTTGCCGCTGCTATTACCTCTATGTATCCCATCCATCGTGGTTCTCGTCGTAATTTCTCTGCGCACACGCTCTCCTCGCCACGTTTTCCTCTTATCCTCAGTCTCTCGCGGACTGCCCTTGGCTTCTCGGCAAGGGGAAGGAGGACGTTGAAAAGGTGACAAGAGGGCGGGCCGGCAAGCAGGAAAACGGCAGCCTGCACGCGCCGAGAATAACCAGAAGACTAACTCCCCCAGATCAGCTTTCCTTCACCCTCTACTCTTCTGCTCGGTTTCCCCCTCTCGCTCTCGCCTCGACGGCTGCCGCCGCGCCCTCGCCTCCGCCGCCCAGGCGCAGCCTCGTCGCCGGGACGCACGCAGCCGTACACATAGGGGGCGGAGCCGATGCGGAGCCGAAGACGGAGAACAACGCGGGCCGCGAGGAGAGCCGGGGGGGGGGGGGGGGGGGAGAAACCCAAAAGCGACGGCGGCGGTTAGAACACATGGTACGTCCGCGCGCGCAGCGACGGGCCAGCAATCCGCGGTCGACGTCCGGAAAGCGGTGGCGCGTCGGCGATCGATCGGAACGATCGGGGATTCTGCACGGCCTGTACTACACTGTAGCTCGGCGCGGACTCGGCGGCGGGTATTCGCCCCCCGGCCCCGCCGCTGGGTGCAGACCCTGCTGACGCGATGCCCCCCCCGTGCCGGCGCTCGAGCGGGCAGAGGCTCGGCTTCCGGGCGCGGCCTCGGCCCGAGCCCTCGCGCCGTCTCTCGCAGGCTGCGCGAGCCGCGGGGAGACGAAGGGTGCTGCTGGCGCCACCTGTGAGAGGGCGTGTCTTGCGGGTGACGGAAGGCGTGTGTGTGTCTTCGCGACCTTGGGCGTGCCTCTCGGGGGTCGGGGTCGGCATACGCCGGCTTCTCGGTGTTCGTCCTGGCGTACGCGTCGGCCCCCGAACCTCCTCAGCTGTGCGCCTGGAGGCCGGGGCGGCACGCCGTCCGAGCGGTCAAGAGGCGCACACACGTGGTGAGCGGAGCAAACGTACTCTCCCGAACAGAGGGGGAAGTACCTAAACCTGGCGTTTTTGCTTGCCGCGGCGGTTGCGCGGTTGCACATAGCGTGCTATACGGGCGATCCCCGCGCCCTTCTCCCAACCCTACATGCACGTGGCCGGTATCGACTATGCCTGCCAAGCAGCGAGCCGTGGCCTCGGGCTCGTGGTCGCCCGTGTTGGCGGCCTCCCGGTAGGACGGGGTAGTAGGCAAACTGCCGTTCTTCTCCGGGAGACCTCTCGCGATGAACGCGATGTGAGAGAGGACTCCTTGCACTCGCCGTACGGACCAGATAATGCGCATATTTGACGCTTTGTAAATCGCCTGCATGGACTGTAGCATCGGGCCATTCGGGGTCTGATGGGCATACAACCCTCGTTCGCAGCCGCGCTTCCTAGATCTACGTGGAGTTTCTACGATATCTAGTAATCGGCGCGAAGCAAGGCTGGACGATCGTAACCAGCCTTAAAAGACTCTGACGGATGTCGTCACATTAGATAGTTCTTTGCCTCGAGCAACGGTCCGGGGTTAGTTCTAACGGTCCGAGGACCCTAAAAGCTGTCAACACCACGACTAGTAGGCGGGCATACTCTCGGGAAAATGTAACACAGTTAGCTTTGGATAGAAAACGGCCTTTGGATAGTTATTTGCGTTGTTTGACAAAGGCGTGAGAGAGGCCCAGGATGGGCGGAGTGAGCTATGTCGTCGAGATCACTCATCGGCCGTCAAGAGTCGTAGGGAGGACTCGCGCTCTCGACGATCTCGCGACTGCCTATCATATGGCCGATGAAAGCACGGTGATAATATAGTCATATTGGGCTGATGCCTTAGATGGTCCCGGGGCCGAGTGTCTCGGGCGTGTGGGATATGTCTACTCGTCTACACAACACATTGGACCACGAATATATCGCCCACGGGTGCCCCAGTCCACTGCTCGCCTATTCCCATGCCGTAGGCTAAGCCCGGTCCGTATCAACATCCGACTTCTGAGTGGTTCGCTCCGGAGCGCCTCACGCTGCCTGGGAGAAATCGTGCGGGCGGAACCGGCGCAGCATCCGGGAAGGCCGGCAAGAACCAAGTCGCGAGTAGCGAAGCCTGGCATGGCTCCGTTGGAGCAGAAGATCCCGTCGGACCCATACACCACCTTTTCCGGCTGTTGCTGTTGTCGACGCCAGAGGCGGCGGCGGCGGCGGCCTCTGTCGCAGGCCCTTTATGTTACCGTGGTGGAGGGGCGGCCGTGTGGTTCGATAAGAATGCTGCGAACGCACCGTCCTTGAGACAGACACCCCCGGCGCGAGCGACGGCAGATAGGGGATTATCGGTCCGCTGGCGCGATGTAGTTAGTACTCGGTGATAGCCCAGCTAAAGTATGTGCAGAACTCGCGCAGTGGCTAGCCCCTGTTTCTGACTCGTAAAGCTGGTCTGGGGCCCATAACCCGCCCGCCGTAATCTCTGAGGGTGCTAGAGGGCGGAAACTAGTGCCCGTCTAGCACTGACATAGCTGTTGAGTGAATAACATGACGAGGCCGATACAAAAGGTGGCCATCGCCGAGATCACGCCAGGGAACGTTGGGACTACCCGCACTCATGACACCTACCTCCTCATTCCCGCCGTCGCTTGCCGCGGTTACGCTATCCAATTTTGTTCCACGTCGCCCGGGAAAGCCAGCTTGCCGGGGAAAGAATCGAGGGGCCGCCTCACGAGTTTTCCAATACAGGTTAGACACTGGAGGTGAGCATCGTTTCATTTCTGGCCACTGTTGTTCAGTAGGTTGGCAATGCGTAATAACCACGGACACAGAACACACTCCCTCTCTCACATAAACGCGAACTGCTCTGAGAGGGTCACTAAAAAGAAAAACGGTGAGGACAAGGGCGTTCTTGTGAGTCTCGTAGCGGAGCTGCCGAGTCAGTGCTCAATTCAATCACCGTCATCGGTATGGAGAGGCTATTAGTTTTCCTGTCAAATGGGAGGCCGTGTGTCGAGCCGAAACAGGAGGACACGGCTGCAACTGGCCGGCCCGGTCCCATCGCAACCACAAGGCACTCAACCCTGGGTGATAAATGAATGGCTCGGCGGAAACCAGTTTTCCCACTCACCAATGGTCCCCATCATGTCAGTTGTAGGTAGAAGCACACCTGCAGGCGAGGGGTTTAGGGACAGAGAGAGAGAATGCGTGTGCAGGCGAGAGAGAAAATATCTATACACTAAAAAAGGGCGAGGAGCCGGAGCTACCTGCCAGTTGGACCACATCTCGCCTGAATTCGGGTTGTATCCTCTCTCATCCACATTTGACTATCTTTGCTTGATCTGGCGGCCTTGGGTCCCGAGGTCATCGCCCGACGATTTATAGGCATGCGCAGCCACCGCCACGGCGTCCAAGCTCTAAACACAGGCCGTTGTTATGAGTGGCGTAGCCGATATTATACAATGGTTTGTTATGTTAGTTCGCATTCGGCTGGCTCAGGATGTACTCGACAGCCTGGTTAACTGTTGAGATCAGGAGTCAGCGACTGCGTCAGGGTGGTAAACTCCCAACTCGGCCAGGTATCATACCACTGTGGATAGCATCAGCGTCCTTGTCGGGTATCTCGATGCTGAATTCCTGCACATGTCGTTAGGCATCACGTCTGAGACTCGGCAGCCCGGGAGCGGGAAGTCTGCTCGTTACCTCCTCTATCGCCATGACAACCTCCACCGTATCCAGGCTGTCTAGGCCGAGATCGTTCGAGAAGTGGGACGTCGGACTGATCTACCGGGGGTCAGTATCTCGGGGGGGACCACATCTTGCGTATCCACGTCGAATCTTACTTTACTCGTGTCGTTGACCTAGGTATGCACCACCGTTAGCGAATTGGCGTTTTCTCATCCCGACTGCCCCCTCGACAAGTATTCTAGCACTAGCGCCCCAATCCCGCCGGGGCACCCTTCACTGCGCCTAGCACCCGGCCTCCTCCACGTCCGCCATAGGAGGGATGTGCGCGAGACAACCGAACTCACCTTTTCAAACCCGTGCAGGATACCCATGATCCGTGCCTCGACGTCTTGCTTCGCGAGCCCGTTCCCGGAGTCGGAGGAGTACATGCGCACAGCGCGCACGGCAGCCAGCCTGGGGGCGGGCGCGAACACGGCTCTGGGAGACATCACGGCGGCTTTCCGGGCGACGGGGCGAGCGGCCCCTGCGCGAGAGGCCACGACGGCGGCGCGGACTAATGCTGTGCGGAGCATGGCGACGATCTGAGAGGCGACGGGCGACGTAGCTCGATTCAATGGGCGGCAGGCGAGAGGGCACAGGATAGAGGAGGATACGTTGCGTGTGGGCGTGCCCGGCGGCGAGGGGTGGGAGAGCTGGTGGGGTGTCGAGCCTGTCTTCTTGAGAATGTCGAAGGTGGGTTTGGCTGGTGGTGTGCAGTGATAATAAATTTCTCGTCATTTGCATCCGAACCCGCGGAGCTAACGGGCGCTGGAGGGGAGTGCCTGCACAGCTAGGTGCACGTGATCACAGCCACCGCCACGAACAACTCAGCCCTGCACCAGCCATACGTATCTACAGTATCTATGAAGTATTGCCCACAACAGAGGCTCGGATATGTCAGCGGCCAGCTGCGAGCCACAGCACGTCACCGGCCTGCCACCTGGCTAGCCAGAAATATGCACGTAATCAGAAGACCCACTCCCTCGTTGCAGGTACCCTCCTCGGTACGTCGAGCCCATCCCCATCCAAGCAATGCACGATAAATGGAATGCTGTCCCTGTCCCCCCTCCTCCTAGCCGCAATGGAAATGGGCACCCGACCTAGGCGCAGCCAAGCAGGTTGGACACCACCAGACGCACAGAGACAAAGGCGGCGCTGATGACTCCCGGCTCACCCACGGAACACGTCCATTGCCCTTCATGGGACTCGATAGTTGGTTGGTATTTACAAGACGTCGTTGTAGTGCAGCTGCTCTAAGACATCTTTCCCCCTCCCCTCCTTTTTTTAATCCTCTTTTCCTTTCCCCGTCGGCCGATTATCTGTAGGGCGAGTCTGCTCTGATGACAGCCGCTAGCTCCGGCTCCCACTTGTCCCCGTTCGCTAGCAGCTTCTCCTTGTTGTACAGCAACTCTTCTCTCGTCTCGGTAGCGTATTCCGCGTTAGGCGACTCCACGATCGCGTCTACCGGACACGACTCCTGGCAGAAGCCGCAGTAGATGCACTTGGTCATGTCTATGTCGTAGCGGGTTGTCCGCCGAGACCCGTCGGCTCGCTCCTCCGCCTCGATGGTGATGGCCTGCGCCGGGCAGATCTGCCTCGCACGTCAGCTGGTCGTCTCTCGAGAGGAGGCAGGCTGCAAAACGGCAAGATAAAAGCTCGGGGGGGTATAGATTCCGCGAGGGTGGGCTAGACGTACCGCTTCGCAGAGCTTACAGGCAATACACCGTTCCTCGCCTGAGGGATACCGCCTCAGGGCATGCTCGCCACGGAAACGGGGAGAAATGGGGCCCTGCCGAAAAATCAGTCGCCATATTCCACCCGGTATCTTCCGCCCGAATATCGCGCAGGGTTGTTTCGGGCGCCGGGGCGCATGGTTGGGAGGGGCGAACCTTCTCGAAAGGATAGTAGATGGTGTATCTGGATACGTGGCCCGACGTCAACATCGACTCCTCGAACTGCTTAGGGAGAAGGGGGGGCGGGGACTCACGGTGGTCGGAAGAATTGCTCTAGCGTGATATATAGGCCGCGGAATATCTCGGTCATAAGGAAGTACCGGCCGTTGCTGTCGAGGAGAGTCTCCTCCTGCTCGTCCCACTTCTTCGGTGGAGGAACTCGGAAGCCCTTAGTCGGCGGACCGGCTGGCGTGGCGTAGGTGCGCTGCGCGACGATTCTAGCCACGGCGGCGGCCGTGACGGGTCGGCGGCGCACGAGCTGTCGGGACAGCATCGCGGCTGTCGTCGATGTGGCGATCCCTTGCATGGCGCAGTGCAATTGGGTGGGCGGCAGCAGAAGAGAGGGAGGGAGAGGGGGAAAGAGGGCGGTCACGGAGTCGGTAGATATAGGCTGTCGAGAAATTGAGAAGAGGGTAGGTAGGTAGGCAAATGCAGAGAGTGGGCATCGAGATCATGCTGGAGTATTTTTGGTGGAGCTGGATATTACAAAAGCCTTGCCGTGATTGGCGGAATGTGCCTAGCCACAAGATCGTCAAGCCACGATCGCGCACCGCCGACGATTATGCCGCGGTGACGTCGCTCGCGCCAGAAAATGCATCGCATGATTACACTGTACCTACCTACGTACCCAGCGGGATTCTCTAGTAGACCTCGTCAATCGTCAACATCATCGCGACCCTGATCTCCGGCAGCAATAACAATTCCTTTTTTGCCTTTGTGAAAAGGAGCAATCCGTAGAAACAATACCTACCTAGCCCCCTCACCAGCCCACTTGCAGGCGTAACGTAGGTAGAGGGCGGAGGTAGGTAGTCATGCCTCGATATGCAGACACTACCCTACAGCGCTATTAACATCGCGGAGAAGCCTATCCAACCCGACAAGAACGATGAATCACACGGGCACGACATGACACAAACACAAGCACACGGCTGGCCTGAAGTACAGCTTCGGGAATTGCCCATTGCCTGGTAACATTACCTAAGTACCTACGTAGGTAGTTTAGCTATGTGCGAGCTATGAAGTTAGCGTTGGAGACAAGAACCAGACAGCTAGACGATCGACGATTGACCGAGCTTAGCAAAAGGGGAAAAAAAAAGCAGTAGCAATTTGGTATCTGTTCCTCCCCACACAGACTACCGTACACTAGTCATACAGTCCGGCGCCTCGCCTAGGCAGCCCCCGCGGCCCCTCTGCCAGCTACAGCACGCGCGCTTTTTCTCCGTGATGCCCATGTCCCTGTGCCGGGGCTCACCTCGGCGCAGGAGACGAGGAGTACTCCCCCACCACACACAGGTCCGCTGCTCCGTCCGTGCCAGTCTGTGCCTTGCCGCCGCAGAACCCCAAGCACCTGCGACTACTCCGCCTTCCCCGCTGCCGGCGCGTCCGTCAGCGGCACGTACCGCACGCCGTAGAGGCGCTGCCTGCGGACCTTGCCGTCCTCGTCCTTGTCCACGGTCCAGATGTACTGCTCCCAGCCGTTGTCCTCGGCGACGGGGATGAACATGCGGCCGGGGCTGCGCAGCTGGCGCACGAGCTCGTCGTGGAGCTCCGCCGCGGCGGCGCCGACGTGGATGGCGTCCCAGCCGCCCTCGTCCTCGGCCGTGGCCCCTGCTCCCGCCGCGGCAGCAGCAGCAGCAGCAGCAGCAGCGTCGCCGCGCATCTGCCTCGACTCGGCCGCGCTCGCCGCCGCGGGGCCGCCGACGCCCGGGATGTCCGCGGCCGGCTTCGGCTCCGACCAGCCCCTGCGGCCGTCGCCGACGCGGAACCGCGCGCGGCCGCTCGCCAGCAGCCGGCGGCCCTCGGCGCTCTTGGCCATGTTGCGCTCGCCGAGCTCCTTGAGCGCGGGGATGTGCTCGAGCCCGACGACGACGCCGTCCGCGCCCGCGAGCTCCGCCAGCACGTGCGTCAGGTACCCGCTGCCGCTGCCGATGTCGAGCACGCGCCGCGGCCGCCCCGCCAGCCCGATCGTCTTCCCCGGCGCCCCCCCCGCCCCCGCTGCGCCGCCGCCGCCGACCGGCAGCACGAACGGCAGGAGCGTCTCGACCGCCTGCGCGTGCATGTGCGGCGCGCTGATGGTCGCCTTGTGCCCGATCGGCTGCGGGCTGTCGGCGTACGGATCCGCGGGCGCGTAGTGCGCGCGGTCGACGCTCAGGAAGGCTTCCTTGACGCGCGGGCTCGTGATCAGCTCGTTGCGCCACAGGTTCTCGACCAGCTCCGCGTTCGAGCGGCCCGAGCTGCGCCACGGCATGCTGAAGATCGGTCGCGAACCCCCGGAAAAGCGTCGGTGGTAGATGGGTCGGGCCCGGGCTGGCAGCAACGCCGCGAGACGAGAGAGCCTAGCTAGTTCGGGAGACACCTTGGATAGATTTAGGTAGATGTTCGCCCGTATTCTGTGAGACCTGTCTTGCCGGGTGGCAGCAGATAGGTGAGATTAGTTGCGGTACAAGGTCAAGAGGAGACGGTAGTCGAAGCGGCGGTAACTCTTCGCCGCAAGTGAGCAGGTCCAGTCGCTCAAAGAGTCGGCATCAGAATCGGCGTGATCTTTGTATGTGCTGCTCCGAAAAACGGCGAGGTAGTATCGAAAGCATCGAAAGCAGGTGATGGTCATGACATAGCAACCCGTCATATTCCGTCCCGCTTGATATCGCCTGAAGTGAGGGGCACTTCTTCTCCTGCCTTAGGTACCTTAAGTACCTACGCACTACCTGCCTCTACCTAAGGTACCTCCCAGGTTAGGTACCGGTAGTTATACCCGCGTTATCGATAGGTTATAGCCTGCTTCCGATGGCGTGACGTTATCCCGAGTATACAGCCATGCGGGATATGCACATATCGGACCCGCGATGTAGCTGCGGTAGAACAGTCGGAATCCGTCGTAGCATCAAACGCGCTCGGACGGAAGACATATATAGAAGGCTAGGATATTAATGTATTTCTATAGGCGCGTAAGTACGTAATCGGTTACGTATAGCTATAGGGTAAGCCCTGCCCTAGCGAGGATTAATCGGGATATAAAAGGTACGTAAAACGGCTTTAAAAGGCTACGTAAATAACTATAATTTAATTAATTATTTACCCGTTCCTTAGATAGCTATATGGTAGTACCTTATACGTTTCGTAAGCTTATTATTACGTTATTTTATTATTATCTAACTACTTACGTTATAGAGGTAATTAAGTAACGAAAGTTCCGATAAACGAGCGGCCCGGGGTAACCGTATAACTACGATTAACGGTAGAAAGAGGTTATCGATAAGTTAAACGATTAAATCGCGAGGATAGCTACGAAGATAGCTACGAGATTATAAGATAAGGCGGCCGAGGAAGGAACCGAATAGAAAATTACGTAGGATATCGCGTTAAAGGACCTCTATAAGGAAATACGTAGGAAGTTATAGGAAGGCTTACGTAAAACGACCGAGCATATTAATTAGCGTATAAATACCGTAAAGTATTTCCTTAAGGAAATAATAATTAAATTAAAAATAATAAACGAATAACGGTAAAAAAGCTATCGCTAATCTTAGTAAAACGTCGCCGATTTAATAAAAGAAAGCGACTTTACTAACGTTAACGAAGGTAAGGATAAACCTTATATTAAAGACCTAGAGATTCCGAGGAAACTAAATAAGTCGGTTATAAAGACTTAACGAGTCTACGGTAAGGATTACCGTAAGAACCGCGAGGATAGCCGCTACTATCGTACCTCGCGTTTAGCCCGGCGTAAGAGCTACCGCCGTTAGGGCCGTAGCCTAAGTAGCCTATTAGGAAGCTCTTCCGATAATAATTCCGATTACGGTAAAAGACGTAGCCGGAAGGTAAGGAGTAGGAATAGGAATACCGCGTTTAGGAAGGACGGTAAGATTAATTAAAAGAAGTTCGTTTTTAATCCCGATAAGGACGCTTATCTTAAGGAAATTTCGAACTAAAGCTTATATCGGGATATACTTATGCTTTTTATAAAGGAGGTAAGGTATAAAGAAGGGGTAGAATTCGACGAATAAAACGAGATATCTCTAACGAAAGTAATCGCCGGGACTTACCGGAGTTAATTTTTATAATTAATAACGGGCGTACGTTTAAGTACGAGGATATTAAAGATATTCGATTAAACCTATACCTTTATAGAAAAGGCTCGTTAATAAGAGCTATAAGAATAACTTATTAAAATAAAATACGACGGTAAAGATCCGGTAAAGTTTACGTTTAAGTAATAACTAATCGTTCGTTAGTATATAAATACCGGCTTCGTAATCGGCGAAGAGTAATAAATTACGATATTCCTTAGCTATATATAAAATAAGGTAGTTAATTAGGTTAAGATCGTAAATATTATAATTAAAACGAAACCTATAAACCTATTAAACGTATTTAATAATTTCCGCGGAAAGTTCCATAATAAAATTAATAAGTATAAGGGTAATAAAAGTAACGGCGGTAATAATAATTAGGCTAATAACGCTTAAGGTAAGGAAAAAGGCAAGAAAAAGAAGCCCTCGTAAAATTAATAAGGAAAGTCCTTTTACTTTAACTATAAGGAATATAGATATAAGGCTAAGGACTACCCGAAACCGTTAAAGGAACGAAAGGGTAAGGGTAACGACGGCGGTAATAGTAACGGCGATAACGCTTCCGGCGAATTAAAGGACGGTTCGAAATAACCGTCGACGTAATATATTACGTACGTACCGTATACGCTACTTTAATTCGGTTATTACGATAGTAAGAGCGGGATATATCGAACGAGGATAAATATAATAAAGCTCTTTAGGCTAATAAGCGCTTATAACGAATTACGCTATAAAAAGGACCTTAAATAAAAGCCTATCCTTATTAACCCCGGTAATAACCTAACTATAACTAACCTATTAAAGAACGAGCGGCCCGTAAAGCCTTTAAGAATTAACTATAGAGCGGGAGCTAACGCTTATAAGGATTACTTATTCTTCGATATAGGAGCTAACGTTTACGTTATAAACGATTTAAAAGATCTAGACCCGAAAACGGTAGTAACGTTATTACCGGGTTACGTTATTAATACGGAAAGAGGCCCTATAAACGTTATAAAGATAAGTAAGGCTACTTATTACCTTATTAGCGACGACAGGGGATATAATAAAGCGTAGCTAAATTATACGTTATTTATTAGCTCCTTTTTAGTTAAGATCTTCTCGGGAGAGTTATTTTATCGTAGCGGAGGTTAGTTAGATAAAAATAATATTATAAACCTTAACGGGACTATCCTAACGATCCTAAACCCTAAGAAACGAGGTTTTTTATTATAGGAATATAAGAAAGAGGAGCCGAAACTCCTTCCCTTTAAACGGTACTAAGGGGACGCGCTAAGGTATTAATTCGGTAAGTTTAGCGAGATATTATAAGCGATATTAATATAATTAAACGATAATACTATAAAGTAATTAATATTATAATATCGCCGCCTTTATTACCTTAATACGGAGAGACTTATATAGACTATTAAAAGGTCGATAGGAATCGACCTTAACCTAGTACTTATAAAAACGATACCTTATTACGCGTATAATCGAATAAAGATTACTAGGATACCTTCGAAAGATCCTTAAGAGCGTACCTAGACTCCTAGGGAAATTACTTAATACGACCTCGGAAAGTTATAGCTTTTATCGATCGAAAACTACCGTTATTTTATATTAATCGTAAACGACGATAACCGAAATAAAGAGTTTACTTAATATAAGTCTAAGGGAGAGGCTTAATAAGTATTAATAACTTACCTTACCTGAGTTTATTAGTTACTCGAGGTATTACCGAGCGCCTTGGATAAGAGCCGGCGACGGATGAGAATATTACGCCTTAACGGCGGCCGAAAGTTCGGTATAAACGCTATCGAGTAGTTTTATAATAAAAGAGGCATTACGTTAAATATCTTTACGTTAAATAATTAATATTAAAACGGCGTAGCGGAAAGAAGTATACGCTTTCTATAGGACGATATTAAAGTAATCTACGTTTAGATAAAGATCCTTACTTACTTTTAGGACTACGTCCTTATAGTAACGGCGTATACGATTAATAGAATTAACGTTTCGTTTATAAAGGAACTTACGTTATACGAGAGATTTATAGACGGTATAAAGCTAGGAAAGAATTATAAACCTAATAACGCGTATCTACGTATCGTCGGTAGCCGTTACGTAGCTTATATCGATAAGAATTATCGGGTAGTTTCCGAGAAAATGGAACTACGTAAAGCCCGCGCCGTTCTTATGAGTTACGAAGGGGAATATAACTACCTAATCTAGCTCGTAAAAGGAAATCGTTTCTTAAAAACGTCTTACGTTATCTTTTACGAAGAACTAGGAAATTCCGAAAGAGCCTTATACCTAAGAAACGTCGTTAAGTCCTTGCCTAAGTACGTTTAGAAACGGCTACGGTATCGGAAGAAGATCGCGGCGATTAACGTTTATAATAAGGATAATAATATTACCGACGAGGACGTTATAAACGAAGATAAGGATAGGATACGCCCCTGGAAAGGGCGCCCGAAGAAGAAACTACCCTAGATTTATATACTAAAGGTACTACTTAAGTTAAATAAGGTACGCTCCGCTTTAGCGCTAGGCGGCTCGTAAGAAGGCGAGTTAGAGAGAATATTTAAAAGCGAATAAAATACGCCTAAAATCGCGTTTAAAAACGTACCTTAAGAGGAGCTATATTATATTAATACGCTTATTACCGTACCGTAGGAATAAAGCCATAAGTAAATAGTATTAATAACGGTAGGCTTATTTAAGATAAACGAAAACGAACCGCTCTTTAAGGAAGTAATAAAAAAATTAAAGCGTAATCTTTAGACCTAGGCCGTTTTTAAGGAGATCCGAGAAAACTTAAAACGTAATACGTTTAAGTTTATATAGCCGAGCGAGGTAGTTAACGGTTATTTTATCGACGCTAAATAAGTCTTAAAGAAGAAATTCCTATCTAATGGAAATCTCGATAAGCTAAAGGTACGGATCTACGCCCGAGGATTTATATAGAGAAAAAGTATCGATTATAACGAGATTAAGGCGATAACGGTAAGGATAATATCGTAGAAAATGCTAATGGCGTTAGCCGTTATTTATTAATAGTATATTTTTTAAATCGACTTTATTACCGCTTACCTTAACGGGAAGCTAAACGAAAGGATCTTTATAAAATAATTCCCTATATTAAAGGAGTATTTCGAGGCCTATAAGAAAGAGAAATAAACCTATAATTATAACGAGTCGAAGATTATCGAGTTAATTAATCCGTTATATAGCTTAAAATAAACTAGAGCCGCGTAATAATAACGTATAAGAGGCATCTTAAAGAAATACGGCTACGTCTTATTAACTTTAGACGACGTTATTTATATAAGACCCGGAATAAGAAACGTAATCGCTTCGTATGTAAACGATTTCCTATTATTCGGACCTAAAAAGGAACGACTTTATAAACTTACGAATATAATTAAAGAAAAAGTTAAAGTAATTAACTTAGGAAACGCTAACTAGTTTTTTAGAATCCGGATAAAACGATCGTTTCTTACGGGAAACGTCCGGCTCGATTAATAGTAATATACGAAAAAGGCTTTAAAGGAACTTAATTACGGCGATACGAAGCTATATCCGTTACCGTATAACCCGAAGAATCGGAACGCGGTCGTATTAAAAGAAGCTAACGATAAGGCCGACCCGCGAAAGATCTAAAAGTATACCTCGCTAGTAGGAAAAGCGAACTTTTTAGTATATATTACGAGGCCTAATATTAATTACGTAACCTCGACCTAGGCGCGTTTTATAAATAACCCCTTATAAGAGTATTAAATAGGAATTAAACGCGTAATGCGATATCTTAAGGAAACGGTAAGCCGAGGGATCCGATATCGGTAATTAGATAAGAATTACCCTTATAAAAAGTATAACGAGATAGGTTTTTACGGTTACGTAAATTCGAATTACGCGGGAAATATATCCATAATTAAGTTAACGAATAGTTACGTATTCTTTATAATAGAAGTTCCGATCGTATAAATATCGAAGCTTTAGTCGGTAGTTACGCGAAGCTCGGGAAAGGTTAAGTATATAGCCTTATCGACGGCGGTAGTAGATACCGCGTAAATACGTAATTTCCTTACGGAACTAAGCGTAATACCCGTAGGCCTTATTACCCTACGATACGATAGTACGACGACGAATACGTAAGTAAAGGAAACCGCGATAAATAAATAAAAGCGGTATATCCGAAAGGATTATTACTACGTAAGGTAAGAGGTAAAAGAGAGGTACGTTAAGCTAAGATACGTATTATTAGCTAAGAACGCGGCTAATAGGCTTACGAAGCCTTTAGAGGCGAAGAAATACTAAAGGTTTATTAAGTTATTATATCTAAAGGACCCGTAATAGCCTTACTCCTTAAACGAAATAAGTATGTAAATAAAGCGATAAGGGAGGAAAATACTACGGAATTAGGGCCTTACGCTATTTAAAAACCTAACGATAGCCTTACCTAGGCTAAGAAGGCGTATAAGCGCGTAAGTACGTAATCGGTTACGTATAGCTATAGGGTAAGCCCTACCCTAACGAGGGTTAATCGGGATATAAAAGGCACGTAAAACGGCTCTAAAAGGCTACGTAGATAACTGCAATTTAATTAACTGTTCACCCGTTCCTTAGATGGCCACAATTTCTCGTATATTAGGGACATATCCCCGTATGGACTCTCTGCGTTTCACGCCCCAGAAGCCAGCCAGCCAGCTACCAAGCAGCCAACCTGTCCCGCGTGGGACTCATGTATGCATTCGCTTTTGCGACTACGCCCAGAGATGACAGTGGGCGTATAGAATCCTTCAAGACCGGCCATAGCAATACGATTCTACTGTAATAGTCGCTCAAAAACACAGTAATTCGATGGGACGATTCCCTCCCCTCCCATTACACCTTTAGACTGTCCCTTCCCAGTACCGTAAACGCCGTCAGCTAAGCGGAACCTGCTGCACATCCATCCTCGCATCTCTGCCCAACTGCAGGCTTTCTAGAATGGTATCTGCCGCGTTGGACTCTGAGAATACGGTCTCCTTCTTTCAGGAGACGCCCTAGACGGTCTGTACATGGGTTCACACCACCGTCTCGGCCCTCTCGCCCTCGGCAATAATCGGCACGCCCAGCCCCCTGTCCGGGCTCTGGAGAACAAGCTGCTCGTGCCTCCTTGCCCTGATGTAGTCGCTAACCGCGCGGATCAAGATGAACCATCCCACGATCATTAGCAAGTACGCGACCCATTCGCTGCTTGCAATCTCGCTCAGGCCCGAAGCGGCGTCGCCACTGCCCGTGGTGACAGAGTTGGGGTCGAAGTCGTGGCTGTTGGGGTCGGGAGGTTGCGCATATCCATCCGAGGGCGCGCCCATGCCGCCAGAGTTGGAAGAGGCACCCTTCATGTAGAAACCGTACTGGATAAGCGTGATGCCGAGGCCGGCGCGAGAACCATTCTTGGCCGCATGCGTCGAGTGGAGCAGGTAGGTAAGGAGGAAGCCCACGAACTGGAACGACATGCTGATCATGCCGTTCCAGATGAAACTAAATACAGATCCGACGGGCATGCCATCAATGTAGACGTCGTCGGGGCCGCCGAGGCCGGGAGCCAGGATCGTGGTCTCCCAGTAGGGCGGGGCGGCGTCGGCAGCTGCTTGCTCGTAGGTCTAGATGTTGGTTAGTTAGTAACGTCAGGCATGCGCCCAACAGGTCTGGCCGATCGCGGTTGAGGGAGGGTGACGTACGGGAGGGGCCTCTTCCACGATCTTCTCCCCCCGTTCCGGCCGCGCCATCATATTGGAAAAGACGCCATCGGATTGGATCCCGCCGCCGTACACTCTGGAGCTCGTGTGCGGAGCGTTTGCGCTACCCGAAGGCTGCGGAGCCTGCACCGCGGGAACCGGTGGCCCGTCATTCCTCGGGTTGGAATTCTGGCTGGCGGAATTGGCCGGGGTGGGAAACGAGTTTCCACGAACTAATCGCTGTCGGTCATCGGGTTCGTCGTCGCTGTCGTCTTCGGCATCGAACGCGTCGGCCAGCGTAGGGTCGACAGTCTGCCGCCTCCTATCGAGCGAGGAGGATCGCGAGTGGAAGGACGGCGGAGGCGAGTTCGGGATGGGTCGCGACGGAGCGGACGTAATCGGAGAATCAGATTCGTCATCGTCCTGGGTATTGACCTGGGCAGCGAGTTAACGGCGATCTTCGACGCCACTCGACACAAAGCGGCCGTAGCAGGGGGAATACACCTACTCGCTCGTAACGTCGGGACATGGTGCGGATAAGAGAGAGGCAAGGAAAACCGGACAAAATACAGGAGTAGCGAGAGCAGAGGCGTGTCTTGGTATTGAAGTGGCAAAGGGAATGGCGGTGTCGCTGGAACGATGGGAACAAGTTTTAGGAGAAAGGCAGGGCAGAGAGAGATTCCCGGTAAGTTAAGGAGCGTGTTGGGAGACTGAGTAGGGGCAGGGGGATTGGATGGCGTGAGGAGGAATGACGATGCAGGATGGGGACGGCGATGGGGGATGGGATGGTGAGAGAAAGTGACATGCGACACGGGAGTTTCGAGGAAGAAGAGGGAGAGGAGTGGGCACGAGATTAGCAAGATTTGGGGGGGTTAATGTGCCTACCTGGATCAGCCTGCGGCCGGTGGTTCCAGAAGGCTGTCGGGGCTGGCGTTAGCGGGCTACCTGCTCTGGTGCAGGCGGCGCATCAGGCGTCGAAGTACCCCTTTAGTACCCGCGATGTACCGGAACACGGCAGAAATATGCATTTGGGGTCCGGTGGACCACCCAAAAGTTCCCCCCCCCTGGCTGACCAATCCACGGACACGCACACACTCTACATATGTACACATACGAGGCACCTGGGATTGTGGTGGGTTCCGGCGGGGCCAGGGAGGGTCAGCCGGCTGCAGCTGGCGTCGAGGGTGGCCCCAGCTGGACACGCGACGTAGAAACCAACCGAGGGTCGCCGGCGGTTGGAGGCCTGCGATCGGCAGGTCGCCCGCAAAAGTGACCCCGATGGATCTCTACCTAGGTAGGTCGGGATCGATAAGATAACAACTCGACGTAAGCCCGATAAAGAACAGAGCCTGCGGGCATCTCTGCCCATTGCTCTTAGTTGGTTCTGCCGCTCCGACAGCTCCTTTGTCAATTTTCTACCGCGAGATACTTCGTGTCTATTCCTCGAGGTGCCGTCGATCGAACTTGTGCCCAAAAGTGCTCTGCAACACTCGCAGATGGGATCTAAGAATGTCCCGTCAAGCAATTGTACGTCGTCTCCGCTGACACACCCCGCTGCCCTGCCCCCCGGCCGTCCAGAATACTTCGCGATCCGACGCTGACACGCAAGAACGCACACGACAGAACGGCCAGCGCCACATTCTACGGGCGCTCGCCCAATGGCCCAGAGACATCCTCCGGCCCGAGATCCAGCTCCAAGAGGTCCTGCGCAAGCGCTTCGCCGAGCCCTTAGCCAACCTGTCCGAGCAAGAACAGCTTAGGCAGGCCAACGCCCTCTACTCGCTCATACATAACCGATACAAGACAAAGGTGCGCCTCGAGACCCCGGGATAGCGAGCCAGTCCGGCCAGGCTTTCTATCGCCCACCCCACGCTCCCCGCCGCCCTCCGGCGGACAGGCATGCCAAATGCTGACACCGCGGGCTACAGTACCCCATCACGGGCTCGCTGCTCCAGCCGAAGAGCCACCCGACGTACTATTCCGAGCTAATCAAGGAGCTAGAGGAGGCTCCGAAACGGACCTACGTTGAAAGACTCTGGTTACGGTTGAAGGGGTTTATCAGGCTGCAGTAGCCGGGCCGAGGCGTTGCGTGATGACGGAACAGGCAGCGTTGTAAGATATCAGACCGGGAGTAAGAGAAGAGAAGCCGACCGCTCTTCATACTTTATAGACCGCGAAGATCGCGGAACAAGTCGCTCTAGGCGACGCCTGCGCCGCTCTCCGCGTCACAACGTAGCCTTCTATAGTTAGATAATGTATACATCTCAACCTAGCTTTGCGCAGACACGTCTAGAAACGCTGCGTCGCCCGCGCATTCTCCTCGCCCTCCCACACGGGATGCTACTCCCGGGGCAGGGGGGGGGAGGGAAGCGTCCGTGCTCGCCTAGTTCCCGCACTTACGGGCTGCGATGCGGCCGCGAGGGAAGCTGTCAACAGAGATGCTCTTATTCATCTCTCACGGCCCCGTTCTGCGCGCCGTACCTAGCTGGTCTAGGTAAGCTGATAGGTATATCCACCCGCCCTTCCATCCACTCTTCGGCTTAACCCAAGGAACGAGCCGAGCCAACCTCCAATTTCAGCTTTTTTGAGCTTTTTTGAGCATGTAAACGACATTACACCTAGTCAACGCAAGCAGGTCCGGGGCCCGCCACCACCAGACTCAACGCTGAGGCGCCATGTGGGGTTCTGCTGTTCCGGGGCGGGTTGGGTAAGCCTTTCTCGTCTCTCCTCCGCCGTCCACCTCCCGTAGCTATCCGGCCGGCTCGGGCAAAGCTTATATGTACTTGTTGTCGGGGTCGAGGGTGCGCATGAGCTCGATGCTCTTCTCGTACATGGAGAAGACGATGCCGCCGCTCATGACGAGGCGGGCGAGGCGGGGGAGGGCGCCGCTCCAGAAGGTGAGGACGCCCTCGTGGCGGAAGATGAGAGCGGCGCAGCGCAGGCTGTTGCCGTAGACGCGGCGGGCGTCGATGCTCTGCATGCGGGTCTTGACGGTGTCGAGCGGCTGGGTGACGGCGACGGTGATGGCGCCGGCGACGCTGCCGATGCCGAACGTCGCGACCAAGCCGAGCTTCTCGCCCGGCGCCGTGTACGACTCGGCGAGCTGCTTGAGGCTCGTGTAGGACCCGAAGCGCACCGCGCTGTTGGCCGACTGGCGCGCCGCCGTCGGCACGAGGCCCTGGAAGAAGCCGCGCACGCCGCGCTCGCGCGCGATGATCGGCACCGCGTGCAGGAACCCGCGCAGCCGCGGCCTCGCCGACTTGCGGTCGTCGATCAGCGTCGTCTTGATCGACTCCGTCGGCGTCACCGCGAGCAGCGACTCGGTCACGCCCGCGCCGAAGCCGGCCAGCACGTTGCGCGGCCCCGACACCTTCCCCGTCTCGTCGGCCAGCAGCCGCTTGTACTGCTCGAACGAGACAAAGCGGATGGCCGCCTTGGCCGAGTTGCCGATGATCAGGGTCGTGCAGCCGGCGTACCACTGCCGGCCGAAGGGCGGCCACGGCAGCTTCTGGCCGTCGCCTAGCTTGCGGTTGAGCTGCGTGCGCGTCTTGGCGAACTCGGCCGGGTAGGTGATGGCGATCTCGATGGCGCCGGCCGTGGCACCCGCTATTATCGACCGCAGCGCGCTGGGTTTCTCCGTCGACATTTTGCGTCGTCGGCGTATGTGGGAGGTTTCGGGGGGCACTTCGCGATGGTCCGCTACCGGCTAGTTTAGTCCATGGTTTTTTTCCCTTTTTGAGATTTCTTTCTAGCTGCTCTGATCTCGTCACTTTTTTTTTTCTTAGCCTAGAGCTTCCCCTCATAATCCCGATTGATACATACAACACGATACAGCAATATGAAGATACCATGACCTAAACTCACTACCTGTCACTATTCCAAGCAGAAGTGTCTTCCTCTTCTCCCTCAATCAGAGCTTATACACATTTTAGTTGTACTTTTTAGCGGTCAATTTCAATATCATCCAGATACAGGCACAGGAAACTATAGACAGTCCATTTGGTCATGTAGGCTTGTATAGATATAATAAAGATATAGATATAGTCTTCTTTCTCCCTTCCTCTACCATGCTCGGCCGTATAGCTGTCAACAAAATTCTAGCCTCTTGTAGAATTTTAACGGCCCCTTATAGATAGGACTTTCAATAGGTGTATATCACCTTCTAGGTTGAATCAGTTCGCCATGCCTTCGCCCCTCATCCTCTTGAATACCTGATCAACGAGCCGGAAGAAGACTGGGGGCTGCTCTCACTTGGAGGATGAGGCATATAGCGGGAAACGAGCTTACGCGAAACATTGATAGACAGGAGTCCTAATGGGCTACTGAAGATAGTTACAAATAGCCCAGCTTAGCGCGCTTACAGTACCCTACGGAAGGCCCCAGGATAGCATCACTACCGCCACCACTGCTATCGCTGCTGCTACGTAATCATAATATTCCAGGAACGAAGACGGGCAATTACATTTATCTAACTGCTGGTTTATGGGACGCATTGCTCTCTACTCGGACTGGAAAAGCTAGCTTCAGTTTGGACAGAGATAGGTCCTCTCGGCTCTCTCGTCTGTCGAAGAGGGCTCCCTCAGCCTTAGATTTATTCAATGACTTTGAAGTTATGCGTATCTCAAGTTTGAAAGAGGGATTTATGAAGGGAAATAGTTCACTGGTAGAGAGCTCGGTAATCAGAAGAAGCAGCCAGGAGAGTCTATGTTTAGCAGTTTCCCTTTCCTTCTTATTACGAAACGCGGCTCGTCCCGTCAAGCATATATATATCACTATTATGTATAATATCTATCCGAGATCGCTTCAAGTCTCGTGTCGATCCCAAGCAATGAACCGTCCTACAGTGATCCCCTCACCCATCCCGCTCAATGACCACATCGCCCCTGAGCTCCATGCCTAATCTATAACGAGCAGGCAATCACGCTATTTCTTCCATATGTACCATGGGTTTATCCCTGTTCAATATCATAGGCAACTATTAGTTATTGCGTCGAGAGATAGTCCCAAGAAACTAATCCACTGACCCACAAGTACATTCCCACGATCGCGAACCTGAGCGCCGTCCGTGACGCTGCACCTATCTACCGACTTTGAGCTACGTGAGAGGCCAAAACCGGCGAACTATTCATTATTCCGCGTTTCCCCTGTCATTTAAATTGCAACAGGGGTCCGCTGACCTTATCCTATCTGCTTGCCATTTGCTCACGTGCCCCTTGCATAGGCTTTCATAGGGAACGCCGTGCCTTCATCTATCAAGATAGATGGGTTCCAACCACCCCGACCTAAGTTTAATATAAACGTTCTAACAACACCCTACAGTACAGCGGACCATACGTTTAACGGCAACGTCAAGCTGTATTGCCCTGATGGTGCGCAAGCTCTTACAGTGTCAAAACTCTGATCTGTCTCTATGCCGGTCACTTCTTGTCACCCACCTAGGGGCTCTTTACCCTGTTCATGGGGCAACCGCCACCAGAATCTACTTCTGGCTCGTCGTCACTCTGTACTGTCCCGAGCGCCTACGGGCGTTTTGGGCTCTTTCTGACGGCACCTTTGGCCAGCAAAGTGTGCCGGCGTCCTAACGGCCGATACTGGGTATCGGTTCTTGGGGTCGGCCAACGTTGGTCTTGGAGCGAACAGTACTCCTTATACTTACCTTTGCGGCGCACTAGGACGTGTATGTCTGTATCACAGTCGCGGCTAACCTTGTGGAGTGTCGATCGCATGTTTTCGAGAAGTTCTCGTTGCTTCGGTCTCGCTTAGTGCGGCACCGGCACGCTATTGCGATTCGATTCCACATCTAACCAAACCACCTTATCGATAACTAGTTCAGTTGCGCTTCACGCCCTGGTTCGGCTCAGAGTCGCCCAGAAACCCCAGTTGGCAGCAGGCGAGCAGACCAACTCCTTCAGCATCTCAACGAGGTTGCAAGTCGTTGAACACGCATTCTAGATACCTATCCATTACCGGAAGTTGTTGTCAAACCGCTTGAAGGTATATCCGATGAAAGGCAAACTCATCTGAAGTGACTCGTCGGGTAGGGCTCGCGAGGCGTCAGCCATGACATGAGTAGCATTCTCGGTTTGGTCGATCTCGTCCGTAGGGAAGTACGTTGTATCGATGTTGGAAGTCAAGCGTGGCTCAAATGGCGCCCTAATCCGACGCAGCTGATCAAACTGAACCCCGCGAAAAAACGGATGGTCTTTTATCTCCTGCGATCCGCCGCGACCAAGCCGGTTTTCAGGGTTGCATACCAAGCTGAATTGTTAGTATTAAAACCTGGGGAATCTAGAACCGAAGCTCACCTCCGGATTAGATTTTCAGCTTCCCGACCCAGCTGGATATCGTCAGGAAAGTACAATGCTCGTCTCCAGTTGACAATCTTGCGGTACGTATCGTGACGGTCCTCAGCGCAAAATGGAGGCCAGCCGACTAGACACTCGAACATGATAGTCCCAAGAGACCACCAATCGCAGCTGAATGAGTATCCCTGACCAGTGAAAATCTCGGGGGCAATGTAATCTGGGGTTCCGACAGTGGAATAGGCGATTAACCTTCTTGATCGACGCCACTCGTTGATCTGCGATCGGTTGCTAACAGTGAGGTTAATTTGATCAAGTGCAATTGAAGTCCGGTCCCGTGGCTTGTTGGATTTTCCTCGGAGCAGCTGTTGGTAGTAGCTATTGTCGTGGAGACGATGAAAACCGGTCGAGAGACCAAAGTCAGTCAACTTGATGTGGCCGCCACGGTCTAGGAGAATATTATCTGGTTTGATGTCTCTGAAGAATAGCATTAGCAACGATAAGCATCTTTAGGCATAAACATACCGGTGGATAAAGCCCAACGCGTGTACAGTCTCAATAGCCAGAATGCATTCTGCCATATAAAACCGGGTGATATCTTCGGAGAAGATTTCGTATTTGATGAGCATGGTCATTAAATCACCACCCGGTAGGAACTCCATCAGCATATAGAGAAAATGCGGATCTTGGAAAGTCGTAAACAGCTTAACAACCCACGGACTCTCAGCTTCGGCCAAAATATCGCGCTCGGCCCGAACGTGAGCCAGTTGGTCTTTCTGGAGCATCTCTGTCTTGATGAGCGATTTTAGTGCGTAGACCTGGCCGTCCGTCTTCTTTTGCACTAGTTTGACTTCACCAAAGGCGCCTTTGCCAATCACCTTGATTGTTCGATAGTTTTCTGGCTTATCCTTGGTTCGTAAGAACCGGAGATATTGACCCTCCTTACGCCCGGCCGAGGCCCAAGTCTGATGTCGCCGTGACGGAGCCTCGTTTGGGTCCTCGAGTTTCCTTTCCATCTCGCTCTGTCTGTAGAAAAGAGCTGGTTAGCATCGCTGCGGCGTGCGTAGCTTGCAAGATTGTCTACCTCTGATTCCTCTCTCTCGCCCGCTTCACGCTGTCCTTGAAGAAGTCAGCCGCTAACTGCGCGCACTTCGTCTGGTTGTGATTGACGGCCGATCCGTACTTGTCTGGGTTTCGCTCTGGGGCTTGCGCGAATACACCCCTTGGTACCGATTTCGGCGGCGGCATCGGAGCCGTCATACGGTTATCTAGGTTCAGCACATCCTGTCTGGGGAGATGCCCCGTGCGAGGACGTTGTGCCGGCGCCTGTCCTCGCAAGCCGTATGGAAAGGACCTCGCGTCGCCCCCCAGATTCTGATGGGAGAACTGGCTAACAAGGGTAGTGTCGGGATCATGTTGCGGCAGGTCATGATTCTGCACGAAATACCCGGGTGGTGCGAAAGCACCCGGGTAAGGCTGTTGGCGGGGTTGGTTTCGAGATTGTGTACCATCATCTCCTAAGTTTGGGGGAGCCGGAAAGACGGATTGGGGGAAGGTCGAGGGGGTTGTGGGATACTGGTCATGGCTCGATGCGTGTGTATCGGGTTGGGGGTGCGGGGAAGGCCGACTGTTGCTATCCATCGGAAACACGTGCCTGCGGGAGAGGACTATTCCCTGCAGAACTGTTAGCGTTGCCAAAAGAACGACGGAGTTCGACGCCTCGACGGCTCGGCGGCAGTCATAAAAACCAAGATGAGATGAAGAGGAGACAGGATCGATATTAATATGGCCCTGGCACATCGATGGGCTGGACAGGGAAAGGGGGAGGAAAGCGGTGAGACAGGAGGAGGGGAACGCCGCATTTTGCTTCACCTTCAAACAGAAACCTCGATAGAATCACTAGCAACCCATCTGATCAGTTCGAACAACTTGCTCTTGGTGATTGGTGATATCTGTGTTGGTTGTTGGCTGGGCTTGCATTGTCGAACACCGTCGTGATTGGCTCTCGGAGCAGTTCCGGACCGAGCGGTCCGACCCTCGTCCACCAATCCCGGCCCGGGCCTCGACGATCATCGTTGCCCGTTGCCCGTGCTACGTTTTACCGAGCTACCTAACGCGCCTGCGACGCGATACGCCCTAGTAGTACCTACTAAGAGGCTCTGACTACGATCATGAAGACTCTTCATCCCAAATCAACCAGTAGATGAACAGTGAGAGGGAGAGCTGCCACTTACAGTCATTCCTACGCCGCCATGGGCACAATTCAAGCTAAATGATAAACCCAAGTTTTATTTCTTTGATGTGTCTGCTACGTAGGTAGTAAGTTGTCTATGAGTAGGTAGGTAACAACATCGACAGCATCTGGTGGCTGGCCCGAGCTCCGGTACTTGACCGGTTCAACCTCTGAGTTTGGTATCGAGTGCCGAACCTGGATCGTGCCCTGGGAACGATGCGCTCGGGCGCCCTGGATCTCGGTCCAGGAACAGCCACGTCGTCTCGTCCTGCGCGCTGTATCTTCCTCTTCCGGTGTCTACTTATCACTGGACGATCTTATAGCTGAAAGTGAACTGTTCGGGCCCTTCTTTGGATGAGATATAGATCTGTCAAGATGCGGCTGACTCGGATCAAGGGTCCATTCAAACTGCAATTAAAATGCCGTCTTGTGACTTTCAGTGACGCGCTTCAACGAAACGTCTTTGAGGGGCCATTCCTCGCATCGAGCAAGAAACGCACTGGCCTCGGAGGGGGCTGGTCTTGCTTGCGGGAGCGCTGGACTCTCAGTGCCGCATACAGAAGTTTGACGCCCTCTCAGTAACTGTGCGGTAGATCTTCTCGACCGTCTCTGGAGAGAGCTTTGAGCACTGGCGGAGGTCGTACGAATCGATCCGCGAGATGCCTTGCGACGCTTGCGACCACGCTGTTATTCATCAGAATCATCTCCAGAGCCACGGCCTTCAGCATTTGGAGGCGAAGGACAATAGTCCTCGTCACGCACAAATCCTAGGACGCCAAGACCATCCTCACTGCCAAAACCTCCTATTTCTACGTCGCTGCCCTCATCTTGCACCACTTCGTATGCATGTGAGGATGTACGACGAGAACGGCACTGCGACGGCGAATCCTGAGACGGGGGAGACACTCTGGCGCCAGATGGCGATCTGGATTCGGCCTCCGACGACTCAGGCTCGGCGTCGCACGGTCCATGATCAAAGTCTTGCTCTTATTGTGATTCGGGTGACAGTCTTACTGCGGGGGATCAAGTGCGGGCCCCAGGGGTTGCATCACCGCGCTCGGCCCTCGCACACGCTTCGCCATCGTGCAGCAGCGTCTGAGCCGTCTCCTCTGAGGCGGCAGCAATAGGACTGCATATGCGCATCGAACGGGATGCGGGAGTACTCTGTGCCCCATGGCAGGATTCTTCGTCTTCATCAGAGAGAGCATCGGTCGTCGTGATGCTAGGCTCGCCGGTGACTCCGGCGGCTTCGGTGGCAGGCAGTTGTTCGTCTGACACGCCCAGACGTGGCTGACTTTCAGGGCAAGTAGGCGAGACGCCAAAGCTGGCATCCGTACAAGTCGACGTGTCTCCAGCGGACGTGGGATTCGTCTTAAAAGGAAGCTGATTCGGTTCGGAATCAGGGAGGGGGGTCCATGTTTGAATCGCCTGTCCAGTTTGGGTCGTCCTCCAATCGAGCCGGAGATACGGCTGGCGCAGTATTCATACCGATGGCGGCCTCCGGCTCAGCCGGACTGTGTTTGGTGCGTGTGCCGTCTAGATACGGGCTGTCAGGACCTACACCAGAAAGAATCACAGAGAACAGAATTTACCGAAATTGTCTGCGATGCTGGCCGTCGTTTGTGTTGTGCATGATTGCGAGTCGTCGAAATTCCAACCCTCATCGTCGCACCCTGCCTGTCTGAGCAGCGCCGCTAAACCAGAGGCGGTAGCAGCGAGTCCGCGTTTACCAAGAAAAATCAAGACCGTTTCCTGGCACGTAGGAATCTATATTATAAGCTATATTGCCCAATATGATAAGCCTATAATGCCCAATTGGGGATTATACTACGTCGTAGGCGTCTATATGCTCCCGTGACAGTTTCACCGGCAGGTAACTCAGCTGGTCATTAGTCCCTGCAGAGATTTCGTGTTATTATCACGACCTCACCAGCTATAGCCTAAGACCAGTTTCTTCGCTCACTGACCCGGAATCCCTTCCCACCCGGCCACGAGGATGAGCAGGCTCGCCGTCGGACGCTTAGCCTAAACCAAACGGCCAGACGGAAGCTTGTCGGCCAGCGTGTGCACGGACGACACCATGGTTGCCTGGCGATCCTACTGCTACTGCATGATGCACAGCGAAGACGCAGGAGAAGGAAAAAAAAATAAGATCCCATCTGGACCGAACTGTCGCCAGGTCTGTCCCACCGTATTCCCAGAGGCTCGAGGTGAGCGACGTCGGACAAATACACACGCCCACCACATGCAAGACACATGCCGATGGTAGCGTGACCCGCAGAGGGGGAGGGAGGAGGGGCTTCGAGAAAGAGAGACGGTGCCATTCGCCGTCGATGCTCGCCAGGACGCTTCTCTTTGCTTCTTCTCTTCTTCTGTGTAGTGGATCCCTCGGTGCTGCCGATCGTTTAACGTCTAGAGTGTTCCGCCGTGTGAGCCATGCTATGTGCCGACGACTGGTTACGCGTACATTAGGTATGGGGACGATGCGATAGCAGAGGGCCAGTCGCCAGCGGATCCACTCGCGGGCTCGACCTCGACACAGTATCTCGCCCGCGATAGGGCCGCGACGGCAAAGGGGCCGGCGGCTACAGTCTGCGGCAAGGCGAACAATAAGTAGCAGGACATATAGGACACCGACAGACGAGATAGGTAGGTATTTTTACTACCTGAATCACACGGCGCATCGGACCCGTCGCATAGGCAAAGAGGACATCGATCGTACAGCATCCCCGTTCCCCATTCCCCATTCCCCATTCCCAATGGCCCGGCGCGAGCGACCTGCCTCGAGAGGCAACTCGTTGCTGGGTGAGTTTACACATTACCATTACGGCCGCCCCGCGCATAACATCCATCTTGCCCCCGCCGGAGCAGGCGTCCCGAGCAGAGCGCCGTCTTCCCTGATCCCGGGACGGCCGCCTGCTACGACGCTAGAACGACACCCTCTCCCCTCTCCCGTCCGCATCGCGCAGTAGTAATACACGCAGGGCGAGTCACACTCGCCTCGCCGGACTCTTTCTTGCCGGGGAATCCTTGTCCCCCCCCCCCCTCTTCCCTAACTACCCCTCCCTGAGCGCCTCGACACGGCTCCAGAGTCCGGCAACAGACCACCGCTTCGACGGGCTCGCCCTCGCCGCCCCCTCGACGGCTGCGCCCGAGGGCGCCCACAGCGACGACAGCGAGCGCGAGGACGAGCGCGAGGACGGGGACGGCGACCCCATGGCCTCCGTCGGCCGGCCTGCGCCGCGGTTAGCACGCTTCGCGCGACGGCCGCCTCCTAGCGAGGGACAGAGGGGCAGCGCAACTTACGAATGTTTCCCCGGCCGCCGATGCCGTAGCCCCTGAGCTGGGCGTCGCGCCTCGCGACGTCGTGCGCGGCCTGCTCGTCGTCGTCGTCGTCCTCCTCCTCGTCCTCCTCGCCACCTGCTGCCCCTCCCCCACCCTCCAAGATATCGCCAGCGCTCCTCCTCCTCCTGCCCCGCGCCGCCCCCCTTCCCCTCGCCCCGGTGTTGCCCCCGCCCGCCGCCGACACGCTGCGCACGGGCGCGAGACGGCCCTGCACGCGCACGACGTGCCGGGGCTCGCGCCTCCGCGGTGGCGGCGGCACCAGCAGCGCGCGCGACTCGGCGTCCGCACCTGCACGTGCCGCGTGCTGCTGGTGCCGCCGGCTTGGCAGGCGCGCGGCGAGCGTGGCGAGGAGGGCGGCGACCGGGGCCGGCGCCGGGGGCGGCGAGGCGTGGGTGTGGGAGCGCATGCTGGCCCAGGGAGAGGTGGAGGTGGAGGTGGTGGGGGGGTGGTTTTTTTTTCTTTCCCGGTTCGAGATTCAATTATTTTTTTCGGCCTTCGTCATGGACAATTTGCCCCTGCAGCAGTTCGTTTTATTTTTTACGTGGGCCAATTTAACGAGACCAGGGGGGGGGAGAAGCGAGGGGCAGAGAGCGGGGAGAGAGGGAGAGGGAGAGGGAACACCGTCGCCGTCGCGTCTCGTCTCGTCTCGACCTGGCGGATGGAGGAGAGCGATATGCGATGGATGCGTGGATATGCCTGTACGTCCATGCGAGTTGTGGAGGGGAGGGGCGGGCGCGCGCGCCGATGGTGACGGGGCCTAGAAGCGGGCGGCAGTCGAAAGAGAAGCTATCCGATACGTGGGACGGGGTCGCGACGGGTCTGGATGGTCTTCTCTTCTCTCGTCGACCCTCCCTACTGCTCTCTCTCTGATTACTCCTGACCGGGGGACCGGCGAAGGTTTCACGCGGGGCGTCTGTGTTGACGAAATTAGCAGCTCGCAGACTCAGAACTTCTGTTCACCTCATTCTACTTCACGTCGCGATCGCGAGGTCTGCCCGTCTGGGCGGGGATGGTGGAGGGGGGGCGGTTCGGGATGGTTGAGTGATCGGTGTTCAAAGTCGCATATGTCGTATTTCCGATCACAAGGGGGGATTGGAAGGAGAGGAAAGGAGTGAGAAAAAGGGGTCGTGGTTGACGACGTCAACATTCTGCGAAGACGTCAAAAAAAAGGGGGACGGAGGCGGGATGGGGTATCACGAGACGACTCGCGCATTAGGTGGAAGTAAGCCACCGAGTTGTTGACTATCGCGGTGGCTCGCGCTCTTTTGCCTCTCCGCTTTCAGCTCCAATGCTTGCCTATGTAGATCTCTGCCCGTGTATGATTCAATTGAAATTACTATGTGTCAAGGCGCCGAATATCTCGATTAGCCCCTGATGATGCTGACGCCCCGTCCTCGGCCACCGATGCACCACATAGGGGGGGGGGGGGGGGGGCGACGCAAGGAACCGGACACGCAAATTACGGAAATGGAGCTGGCTACGCGTTCTGCCATCTCCAACGAGGAGGTAGTAACAGCGACGTCGACGTGACCGTATCACGAGCGGGTGTATTACCTACGTCTAAGTGCAGGTGTGGATGTGCGTGAGAGGCAAAGACAAAGAAGCAGAGACAGACAGCGACGCAGAGAGAGACACGGAAATACTCATACACGCGGAGACAGCCACGCGCAGGAGGCACACAGGGAGGTTCTATCGATGCGATCGTCGTCGCGCATGCTCGATCCGGCATTGGAGTGTCGCGAGTAGGGATGAAGGCCCAGCACGTGATGAACATTGGAACCGAGGAACAACACGGACTTCGTCGTCTCTGCGTCTGGAGCACTGAAACTCTGGGGCGCCGTCGAGATCCACAGGTTGGAGCGAACCGTGGGGACTGTTTGGAACCATTGGAGATGGAACTTGGGTCTCTCTCATGCTCCTCTATATGCGCATATGGATGGGGCGCCGGGGGATCTTCGAATGCTTCCAGCAAACTGCCTGCTGGTCACTGCCTGCTGGTCACTGCCTGCCTGGCGTTGGGCGCCATCTCGAGTCGTAGGTGGTAGGTAGGTCTAAGACATTCCGTGTATTCCATCTGTATTCCGTGTCTTGCTACCTATCTTGCCGGGTCTTGGGGTAGCCCGCGGTTCCGTCGTCGAAGACACCTCCGCGCCCCCTTCCCCCTTCCCCCTTCCCCCCGGGTTCGTTTACTATTCTATGGAAGCATGCACGCACTTGTATGCACATACGTAATAGCAATTGACAAGTCGCCTTTTTTTTTCTCCTGCTCGTCCGCATTGTAGGATTCGCCGGGGGGCCGGTAAACTTGGGGACCGAGGAAGACCGGGGGGCAGGGGAGGGAGGGAAAAGCCTCTGCCTCTGCCTCTCTTTCTCTCCCTCTCGCTCTTCTTCTCTCCCTCTCGCTCTCCCTCTCGCTCTCCCTACCCCTATCCCTCTCCCTGTCCCTGTCTCTGCGGGCAGCTATCTCGTTGGCCGCCATCGCCCACTACTGTCTCGGCTAGACTCGACTATCGCTACATCACGGACGGGCTTGTGGGTGCCATTATTGGCAGCGACTTCTGGCTCTGCCCGTTGCCGAAGTATAGAATACTCCCGAGGTCGTACCTCGTGAGGTGCGACTGAACCCCGGGAGGCGGAGTTTGAAGTGTCTCGCGACTTGTTTACCTATGTACCGAGAACATACGCTTGCGGCGGACCGAGGTACCGTCATCGCCGCGGTCTGGAAGACAGAGGTAATATAACAAGACAGTGCATATTATAGGTGTGCAGCGTAATTCTGTGCATACCAACCTCAGGTAGGATCAGCTGTTGGTCTCCGTAGCCTGCTTCAGCCACGCGATGCCAGAACGAGAATGAAAGGGAGAGGGAGATAGAGATGGAGATGGAGGGGAGGGGGGGGGGGGGGCGTGTAGGTACGAAGCGTGATGCTGTGTAAGCGTGGCGTGGGTGGGCGGTGAGGAGGGTATATGCAGATGTGGGTGTTGTAGGTGTACCTAAGTGTTGCCTGTGTAGGTGCTTATAGGTAGGTAGAATATTGTATATGTAGGTATGTCTGTATGGCTACATGTCTGCATGCAGCAGGCCTTGCATTCTCCTGATCTCGCAAATCGATCGATGAATCGCTCGAATCAAGAGACCTCGAAGGTATCACCACCTCCAAGCATCCGGATCTAACACCTACCTACATACGTGCGCGTGAGCGCTCCGTACGACGGCCGTAGCGCGTCTCAGTGGCGGGTGTCCGGCCAGGCTGAGTATGGCGCTGATCCAGAGGCATCCCAAATGGCCAAATGCCGCGGCTTGACGAGATTGTTGCCGATTTCATCTGTCCGGTGATATCCATAGGTATATTCGTCCCCTCAGCAGCGTCTCAGCGCCGCTTTTGCACCCTACCCATGCTCGCACGCGTAGACGTGCCCCTCTCGGATATCCCTCTCCATCTACGTCCTACCCAGGCTGCTACTTAGGCTGTTAGCAATGCTAGTATCCGCTATCCGCTGCTCCGGGGACCGGTCGCTTGGCCGGCTCGCAAGGCCGTCGCATTGAGGCATTGAGCGGACAGCTTGATATTGGCAGGGAAAAGGGGTTCGTGTTACCTACCGCATACGCATAGCAGCACCGAGTTGCTCTGGGTACCAACACCAATGGCGTTGTTGGCGCTATCGAGGACGTTGTTGTTGGCTTCGAGAGCACGACCGTGCCATGCTGGTAGGCGTTTTGCATCACGTCGCACTACTAAGTACCTGGTGACTATAACACCGAGCCGAGTTACTTATTTTTCCCTGCTTCGCATGCTGACAAGGGGCGTCCAACATACATATTGCTGACCTGGGTATGCAACTCTCTCGTAACAGACCGTGTTGTCGGGTCGCTTAGGAGCGCCTAGTTGGAGTACCACCGAATGCGAGACTAAATCCTCGAGAGGAAACCGCCTCACCTCAGATGCTACGTCAGATGAAAAAGAAGAAGAAAAGAAAAACAGAGGGACCACTCGCTGTTGAGCTGTTGGGGTAGAGCTGTTTCGTTCTCGGCCTCTGTGCTGAGCATCTCTCTCCTGTCAAAGGTAGGTCAAAACAAGCGCGGACAGGGCTGAACTAAACGAGAGAGGGGGAAATTTAAAAAAAAAAAAAAAAAAAAAAGATTTTTTTGTTTTTGTTTTTTGCATTCAGCGGCAAGATTATACCTACCCATGTAGATGATAATCAACTCTCAAAAGTGGGAGGGCCTCGTGGTGTGTGCCCTGCAATGCTCGTATGGGCAGGGGGGCAATTTGATGCTTGTACGTACTAGTAGAGGGGAGATGGGAATTTGTCGTTTTCGCTGCTGTGCCCGGATGATGGAGCTGGACACAGAATCCAGTTAGTAACCGACGTGTGCGTCCTAAGGTGTGCTCCGTATGCGATGTGACTCGGACTTGATATGGGATGGGTATGGATATTCTCCATCTGCACTGTGACTCTGCCTCTTACTGGTAGCCGTCTTGCTGGTGGCCAAGTAGTGCCCACTTCCACACACACACACACACAGAGTACTGCCTTGCTGCCTACATACACACACATATGTATAGTTATACATAGAAAGAGGAATACGATACGGGCATCGTTAGTGAGCAATTCTTGGTTACCCACACACACACACACACACACGCAGAAACACGCTTTGCCTCTCTTAAGGGGGGAGGAAATAGGCTCTGTATCCGTTAGCCCCCGTAGATTATTATAGCCCACAAACGACGGGTGCTCAACTACGCGCATACGTATATACCTATACGCATTAATACCTATATAGTATTACTTATACTAATATGTAGTAGGGTTGTTAGGTAGGCAGGTAGGGGGTTAGTTGCCTGGTTAGACTCGACCTGGTTAGACCCGGAGGAGAGGAGAAGAAATTGCTCTTCACGTTTCAAAACGGAGACTTATACCCTATACCCAGCGCAAAAACCGTAATAGGTCAAAGAGCTGATAACTGGCTTATTAGTTGTTCATCCGCGGTCAAAGAGACACTCCCCCAAGGCCTGACGATTTTGGCAACTCTCTCGCCCTCTCGCCCTCGCGCCCTCGTCCCGCCCCACAAGCCACCCCCCACACCCGCACACCCGCGCTCATGTGAGAGGCGTCTTATGTATGTACGTTCGATTTCGAATCATTTCTGGAACCGGGCGGCCCTCGCATGCGCTATCCGCGGTCCGGCGTCTAGCCGATGAGATCAGTCGAGCTTTGCATGACGGCAGGAAATAAAAATACACAAGACGAGGCCCAGCGTGCAGCCGAAGGTGTGCAATTAATAGCTAAGCCCCTTTTATTTGCGCAACTTGGACTTTGATGACGATAAGTAAACCCATGACTGGCATAGAGGTACGAGGTAATATGTAGGTATGTGTGTACGTACGCATGTATGCACGCATGTATGTATAGGTGGATGGATGTGAGTGTATGAGTACTCTATGTGGCCGTCGATAATAATAGGAACATACATGTGTGGTCATAATAATAGTCACGATCACTTGCGGTCCAGCTCACACTGTAAGCATGACCGCAGGTGGGATTGTATGGTAAGCCTGTTGGTCGCCTAGTCTGTGCTGAGACGATCACCTCTGGCTCCTCTGGGCCGGCACGACTGAAGCCGGGTGCAATTTGCATATCCAAACCCCGCTCGGTGCTGGGTTGCTTGGCTTATTGAGGGTATCTCGGCTCTACTCAATGAAACAGAGCATTTCGCATGCTCGGACTAGTACAGGTAACATCTGACAGAGGGAAAACAGAATTCCGCCGACCGGCCACGGCGTCACAGTGTAGTGGCGGGCGAGAGAGAATCTAAAAGAAGGGAAGCGCTTTTTGGAGACAGAGAACCCCCCGCCTCGGAAAAGAGAGAGAGAGAAAGGAAAAGTGTAGCAAAAAGACGAAAGCCTCCTCCCAACCATGCTGTATAAAAGTACAATGCGTGTGACGCAGGGGTGCTCGTTGGAGCACATGTAGAAATTGTAAAAGTGACAGAAAAAAGAAGGCAAAAAAAGAGAAAGGGAATCTCGTCTACGACGTTAACTTAGTTCAGACTCTTCGTGCTCTCGCTTCTCAGTGACTTCCCGCTGCTGTCGTGTCTGCTCAGCCACTCGTCGTTGACGTTGCGGTAGTCTTCGGGGCCGTAAGGATCGTAGAGCTCGGCGAGGAAACCCTTCTTCCGGTAAATGTTGAGGCCGAGGTCGCGCTGCAGCAGGTCGAGGTACGGGACGGCGTCGAAGATGAAATTGGGGTTCTTGGAGCCCCAGTCGGTCGGGTACCGCCACTTGCCGAAGCGGTTGAACAGCATCGTCTCGTACCGCAGCTGGTCCATCGCCTCCGGGTCGCCCACCGCCATCGACGGGTCCCGCTCGAGCTGCCCGGAGAAGTAGGCGCTGATCCAGAGGCCCTGGAGGTGCGCCGTGATCATGTTGCTAAAGTTCGACACGATGCCGATGAAGGCCGTGTCCCTGCTGCGCAGGAATCGCTCCGACGGCGGCACGAGGAAGTGGTGCAGCATGTACGGCGTGAGCTTCGTGTACGGTGTCACCTCGTCGTTGCTCGTGATGCCCTTCTGCTCCGTCAAGGGGACGTAGTCCTTGTTCCACACCGGCTGGCTCTTGAGTCGCGGGAAGCGCTCGAGGATCTCCTTGTCGACGCGGTCAACGAGCGCCTGGTTATTCGCGAGGTCGTCTTCCGGCGCGCCCTCCTTGGGCGTGTGGGGGATGCCGAGCTCCCTCTCGATCCCCTCCGGCATGAACTTGATTGGCGGCACATGCTTCCAGCCGGTGTGGGCGAGCAGCGCCTCTGATTCGAATTCCGTGCCGTCTGACAGGTGGACCTTTCCAGGGCTGAGGTGGTCGATCTCGCCGACGTAGACATTGACGTTGTCCCCCCTCACCAGCTCGAATATGTCTGTGTCGTAATTCAGGATGCTGAAGCTGGAGCCCGTGAACATCGCGCTGGTCCAGGGCTTCAGCTTAGCCGTGTCCGGGTGCGAGTCGAACCCGTTGAGGTTTAACACGTCGCCGCCAAGCACTCTCCAAAAAGAATTGACGATGGTCCGTCCCACGGTGGTGCCGTGGTAGAAGTGGCGGATGCTGCCGTAGCCATCGACGTCGCCCCATATGCAAGGGCTGAACCAGGTCAGGAAGCGCATGTCTACACGGACGCAATCGCGTTAGAATCTCGGCGTCGCGGTGATCGTCGCATCGCAGGGACCTACTAGCAAGCTTCTCGATCCACTTCTTAAGTGGCGTCACATATGAGGGTGAGATCCAACACGGACCATGACCCGAAGCTGTCAGGTCGAGGGTTAGTTCATGCGACCGCTTCAAGAATACGAAGAACAACTCGACATACAGCGAATGACCCAATCCACTTTTACGCCGGCGGTTGCGTACGCATATACGGCGTCCCAGGCGAACTTGGTGGCACCGAAGACGGTGACTCTCTTACACGTCTCCAGAGTGTCGCTGTTTTGTTGGAAATGCTTGCCGTGGAAGATTCTACCGCCGTACGTCTCTTGGCCTTCGAAGTGCGGTAGGAAGGGCTCCGACGTGAGGCCAGTGGCGAAGACGACCCGGCGCGCGAAGACCTTGGTCTCATCTTGGCCGGGCGGCGCGACGGTCAGGACCCAGCCGCCCTCGACGGTGTCCTGGTGTTCGGCGACGAGCACCTTGGTGTTGAGACGGATGTAGTTGGCGATGCCGAACCTCGCAGCGTAGGCCTTGAGGTAGGTGTTTATGACGCGGCCCGGCATGTGCTCACCGGGCTTGACGCCGAAGGTCTGCGTGTCCATAGGGAAGTCGGGGTACTCAAACGTCCCCAGCAGGTTGTTGCTCTTCAAGCCGGGATACAGGCGGTCGTCCGCCCATGTGCCGCCCAGGCTGGCCTGGGAGTCGAACACCGCCAACGTACATTCCGGTTGCGTACAGTGAAACTGCTTTGCGGCAGCCAACCCGTACCACCCTACCGAGGTGAGGATTAGCTGTGCTACTCCCCGCGCCGCGATCGACCAATTACCCCAGGGGCATCATGCTAGAGGAAGGGGATACCGGCTTGACATAGGAGAGAGAGGGGGGGGTCGCCTACCAGCACCGACGACGACGCAGTCCAGCGTTTCCATCGTGATTCCGTGGGCTGCAGGCTTCTCTGTCGGCGTCTGGTGAGCCATGGCAATGTAATGTCTTATGTCTTAGTTCCTGTCGATGTATGTTTGTCCTTCCCGTTCTACATAAACTTGGTGCAGGTGTGTTGGAGAAAGAAGGGGACAAGGAAGCAGGATAAAAGAGACAGGATAAACGCGGACACTCGTCGAGGAATTATTAAACATAATCAGGTCCATGCCCTCGGGCCCCCTTATCACCACCCCCTCCTCCTCCTCCCTTCCTTTTGTGCTACTCCCTCTCTCCCGGCCCGATCCTCGTGGCGGCAGAGACCGCCTCCGGGCTGAGCAACAGGTGAGCTTCGCTTGTGCCACGCCCATACCGAGCAGCCCGTCGTAACCTGTCATGCCCAGTCGTACGGCGCGAAGCAAGGGGGGTAACGGAGACAAACTGCTTCTTCTGGGATCTGTTAATGTAGGTTCGTAGGCTGATGGAAGGATGGTCATCCTCAAATCGTTCTCGAATGGGTGAACCCTCCCCAGGCTTGGCAGAGCCGTTCATTGCTACGACCCGTCAATGCCAAATGAGTATTGACAGCCGACTGACCATGCCCATCACTTGCTGTTTTTAGCTAGAGCCTGGGTCTCAGCCATCCCGCCGTCGTATAAACACATGTGCGCATCGAAAGCTGACGGAGGAGACCCTCCTCCCCCTACCTCCACCCCACCTCTTCCACAGTTCCCACACCTATAATATCCCTCTTATACATACCCTGTCAGATCTCCGCTGGTTGCTATTAACGCCCCCTCCTCCCCCCCAGTTTACTCTTTTGGTATGCACGCAATACATATGCTTAAGGGCAAGGACTAGGAGCAGGCTTGAACACACCTAGATGTATAACGTGCTGAGTTGCCCATCAGCATGGGCCAGCCTGTGGTACTTATACCCCATCCATCTTATCTCTTTTCTTGTCACAGAATATGCAAGAGGCCTATTATAGGTATACGTACAGTGGGTGCGCGTATATGCCTCTGTGTGAACGTATAACCATCATGGGTGAGCTAGGGCAGGCAGATACGGAGATGAGGAGGAGAGGGAGGAGAGGCGAGAGCAGAAGAGAGCACGACGGGAACCCTGTACAATCGATATTTGGGGAGTGAGTGAATTAATTCTTCACATTGGCAGCATGGAAATCCAATTACGGGGACCGGCCCAGCAAGGGAGAGGAAGATAGAGAGCGAGCGGGCGACCCTCGCCTACAACACTATACTACACTAACTCGCATATGTGACGCAGGCCCGGCCTGCCGACCATCACTTCGGTAGATTCTTGGGTGCTGACGGCCTGCTGAATACGGTACATTGCATTACAGCATAGTACATGGCATGACATTAGATATAATACACATATTACATACATTACGCAGCATCCGGGTGGGCTGGGCTGCAGTAGGTGAGCCTTAAGACACGACGGCAAGCTTGGAATTACACACAACCACACGCACATATCCACACACACAACCGCACATGCACACACACACACACACACACAACATACAGGCGTGCACACACAGGCGTACACACGCAACATACCCGTAACGCACATACGCAACATAGACGACACATGCGGCAGCGACGAAAGAGGCAGGACGTCCCGGGACTCGATCCGATGTTTTGGTCCCCTTTTCCGTCGAGGTAAGACGCGATGTAGTGATGTGGTAGTAGACATAATATCGCCGCCGGCGTGTGCATGTGTACGGTGGTAGTCTCGTAATAAGGGAGAAGCGAACCAGCCAACTAACTAGCAAGTCTCTTCCCCCCCCTCCCCTTCGCGTGCATTCGATCCCCTTTTCCTGCTTCATGTAGACACCACGAGCATCTCTTCTGTCGGGGGAGATCTCACGTATCGCCCTCGACCCCAGCCGTACCGAGGTTTCCTCAACGCAGGTACATACACGTAATCCATATACGTCTACACGTATGTGCATACAGACGAGAGAGTATCCCCAGTTGGGGCAGGCCGGTCATACCTTGAGGCGCTTTGGTCCCCCATCATGCAGAGGCTAACATACCGGCCCCCCTGAGGGGATGTAACGGTGATCTTTAGCCGCGCATATTCTCATACACAGATCGCAGCCTCTCTTCGTCTCACAACGGTACGACGCATTTCCCTTCCCACAGAATTTACCTGGAAGCGTTCTAGGGCTTATGTGATGTCCAATAGAACAACGGGGTTCATTCTCGAGTCGCAATATCGGAGTTGTGCTTGGTTACCACGATGGTAATAAGGGGACCGCATATGTTCCTGCATCGTGCAGGAAACCATTTTCTTTCTCTCTCCTTTACTCGCTATCTCCATGCCTCTCGGGTGGTTCTGCGGTCCCCGTTGTCGAACACCCATAAGTGATTCCGGAGCTGCGAAAGCTCATCACACGCACGGTACCCTCAATTGATCTCCGGTACGGTCCCCACGCCCTGCCGATCTGTGACCGGGGCTCATATACGTGGTGGTATCGGCTATCCACCTCGGTAATGACTTTTGAGATTAACCATGCCCATGTCAATACTTACATACAGGATACAGCCGAGCGTGTGTGGCTCGAGCCGGAATAACCCTGGTAATAAAGAGAGAAGAAAAAAAACCCCCCAATCAGTGGGCACTCCGGTGCATAATGGGCCACTCATCGTGTTCTTCACAACCAGACTCTTTCTGAAACCGTGTGTCTGTTATCTTGATTTCTGTGCAGTTAAGATATCTCGCCTATGTATGTATACGGGATGGAGGTAGCTTCCGGGGGGAGCGAGTGCCGAGCGACAGGTAGTAAAAGTCGATCTCTCCCATCCTCCCGTCTTCGATAGTCTGCTAGACACGTTCGAGTCAAGTCTTTCGATAGTCCCGTCTCTCCCACGCCAAAGTGCTACTCGCCCGTCTCGGCCCGTCTCTCCCCAGCGCTCTATCTTGTTCGCACTTGTCTCTTCAGCCTGGACGCCATGTCTTCAGCGGCGCAACCGCCGGACCCGGAGGCCGCTGCTGCCGCCGCCGCCGCCGCAGCGGCAGCCATGCGCCAGTTCTCCATCGAGGCTTGGACGCTGCTAGCCATCGGCATCCTCGTCACGATGCTGCGGACGTACGCCCGCGTCAAGGCAGTGGGTCTGAAACACCTGCAAGCCGACGATTATCTGGCCTGGGTCGGAGTGGTAAGTAAATGTTTACTTGCTCGTGGAAGAAGCAAAACGAGAAAAGAAATAAGACACGTTTATCGGGAGATTGAGTGGGTTTTATGTGTTAGCTGACCTCAGGCCGTATACATATATACAGATCAGCTACGCCGTAGAGACAAGTTTGGCGTACTCAGTCGGGGCCGTCGCCCAAGGATTGGCGAACAATGGCATGACGGACGAGCAACGCGCTGCTCTGGACCCCAACGGCCAAGAATTCAGAACGAGGTAAGTCGCACCAGACGATAGAGATGTTACGAAACGTTGTGTTACTGACAGCTCAAACCAGGGTCGTCGGTTCGCAGATCCAAATCGCAGGATGGTCATCGTACTCGGTACTGCTCTGGTCCCTCAAGGCATCCCTTCTGGTCTTTTATATGCGGTTAACGGTAAGTCCTAGGCGTGACGAGCCCCCTCGCCGGTAGTCCTGGTTGCTAACCTTCCACGCAGGCGGGCCTGGCTCGTAGTTACTTGATCCGTATCTATGTCGGCTTTGGACTCCTCGGCGCCAGCTTCGTTGTCATCCTGACGAACTTGTTCCTCGCTTGCCGGCCCTTCCACAAGTACTGGCAGATGAACCCAGACCCCGGCAGTGAGCTTCCTCCCTTCCCCTCAGCATTTCGACGACGACAGACGGATTCTAACTCACCTGTTAATCGTCCAGACACTTGCCAGCCCGCCATTTCGAACCAGATCATCTGGGTGTACCTCTCTATGAACGTCATGACTGATTTATACCTGATTTCCATCCCTGTCCCGATGCTCTGGCAGTCGACACTGAGGCCTGCCAAAAAGGTCGGCTTGATCTTTCTTTTTAGCGGAGGAATTTTTGTTGTGGTTTGCGCCATTCTGCGCTGCGCCTTGATCGTGACGGTAAGCCTGAATGCCCTCTCCCTCGACAACGTGACGATAAGCGATGGGACGGAGAAGTTCAGAGCTGACGAAGGCACCACTGCAGGATCCCGTAAATGGAGCACAGCTGGCGGGCTCGTGGGCAGTGCGAGAGACGTTCGTCGCCGTGATCACCACCAACCTCCCCATGGTCTTCCCGCTGCTCAAGCTTTGGCTCATCCCCATCCTGGGCTCTCTGCTCACCACGGTGCGTTCGACTCATAGGCTGAGCGACAAGGAATCGAGAAGTGATCTGCGAACTTTCGGCGGCGGCAATCAGAGCTGGCGGCGCCGCGGACCCCCGACCGTGAACCCCATCACCAACATCACCTTCACCGAGAGTGAGGAGCGGATGGTGGACGAAGTGAAGATGCAGGACCTCAAGGGCTGGAACGACTCCAGCACCAGCAGCAGCAACCAGACCACCGGGAACAACATCCGAAAGCACGTCGAAGTCGCCGTCGTCAGCGAGGCGCGCGACGAAGCGATTGAGATGAAAAACGGCCGACACATCGTCGGCGACGAAGAGAACCAGCAGCACGGAAACTTCGCCTTCGCTCGAGGCCCAAGGAGAACAAGCGACGGCGGCGCCAATCGCTCCTAACAAGAGATGTAAAAAGGGACAGTAAGGCATTTTACACACGCACACGTACCTACATACACACATATACCCCCTTCATCGTCGAAGTCCCTCTCGGCCGGCGCTAATGGAATAATTGAGAGTTTTTGGAGATGCTATAAAAAGGAAAAACACGGAATTTCTTCGTCGGTTTGTTGCAGCGCGCACACAACATTGCCTGGTGTATTATATGGGAATCGAACAGGCCGCGGTTGGTTTGCGGGAATGCCATGTTCACGGGCTTCGAACTCTGGCTACCAAAAGGATGGCGACGCTTTGGGGAGCATCGCCCGAGGTTTTCTTCGTGCTAGAGGTAACGGCGGCTCGGCTCGGCTCGTCGTGGTGGTCTACGGCGGCAGGTCTGTATTTGCTTATCTTGTCAGAGGAATCGAAGAGCAGGAGAGCACTCGAACAGTGGTATATACAAGTCAGCGGTATATATATATATATGCCGTGGGCATCGCTCCATGCCTACCATAATGAAACACGTTCCTACATGTCGATAACATAACATGGACAGGGAGGTCGATCCAAACCAAGCTCACACCTCCTCAATCTAACGGACAGATCACCTATCTATGGCCAGCTTGATGATAGCCTTGAGTCCTTCTCTATCCAGCCCCTTGATTCCCAACAAATCGTTGTCGCGCACCGGGAAATATCCGCCCCAACCGTCCCCGATGAAAGCCCGGTTAATGAACATGGCGATCACCTCATCGCTATGATCACCTTCTGCCCAGCGCCGGAGGGCCTCGACTTCCAAGTCCTCGGTCTTGGAATGCGTAATGTCCCAGCCGTCCGTCGCCCCTAGCTCTTTGGCGATTGCAATCAGCTCATTCTGCGTCGTGTTGACGCTCGAGATCCTGACCGGACGGTTCGCGGTCTCGTCTAGGTGGGTCAGGGTGCCAATCACGGCCTGTGCGATATCGTCGTACGTTGTGGCGCAGAAGAGTACGTCACCGCCGTCCTTGATGTCGGCCCTGCGCTGCTTCACGTCCACGATGAAGTCCAGGGTCCAGTCAGGGCCGAGGAACGAGGCGTTCTGGATCGTGGTCCAGGAGAAGGACGGGTTCTCCGCTACCTTCCGCTCGCAGCGCTCCCGGATGGCGATCTTGGGCTGGTAGATGGGAAAGGCTGCGAGCTTAGGATTTAACGTGTCGTTTCCGTACTCGGAGGGAATCATCCTCCGGACGCCAGCCTGTACCGCTGCGTCTACGAGATTCTTCTGCGCGTCGATGGCCTCGAAGGCCACCGCCGAAACCAGCGCGTCTTGCCCCCGAAGCGCAGCCTCGAGGGACTCGACAGAATCGTAATCCACCTCCTTGACGGCAACTCCGGGCGGGAACCGTCGTTGTCGACCCCTGTCCCGTGTAAGCACTGTAACGTTGAAAAGTTTCGACTCGAGCAGACGGGCCACGATTGGACCCCCGATCTTCCCAGTTGCCTAGAGGGTCGGAATCAGCACCTTTACGAGGAGGGCGGTCTACACGAAAGTAGCGGGTAGAAAAGGAGAAGAGGAAAAAAAAAAAAAAAAGCATGGACAGAAAGCGACGCACCCCTACAACGGCAACGTTCTTAATGGCAGCCATGGCGTGAGAGCGAGCGATATCGCCCGTACTGTGTCAGAGGGAAAGGCTAGGATTGCACAGACGAGGTGTCATTCGTAGAATTTCACGACAAGAGTCACCAGCAGATGAATTTAACGGTTCTCAAATATGCCGGGTCCTGTTCATTCAAGTTCCTAGGGCTCCCTCATTTGTATCTGCCTACACGCGGTGGCCCCTGAGTGATATTTATACCTACCTATGTATTCTGCCGGCCGGGGAGTGGAGAGCAGCAGGGAGGCATTGCCTGCCTGCCGCTCGCTCGGGAGAAGGTGGCTTGCCTGGGAGAACCCGACAACCGCCTCTCTGGAAATGCGTCCGGTATCTTCACCAGGCATGATTGGCCGCCCTGATGCCCATTTCACGACACGGTTGGTCGTGAATCCACATCGACGGAGTCAGTGGTAGGTATTTCCAAGACCTCGGACCCCGGGACTGGGCCGCAGTCTCGGTTGTCCCATACCCCAACGCACATACGAATCCTTATGGGTTTTGTCTCTGCGGATCTTCCACTGGCAGTGCTAGAAGCCTTCCTGTTACGGGGTTTCCCTCTCGCACAGGTGCTAGACGAGGCCCAGCGCAGCAACGACAGCAGCAGCAACAGCGATAACAGCAGTTAGTGAGAGCGCACAACCAGTAGAGTCACTCACCCCTCCTCCCTCCCTTCCTCTCTCCCCTCCCTCCTCCTGCGGGCCACCCTCTAATACCACGTCCTTCATCTGTTCCTGTGTATACCCTGCAACTCACCCGAGGCGATTGGTAAGGTCGCTAAATAAGCGGTGCGTGCATGTGGTCTAGGCGCGAGCACAATGCCCGAATAGCATCATTATTCGTGTGATGTAGCGTGGTATTTGCATCCCGAGGTCGTAGCAGGAAATCCGGCAGTGCCTTGCCGCGCCCGAAGTAACCTATAGGGTATTAAGCTAAGCATGGAGAAAACTGCAGTTCAAGCCGAGGGCGCTGTCAATCCCTGAATTCCCCTGCGTGGGCTTTAGATACCCATGTCATCTCCACCAGGAACGCTCTCGACGGCCAACTAGAGGTACCTACCTAGGAGGTTCACGTTCGACAAGAGACTGGACGGGCTCTAAGGGCGGGATAATACCGAATCCTCGATGCAACATACCGCTTTTTCGTGTGGAATGTTTTTTTTTCTCCTTTTTCTCCTTGGGCTTGGTCGCCGATCACGACCTCTCGTTCGGAGTCAGCCTGTAAAACAAGCTACATGGATATTTCTCTCTTCAACCCTGATTTCTTCCTCTTTCCTCCCGTCTTCTCTTCGGCCGGGCCCTTCGCCTATACCCACTACTCATAGATTTCTGGGAGGGGCGGAGTCCCCTTCCCCAAGGCAAGCATCGAGAACGTAGTATTGGTCGTTTTCTTTTTTGTTTTTTTTTTTCCTTCCCCTCTAACGCGCCCCGAGCTCTCGGTCAAGTATCCACAGAGCTCCGCGCTGTCCCTTGACCGCAACCGGTTCTGGCCGGGTAGACGCGTCAGTCAGTCCATGAAGTCATAGGGCGGTGCATTATGACAACAAAGGTGGTCTGCTAGGTGGGTAATTTCGCGCGAATGCCATCAATGTCCGCACATCTCGACAGGCATCTCCCCTCTCTCTCCGCGGCCAGCCACGTGTACCCGACATTCGAGCCTTCAGCCTCCCCGGTCACTAATCGTCGGATGCCGTGGAGTCCACCATGTTAGTGGCTATCAGCAGCGCAGAAGCCTGGCTCCTCTCCTTCACATCACCTTATCTCACTGCCTTCGAGCGATACTGCCCGACACCAAACCCGACGGCACATCCCGCGTAGCTGGGAGGATCGTCTCCCTTGCCTACAACCGGGACCATGACACCGGTCTCGAATCCAGAGGTGGTTGGGCCAAAGGGGGCGGAGGGGACAGGGCCTGGGATCGGACAGAGGGCGCCGACGCACGTTTATCTCAAGGACTGACGCTCTATACCGACGGTATGTTACCAGCCTTCGAGCGGAGCTTGCTACCTCGGTGACTCTTTGCGCACCGCATAGCATGGGCCCACCGCTCTCGTGTAGACAGATCAGCGGAGCAAAGTAGAGATCATAGGCCATCGCCGACCGACGTGAGTCCGGTATAGTCGCAGCCATTGACCTGGCTTTCGTACACGAACAGCGTATACCCGGTAAAGGGGGCGGGGGGGAAAGGCAAGAGGGATGGGGTGGGCACAAACATCAGCACCGTCGCGCCCAACCATATCGTATCACCGACAAGATTAGGGGGGGAGCAAAAAAGAAGCTAGTTTCTGACGAGTTGTTTAGGAGTCCTGGGTATCGCTACCGAATTCCGGAGCGAGGGGGGTAAGGCAAAGATTTGTTCCTTCGTTGTTTCTCGCTTCTGCGCTCCGGCCGGTACGAGGCACCTCCCATCCTATTCCATCCCATCCCGTCCCATGAGGGCACCCCTATGTATGTACTACCTGTGCATTCATCCCCTGTGACGGGCGCTCCATTGGATATCGCGTGTCAGTGACACTGCGGGGCTTGCTGATTGGGCTCGATGCCGCTTGAGAATTGCCTGATCGGTGTCCGCTGCAGTCGATAATCTATCTGGCTTACCAGAAGCCCGTCGTATGCAGTTTGCGTTCTGGTAGCCAAGATCCCGAATGGATCCCCTTGCCGCTGGAAGGGCACTCCTGCAAAAATACCGAGCCGCTGGGCATCATCGGGCTATGGATAGGCGAGGTATGTTCTCCTTCATTTGTCACGATCCGCGGGCCTGGTAGCATTGGCGAGTCTTCTCCCGGGAAATATATATAGGCTTGCTGCTACCTTCTCCGCTCTCTGTCTCTGCCCTACAGGAAGTCGTGTAACAGACAGTGGTGCCGCCTCAAGCTCTTCCGTCTCTCCTTCACCATGGCTTTCGCGCTACCCCTAGCGGCCAGCGGCCTCGTTGTCTTTTCCCTCTACTATCTCCTCCAGTGGCTCACGCTATATCGACGTAGAAGCCACATGAAGAGGGAGAACGGCTGCCTGCCTCCCAAGAAGCTCGCCCAGATGGATCCCTTCCTTGGGACCGATGTCGTCTTCCAGAACTTGAGGGCCGCGAAGAAGTTCGGCTTCCTTAACCTCCTCAGGTCTCGGCACGCCGCCAACGGCCTCACCTTCACCACCAACACCTACTTCCGGACCACCATAAATACCTGTGACCCGACTCTCATCCAGAATGTCCTGTCGTTCCAGTTCCAGGACTTCGGTATGGGACCCCTCAGGCGGAACAGTGCCTCTCCTCTCCTAGGACAGGGAATTTTCACCACCGACGATGAGATATGGGCCCATCAGCGCGCCTTGATCCGTCCGAGCTTCGTCCGAGCCCAGGTGACGGACTTTTCCATCTTCGGTCACCATGTGGACCAGCTCATCGCTCTTATTGCCCGCCGGAATTACATCGTAGATCTGCAGCAGCTCTTCTTCCGCATGGTTGGTCGTCCTGTCCCACGATCAACTCTTTTTTTGTTGTCGTCTAAGTGACTAACGGGGCTCGACAGGTCCTGGACTCCAACAGCGAATACATGTTCGGCGAGTCTGTGGGTCTGATGTCGGAGAACGCATCCGAGTCTGCCACCAAGTTCCACCACGCCCTCGACTACGCCCAGCAGGGCACAATTCTCCGTCTGCGTCTCGGGAACCTCATGTTTACCCACCGCGACCAGAAGTTCCGCGATTCCTGCCGGACGGTCCACGCATACGCCGACAAGTTCGTCGGTCAAGCTCTCGAGTATCGACGCAGCCAGGCTCTGCTACCGCCGGAGAAGCGGGAGAAGGAAGACGGCGTCCGCCAGAAGTATGTCTTCCTCAACGAGCTCGCCAAGGACACCGAAGACCCGATCCTTCTCCGGGACCAGATTGTGAACATGCTCCTAGCCGCGCGCGACACCACCGCCGGTCTCCTAGCTTTTGTCTTCTTCATCCTGGCACGGCGGCCCGACATCTGGGCTAAGCTGAGGGAAGACGTCCTGGACCACTACTGTGAGCCCCTGACATATGAGGCCATCATGGACATGAAGTACCTTCGATTTGTCGTACACGAAGGTATGTCGAGACCTTCCCTTCACCTCCCCGTCTCGCAATATAAGCGTAGCTGACATTCGGTTAGCCCTCCGTCTCTTCCCGCCCATCGCAACGAACAGCCGCATGGCGAATAAGGATACCGTTCTCCCGGTCGGGGGTGGCCCCGACGGCAAGTCTCCCTTGTTCGTGAAGAAGAACAACGTGGTCACCTACAGCACGTTCGTGATGCACCGGCGAAAGGAGTTCTTCGGCGAGGACGCCGACGAGTTCCGACCAGAGCGATGGGAGAACCTGCGCCCCGGCTGGGAGTTCCTGCCCTTCAACGGCGGCCCGAGGATCTGCCCCGGGCAGAAGTTCGCGCTCACGGAGTCGTCGTACACGATCGCGCGCCTCCTCCACGCATTCTCCAGCATCGAGAACCTGGACCCGACCGACTGGAGGGAGCAGCTGACCCTCTCGTTGACGCTGAATAACGGCGTGCAGTGCCGTCTCACCCCAGCCGCTTGAGCGATGCTAGGAAAAGATGGCCCTCGCTCGCAGGTTTCCGAACGCGCGAAACAGAAGAGGTCTGACAATACCAGAGACATGATAACTTTAGGATGTTAACACGATCCTCAGCTAATGATAGGATCGCCATACCAGGTGGATATGGTGCCGGGAATTTTTTTTTTCTTGGAAAAGGAATTATTCAGAAAGAAAAACCCCCCGGGTTGGGCGGTTGGGCGGTTGTTCGCTTCTATGTAGATACTATGATGTACGGTATACTTGTTGGTGTATGATGTCTGTCGTTGAGACTTCGGCGTTGGAGGTGGGTGGCTTTTTAGTCTATTAGGACTCCGGCTAGACCCCCGACCTCACGATCGATGGAATGGTTACTATAATTATTTTTGCAAGCCGTATTACATGCCGAGCGAATCGACGCGGCGCGCACCGTGGTTCAGAATTGAGTGGTTGATGTAGGCAACGGGGTCTCGCAGGACGGCCGCGTTGCATCGCGTTAATGCCTCAGCGGGTGTTGGAAGCGCGACAACCCCTTGGCATAACATAGTCGTGTGAAAGCCAGCTTACCCCATAGACCCAGCCAAGGCTGTATGTGACACCGACTATGGAGCACGGTCGCAGCAGACAGCGGTCGACATCGACTTGCGCAGGCAATATGTATATATATGTGCGTGTGTGTCTGTGTGTCCGTATTGTGCATGTGTGTAATATACCTATGCCCAACTTGACCTCCAGAACAACCGAGAGCGCCCGTGTGTCGTCCCCCATGTGCGTCTCACAAGCGAAAATGACCCGACAGGGCGGTACCGATATCTCTCGCTCGACAAGCGGGCATCACGAAGCAAGAGATTGGCTATCAGTTACCAGGTCCGGGGTGGTTGTGACGGTACCAACAGTGGTAACGAATGCACGCCTGTCTAACAATATCCTTTTGCCACTCGGAATCTGACTCGGCTTGACCTGGCCTGGCCTGGCTACCCACGACCAACCCGACCTGCCTCATGTGCGCCCATGTGCCGTACGGGAACCTGACTATGCTGATAGGTTTCAATGATGAGGGCACCGGATGTGTTGCTGTTGAGCGCACCAGTAAATACGGCTTGCCGGGAGTGACCCAGCCGGCTTCTTCTACCGCCACAGACTCTGCTACCGCGACGGAGGCCATTCGAGAGGCCAGCCCGCTCAACAACTCCGGCTAGGGCGCGACAGTGAGGACGTGAGTTTGCCGGGAGTCTCTGAAGGTCATTCTCAAGCCTTCGGGGGGCATCGAGTCGAGAATCGGACGTTGAGAGACGGTCGTGGTAAGCGGGCTTCGACGGCGTGGGGGCCTGTCACTTGGTCACTTTCAGGTAGGTACACAATACTTGGTGGCAGCCTCAGAACCGAGCCTTGTCGCAGGCAGCCAGCCCAGCCACTGTGTACAGGAACAGATGTAGCTTATACTTGGGGGTTAAGACCTTGTCTCTACCACGAGACCTGACCTTCGTGCGTCTGGTGTTGATTCTCTCAACGCCGGCCCGCCCGTGAACTCGATCGGATTCCCTCGCGGTCTGGTAAGAAGCATCCCTACACGTGTTATTATGCACTTCATCAAGTCAGGTATATTTCCATGGGAGATTCCGCAGGGTACCTAGGTACCTAACCGTAGGTGGTGGTTCAACGTTGTGTTGCACGGATTAATAGGGTTCGAATTGTACTCATCAAAACGTCGTTGGGCACAGCTAGAAATAGTAAAACGCCAATGTTTTCTGCCGTCTTATTCTTCCTCTTTCCCATTTCCCTTCTCTATCCATGTCACGTACGGGATCAACCATTACAAGACTGCATCTATAAGTCGTAAAATGTAGTCGACTACGATAATCTATTTGTTGTCATTTTTTCCTCCTCCCTCTCTATCTCTAGTATGGACCGTTCTAATTCATCCCCTCGCCTTCCGAGAGCGTCATCGCAGCCTCTAAGAAGTGACCCGGCCGTTCCTCGGACTACCAGCACGAGAAAGGCTACCAGAAGCGCTGATGAAGTAAGTGAAACACAACTCGAAAGCCGCAAGCACGACATCAACACTACAATAAGATATCTGAGAGGAAAATGCTTGGGCCACCCTCGTCGTATGACCCTATTCTTGGGCATTTTTTTTTTTTTTTAATAACGGATCCGCGAATGCGGCTCACTTGTTCCTATAGCGACTCCGCAGACCTGATGGACTCAGTGTTCGGCCCGGAATCTGGTGAACGGGCTGTTCTTGCATAGGAGGGTCAAACCAGCTCTTGGGTTTTGTGAAGGAGCTTGGCCAGAACGTGGAGAGTATCTCGGGGAGCATTCTTGGCAATGCTATTCAGGATAACGGGACAGAAGTGCCAGATCCAGAGGCCGTGTTGGCCATCACGCATCACGTCATTCGCGACCCGAAACCTGTCGATTAGGTAGGTATGTAGACAATTGCCAATACGAAGAAGAAGAAGACAACGACGATGACGACGATGGAGATGATGAAGAAAAATGAGACTGCGAAACCGAAGACCGGGGGGGGGAGGGGCACGATGGAGGCAGGAGTTTTGGGGATAGTGTTTTCTTTTCCCTATGAGTACCTACAGTATTTTAGATCCGGCACGTCTGTTTAAACTACTGGTGCTAAGAGATAACTACCGGTGCTAAGAGATACACCTATCTAGTGTTCTAGTCTAGCTGCAACAAGGATGGGCTTTGCTAGGGTCATGACCCACTGGACAAATTCTTAGCTATCAGCCTGCCTGAGTTCCTAAGAGGTGGACGACAACTTGCGAAAGAGTACTAGTAGGTGGGTTTTACGGCTTTCCGTTAATGGGTCGGCAACTGAATTCTCGACTCTCACCCATGTGATAGATAGATACTATGTGCATACCGGGCTGGCGGTGTGAATTCTTCTTGGGCTACGTCACTCCTAATTTACACGCGCCAGAGGTCCGAGTGGTGTGATCTAGCATTGCCGCATCGTGATATTTCGCGGCTCGAAACCTGGTCATGGGACCCGTCGTCCCAGAGCGGTCCCGAGAGTTCTGTAGGTTTTAGCGCCGCCGGCCTGTCGCATACTACGTTAGGTAGCATGCACTTATAGTATACCTGCATACGCATGTGCTCTCCACCCTTTCTACATACAGCATACAGCACACATCTTGGGCGGATCACGGATGCTATACCCACGTCCACCCGCAGACAGACGGTAGGAAATACTACGCGCCATAAGGTTGGTATATGTTACTTTGTCTACTCCGAGCTAACGGCGAGGGATGTGTCGTGTGTCCGCCGTTGACGTCGGGCGTACGGCGGGGGGGAGGGGGGGCTGTCAATGCTCGAAGCGAAATCCAGCCATCGAAGCCAAACACTATTCTGTCTCTGCTTATAGTTAGTTAGGCATCCTCTATCTTCGACTACGATTCAATTCGCGACTGGTGCCCAACGGCCAAACGCTCCGCTGCTAAGCTGTTTAGGCGGTCAATCCGTGCCGTGCCCTGGGAAGAGCCATCCCTCGACCACGCCGGCATAAATGCCAAGTTTCTGGTCGCGAAATCAGGAAACGACACCGCCGGCTCATGCTTTTATCTTCCGTCGAGTAGTTTTGGCGCGTGTCGGATGCGCAGTTCCGCGTGCAGCTCCGGAGCACATCATCACCAGTAGGTCATGCACTACATATAGCCCTTCTCGACAGTCTATTGTAGGTTAGGCCAGATGGCAACGGATTACCACGCCGGTATCCGTTAGGTGTGACGCCATTGGGGGATGTTTCGAAACGCCAGGGTATATATTCCTTTCGCGCTACCGGTGCTGCAGGGACGGTTCTTCCGCGGCTTTTCACCAGCAGGAAATCCAGGGCACATGGGCACACCATTAGATTCTCGCAAAGTGTATGAGGAGAGAAACAGGGCGTCTTCATGGTGTGACGATGGGGCGTTGGACTCCTGAAAACCGGATGCGCTGGCACACCTCTTTCCGGGACTGCGCTCATACATTCACGCATGCAGACTTCGGGGAGCGTGGTATTGGATCGGAGGTTAAGCGACATTCTCCTTTTGGCAGCGAGCGAGTGACCTGGCGCAGCAACTCGAACACATCCAGCCGGTCCAGCCGGTAAGAGGCTGTTTTCGGACATGTCTAACCACTTTCCCCGGCTTAATACAGGGCATTATTAGATGCATTCACAGCCTGGCCCCGGGTCGATAACGAACCGTTATCAGCTCTCTGGTCCGATAAATAAGGCGATCGACAGATTCTACCTACCTATCATGCGAATGTTAGCTGAAATTAGGTAGGATGTAGGTATTATAGCTCACCGACTCTGCCGATTCAGTGGAACCCCGGCTTTTGCGGATGTGAATGGGACAGAATGTGCACCAGGGGGGGCGCCGCGGGTCACAAGATAGGGCTTAGTGTCGATTTTCAAGGTTGGACGTTTCAACGAGGCAATTTGATATTAGGTACCTAGGTAGGTATTACAAATTCCGGTTGTCCCATACCCAAGAGGTCTCGCTTTTGATAAAAGCCACCTTTTACGCACCCATTTTCGCATGGAATAGCATGATCTGTTTAAGAACCGATCAACGGGCTCGGAGATTTAGAATAGGTAGATGATGTTATTTTGAGAAGTAGGTACCTCCCTGGCCGCGTTGGAAATAAACAATAGGTATAGTGTTGGTAGGAGCAGTGGTGTCACGTGCCTGGATTGCTCAATAACAGTTGAGTATCGCATAATCGAATGGTTGCCTTAGTAAGCACATCGTGGAATCTGCTCATAGGTACCAGTTCTACTTCAGCCGCATGAAAAACAGATTGCTCCCCTCTCCACAAGAAACTCAGAAGCCCTTGGATCGACTCTTTGATTATTAGGCTCCCTAGCAGCAAATCCCAGAGCCGGCGTAACTGGGACCTTTCACCATCGGCTTATTCCCCGAGTAGATTCCCCCTCCCCAAAGCTGCAAACGAGCACCGTTACCGACGGGACGACCCACACCTCAGAGGGCGGCGAGAGAGCGAAAGGAGGAGGAAAGAGGGGAAAAAAAAAAGAAACACAGCGAAGATGGGCAGCGACGGTGACGGCATCCACCACGTGGGCTCGATCGGGGAGCTGCGATCGCTGCTGGCGACGACGACGTACGTGGCGGTGGACTTCTTCGCGGACTGGTGCGGGCCGTGCAAGGCGATCGCGCCGCACTACGCGGGGCTGGCGCGGCAGCACGCGGTCCCGGGGGTGCTGGCGTTCGCCAAGGTGGACGTGGACCGGGCGCAGGAGGCGGCGCGCGAGTTTGGCGTCACCGCCATGCCCACCTTCCTCTTCTTCAAGGACGGCCGCCAAGTCGCCGTCAACGGCCAGGTCGCCATCCGCGGCGCCGACCCCCGCGCCCTGTCCGCCGCCGCCGAGAAGCTCGGCGCCCTCGCCCAGAAGAGGGCCGCCGCCGCCGCGGAGACCTGAAGGGCGAATGGGGTGGGGGTTTGCGAGACGAGCGGGTGAAGGTTAGGAAAGGATGATTAGGGAGCGGTGAGGGGAGGTTAGGAGGACGGAAAACGGCGGATTGTTAGCGGCTTCACCTGTCGGGTAGACGTGCGGTTGATCAGCATTTCGGTTAGACGTGGGACTACGGTGATCTACTAGAGGATGCGTTACGAGTGACTATGCAGGCGGCCGACCTCGACGACGTGGTCTCCCTTGCGTTACGTAGTTTACCACATGTATACGTACATACGTAGGTATACGCCCTCTTTGACCGGCAACCCATGACATGCGACGTGGTCTTGGACTAGAGATTCATGGGTATAACGATAGCTAGCTATTCATTGCAGTGACTGGCTACTGCCATAAGCCACCACACCTACGCGGATGTTCCCGCCCGCGACGTACGTGTCACTTGTCAACCCCGAGCGGGCAGACAGGGCCGGAGAACTACAGCTTTCACTGACTCGCTGAGGGACGGGATGATACACGAAGGTGGGCATACTACTTGATCTCGAGCCGGTCTATACGCAACCTCGGGGGGGCAAGCGTAGACGTAGTATGGTGGGGCCTAGGCGATGCCTCATCGGCACTAACTACCTCGATGCAAGATGCGTAGGTGCGTGTATGGATGTATCGATGCGCAAATTTCTCCGGTACCCAACGGCGGCTCAGGCATGAACCGCGACGGGCCAGAGGGTAAGTGATCGAAGAAGATTCGTCTCTCCTCCAGTTTCCCCTCCAAGACCTGCCATTGAGACTCCGAGGAGCGACGAAAGCCAGAGTGAATTTGAAGGATTAGTTTTATGATGAGGAGGAGAAAGGAAGAGAAAGGGCTAAACAAATTGTCGCGTGGGGGGAAAATTTGGCCTTGGGTCTGCACTTACGGGACCGGCTGCACATTGTTCCGACAGCGCTGGCTACGGCGGAAGCGGGTCCTGCGCCCAGAAGTAGGTACAGCGGACGGATCGATCCAGTAATTGGACGCGGGGGGCGAGAGCTGAGAGCACCTACGGGGGACGCCCCATTCGTAATTTGATATTTGTAGGTGGCGGGACAAAACTATCCGGCCAATGACAGCCGGCATATTAGAGTGCAGCATTGCCTAAGTTACGAGAAAGGCTAACCCGCGCCTGCAACACGCTACCAGGTAACATCAAGTAACAGTGATTTGCGTTTTCCCTTGTCAATTCCCATTTACTCCACACCTTTGGTTGGGTGGCGGAGGTGCCCAAGGAGGCCACACTTGTCACCTGGTAACACGTAAAAAGTTCTATGGTATATTCGTGACTGACTCATCTACTAGAGTAGGCTTTTCTTCCCTCCGCCAGCCACCAAACCAAGCCTCTGTCTCTCTCCCTCTGTCATATATTAAACACCTCTCGTCTTGTCGCAAATCTTGAAGCACCTGGCCTGCTAACCTATCCCAACAAGCAAAGCAACACGGCATATCGTCTCCCCTCCATTCCTGTCGCCGGCTTACCAGGACCAGCCCACCGCCTACTTCTACCCAATCTCCAGCATTCCCTCCCCCACTATTAATCCCTTGTCGTCATCTATACTGGCAACTCGACCCCTCCTCTCCGCTGTCTCCCTTTACCTTCTTCCTCTACCGAAATCATGTCTGGACGAGGAGCGCCCGGCGCCAATTCCCGCGGTCGCGGAGGCAAGTTCAAGAAGTTCACAAGAGGAGGTATGACCACCCTTTATCGCCAATACAGTATTTTCTTTTCTTCATCGGCGTGCTGTTAGACCGTTTTTGTTAACGTTGTCGTCCCCTCTCCCGTTAGGTGGGAAACACTTCTCTCGTGACCTGCGACCCCTTGATGCGGACGGCAACGAGATCAGCATGTGGAGCGAAGATGCTCAGAAAGCCGACAACGACGAGAGCGAAGGGGAGGAAGACTCCGACGAGGAAGGCTCGGACGCCGGCCCTTCTCAGCCGAATGCCGAGTTGACTAGAGAGGAGCGCAAGCAAGCCAAAAAGGCTCAGAAGGAGGCCGCAATTTCCAAGAAGAAGAATATCGTGCAAGTAGGCGACTTACCTTCCGACTCCGCAGAGGACGACGATGACGACGACGACGGTGCGCCCGCCAATCCCAACCATTCCAAAGCCTCCCGGGGCATGACTAAGGTTCAACCCGGCGGCGTTGAGGAGGCCACCAACGGGCTCAAGAATCTGGCTATGAGCCGAAAGGAGCGCGAGTCCCTAGAGGCGCAGCAGGCCAAGGAGAGATATCGCAAACTTCACGAGGAGGGCAAGACAGACGAGGCCAAAGCCGACCTGGCTCGCCTGAGGCTTATCCGTGAGAAGCGAGAAGCTGAAGCAGCCAGAAAACAGGTATGCAATCACCCGCTACGTGGCTACGTGACACACGACGCCGTATATAGTTACTTACAACGAGAAACTAGGCCGAAAAAGAGGAAAGGGAAGCCCAGGAGAAGGCCCGGCGGGCCGAGATCGAGGCTAAGGAGGCGAAGAAGCGCGCCGCCGCCTTGGGAAAGGGCGCAAAGAAGGGAAAGTCATAATAAATCCGGCCAATGCCTGATCTAAACATTTCTTCGCCATTATAGGCACGGTGTTGCCCCTTGGGATGGTTTGCGGACTTTCATCTATCGAGGTCTATCTAGAGCATATTGCACCAGCCAGTATAGCAATTGCATCGTCTCGCGCGCGGGCCACTGTCCCGCGACGCTCGTTTCTTACCTATCTCTACATCCCTTTTCCGTGACCCGACGGCGCTTCTGTGCTAACGTACCTTTGTGTCAGCCTACCCCGAGGTTAAACATTCGGGCTGATGCTTGAAGGGGATCTGGCGTACGAGGTGTGCTCGTGACACCTCACCTATCCGTAGGCCCCGCTAGAGCTTTATGCTGGCGTAGTATGTAAGCGGTAGGTAGATATGAGCTAGGTTGCCCGGTCCAAGAAGCTATCAAGCTCAAGTTTATACGCGTTGTTGTCGTGCTAACTTGGTGTACCGACGTCAACGTCAACGCAATACGAGATCGGCGGGGTTATGTAAAGGACGTCATTCTATGCAACAACCTGTGAACATATTTGTAATAGCCGTAGGTATATATAAATGCATAAACGCCGCCGATGTGTCTATAGTACCCCATTTCTAGTCCAAATTCATTACGCCGCTGGCTGGCCAGTCCCGTTGGCATCGGCCCCCACGCTCTGCTTCCAGAACTCGTCAAAGTTGATGCCCTGCTTGTCGAACATGTCCCTGATCTCCCTAGCCGCCTTCTCCTGCTTCTCGGCGGTGAAGCCGCCCGGCTGCGATGATTCGAACTGGACGACCTCGATCCAGCGGAAAAAAAGGTCTTCTTTGCCGACGGCGGCGAGCGCGTCCCGAAAGGCTAGCACCTGCCGCCGCCTCTCGTTCTCCTCCGCGGTGCTGCCGGCCTCGACTTTTCCGCGGCCTTTAAGCTTGGTGTCGACGCAGAGCCAGCCGTAGTCGTCGTGGAAGACGAGGACGACGGTGGTGAAGGCCTCGATGGCGGCGAGCTTGTCGTCGACCATGGTGGCGGCGTCGACCATGGCGGCCCAGTCGAGGTCCCAGTGGGCGTTCATGAGGAGGTAGCCGGTCTTCTCGGCGAGCAGGGCGGGGTCGGTAGCGGCGGCGACGCGGGCGAGGAGGAGGCTGCGGGCGTCGTCGTCGCGGACGACGTCGCGCAGGTCGCGGCGCCAGCGGCGGCTGCGGCGGACGACGACCTCGCGGTCGCGGAAGCCGGCGAGGAGGCGCCAGGCGAGGGGGCTGCCGCGGCCGGCGCGGGCGAAGCAGAAGTCGGCGGGCCACGGCCAGACGAAGACGGCGAGCACGAAGTCGAGCAGGAACGAGGCCGCGCGGCCCGCGACGGCCGGCGCGAGCTCCGCCCACGCGAGCTCCGCCGCCACCAGCGTCGTCTCGTTGGCGTACCCGAGCGCCGACGCCGCGAGCCGCGCGTAGTACGGCACGATCACCCACGCCCGCCACGCCAGCAGCGCCGCCACGCACGCGTTCATGGCCGCCGGCACCGCGAAGATCTGCCGCTTGAACGCCCGCGGCTGCCCGTCCACGTGCGCCACGTACACGTGCGCCCGGTCCAGCGTCTCGACGAAGGGCCGCAGCACGTCCGGCGGCGGCTTGAAGGGCGCCGGCGCGTCGCTCGCGTCGTACCTTGGTGTCTTGTTCCTGGCCTTGGCGGCGGCCGCCTTGGGCGCACCGACTCTTTGCCTGGCCATGGCTCGCCTGTTTTTTTGTTTGTTCTTTTGCTTCCTTTTCTTTTCTGGGCCCCTCTCTTTTTTTTTTATAGTGTCCTTGTTGTTTTGGCAGCTGGGGAGGGTTGGCCGGCTACCAGTGAGAATGGGTCATAGGGGGACCTTAGTAGAATGCGTAGGGAAGATATACACAGATTCTTGGAAGGCGCCGACAAGGAGGTGAAAGTGACAGGCATTTAAATATGAGTAGGATTCGCTAAGGATTCAGGCGTTCAGGCCAACTCACGAAAGGGGGTGTGTGGCTGAAGCTACCCCTGAGAGCACCACTACCGAATACGTATTATGGCTTGAGCTTGTGTGGCTAGTGTACCTAATTCATTCACGCAGGTACCTACCTTCCAAGGTATCTGGTACCTGCTAGTTACTAATGAGACATCGAGGGGGCTTAAGTACCTGAATACCTGATAGGTAGGTACCCTACGTGGGGTTTGGTCGCAGAGGGTCAGCTAACATTCGGCCAGAGGACTGATAAGAAATTTTGCGGCGTTGCGATAAGGCGGCTTCCCTAGGTCATCCTGTTGTTGAACAATAAACCCACCAACTTGCCACTGCTGTATTCAACCCCCCCCCCCCCTCTAGAACACTCCGCAACCTCTCTCGCTTCAGATGTCCCCTTGCGATCTGAAGCCACTGTTACCATTATGCTGAGAGCGAGAGCCACAGGGGTGAGTTTTCCTACCCCTCCCTCCCTTCCTATCGCTCCCCCTACTGCGTCTAGATTCTTCTCTACTTGCGCCTCGCTAACTGGGGCGGTTTTGTACCCAGCGGGATACTTCGATATGCGCATTCTGTCAACGTCAACTCTCCCTGCGCCTCGCCTCACAGAGGAAGCGACCGTTTTCGAGCACGAGCAGCCTCTCGAACGATGATCACACACTACCGGGCGGCGGCAAGAAACCACCAGCATCTCCTCCTGACGATGGCTGGGGAAATTGGGGAGCTTCTTCTCTGCTGCCTGGCCTCGGGGCTAAGATCGTGCGGCCTCCGAATTCGGACAATTCGCTGGACCAGAATGAGAAGCGACAACGAGACCAACTAATTACGAAACCACGAACTACGCAACTCCCAGCTCCCAATCCCCCACCACAACCGGCCGCCCAGAACAATGGCCTCCGGGCTAGATACACATGGGATTGGGAAAAGCAGATGGAGATTGAAGCCAATCTAAGCCAGTCTCCTGAATATAGCTCTCGACCTTCGGGCACCTCCGGTCGCTTCTCTTTCTATCGAAGGCCACCGGGCATACCCCCACGTCCTCCGGTTTATGGGGGAACAGACTCTTCGCGGCAATTTAGACCTGATCCGTCTCTCATAGTCGAAAAGCCCTTCTATATTCGGCGAGTTGGGACTGGACTGTTCAACGAAAATACGAAATCAGAGGCGGGGCCGCCAGCCGGCAGCTCTACTCGTGAAAATGCTGTCTCGTGGAGGACCCCATACCCTACCAGCCAGGGGTCACTTCGCACGTCTCCGAGCGAAGTTTCCTCTGCCAATTCGAGTAGTGCCGCAGCTCGACCGCCGCCGTCACAAATCCCACCCCGGCGGCGGGAAAGCATGGCAGCGTGGCCGGCACGGGCGGGGTCGCAAAAGCCCCCGGCCCAGTCCCCGGGTTCGTGGGGCACCATGGCTTCGAGCCCCAGGACCACGCTACTCGGGGTGGACGATGCAAATAGGCCCGCAGTCGAAAAAGAGTTGCTAAGTGCGTTCGACCAATTGTTAACGAAACCATCTAATACAAGCAACGTTGCGTCCAACCTAGATGGCAACCCCTTGCCTAGAAACAGGTCGAACCTAGATAGCAACAATCCCTTGCCTAGCAACAGGTCGAACCTACATGGCAACCCCTTGCCTAGCAACAGGTCGAACCTAGGCCCATCGGCCAGTGACAGTCCTACGTATTCCCGTCACCCAGGCTTGGGCAACGATATCACACGTCAGGAGCCTGTAATTAATCCTCCCTTCAAGCTTTGGTCGACTCCGGCCGAAAGCATTAGCCAACAGGCGCCCAAGGGTAATTTATATTATAAGTCGCTGGCAGACTTGAGACGTGACGCCAATCGCCCAGCACGCGAAGATATACCGGACCATGGTAACGATAGCATGAACACCGCGGCACATGATCCTTCTTATCACCAATCTAGTCCGGCCAAAGAGGACATGAATCGCACGACTCAAGACGTGTGGGGGTTATCGGAGCCAATTCGCAAACCGGCCGAACCTCAGGGTCTTTCGCAGCGGCCTTTCTTCCCCACCCCGTTCTCCGGGGGAGATTCGGATTGGGGGCTTCTAGCCAAGAAGCAAGACCCCAGAAAAGCCAGCGGTGAGGATTTCTGGGCTACGATGTCTAATCATGCTCCCCCCGAGGCAGGAGAAACACAAGAAAAGCGGGAGAGTGACGAGCCTCCCTCTTCGGAACCGAGCCTCCAGGGTCAACAGATTACAGAGCTCGAGGGGCCGGGTAGCCAGGGGATAGAATCGCCCCAAAATGCTGAACAACAGGAAACAAACGACCTTCAGACTTCATCTGAAGAAAAAGGCCCCGCGCCGGAGCCAGCACCGATAGAGCTTTCTCCGGAGGAAATAGCTGCAATTGAAGAAAGACGTATACAACGAGAATTGAAGCGACGGGGTCGAGTCAAGCAGGTCGATGTTGAGGAACCTGAATACGAACCGGAAGAAGCTAGGAAAGGGAAGCGGAAGAGCCATTCACGGCGTAATACCAGGAGCCAATATGATGATGATGATGGAGAATTCGATTACGAAGAGTACGAAGAGAAACGTCGGGCCAAGAAACAGCGGAAGGCGGCGCAACGGGAGGCTCGGCGAGCCGCTCCAAAATCTATTATCTTACCCGAGCTGATCGGCATCACGGGCCTAGCTGATGCACTGAATGTGGAACGGAATGTGTTTTTGGCCCAGCTCGGAGAGCTAGGTTTCGAAGGGGTGACATTGGATAGCCTCATGCCCGAAGAGACGGCTGCGCTTGTCGCACAGGAGTACGGCTTCGAGCCGATAGTGGGAACGGAGTCGCGGCGCGATCTCAAGCCTCGCCCGCCGCCTGAGGATCCGTCAGTCCTCCCGCTCCGACCGCCGGTTGTGACAATTATGGGACACGTCGATCACGGCAAGACGACACTCCTCGATTATCTCCGCAAATCCTCCGTCGCCGCACAAGAGCATGGAGGCATCACGCAGCGAATTGGTGCTTTCTCCGTGAAGCTGTCTTCCGGTAAACCGATCACCTTCCTCGACACTCCGGGCCATGCTGCATTCCTTACCATGCGCCAACGAGGCGCCTACGTAACAGACATTGTCGTCTTGGTCGTGGCTGCAGACGACAGCGTTAAGCCGCAAACGATCGAGGCCATTAAGCACGCGCATAGTGCTAGGGTGCCAATCATCGTGGCTATCAACAAGATTGATAAGGATGGCGCCAGGATAGACCAAGTTAAATCTGATCTCGCGCGCGAGGGGGTCGAGATTGAAGAATACGGCGGCGACGTCCAGGTCGTATGCGTGAGCGGCAAGACGGGCCAAGGCATGGATGACCTGGAAGAGAGCATTCTTACTCTTTCCGAGATCCTCGACTACCGAGCTGAAGTGGATGGAGCCGCGGAAGGCTGGGTTCTCGAGAGCAGCCTCAAGCCGATAGGTAAGGCTGCTACCGTTCTCGTCAAACGGGGGACTCTGCGGCCGGGCGATTTTGTCGTGGCCGGTGTCGTCTATGCCAAAATCCGGCACCTTCGCAACGAAGCTGGCGCCATTATCAAAGAGGCGCCTCCCGGCACGCCGGTCGAGATCTCGGGGTGGAAGGAACTCCCCGCTGCAGGCGACGAGGTCATTCAAGCGTCCAACGAGGGCCGGGCTAAAGACGTGGTGGATTACCGTGCGGGTCTTCGCGACCTTCAGAAGGATGCCGCCGCCCACGAAATCATCACCGCTTCCCGCCAGGCCCTTCAAGAGAAGCGCGCTCGCGAGAAGGCGGCTGCTGAAGCGGAGGAGGATGGTGCCGATACGGAAGATAAGCCAGATAAGGAAGAAGAGAAGGAGCCTAGTACGAAGATAGTCAATTTCGTCGTAAAAGGCGATCTTCACGGCTCTGTGGAAGCCGTGTGTGCTGCAGTGCTCGAGATCGGAAACCAAGAGGTCCAAGCGCGAGTCCTTCGCTCGGCTACGGGTCCGATAACCGAGTTTGACGTCGAGCACGCCGCGACGTCTGACTCGGTCATCATTAACTTCGCTACAACAACGCCTGCGCAAGTTCAGCGCCTCGCGAAGGACAAGGGGGTCAAGATTTTGAACCACAATGTCATCTACCATCTTATCGACGATGTCAAGCTGATCATGAGCCAGTACCTGGCACCCAGTATCACCAGCCGCGCTCTAGGCGAGGCCGAGGTCCTACAGATCTTCCCCATCAACACCCATGGCCGAAGGTACAAGAACGTGGCCGGCTGTAGGGTGAGGGACGGCACGCTGTCAAAGAATGACCTCTACCGCGTCGTTAGAAAGGGGCAGACGGTGCACACTGGTAAGGATTCCCGTCGCCTATTTCTCTCCTCTGCCCCCTTTCTTTGCTTTCCTCCCCTCCTTCCCCCTTTCGCTTGCAACTTTGTTAACAATGCTGGATATAGGTAAAATCGAGACGCTCAAGCACGTGAAAGATGACATAACGGAGGCGCGTAGCGGTTCCGAGTGCGGTGTCGGCTTCCAGGACTTCCAAGACTTCGAGGTCGGCGACACGATCCAAGCTTACGAGGAGATCAAGACGGAGCGGAGTTTATAGACGTATACCTTGCCATGATTGCTGATTGCGCAGTTACCGGCCCGGCGGGGGCGATATGGGAGGGAGGCCGGGGGGGGGGGGGGGTTGAGGAGATCCCACGGCGATCTCTTCCTTGTATTATATGTGATGTATAGTGTATATATATGCGCGTGTACAAGGCGTAGACCGGGGAGAGACGGCGACGTGGATCGGGTCAGATAGTATCTGCATGCAGGTGGGCGACAGGTGTATGGGTTGGCAGCATTTCGTCTCCCTCCGTCCGACCAAAACGGACAAGAGAGAGAGAGAGAGAGAGAGAGAGAGAGAGAGAGAGAAGGGTGTGATCTACCGGGTGAGCCTCCTTGTACATAACCCCTCCCGCTTATCGCCTACTATCCCACCCCCAAGGCTAGAAACATTCCCGAGGCTTGCACGCCTTCTGTATGACGACAGCATGTAGAAGAAGCCGGATCTCTGTTTGGGACTCGCTCAGTGTCCGTCTCCGACCCGTGCTTCTTGTTACGGCCCGCAAAGTGCGCCCATCTAACCTACATTTATCACTTTCTCCCAGGCTGCGAAGCGGCGGGAAAAAGACACTAGCAGTATAGCAAGACGGAAGGGATTCACCGAAAAAAAAGAAGCCAAAAGAATCCTTCTAGAACCGATTCTTCTCTCTTCGTGGCTTTGCAGGTAAGTCTGTCTTTTTGGGGGAGGGGGAGGGGCCCGCTCTAGGCTTCTTCTTACACACCGACGTCGGACACCGCCAGCGCTCTGGACCGCTCCGCCCGATCCGTCGTCATCAACAAGTACCGATTAATGTGGCCTCTCTCTCTCTCTCGGTGTCTGTCTCCCACCTCTGATGCTCGAAATTCTCTCGCGTGGTGGTGGTGCTGCTGGGTTGATTTTCGCCGTCCTCCCTCCGGCTTCTACTAGTCTACTTCCTCCTTCTCTCCGCCACCCCTTTCCCGCTCGATTAATCCGTCGACCGGGCTGTTCGGGTTATACGGCCCGGGTCGAGAGAGGAAAAAAAATGATAAACTTGCATTCCTCCTCTCCCCTCCCCTCCTCTCCTCTCCTCTCCTCTCCTCTCCTCTCCTCTCCTCTCCTCTCCTCTCCTCTCCTCTCCTCTCCTCTCCTCTCCTCTCCTCTCCTCTCCTCTCCTCTCCTCTCCTCTCCTCTCCTCTCCTCTCCTCCGGATCGCAGCCCGTAACAACAACACCTACCTACCGCCCCTTTTCTTTTCCAACCCTCCGCCTATCCCCCACCCCCACTCTCTCTCCTTCGAGCCTTATGCCACGCCAAACTCGGGTATCTCGCCCATCTCGGTCTTCGGCTCGGCGCCGAGCGTGTACCCGACGCGCCACCGCAGCTTGATGTTGTCGACCCGGCGCGCGCGGTCCCCGGCGTGGAACACCTCGACCGACTGGGTCACGCCCGCCCTCTGGTTCGGCTGCAGCGATCGCCCCGTCTGGGGCTGTAGTTGCAATTCGAAGCCCTAGAAAAGAAATTTTCCATGTCAGTGAGGTTGTTCATGATGGGTAGGGAGAGGAACAGGGGGCATGGAGTCGGAGGGGAGTTGTATAGCGTGACAGGGATGGTTATTAGGAAAAGGGTGTGTGTGAATGTTCAGTGAGGTATTCTCAGCGCTTACCTTGGTAACGGCTAGTTGGAAGTGGAGCTCGCTTATAGGTGCTGCCGTGGCGTTGGAGAAGCTGAATACTAACGAGAGGGTGCTGGGCGTCGAGGACCTCGCCGCGTGGAGGGCGATCTGTAAAGGGCCGTCCTTGACTATCGCCCTATGCTCTCTGGGCAAGGACGGCTCGGGAGGCAGTGCCGAAGAAAAAGACCATTCGTCGTCGTCGTTAGGCGCGGACGGCGCCGCGGGCTTGGGGGTAGCCGGTTTGGATGCGAACTGGGGAGAGGCGAGGGCCGCGAACGGATCGCTAGCGGGGGCCGCCATTTGCGACGACGGCCTGGAGAAGGACGATTGCTGGCTCAGACCCAGCTGTGGAGTATTCGATTGGGATCCCCCCGAAGGCGATATAAATCCCGAAAAGGGCGAGAACGCCGGAGGGCTCGGGCCGGATATAGCACCTTTCGCAGTGCTGCTTTGGGTAATCGACGATAGTAATGCGGGCCCGGGCACATCTGTAAGGGCGTGAGTTAGTCCAAGAAGTCCTTAAGGTTGTACGGGAAGGAAAGAAAAGAAAAGAAAAAGGAATAGGGCGTGGACGTACTTTGATTTGCCCCGAAGCCAAGGGAGATCCCGCCACCCTGGCCAAAACTACTACTGCTGTCCCCCAAGGAAAGGCCGAGCAGATCGTTCTCGAGGTCGCCGGGGTGCGAGCCCGACGCGCCGTTGTTGTTACTGGAGCCGTTAGCTGCGGCATCCGCATCGAAGTCGATTAGCGACAGCTCGTTGGCGGCCGACGTCGACTTGCCGGCTGTCGCTGAGGAGGGGGGGAGGGGCGCGCCCTGCGCGATCCTGTTGGCCCCTTCTATGTCGCCCTTCTTGAGCAGTTTCCACCGCTCAACCGTGCGATGTATGCTGTCGTTGATTTCTAACAGCTTCGCCACGGCCTCGTGGTCGTCGGATTCCTCCTCGCACATCTTCTGAATCTTGGGCTGTGCGCTCTGCAGGGAGGAGGCTAGTTCTTCAAACACATCACCATCCTTCATACTGTCTCCCGGGTGGAAAGCAGCTAATCTCTCCTCGAGCAGCCGCGCCTTGGCTTGGATCTTGCCGACGTCCTCGGCGGCCTTGGCCCGGTAGTCCGTCTTGGATCTCGTATCGTAGCCGGCCATGATCTTCATGAGCCGGTTTGCTTCCTGCAGATCGCCTGGCGTACCTCGCCGGATCAACTCTTGAAGTTTGGCGGACTGCGCTTCGCGCTCTTCCTCTTCCATCTCCTCTGCCGATTTCAGATTCTACCAACGTTAGCGGGCCTGCCGAACGGATGACGCACGCCGATTCCGCCACACTCGGGCTCGACTCGACTCACATCACTCGGATTCAGAACAGCGGCATCGTCCCGCCGGACCTCGGGAAACTGGTATCCTTTATGACTCAGCAGCCGATGCATATCCCGGATGAAGCCTAGATCTTCCTTATACCGGCTTGTCTCGCAGATGGTACTCCTCCATTCCTCGATGGCCTCGAGAACCTTAGACTGGACCTTGTTATAGCGAAGAGGAGGCCTCTCGGGAAAGCGCCTGACGAGCTCGTTTAGGAACTCCTTGGTGCTGATCTGAAGATGGAAAGGGTACCCGCAGTTCTTGACACATATATCTAACAGGTTGAGGGCGAGCAGGCTAACGTTGGGATTGCGGGAGTTGATATAATTAACGATGGCGACGGCGGCTTCGCGGGGCGCGGAGCCTTTCTTGCTGTTGATAAGATCGGTGATTTCGAGACTCAAGGCGAGGTTCGGCTCGTAGTTTTCGGGGCTGCAGGCGCTAGCGATGAACCGCTGAAGTTGGGACGGCCGCGCGTAGCTCGTCTCGTTCCAGCGATCCCGGGCCGCCGCTCGAGCGGAGGCGGCCTCCATCGTGAAGAGGGGCGAGGGGAGGGGATCGTATATGCGGAGCGTACCCTGAGGCGGTTTGTCGCGAGCGAGAAGTGGCTTCAGGTGGAATTGCGCCCGGCGGAATGCGCTACGTCCTTAATTCGCCCATAGACATGGAGCCATACGGAGTTGAGCCGGTAGCTGTATCGTACCGCGGCGTGGGCCGAGGGTTGGTGATGGCAGGAATAGTAGTAACGGTGGTGGTGACGCTGGGAAGGGATTTAGAGGTTCGCTGCTCTGCGGTACCTCACATAGATCTGGCCACGGCTGCTTGTGCCTGGAGACGTGTTAGGTAATAAGTATCCCTGTAGGCTTGGGGGAGAGGGGGGGGAGCCTCTAACGGGAGGAGAGGAGGTACATGACAGGTGGAGAGGCACGGCGGGAGAGCGACAAGTAACGGGAAGAACACGGAACCGACACTCACCTCTCTGAACCAGTAGAGTTGACCTCAAGAAGCCATCTCACCTGGGCTTTACCTCGTAGGCTGTGTAGGCAGTGAAGTGCACAGGAAAGAGGTGGCAGATGCGTGGTGGAAGAAGCCGACAGAACCACGAAATTGGCCGCGGAGCCGACGGGCCAAAGTACCCGGGTACTTCGAGCTGGAGTAGGGGGTGCCTTGTATAGACGCCAATCACGCCTGTCCGCGGGGAGCGTCTCGATGGGGCGAACGAGTGGCTGCGACGGATTACCTAAGTCTACAGAGCGCAAATGCGGGTACTGGGTACCTCATATAGGTACCTGTATATACCTTAAGAGGTACATACATATATGCAGATTGCCCATACTCTCCCGTAACAGGGTTCCATCCAGCCATGTACCTACCTAGGTACACACGATGACAATCCCACTCTGCTGCCCCACGTGGAGCGCCAGCCCACCATCTTCTTCCTCTCTTTGCCTCGCCGCCCAGACAGGCACCTAGTCTCTTTCTCCGACTCCCTCAGCACTTGGCCTCTCGTAGGATCTGCCTACGGCTGCGCGTGGCTAACCGACTCGATCCGACATGGTCCGCCACAAGAAAGACAAGTTTTCGAGGGGTGGGAAGGGCCATGGCAACCCCCGGCCTCGTCCGCGCCCCGCCGATGACGACGATCCCGAACACGCGCCTTCGTCTAGGCCCGCTTTCAAGGCTGCCTGCTGGGACCTGAACCACTGCGACCCCAAGCGATGCTCCGGAAAGAAGCTCGTGAGGCTCGGCCTCATGCGCGACCTTCACCTCGGTCAGAGGCACAACGGTGTCGTCATCACGCCCAATGGGAAACGCAAGCTCTCCCCGGCCGACAGCGAGTTGGTGGAACAATATGGCGCCGCTGTCGTCGAGTGCTCCTGGGCTCGGACGGGGGAGGTCCAATGGAATAAGGTGGGAGGGAAATGCGAGCGACTGCTCCCCTACTTGGTCGCCGCGAACACAGTTAATTACGGCAAGCCGCTGCGACTGAATTGCGCCGAAGCTTTGGCTGCTGCCTTCTACATATGCGGACATCCTGACTGGGCTGAAGACGTCATGCGGCCGTTCAACTACGGCGAGTCGTTCATAGAGATCAACTCGAAGTTGCTGAAAAAATATGCAGCCTGTGCGGACGAAGACGCCGTGATAAAAACAGAAAAGGAGTGGTTGGAGCGGCTGGAGCGAGAGCACGCCGAAAGCAGGGAGAACGCCGATGATGACGACTTATGGAAAGGAGGCAATGTCAACCGTAGGGCGGTTATCGACTCCGATGACGAAGAGGATGGCAGCGACGGGGACGAAGACGAGAGTGGGAATAAGGAAGAAGATGGCGATGACGATGACGACACCGATGGGATTTATCTTGGCAAGAAGCCAACGCAGTGGCCCAAACCGGGAGAAGACGTGAAAGATGAGGAAAAGGAAGGCCACGATAAAGACTCATTAGATGTTTCGGAGGACGGTGACAACGATGCCGAGATGGAGGAGATACGGCGCAAGATACTGGCGTCGAAGCCGTTTGCCCACTCGGACGATGCTGACCGCAAGCCGAAGGCGCAGACAATACCTCTTCCCCAATCACAACGGTATAAAGTGGATTCAGATATAGAACCGGATTCCGACAACAGAAACAGCGGGGACGACGACGACGACGACGATGACTTTGACAACATTATCGACGCTACCCCCATTACGGACAGGATAGGGCTAGCGAGGCTCGAGAAGGAGAGGTCGCAAGCGCACGTTATAAGTCGAACGTTCACCTCTGGTGGCACGTCAGCACCCAAGAGGTGGTGACAGATGGCATCCACAATGCTCGAAGTCTCTACCCCGATCAACACCTACATGACGCAAGTACAATTCATGTAGACACATGCACCTCTTGTTTAGAGATGGAGAGTCAGAAAGCTTCCTGCGTGACACTATATAAATTCCTATCCTAGGGAGGCGCCGGCGTCCGGAGGTTTCCCGGGACACATCGGTATGCCATTGGTCCTACGGTAGTCTTAGGTAGGTCTCGTTGAGGAGCGATCGCATTCCTACATGCTGAAACAGTCTACGAACTCGGCGTAGAGAGGTGCTAATAGGTGACTCCGAGAAGTCAATTGTCGGAAATTAGTGTATTAAACTTCATGTTTGTGCACGCTTCATGCCGTCGTTAAGCCAACCTCCCTTTTCTCGAAACGCAATACAACATGGTAAGCCAACGGCAAACTAGATACCCATCAAATTAAGCGCCCACGAGCTCGCGAGATGGCAGAGATCATCCGTACGGACCCAGTAATCAGTAGAAGTACCTATACGATCCTGTTGAAGCTCTCGAAGAGCTTGATGATTTCTTCCGCGAACACCTCCGCGTCTCCGGGATACCGGGCGCTGATGTAATTATAGTGCTCGTCCTCAACGGTGAAGCTGGAAGCGGGATGGTAAGTGCGCTGCGCAGAGTGCCCGTACGCCATGCATTGGGCTTGATGATTGAGGAAAAAAAAAACAATGCGCCTGTGACTTACGGGCCGGGGTTGAGGCTGGCCTTGAACTGAGATGGGTCGGCGAGGACCTTTTTTATCTGCATGAAACCGATTTTGTCAGAGGGGCAACACAGATGATCCACCCACCCATAGCCTAGCGATAGGCTCTCTTACCGCAGTCTCGACGTCGTCGCTTCCGTGGCCGTAGGTCTTGTAGTAGTCTCCGAGCACGGCACGGGTGCTCCAATACGCGGCCTGCTCGAACTTGGCCGGCAGCGCGGTGGTGACGCAGTCACGCAGGACACTGCGGCCGGCCGCGTCCTTGGACTCGGACAGGGCCATGACGCCGTGGCACACGGCGGCGACGACCTTGCGGCTCGGCTTGCGGGTCTGGGGGAAGTAGTCGAGGACGAGGGCGTGCACGACGGGCGAGTCGATGAGCTGGCGCACGGCCTTGTCGTGGCCGCCGGGGAAGAGGACGAGGTCGAAGGGGGCGAAGGCGAAACCCGGAGCGGACCAGGACAGCGGGTGGCGCATCTCGTCGCTCACGGCCATCTTCTTGTACAGGGAGACGACCTCCTTCTTGGCGCCCTGCTCTAGCTGTTAGGAACCGCGTCGGTGTCTCCCGCGCACGCTGCGGCGGCGAGCCCGTCCGTCCCGTCATGGCGCGCGTACGAGCAGCTTCTGCGTGAACCCCTCCAGCATCCTCTTGTCGCAGCGCGGCGGGCGCCCCGTCTCGGTGGCGAACTTGACGTCGTAGCCAGCGTTCTTGAACGCGGTGTAGGGGACGGCGGTTTCTGCAGCGTGGCCGGGCGGCTCAGGTTAGATTCTTCGCTGCGGGTGCTGGAGCTGGTCGTGGGATCGGGAAGGGGAACGTCTCCCTAGGTATTATTACCTGTGGGGTCGTGGCCGTAGTCGGCCATCACGATGAGGACCTTGGGCGTAGAGGTGGCAACGCCGGTGGAGGTGATCTGCGGGTCCTCCATCGTTGTGTGTAGGTGCAATTCGACGTCGTCGTGGGTGTTTCAGGCGAACGTTGATGACGAAGGGATGGTAGAGATGGCGATAGCGAAGAGGCTGCGAGAGTGTGAAGGATGGCTGTTCCCGACGGCCTCCCTGGACTGAACCAGACAGGCCCTGTAGGTACGTAACCACCTGCTGGGTTGGGCAGGCCGAGTCGGCGATCGGCAACGCGGCTAGATTACGTAGCTCCCGAAGCACCACAGAAGTTCAGCACCTGAGGTACCTATAAGGTACCCTCTGATGTGCCACCAACAGCCGACGAGCCGTGCTCAGCTCAACGGCTGTTATTGTGAAACACCCATCCACCAATTTAAAACTACCCGACAGCCCCCCAACCACCCCTACGATTGGTTAGCTCACAGGCAGGTTAGGCACCTTGTAGTGAGTGATCTCGTAGGTACCTAAGTAAGTGTAGGTACCATTGAAAGTGATTAGGTACCTAGCATGCACTAAATTAGGTACCTCTAGGTAGGGGACACACGCTACCTACTGCCCACTACGTTAGGTGGAAGTATGAGAAATACAAGAAACAAGCATTTCGTGGCTGTCCGTCTCCTCGTGAACAGAAGACGACGAATGCTTGCCCGTCCGCTGCCCTCGCTGCAACCTACCAACATGTGCTGGCCCTGGTAGAGAGGCACGGGTCGGGAAGATCACAAGTAGGGGACAGTGCCGGTATGAGTACACATCACGGGCAGAACTTCACATGCGAATATGCTAGTAACCGGACGGAGACGGATGAGAGGCACTGCTGGCCAGGGTACGTAGGTGCCAGACGTGCTCGTTAGGTATCATCACCCACCTCAAGTAGGCAACTTCTCCTCCACTCACCCATCCCCCTCTCTTCCTCCCGCAACCCTCGAGAGCCTCTCCCAGCACCCAGAGAGAGTATACCTACCCACTCCCGTAACTCGCATATCCATACCTCTCCCGTCTGGTCTCATCTTGTCTCGTCCGGCCTCGACAATGCAGACCTAGGTAGGTATATAATATGCCTTCCCCCTAGACATCCCCTACCGGCGTCCAATCACCGTTTCAGCAACGCCGATGCCAGCTCAGATGACCGCAACGCAACGTGATCCGCTCGCTCCTCACATTCTCCCGCGCCCGGCCGCCTATTGGTCGCAGCCGGCCCAGTTCCAAGTCGCCAAGGGGCAAAGCATCTCAGCCCTGTCCGGGACGTTATCCAACCACGATGCTACCGTCCAGCTACCGTACGGCTGGCTGGGTAGCTGCCTCCTTGCCGTCTGAGCCGGGGACGACACCTGGAGTGGCCACTTCGCACACCCTCAGCCTACTTGCAATGCTGCCGCTTTGGGCACATGTCTCTCCTACGCTGCCTAGTCGGGAGCTTCAGCTACACTCTTTGGCGTAGACGTGCGAAATAAAAGGTCCCCTTTCCGCCTCCGGTCTCGTGTCTCTCTTCTTCTTCGACTATGATAATATTTGCCTATTACGGCACCACCGCCGTCGCTATGGTTGCCGGCATCCTGTCGCTCTCGCGCATATTCACCCGCCGCGATGGCGCCCGCTCGGCCGACGCTCGGGACCGCACCGAATTCTTCGGCTCCCAGGTCGGCGACGAGTCTGTCATCAACTACTGCTACACCGACATGCCCTGGAAGCTCATGGCCTGGGATATGAGGTACTTCTTCACCTTCGTCTGGTTTCTGCCCTGGATCGTCTGGCCGCTTCGCCCCTGCGACGGTGGCCATTTTGACGAACTCTCGCTCAGCGGGAAGAACATACTGTGCATGGCCGTCCACGCCATCCTCTTCGTCCTTCAGTCGATTTTCATCCTAACCCTGCCCCTCGCTTTCCTCTTCCCCGTCTGGGTGGTTGTGTTCGGCACGGCCGTCTTCTTCTCCGTAAACTGGTTGTTGTGTCTCCTGCTGAACGGGAACACCATCACTTTCACCTCGGACCCGAAATATGCGCCTGCCCTAGAGGAGCATGCGGGCGAGCAGTGGATATTCCTGAATGGTGTTGCCGTTGGGTGTGTGGCCCCGTGATGAGATTTTACCACGCAACGTACCAAGCCGTACTAACCTACGACGTAGGGAGACCTGGCTCAGGAGCAATATCAATCGGCTGGCGCTCACTTTCAAGAGGCCAGTGATCGGTGTTCATAACCGCACTACCGGCATCATATTCGATGTTGTCGAGTGTCTCGTCCAACGCAATTTTGGATATGCCACGAGCGACGTTCGCGCGGCGTACAAGATCGTCAAGGAAAAGCTATACAACCCTCAGTACACCAAGGTGGTGTTCATTCTGCACTCCCAGGGCGGGATCGAAGGTGGCTTGGTTCTCGACTGGCTCTTGCAAGAGCTACCGCACAATCTCCTAGCCAAGCTCGAGGTCTACACCTTCGGGAACGCATCCAACCATTTTAACAATCCGCACCGAGATCTCGGCTCCTACCACACGGAAAGGGACCATGCTAGGATGGGCACCCAACTCGGTGCTACAATTATGGAAGTTCCGCTTACTCACTCGCCAAGTGAGACCCGGCCGCCGTCGTTGAAGAGGCAGCGCTCAAGTGCTAGCACTTATTCGTCTTTCGAGGCAGACGGACACTTTGCGACCCTGACCAACGGGATAAGTAAACGCGCGACGTATTACACCGCTCAAGCATCCGAGCGTGCGCTTGCGCACGTCGAGCATTACGCCCACACGACCGATTTTGTTGCTTTGTGGGGAATTTTGCATTTCGTAACAAACGAGCGGGCATCCCCGGAAATGCCTCGCTACATCGGCCGCGTGTTCAGTCGGACTTCGTCACGCGGTGGACATCAGTTTTGTCAACATTATCTTAATGGCATGTTTCCGCTCGAGCGGGATTCCAAGGGAGAATTCGTCGGCTGCGCCGAGAGTAATGACTTCATGGACAGCGTTATAGAGGTGGCTGAAAAAGGCTCGGCCAAGGGCGCCCTCCGCGAGAGGTTCGAATATAGCTGGTCGATGCTTGAGATCGCTGCGCGACAAGGAAGCGACGTCAATGACCCCGTGGAAATTCACGGAAGCATATACGAAGGGAAGGTCGGGATCAACAGCGGAAAGGTGAGAGTCAAGGACTTGAGCCGGTTGTGGCAGTATAGGAACGGGAGGAGCCCGCCGGATGTGCCAAAGGAACCTTGGAGAAGAATAACGCTGCATTAATACGGTGGGACTTGCGATATACCTAGCCCTTCACGAATCATGGAGATGCCACTAGATGGCTACGTATCATATACAAAGCTATCAGTCTCCTGTTCCACGGACCTTCTCAATACCAAAAAGCGACTTTTACCTAGTTAGAATCAAAAGAGGCTGGGGGCAGGAGACCGTGGGTTTCCACGTGCTATCCCAGACCACTATCACGCATACTTGATCTTAAAGACCCAACAGAATTCATCCTTATCCAGCAGTGCGTCCGAGACCCCGATTCTCAGTACTGCCTGGGCGCCTTGACCGGTGACCCTCCACCCCAAGTCCTGGCCGCCTTCGACAGTAAGAAGGCTCACGAGGTCGCCATCTAACGCTGGAACTGGCGCTGCGATATCGACTGCCCCGTCTCGCACCACCGGCCGGTCTAGAAAAAGGACATAAAACGCCCCGTCCGTCTGCGTAAACCGCACATTCGGCTCCTCAACCCCGGCCGTCTGACTCTGAACGAACCAGTAGGTTGTGTTGTAGATAGCCTCACCGTGGGCGCGGATCCAGCGGCCGGCCTCGCGCAGGTTATTAGCTTCCGCCTCGACGATGGAGCCGTCGGCGCGTGGCCCGATGTCTAGTAGGAGATTGCCGTTCTTGGCGACGACGTCGACGAGCGTGTGGATGACCTCGCGCGCGCTCATGTAGGCCTCGTCGGGCGTCGCGCGGTTGTACCCGTAGCTGTAGGGGTCCATACCGCGGTTCGCTTCCCATTTGCGGCGTTGGGCCGCCGACGCGGGCGCCGCTGCATACTCGGGGGTGTCGAAGTCTGCCGCCGCCGCGAGCCCGCATCGCGAGTTGAGGGCGACCTGTCGGCGCTGGGCGCGCGTCGCGTTCCACCATGCGGCGGCAAACCGCGCTGTGACGTTCGCCGCGCCACAGTCGCACCACATGATGTCGGTGCCGTACGCATAGGCAAGGGTCTCCATCTGCGGCTGCATCACGTCGGCGAGGAAGTCCCCCGAGGCGGCCGGCACGTGGCCGACGTACGGCTCCTCGGCACCTGTGTACGGGTTCCGCGCCGGCACGCCCGGCCAGCTGACCGTTCCCGGCACGGCGGCCGCGTCGAACTGGTCGAAGCCATACGGCCCGAAGTCCGGGTTGAACCACTCGGGCAGCGAGAAGTAGGTACCGCGGCGGAGGGCGGGTTGGTGTGCCGCGGAGGCGGCGAAGAGCTCGCCGAGGAGGTCGCGCCGCGGGCCGTGGAGCAGCGCCGTGCGATTGCTGCTCGCGCCCGCGTCAAACAGCGCGAAGCCGTCGTGGTGCTTCGCCGTCAGCACGAAGTACGTCGCTCCCGCGTCCGCAATCAGGTCGACCCAGGCCCGCGCGTCGAAGGCCGAGGCTGTGAAGTCTACAAAGGTGTCGTCGTACGCCCAGTCCGGCCCGTACGTGCGCAGCCGGTAGTCGAAGAAGCCTGATCGGTCCGCTTGTGGGTGATGCGTCGAGTACCACCTAGACATATCCTGAGTCAATGTCGATATACAAGGCCGTCGCGCCAGGGCGCCGCGCGCATTCATTATGGAGTATACGCACCAGAACCATTCGGCATAACTTTCGTGTGGTGACGAGTTCCCCCAGCCCGTGACTGAGTAGGGTCCCCAGTGGATGAATATCCCGAACTTGGCACCGTTGAACCACTCCGGGCTCTCGTGCCGCGCTAGGCTATCGAGATCTTCCGTCCAATCTATTAGCCCAAACTGCGTATTCTCAAAGCTGACCGACTGCTGGTCGACACCGTCGTCGAATACCACCGAAGCGTTGACTAGATGGTTGTGGGACACCTCGACCCCGACGGTCACGATCTTCTGGTCGCCTGGACACAGACGCTTCAGATGTCCTTTGTTGGCTGTCTGAAGCCCTAGTCCTAAGATGGACAGAACTAGGCCGTCCCCCGCTACGCATTCTGATCCCGCGTTGTTGACCGTGATCTCGACGGCCTGTGCGCCGCCGTCAAGCCACTTCTGCGTCGGGCGGATCGACTGTACGCTTACTGCCGCGCCAGCCCACAAGGAGATGGCGAACACATGTAACCTGCCGCCTTCGGGGCTCGATAACTCCGGTAGCGTGATGGCCCGCAGCTCCTTGCCGGGGCTCAGGGGTGCGGTGCGCTCAAAGATGTGACTCGTGTTGCGGTTGACGCCGGTGGCGGTAAAGCGACTCGGGAACATCAGCTCCCCGCGGTTTACAGTCAGGAAGCTGAACCAGCCGAGGGAGCGGAGTTCGTACGACGATGTGCCACCGTCGGCATAGGCGAATGACACGTTACCAGACAGCGTCGCGAGCTCAGAGTCTCCAGAGATCAGGAACGAGGCCGAAAAGTACGACCCCCCCGGCACGGTCACAGTCTGCCCGTCGCATATAACATTGTCGGGCGCAGCCGGTCCGGCGTACCCGGGGAACGAGTACAAGGTGCTCGTGTCGCCGGAGGTATAGTAGGGCGTTTCGAGCTCCGGCACCGGATACGACTGCCCGATCGTATCGAAGGACGCCTCTCCCGGATACGTACCAAACGCTTTGTTATTATAGAACGGCGACAGATCCAGCGGGACTGACTTCAGCAGCGTCAGCTCTCCGTACCAGCACCTAGATCAACTGCTCCAATATGTCCGCGCTCTTCTTACCTTCGCCTTCGATATTCCGAGGATTTGCGGCCCAGCGTTCGACGCCCCCGCAAGCGCCGCCACGTAGCAGGGCAGGCCCGCGAGAATCCTACCCAGCGTGCCGAGAGCCATTGTCCTTCCCCGCTTCAGCTCAGATGAGAGTAGGCTGCCGGGACGCTCAGTCCGCTCTCCTGCTGCCTCCTGACGTGATAATTGGTAAGCCGCTGCGTAGGAGCGGGCGAGCGAGCGCGAGTACACAGAACGTCATTTGGGAAGAGATGAAACTGGCAAGGGCTGCACTGCATGCCTCCTCGTAGCCGGGCCTCAGGTCCGCGGCCGCCCTGGCTCGCCCGATTGCCATCCCAGCGTCGCATCCCGGCAGTTTTAGGCAGGTCCCGAGATCTGCGCCCGAGAGGTCTGGTCTCGTTTTGGTGAGGGGAGGGAAGGCAATGTTTACACGGAATCATCCCGGGGTGTATTCCTTGGGAACCTGCTGCTGCTAGAGTTCCGGCGAATCGAAAGCTCGCGAGACGCGATAAAAGGGGGGGGGCCAGCAGGGGGGAGTTGGTCGCTCATTCGAGGTGTCTTCAGTTCTGGCTAGGGCGGCAACCCCACGTTACATCACATGCTGTTGTCACGATGGTCCGAGGTCTTGCAAGATAGCTGGTATAGTTTTTATCTATGACACCTTTCCAGTTCCAAGGGTGCTGCCTCTATACCGAGCGCACACGATGATAGCCCCGGGTTCAAGGCTGGGGGGGATGGTTAGTACAAAAACCTAAGGATAATAGTAACGGGCCGTTTCATAAATTCTGTAAACAAGACATCTTCTCGTATTTCTGTCGCAGTAGACGCTGAGGGGAATCGACAACATGCGTCTTTCTCTGGTAGAATTTCGAAGCTAAGATATAAACGATCGAACTATACGTTCGTATCTCCCTATGCGTCAATTTCTTCAAGATATATCGTGTAACAGTTTTCTATGGGTAATTGCTCTAACAGAACAACAAGCGACTTATCCAGAAACCCAGGATTTCACCAAGGAGATAACAAAGAATGATAAGGCTGCGGGAAAGCATGGATCCTGGTCAGTTTGTTTTAACCCTATGCCTTAACTAGGTGTAGTAGGAGATGTTCGAGTAGCTACTTTTTTATGACATGGCCTTTAGGCAAGTCTGAGGAGTCCATCGCCGATAGTCGACGCTCACGGCGCCACCTTCGTCGCCATGTTTGAAGTATTACTGCATTATCATATAAACGTAACCAGACCGACTCTGGCCAAGTGACAGCTCCGAGGCCATCCGCAACCAAGACGGCTCTCGAGCGTCCGAGGGCAGAACCTGCGCCGACCAACTCGTGAGGGTCAAGGCCATTCTTGGCAATATCGATTACTCACCGTCCGAATCAAGGACCCAAGAACCGAATCCAGTATATCAAACCCCGAAATACCTTGAGACACTGCCCACTAGGAACGCAGGTTTATTCCGTGGGCTGAGCATCTAGGATGACGCAACATATCGGTCCTAAGGACAGGGAAGAAAAGAAAAGAAGATTCCTTCCGATTCACCAGAAACCCCCTTGGCTGGTGCCCAAGGAACTCCAAGAATTCCGAGATGATTAGGCCACCAACTTCGATGGGTAGAGTCGGCTCCTCGGGTCATACGTGGCCTCGAACGGCTCCGAACAGGTTCCCGTCTATCTTGCTTGGCAGTCTTTCGTCGATATTTACAAACTCGTTAGCCGAATGTAGGTTCATGACTGCTATGTGTCGAGCCTATGAGCTGTTCTAGTAGGCTGTAGATACAGGGCTATTTAATGAGAAGCTCTGTTACCTCCAAGTACCCCCGATGATTTGGAATTCGTTTCCTTCGTTATATAACACCCCTGAGCGTGTCCCCTTCGGCAGAGCTAACCGATTCACGACGAGGTAACTCGCCGGCAGAAGACCTGGTGTCTCAATCAGCCGCAGCACCAATACCGCGGCATCGCTGGCTATGCCGTTGGGCTATCAGCCACACTCGCGTCCAGGGTACTATCACGAGGTATCGGCAGCCGTGTCATGGCAGCCTACGGCGGACTCGTAAGAGATCCAGGGATGTATTAACTGCTGACTGGCATCTCGACCCTGGCGAATCAGATAACCGGCGGCCTTTGATTCCTCCCCTGGTGACGACATTATCCTAGGTGTGTCGATTAAAGGCGCGGTATGCCATGCCGGCCCAGCACCTATACCATGCCTTGGCGCCGCTTCCTCCTCTCTACATTAGAGCCGAGATTTGGGCCGGATATAGTGAAGAGTGGGCAATTTCTTCAGCACCCTGGCAACCCCGTACGCGCTTTCGAGGATAGGGCAATCAACCCACGTTGCCGTCGAGGGTAGGCCGATGGTGGCGTGGAGAAGACCACCTGTGGTCCCAACTGTGGAACTCGGGGATGAGACTGCCGGACTCGCAAGAAGGATGACATTTCCGGGTAACGAAGATTCTCGATTCCCGAGAGAACCTTTCACGGCACACAGACGAGGCGATCTTGACGATCCTGCTCTGTGATAGAACCCGAGCCGACCCAACGACACATGTTGTAAGCACACACGGTAAACGGCGGCAAAGATCATAAGCACCTCCATTTCAAGCTTGCTAAGACCCCCCTGTTTACGAAAGAGATAGATGCGGCTTGTTGTGACTCTGCCATATATCGCGGTTCTATAATTGGAAGGTATAAATAACCGGGTAAATGCGATACAGCCAGAAGGGATTGGAAGCAGGCCCAAGAATCAATAAACACTCGGAGCGATGGTAGTCCTTTGACCCCAATGTGGAAGTCAAGTCAATCAAGCCGCAATCTGCCTTTAACCAATCAGTCTGGAATGCCCGAGAGAAGGACGTCTTCGAAAGGTTTCTTCGGGTTCGGCAGTTCGTGGACGCTGGACCGCGGCGGCGCCCTCTCGCGAATAATACAAGTACGATAGGTATCACGAGCATCTCCAGAGTTCAGCTCCTGGGATCCTATTTCTGCAACAGTGCCTCCCACAACCTCGGCCAGAAAGCTATCGTCGGTCGTCCAGCTTCTTCTCTACTCCCCCCCCCTCCCCAAACTCATAGCCTATCCGATCGAACTCCAAAGGTCAAGAGTCTAGTCACCATGCAGCTGACTTCCATCGCTGCCGTCGCGCTTCTGGCGCAGAATGCCGCCGCCCAGTTCGGCAACACCATGCTGCGGTTCGCCTGCTCCCAGCTGGTTGTCGATCGTATCGACCCTCTCGTCAACCCGGGCATGAAGTACACTCCCCACCTTCACCAGCTGGTCGGAGGCAACTCGCTCAACGTCTCCATGGACATTGAGAAGCACGACTTGGCCTCGTCCACCTGCACGTCCTGCACGTTCAAGGAGGACAAGTCCAACTACTGGACTGCCGTCATGTTCTACAAGGCCAGGAACGGCACCTACAAGCGCGTTCCCCAGGTCGGAAACGGCGGCCCCCAAGGAAAGCTGATCAACAAAGGTGGCCTTGACCTCTACTACATCCCCAGTGGCAAAGTCACTGCTTTCAAGAAGGTATTGAGAACACTTGGTAGCCCTTCGAGCACGACCGAGTATCTAATAAGAACAGGGCTTCCGTATGCTGGCTGGTAACGCGGCCAACACCGACGCGTCAAAGGTCCAGAAGGCAAACATCTGCCACCGCTGCTGGACCTCGCCGAACGAGAACACCTTCGTCGGCGGCGCTCCCTGCACCGGCTCCGACACTGTTGATATTCCCAGCTCCAAGTCCTGCAAGATGATCCGGCAGACCATCATCTTCCCCACGTGAGTCTCGAGGATCCCCTTTCCCCTCCCTCACTCCCCTCCCTCACTCCCCCTTTTCCGGGTAAATGGCGACTTACGCTGCCGCAGTTGCTGGGATGGCAAGAACCTGGACAGCCCCGATCACCAGACCCACGTCGCGTACAGCTCGGGCTCGGGCGCGACCGGCGGCGGCGCGTGCCCCTCGTCCCACCCCGTCAAGCTCCCGCAGATCATGTACGAGCTGATGTGGAACGTGACTGAGTTCGCCAACAGCGCCGACTACCCGTCGGACGGCTCGAACCCCTACGTCTACAGCATGAACCTCGGGTAAGTGACGCCGTCCCCAGGGCATTCCGCGAGCGGGAGTACTAGTTCCCGGCGAGTGCAGAGAGAGAGAGAGAGAGAGAGAGAGAGAGAGAGAGAGAGAGAGAGAGAGCAGACCCCGCTGACACACGCGCACGCGCGCTTGCTTCTTAGCGGCCCCGCGGCCCACGGCGACTACATCTTCGGCTGGGAGGGCGACACGCTCCAGAAGGCCATGGACAACATCAACCGCTGCGGGCTCAACACGGACTGCACCGCCGCCGGCATCCACGCCCAGACCCCGGACCAGTATAACGCCTGCACCATCAAGCAACAAGCGCCCGAGGAGGTCGACGGATGTAAGTGTCCCCCAGCCCCTATCCCCCCCCCCCCCCCCGCCCGAAGCAAGCGTGCGGTTCGCTAACCAAGAGCGACGTTCTCAGGGCTCGCTGCTCTCCCCATGGGCGAGATGGCTATCAAGGCTTAGACGCACGTCGTCGCGCGAGGGGCAGGGAGGTATTAATCGTGCCACGTGGCAGAGAGAGAGAGAGAAAGGGGTCCCGTGAGTCAAAGGGAAAGGGGGGGAGAAGATACGCATGTTTTTTTTTTTTCGCGCAGAATGCCGTCCGCGTTGCTGGCGGGAGCGGAGAGTTCTCGTCCTGCCTAGTCCACGGAATCTCGTCTCATTTTTTTGTTCCGTAGAAAAATGGCCTTAATCTAAACGCGCGTCGCTTTTCGGTGTCTGTCGAGTCGCTAGACGAGAGGAGTCGTTAGCCGTCGCCGCTTCGCTGCTCGCCTCTGCTCCGGCGTGCAATACGTGCTCACATGTGTCTCCCGTCGGGTGGTGCTAGAATATATACCTTTTATATTATCGTCTTGACTTGGGTATATATAGGGGCGGCGCCGTCGAGCAGATTCTAAGAATAGGCGCCGATCTAGATAATAGCATCTAGATCCAGTAGCAGCGCACCGGATGGGATATGTTTAGAAGCGATATGTTTGGACGTGGTATTTTCTAATTCCGGAACGGCGCACTGGGAGTGACGATGAGACATTTCTGGACAGCTGGACGTCACGCCTCTCTGGAGGGGGGAATGCGGCAGCGCTGGGAAAACTCAATCACTCGGGTGTGTATCGCCATCTACGAAACGAAGCAGTTCGTGCCCTACCTACATATATATAGCGTGTACTGTATTCGAATCGAGGAGACAACGAAATCGCTCCGGCCTTCCCATTCCCCCCTACCCCCATCCCTCCCCTCCGTTCTCCTTCGCCCGCCTCGAGGCGTCCACCTGCGTCCCCCTTCTCCCCTGACGTACTGGTGATGAAAACGCGGCGCACACCCGCACCCACAAAGACGCACTCACGTGTCCGGAGCGAACCTCCCCACCCGCGCTCTCTTCTCGGCTTGTTCGTAAGGTACCTAGTGAGCAGACGAAGAGAAGTTGCTGGATACCCGTTGGTTAGAAGGGGTTCTGTCTACGTGGGCGAGTTCCCCCTCTTTGAAGGGAATCGACCCGGTGCCTACAACTTCGATGCCCCCGGCACAACACGACAACTCATCGGCGTCGACCCTTCTTCCCCCCCCCCCCCCTCCCCCTAACGAGCGCGATGCAACGCAATATAACGCGGCCCACTCACAGGTTCCGAGCGACGAGCTCCGGGAAGTCGGAGTTCTTGGCGGCCGCGAAGTCGTGTTCCCAGTAGTTGAACAGGTCGTGGACGTTGATCGGGCTGGTGCTCGACGCCGGCTGGCTCGGCTTGGTCCGGGAGTACGCGAAGGCGAAGCGGTTGCCGCCCGACGGGTTCAGGTTCTTCGAGTTGGTGCCCGACGTCGGGAACAACGTGCACCCCGTGCACTTGGCCGTGAACTGCCAGTGCGTGCCGTTGGTCTTGGTCCCCTTGCTAAGCACCTGCAGCGTGGCGCCTGTATACGGTTGGGGGGCAGTGTGCGAACTGGCCGACAGGTATAGTCAGCTTATCATTTCCGCCACGCACCCACAAGAGTAGCCGGCCGAGTTTACAGAGGGGGGATAAGCGGGGATGGGGTGTGGGGGAAGAGAGAGTATGTAAGTCCACACGGAGGTGACATATGATCCCCTTCCCGGCTTTCACATACGCGGAGCGGCGGACGGACGCCACGGCGCTCCCACCGTTCACCCAGCCGATAAGCAGGGGGTTGTTGGTCATGGAGCCCCCCCAGGCGACACCGACCCAACCGGCGGTGTTCGGGGCAACGACCTGTAGGACGGCGTCGTACGACTGTCCCGCGATGGCGGTACTGGGGATGGCGATACGGAAGGTGATGTAGACGCTGCCCGTCGTAATGGGAGCATTGTACTGCGAAAACGTGAACCCGGTGTCGGGGTCGCGGAATACGTCGGCGCTGGCCTCGGATGCTACACAGCAATGTCGCCACACATACGCGCTCAGATGTTAACAATGAGGAGTTCTCCAGATCTGCTAAACGTATGCTTGCCACCCTACAACTCCCTCTTTCTTCACGTCTCATCATAGGGGCGTACGTACCGATGCCGAGCAGCGTCGCTACACAAGCCAAACCGAAGCCCCAACGCATCCTGACTCCTGACCTTTGAAGCTATTCCTGATGAAATGGGGACCGAACTGCCGGCAACAGAATAGGACAAGATAAGGTAGAGTGACGAGTTCCGGACAGATTACGGGAAGTCGAGGGACCTAGCATGCGTGTTAAAAATAAGATCCCACGTGCCGTTATATAGATAAAACATGTCCTTACAGGTATGGGAATCCGGTAGCTGGCTGTGGGCGTATGGTCTATTGGGAGCAACGGAAATAGAAGGAAGGGACCTCACCTGCGCGGGCAAATTGTCCCAGGCCTTTAGCAATTAAATATTCATCGGATGGACCCGTTCAAGTGCGTGAGTTTTTCTTCTCTTCTCTTTTCCCCCTTCTTCCCCCATCCCGGACTCGAGGTGACGAAAGCTGCTCTGTGACATACGAAGGGGGCGGCCCGGGGCCCGCTCGACGAGAAGAGAAGAGGCATAGTCGAGCCGTGTAAACCGCGAGATCGTCGAATCGCGTACGAAGCATCCACAGTAATATCTCAAGTCTTGGCCCATCTATGAAATCCTGAACGCCTACGTCTCCATCCCGCGAAAGCACTTTGTTCGGAGAACGGAGGACCGTAACAAGGTATCTATTGGAGTAGCAAGGGCCGAGAATTTGACGACTGGGGTAGCAGAGAGGTGACCTTGAAAGGGCACCACCCATTTAGCCGTATACGATGCCAGGGGGTTTGTGCCAGAGCCGGGGTAAAAGGGATAGATAGGAGGAGAGAAGGAGGTTTTCCCTTTCTATCCGCGTCGATCTCTTATTGTTGGCCCCAGGGTCTAGGGCAAGCCCCAGCCTCTCTTGCTAGGGGACAGGCCAGGGGTCAGCTCCGGGGCGACCCAAGACGACCTCGTGCCTGCAGACCCGCCGGCGTAGCGGCTCCGCGAGAGGGAGGGTTGCGGCGGCTGTAGATAGACCAAGCAGATGCGCCATATTTCAAATCTCACCGTAATCCACAGCGCCATTTTTCATGGTTGACTAAAAGGCATGCCCGCCTTGCCAAGATCGTCGACGAGGCGTCCAGATCTGGCTACTACCTGCCTAGTGGCATCGTGAGCTTCCCCGGAGCGCGACCACAACGTCCCAAACGAGCGAGGGGGCACGCGGGGATCGTGATGCAGCTCCTAGAACGCTTCCCCGTGACGATACAACATGTAGAGGGCTATTTTGAGACCGGACCAAGGTCAGACGACGTCGGTGAGCCCGAATCTGGACTCTGTACCCGGTGTCTAGAATCTAGACAATTGTAAAGGTTGCTATTCGATATTGCAGACCCGCGGTGACAGGCTGGTTCCGCAGTCCTCTTTAAATTGCGCGTGTACCGAGATCCAGGGAGACGCCCCCTACTTGGTCGACAGTGGCTGGCCCAGTGTTGAGCATGTTCTCTTTATTAGTTGCCTTGTCGAGCCTCCACGGTCCTGGTATACCCCTAAATAGACGTAGTATCCCCGTTCCTTGACCGGTGGTTGCAGTCGACAAGGAAAGAGTCAAGTTGCCTCTTCGCCACACGCCTCCTCTCGTACACTCGACGATGGCTTGTGACCGGACATACATTTCTTGGGGGAGAGTTCACCACAGACCCCGTACAGCTTGCGGGCAATGAAATTCAAACCAGTCGGGGTTCTAATACTGGAGGATACTGTTATCGCAATGGGTTCTAGATGTCCGTCTTTGCCGTGTGATGACAGGGCCGGCTGGTTGTGTTTGGATTGGAACGATTCCCATAGATATGGTCCCCCAAGTTACCAGATACGAAGTCAACAGGATAAGCTTCTGAATGGTACTTTCGCTCGCTTTAGGGCAGTGAAGTTGATACATGGGGCGTTGAACGTAGAACCGGCCTTCACTTAGTGCAGATGTGCCAGCTTTTCCGTCAAACTCTGATATCTTCCATCAAGATCCGAACACCATATAGTTCCTAGCCCACTCAGAATTCCCATCGCCCATACAGTTGATGTTCATCTAAGTCATAGATAGTCCGGAGCATCCGAAATGAATTATCAAGTTAGGAAGGTTGGGTACCGCAGCGCCGGGTCGAGAATAGGAGAAGATGTGTAAGGTACGTATAATACCAAACCTCGCATGGGCATCCGGTAAAATACCTGATAATGAAACCCTCCCATGTTAGAGCCGGTAGCGGAAACCGAGTGTTTTCCAGTCGGTTATGTCGTCGTAGTCTTCGGGGCGAAGTCGAATCTCGTTTGCTGCCTCAGTTGCACCGTGGCCGTCGGCAACGTCAATCACCTTACCTCCACCGATGGCGCCCGAGGTGCCAGCGCTGCCCTCAATGCCCTCTTCCCTCCGTCGGCGGTTATTCACTAGTTGCAAGTATGTTCTGAGGACAGCAGCGAAGCCGATCACCAGAGCGTAGCATATCATAATGCCACGAAAGGCCGTGTCGTAGGTAGGCTCCTCAGCTGCTTTGAATAACTGGGGACCGGCGATACTAGGCAGCAAGTCAGCGTAGAGCATCGACGGGGTACTGCAAAAGCAGCAAGAAAGCCAGCATGGAGTCTCCTAGAGACGTTTATCATAGGCACGTTGAAGAAGGCGGCAATTAAATTCGCAACATACTTCCCGGTACAATATGCGATAAATAGCATCGCGGTCATAGTCATCTTCTTCGTAACGCCTCGGTAATTCGACTGTACGAGGGACAACAGTAAGGGCAACCCGGCTGGGCCTGTCGACAATAGAAAGTAGCCGAACAGAGACACGCCATGGGGTATCGAACGGCGGCTCCCGATCAAAGCGGACCCGATCACGGGTGGGAGAACGACGAGGCCGATGAGGATGCAATTCATCGAACGGAAACGTCCAGCCAACCAACCAGACCCCGAAACGGCCGCCGTAGCGAGGAGAGAGTATGGGATATTGATGAGCGTCGATTGAAGCGACGTGAATCCGAATGAGGTGATGACCAAGTTGGCAAAATTCTGAGTGCCACCGTTCGGGATCTGGCAGAGCAGAGCCATGGACCAAATTAGCCACGTCTTCGGGTCCTGCAGGCACTCGACCATCTGCTCCCACTTCCAAGTCGTGTTCTCGGTACGACCCGTGCCGGCGATGACCGCGCGATCGCCAGCCCACTGGCGTTCTTCGGGCGTGAGGAATTTAGCCTTGGAGATGCTATCGGGCAACAAGAACAATATTGCGAATCCCAGCAGGAACGTCGCAGCGCCCAAGATGATAAACATCCAACGCCACGGGCTGAGGCTATTGGTGATGTGACCGATCCCGTAAGCGAGAAGCGACGAGACGATACCTAGAGAGGGAGATTGTCAGCACCCGAGCCTTCGTGTGGTGCGCAAGAGATAGATAGCTGATCTCCGTTCTCGGGTTCACTTACCGCCTACCGAATTTCCGGCGAACCAGATACCCGTTCTCGTCGGGATCTCGTCGCGGGTGTACCAGGTCGACGTGATGAACATGAGAGCCGGGGAGAGCGTCGCCTCGGCGACGCCGAGCAGGAACCGCACCGTGATGAGGCCGCCGTAACTCGAGCATGCGGCCGTCACCGCGACCACGGCACCCCAGGCAAATGTGGTGACGGCGAGGTACTTGGCGACCGGCAGGCGGGCGACGAGCAGGGAGGTCGGGTACGCCCACATGAAGTAGCCAAAGTAGAAGACGCTCGAGACCCAGGAGTAGTTGGACCCCACGAGGTTGTTGTCCTCTCGCAGGCCGAAGACGGACGTGCTCGACAGGATCGTCTTGTCCATGAAGCCGAATCCATAGGTCACGAAGAGCAGCGGCATGAGGCGCCGGTCGATCCGTCGCAAGAGACGGCGGGCCTCGTCATGTTTGGCACCTGCGACCACGTGGTCGGTGCCATCGGTGGCAGTAGCCTCGGGGGTAGTGTCGTTGGCGATAGCCATGGTGTGATAGCTGTTGCGGCTGCGACGACTCGACTCTGCTCGACCGGGTTGGAGCAGCGGCCGGTGCTGGGGAGGCGATGCCATGGTCTTTGTAGACGGCCAAGGCGGACCCAAGCCGATAGTCGTCAGCGAATCAACGGATTCTGCTCTTGAAGGTCTTCGCTTTTCGAAGCTATTTTCCGAAGCTATCTTTCGAGGGTATCATCGACCGGGTATCTCCGTCGCTTCTACCCCCCCTTTCCCTTCCCCCCACTGGGAGCGATAGCGTCTTTGTTCGGGATAGAGATAAATCGATAATAAGCGGCGCATTCTTAACCTACACGTCGCCGTTCCGAGCTCGACTAGTCAATCCTCTGATCGTGTCTAATTACCTACATGAAGCCAGACCAGTTACGCTCTGGCTATCTGGGACACAGAGAACCGATAGAAGACGGTTCGCGGTTCGGAACGCTTACTCTCGTCGCAACCCTTATCCGATGGCTTGCATGGACTTATCAAAAGATATCAGGGCAGTTCCCGGGCTCTTACGTTTTCAAATCCTTCGTGGGGTAAAGAGAGGGGAGCAGGAGATTCGTTTCCTGTTTGGGATCCGGTTGATGTGGACTGGCCCACCGACTAATAGAGACGGTCATGCGAGTCACCAGAGTGAAAAAGAAGGGCAAAAAGTTAGCTGATGATTTTACTGTCTCTCTCTGTATTGAGCGGATGGCGAATTACGACGTGGGATGTGGGCGGATGAGGATTCACAACTTCTGAAGAGAGTCGGAGAGATGTAAACAGGAGCATCATCAGTGGAACGCGTCCAGGGTCTGTCATAAAAGATCGGCAAGGTCGATCCTATTTCCGATAGTTCCGATATGCGAATTTCTTGTAGACAGAAGCGTATTATGTAATCACACTCTTCACCTATCTCAGCCTTCTCCAGCCACATTCAAGATTCCAGCCACAGTACTGAAATATCTTGATTGCCATATTACCCCTTAAAAGCTATCCTCAGTTTATTTTGAAAGGACTATTTATGTATTACTGTCAGGAACAAAGAAATGCACATATTCAACTAACGATGCGTCCTCCTTGTTACTCTGTCTATTACTTCCATCCAACCCAGTTATCTTACCATTCCAGTCCCTGTGTGTATGCGCGGACGTTACGGCTGAGGGCTATAACATGCGGGTGGAAACTAAACCTGACAATGCGTTGAGGCTGTTCAAATTACCTTTCTCCTATCCCTTCTCTATTCCTCTGTTCGTTTTTTTCGTCCAGTTCGGTGCTTACAACTCCGTGCCTTCGTCTCCAGACGCGACGATGAACAAGCCGAGCGGGCACGGCTCGATACTCTGGCGGAAGCGCAGCTCTGTCCCGCCGGCGCCGGGCACACTGCCGAGCTCGACGGCTACGCCGCGGCCGTCGGCGGGGCACGCGAAGGACTCGACGACGTACGCGTTATCGGGCGCGACGGCGAGCCTCGTGTAGGACAGCGCCGTGTCGGGGAGGTTGTTGTGCGTCGTCTGCCGGCCGATAGCGTGGTCGCGGCCACGGCCACCGTCGAGGTCGAGGCGCGAGAACTCGACCTGTCCGGTGCCCGTGAGGTTGAGCGAGGACGCGTCACCAGGTAACAAGAACACCAGCGTACACGTCTTCCCGCCGTCGCCCGGTGCCACGTCGAAGACGAAGACGCTCGAAACCGTCGGCGAAGTTTCACCGAAGGCGCTCATGCCCTGAGCCTTGTCGGGATTCGCCCGGTCGACGGGTACGATCAGGCGCGGTGGCTCCCACTGGCCCGTGAGTTGCCCCGGACAGACCCCCGGAGACGAGGAGACACTGTCAGCCCGCCTTAGCCTCTTGGGAGACTCTGCTCGTGTGAGTGCGTTTGCGTACCCGGCGCTGCTTGACGGCGCTGTACGTTTCGCGGGGCTCACAGGTGGTGTATTAGGGACCTCGGGTGAGGTAGGAGATTTCAGCGTCGTTCTTTGGTTTCCGGGCGTCGTAGGATACTTGGGAGTCACAGTTGGATGCTCAGGAGCTGTGCTATAGACTTCAGTCGTGTTTGAAACTTGCAGGAGAGTAGGGTATGGAGGGGGGACCGGAGGGCCCGGGGGAGCAGGGTGTGTTTTTGGTAGAGAAAGGGGGGCCGGTGGTGCCGGATGTACAGGAGGAATCGAGGGGTACGGCGGAGCAGGGGGAGTTGGAGGTCCAGGGGGTCCAGGAGGACCCGGAGGTTTAGGGGGCCCGGGAGGTTCAGTGGGCCCAGGAGGACCTGGAGGTTTAGGCGGCCCGGGAGGTTTAGGCGGCCCGGGGGGGGCTGGAGGTCCAGGGGGCGCTGGCGGCGCCGGAGGGGTAGGTGCTGTAGGCATCGGTAGCGGTACCGGTGGCGCCGGAGGAACCGAGGGGTATGGCGGAGCAGGAGGTTTAGGCGGCCCAGGAGGGGCTGGAGGTTCAGTAGGCCTAGGAGGACCTGGAGGTCCAGGGGGGCCGGGAGGTTTAGGCGGCCCGGGGGGAGCTGGAGGTGTAGGTGCCGTAGGCATCGGTGGTGGTACCGGTGGTACGGGAGGAACCCAAGGATATGGCGGAGCAGGAGGTTTAGGCGGCCCAGGAGGACCTGGTGGTGCCGGAGGTTTCGGCGGAATAGGATGCGGTCCTGGTGGTGCCGGTGGAGCAGGAGGCGGTCCTGGTGGTGCCGGAGGGGGCCCCGGTGGTACAGGAGGTGCCGGTGGAGCTGGAGGCGGTCCTGGCGGCGTAGGTGGTGTAGGATGCGGTCCTGGTGGTACCGGTGGTACGGGAGGAACCCAAGGATATGGCGGAGCAGGAGGTTTCGGTGGAGCAGGAGGCGGTCCTGGCGGCCCCGGTGGAGCTGGAGGCGGTCCTGGCGGCGTAGGTGGTGTAGGATGCGGTCCTGGTGGTGCCGGTGGAGCCGGAGGGGGCCCCGGTGGTACAGGAGGTTTCGGTGGAGCAGGAGGCGGTCCTGGCGGCCCCGGTGGAGCAGGAGGCGGTCCTGGCGGTCCCGGTGGAGCAGGAGGTCCTGGCGGATTAGTAGGTGCCGGCGACGGCGCCGGTGGACTAGGCGGTGCCGGGGGTATAGGTGGTGCCGGGGGTATAGGTGGCGCCGGTGGTGGTGCCGGAGGGGCAGGTGGTACTGGTGGAGTAGGAAACGGTCCTGGCGGAGCCGGAGGTCTTGGCGGATTAGGTGGTGCCGGCGGACTAGGTGGTGGACCAGGTGGTGCCGGGGGAGTAGGTGGCGCCGGCGGACCAGGAGGCGCCGGAGGGGCAGGAGGTCCCGGTGGCGGTGCAGGCGGTCCCGGTGGCGGTGCAGGCGGTCCCGGTGGCGGTGCAGGCGGTCCCGGTGGCGTAGGAGGTGCTGGTGGACCAGGAGGTGCCGGCGGTGGTGCAGGAGGTCCTGGCGGACTAGGTGGTGCCGGTGGTGGTACCGGTGGACCAGGTGGTGCCGGTGGAGTAGGATACGGTGCCGGAGGTGCCGGAGGTGCCGGCGGTGGTACAGGCGGTCCCGGCGGTCCCGGCGGGCCAGGAGGTGCCGGTGGACTAGGAGGCGCCGGTGGATTAGGAGGTATTGGCTGTGGTGCCGGCGGAGCAGGAGGTCCCGGTGGTGCAGGCGGTCCCGGTGGACCAGGGGGTCCCGGTGCCGGTGCAGGTGGTCCCGGTGGACCAGGAGGTACTGGTGGATTAGGAGGAGTCGGCGGTGGTACAGGCGGTCCCGGTAGTCCCGGTGGTCTCGGTGGACCAGGAGGTGCTGGCGGATTAGGAGGTGCCGGCGGATTAGGGGGTCCCGGTGGTGCAGGTGGTCCCGGTGGACCAGGAGGTCCTGGCGGACTAGGTGGTACCGGTGGAGTAGGATACGGTGCCGGTGGACCAGGGGGCGCCGGTGGACTAGGAGGTGTTGGCTGTGGTGCCGGCGGAGCAGGAGGTCCCGGTGGTGCAGGCGGTCCCGGTGGACCAGGGGGTCCCGGTGCCGGTGCAGGTGGACCAGGTGGACCAGGTGGTGCCGGTGGAGTAGGATACGGTGCCGGTGGCGCAGGAGGTGCCGGCGGATTAGGGGGTCCCGGTGGTGCTGGTGGTCCCGGTGGACTAGGTGGACTGGGTGGTGCCGGTGGAGTAGGATACGGTGCCGGTGGACCAGGGGGCGCCGGTGGACTAGGAGGTGTTGGCTGTGGTACCGGCGGAGCAGGAGGTCCCGGCGGTGGTACAGGCGGTCCCGGTGGTCCCGGTGGTCCCGGTGGACCAGGAGGTGCCGGTGGACTAGGAGGTGTTGGCTGTGGTGCTGGTGGTGCAGGAGGTACCGGCGGATTAGGAGGTCCCGGTGGCCCCGGTGGACCAGGAGGTGCCGGTGGACCAGGTGGACCAGGTGGACCAGGTGGTGCCGGTGGAGTAGGATACGGTGCCGGTGGCGCAGGAGGTGCCGGCGGATTAGGTGGTGCCGGGGGAGCAGGAGGTCCCGGCGGTGGTACAGGCGGTCCCGGTGGACCAGGGGGTCCCGGGGGTGCAGGTGGTCCCGGTGGACTAGGGGGTGCCGGTGGACCAGGTGGTCCAGGAGGTCCCGGCGGTGGTACAGGCGGTCCCGGTGGACCAGGGGGTCCCGGTGGTGCAGGTGGTCCGGGTGGACCAGGAGGTGCCGGTGGATTAGGAGGTGTTGGCTGTGGTGCCGGTGGCGCAGGAGGTGCCGGCGGATTAGGAGGTCCCGGTGGTGCCGGTGGACTAGGGGGTGCCGGTGGACCAGGTGGTCCAGGAGGTCCCGGCGGTGGTACAGGCGGTCCCGGTGGTGCAGGTGGTCCCGGTGGTATAGGCGGTCCCGGTGGTGCAGGCGGTCCGGGTGGACCAGGAGGTGCCGGTGGTACAGGTGGTGCCGGTGGACCAGGGGGTGCCGGTGGACTAGGGGGTGCCGGTGGACCAGGTGGACCAGGGGGTGCCGGTGCTGGTGCAGGCGGTCCCGGCGGACCAGGAGGTGCTGGTGGACCAGGGGGTGCCGGTGGACCAGGTGGACCAGGAGGTGCCGGTGCTGGTGCAGGTGCAGGTGGTGCCGGTGGTGCAGGTGGTGCCGGTGGTACAGGTGGTGCCGGTGGTCCAGGGGGTGCCGGTGGACTAGGGGGTGCCGGTGGTCCAGGGGGTCCAGGGGGTCCCGGTGCCGGTGCAGGCGGTCCCGGTGGACCAGGAGGTGCTGGTGGACCAGGGGGCGCCGGTGTTGGTACAGGTGCAGGTGGTCCCGGTGGTGCCGGTGGACCAGGTGGACCAGGTGGACCAGGTGGACCAGGAGGTGCCGGTGCTGGTGCAGGTGCAGGTGGTCCCGGTGGTGCAGGTGGTCCCGGTGGACTAGGGGGTCCCGGTGGTCCCGGTGGACCAGGGGGTGCCGGTGGACCAGGTGGACCAGGGGGTGCCGGTACTGGTGCAGGTATAGGTGGTGCCGGTGGTGCAGGTGGTGCCGGTGGTGCCGGTGGTGCAGGTGGTGCCGGTGGTACAGGTGGTGCCGGTGGACCAGGGGGTGCCGGTGGACCAGGTGGACCAGGTGGACCAGGAGGTGCCGGTGCTGGTACAGGTGCAGGTGGTCCCGGTGGCCCCGGTGGACCAGGTGGACCAGGGGGTGCCGGTGGACTAGGTGGACCAGGGGGTGCCGGTGCTGGTGCAGGTGTAGGTGGTCCCGGTGGTGCAGGCGGTCCCGGTGGTCCCGGTGGTGCAGGTGGTCCCGGTGGTGCAGGCGGTGCCGGTGGTCCAGGTGGTCCAGGAGGTACCGGCGGACTAGGAGGTCCCGGTGGTCCCGGTGGACCAGGAGGTCCCGGTGGACCAGGAGGTGCTGGTGGACCAGGGGGCGCCGGTGGACCAGGTGGTGCCGGCGGATTAGGAGGTGCCGGTGGACCAGGTGGACCAGGAGGTGCTGGCGGTGGTGCGGGGGGTGCTGGCGGACTAGGTGGACCAGGAGGTGCCGGCGGTGGACCAGGTGGTGCCGGTGGAGTAGGATGCGGTGCCGGCCGTCCTGGTGGTGCCGGCGGATTAGGAGGTGCCGGTGGACCAGGTGGACTAGGAGGTGCTGGCGGTGGTGCAGGGGGTGCCGGTGGACTAGGTGGTGCAGGGGGTGCCGGTGGTATAGGTGGTGTAGGAGGAGCCGGAGGTATTACCGGGGGGGCCGGGGGCCTGTATGGAGGTACCGCCTCACATACGGTAACAGTAGAAACACTCGGGGCCGTAACATAGACAGTAGTAGTCTCGGTCTTCGGTGGCGAGACGCCCCCTGGACCCGGAGGGACGCCAGGATTTCCTAGCGGCGTGGCTCCTGGCCCTCTGGGTGTCGGAGTACAGGATTCCGGAATACACCCGCTTGCAGTGAGGGTAATCTCGGAGCAGTTACTCCCTCCTGGAGTAAGATGTATCATCGCTAAACCGTTCTCGCCGGTGCCGCACTGCCAGAACGTAGACTGGCCATTGAATGCCAGTTGCCCATTGCAATTAATGGCAAATCCTCCCTGGGGAGTCTGGCCGCCATCGCACTGGAACACGTTCGCCGCCGGCGTCAACCGACAGCCACGACCCTGAGCATCCGAGATAGTATCTCCTCTCAGGACGAATCCTGGCTGAACGACGCCACTCTCGCCGCCAGCACTTATCCGGCCGTTGCTATATTGGCCAACTACCCCGGCGGACGACCCGCCCGTGGAAAGGGTGAAGTCGCATCCACTCTGGCGCGCGACGAGAGAATGGGCGCTGTTCAAGGTCGATGAGAGGATGATGAGCTTGCGCATCATGTTGGCGCCTGTATGCGAGCCGAGCTATCAAATATTTCTGGGGTCAGTAATGGCAAGCTGGCCCCGAGAAGGAGAGTCTTGAGGAGAGTGAAAAATCCAGCGACAGAGCTTGACCTCAGCTTATATCTCAAACGCCTGATATAACTAAAGACCTTGCTATGAGCGAGGTCTCGGATAATCCGTTCCCTTTCTCGCCTCATCTTTGAAAACTCTGAGAATGACAACGTCATGCTGTAGTAGTAGTCTATATCATCGGCGAAACAGCCCGTAAGACGTCTAAGCTACTCACAGAGATCCCTGGCGTCGTAAACGACGAAGACCAGGGGGACCCGCGCCAACACCTGCCCCAGGCACCACGGATGACTGTCTAAGTCCGGAATGGCGTCCCAAGACCTCAAGTTTCCCATGCAAACCTAAGCCCAGAGATAGAGCTTGTAGTCCGGGTTAGGAAGGCATAAGTGCGGCTCTCTAAGCCAATATTGGGTAAACAACGCTTCTCGATCATGGTTGAGTGACGCAAATCGAGTAAAGGGGTGATGTGTGTGTGCATTGTCGACCTCGTATTTTAACATCGGCTAGCTCCTGTAACTAGATGAGTCGCGTGCGTGTCCCTTTTAGTCTTGCCTCTCGACTTATTACAAGTGCTATCCATATCCGGGTCTTTTGCAATACCAATAGCACAACGATCTTCCTCGGGATTCCGAGCAGCAGGAACTTAATTATTCCTCATGTGTCTCATCGAAATATGGCGGATGTTTTCATTTTTATTCTCTCACCTACATATGCAATGTAAATAAGTTGCATTGTGTGTGTGTTCCGACCCATAGACTCTTTTAACGTAGTCTGTCCAGAGATCACAGAATAAGCATGTAAAAGGTAGGGTTAAGTTATGCGAAGAACATAACATCTACACTATTACGTCCTTAGGAGCCACTGCAGCATCGCGTGTTTATGCAACTTTGGAGAGAAACATTCGCGATATGGTGGTATGTTTAGATACGGGGACGTAAAACCTGCACGCCAACGGAAAAAGCCATCAACCAAGTCACATACCCCTGGCTGACACTTCCCCTCTCCGTCTACACAAAGACTAGCCCTCATAATAACAAGCCGAAACAACCGAAGACCGGTCCCGTACACGGCTGTTTTATTATTATTATCAGAGTTCGGGAGCTCGATGGGCCTTTGCCTTAACTGCATCTGGGCTCAACAAAAGTTCGATGACACTGCCCTGACACGTTAATCCCTAACCACCGCCCATCTAAGTTGAGTGAGCATTAAGATCTAACTCAACAGGAGGAAATTTGTAACCGGCGGGTCTCAGCAGGTACACAGGTCAGGGTATTAGAATAAGGCGCTACACTACAGACGCAGTCTTGCGAGACAAATACGAGACGAACTCACCTTTCTGTACGAGACGAGCCATGAATTAATCTTACAGAAGGCCTCTCAGACTGGCTGAATTTCCAATCCCTTCACCGGGTAGAGCCGAGCGCGGCCCGCCTCTTCGCAAAATAGTAGGAGTCCTGTCGGGGTTGACAATACCGGCTGGGATCCTGAAGGGTAAGTTGCCGTACTGCTATTTATAAGTATCTGATATAGAATATTACACACCGTCACGTCAACTGGACTTTGCATGCTTATACACAAAGCCTGAAACGTGAAACAATAGCACACCGCAGTCTCCCAGATGCAGCTTCAATATATCCGCATAATCGGACATCGTGAGAATTGTAAGGGGGTATCGAACATCACGAAGTAGACGGACCAATATTACCCCCTTTGTTCTCCGCCGCTGTACGAAGAGGTGATTTCATCCGTCTATCATATTTCGTATTCAACAGATACTTCATCCCTGCGAGCCAGCCACCCACTCCGTGTGGATGCATGTAGACATCACTATCGTAGTGACCGCCTCCGCGAGATGCGTGTGTTTACCGCCTTACGGTTGGGGTTCTCTTGGGAAAATGCTGATGAGCAGGGTTGTCTAAGTGCGCCCCTCGCAGTAGGTTTCCCCGTTCACACGGAGAGACGTCTGAGGACTACAACGAATATGCAGACCCCCGCATCTCCCTGTTTAGAGATCTAAGCATATATACTATGGGATAAATAAGCAGCAGTAAGTATATACAGAGAATTGATACGAATAGACATTATGTACTACTACTTCGCACACACGCGTGCCTAGTGAATCCTCGGCTTCGGTACTCGCGGGTTCCGGGGCGAAGCGGCGCGGTCTAACACCCAGAACGCGATTTTGTATACAATTCCCGTCGTCACCGGTCAGTAGTCGCGAGGCTTCTAAGCATGGGGAGGGTAGTGAGCCAACGCTTCTTCGGGAAATATCTCTTCTTGGTCCCACTGGTAGGAGTCAGCCTTGACCATCAACGAAGAAAGGGGGTGTCGTGCGCTTACATGCTCCACGATACAGCCAGCCTCCCACCTGAACCTATCGACGATCTCCCCCATGCCGGCAGCGATGTAGTTCAACCACCCCTGATCGCCTTTAAAGGCAGTGCGGATAGGAGCGATCTTGGTGGTATTCCACATTGTGTCCAGGAAGTCGAGAGCAGCGTTGGGGCCGTCCTCCGCAAACGGATTGTGGTTCTGCGCGGCAAGATAGGTGAGCATAGCTCATCGTCACTATGTTTCCCGAGCCGCCACACGAAATAACTCGGGTGTTCGGGGGGTCGGGGGAGGGAGCAGAGAGGCGTAAAGCTCCTAGAGACGGCTTAGAGAAAGCACACGTACTATGTAGACCGAGGACACGTACTCGAACGCGTTGGTCAGGTTCCTCGTCACCAGGAACGCGTTAGCGAATTCGTCGAACCGTGCTCGCGTCTCCTCCTCGCTCGGCGGCGGGTCCATCGCGACGCAGGGGGGAGGCGTCACGACGCTTGGCTTCGCCCTGTGCGTCGTGGTCGGCCGAACGGCGGCATATCCCAACCCAGGGCGGGTCGGTGTGGGGGCAGCTCCGGCCATGAAAGGCGCCAGCAGTACAGCGAGGAAAACCAGCGTGTAGTACATCTTGGACAACGATGGGGGACGAGTGAGGTTGGGGAAAGAGGGCATTCCCAGCACCAGAGCCGTAAACGAGTTCGCGAGCTGATGGTGGCTTGGGGCTGTGATGTGATACCCAGCCAGATAGACGTCTGGCGAGAGAGAGAAGTTGAGAAGGGGAGACGATTCCCGGGAAGCACCAACACGCAACCCACCCTTCGAGTGCTGTATGCTGGGCTGTTCGAGCTCCTGCTACTCTATTCGATACCAAGTCCCGTCGGCATATCGACGCTCGCCCCTGTGTGCGTGTGGGGTAAAAGAGTAGGCCTCGCAATGTAGGTATTATTTACCCTTGTGGAAACGGGATGGGAACGCGCTGGTTAAGTGGTTAAGCTCCCCATCCGGCTAATATGAGAGATGATAACGAGTTCGAGTCGGCTGCGACGGCACTTTGTGGCACGCGTGGATGCTCGAATCCAAACACACAAGTCCCATTACTGGGGGGAGACAACGGCCCGGCAGTCTCGTGACGGGCCAGCCGGAATGAGATTCGTGCGGACGCGTGATAACCCTACGGATTTATTGATGATGAGCTGTGTATTGCTTTTAAGAGGAATGCTACGGGGTTATGAGAAAGTAAATATTTACGTATGAAAATGTTGATTTAGAGCGCACATGATACCCGGTTTTATTCAGGGGGCGTGTCTTAGACATAAGGCTAATTTTATGTATTTGCTTTCCCGATCTGATCCCATCCGATCTGGGTTTGTCTCCTTTCCCTCGAGCAATTCAGCCGTTAGTTGAAGTCTTACCCCGGAAAAAGCTGCTCAGCTTTCCCATCATCTGGCCCAGCCCACCCGCCTCGCTCCCCTCGACCAGGCCGCCGCGGATCCAGCCGGGCAGCTTACCCCTGATGCGCTGCGTCGCAAACCGCCGGTCCACCAACACGATAGCAGCGTAGTCGTTGCGGTGTCGGATCGCTCGCCCTATGCTCTGGTTCACGGCGCGCATGCACGCGTTCTCGTAGAATTCACGAGAGGCCTGCTTAGCCGTGGCGACGGCCTCGCCCTGCGGCATCGACGGGGCAGTGCTTTTCAAGCGCTCCAGCGTCGTCGACTCGATGTACTCAATCCGAGCCTTCCAGTCTGGGGAGTTGATATTTGGGTATGGTAGGCCGACGACAACGACGCAACGGCCTAGACGGTCGGAGAAGTTGATCCCCTCACTCATCTTGCCGCCAACTACGCTAAGGAGCAGCGCACCGTGACTCCTGGGTGCCGGGTCGCCTTTGTCACTGGGTTTCGTCTCTTTATTTAGGACCGCATCGCTATACTGATCGAGGACCTCGTCACTTGACCCGCCCTTCGTCTCGCGAAACACCGCCTTCTTGGCTTGCAATCTCTGCCACAGTGTTTTGGGTTGTCCAGAACTAGCTTCGCTCCACGCGGCCACTACCTCATCGAGATAACCGTAGCTTGGGAAGAAGACGACTACCCCGTCGGGGACGACGGTGCAGATGTTGAGAATCGCAAAGCCTAGGTCTCGTATCATGGGCTTTTCGCTTCGCTTCTGAAAGCTGAATTCAAATTCTGCACTTCTTCCGTCGCCTTTCGGCCCGGCGGAGGCCAACGTCCACACACACAGGTTTGAGGACGGGATGACGTGTCCGCAGCTGAGCGTCGTAACTTTGCTACCTGCCAGGCCAGGAAAAAGGTGAGCTGTGTAGTCTTCGAACGGCGACATGGTGCCGCCGGCGAGAATGACGGCTCGGGCGCTAGACGCGATCGAGGAGAATGCGTGGGTAGGCGAAAGGAGGAGATACGAGAGTTTGACATCATCATGAGAGACCTTATGGTAAAAGATGCGGCCCTCAGAGCTCAGGTTGTTCAGAGAGACGAGAAAGGAGAGGAGAGCGTGAAGGACTGGGGTCGACGAAAAGGTCGGTGGAGCGGTAGTAGGGTCCTGAGACTTGACTTGCGCGGCATAACCCTCGATCTTGTATGCTAGCTTAGAGCCTTGTATGTATTGGATTAGTTTGTACATATTGATTTGGTCGATACCCTTTGACCTGAGAAGGGCGTTGGGATCGACTATGCCCTGTTCACTCTAAGATGAGGTATACGTTAGCACGAAGAGAAAAGGGAGACGAGGGGAGAAGAAATGAGAGCTACCTTGAGTTTCAGTGTGCCTCCTAACCAGTCGCTGAGGCCATCGACTACCTTCGCGACTTGAGCCACCATAACTCGATTCTCTCCCTTCAACTTTTTCCCGAACTTTTTGACATACACCCCAAGCATTTGCCTCGCCCGTTTTAGCTCACTGAGGCTGACTTCGGAGGCATAGACATTCGATACCGCGTCCATTATGTTGTGGGCCTCGTCGATTATAACCACGCTCCCGTCAAGTTTGATGCCGAGAGCATCCCTAGCCGTCTTCTGCAAAAGCAATGGATACGGAAGGGTGACGATTTCCGCGCCAGGCACCGCGGTTCTGGAGGCATAATAGGGGCAAACACGTAGCTTCTTCCCAAGTACGAAGAGGTCCTCAATATCAGGGAGAGTGGCTAGGGCGTTGTCGCGGAACTGGTGTGTCTGGCTTAGGTTGTCTGTGTTTGGCATAAACTGACACTTATCTTTTGACCCCGACTGCTGAAGCTCGGTGCAACGATCGTTGATCGCCGGAAGAGAGCCAAGCCGGGAGACGGACGGGTTGATGCAAAGTCGTTGGCGAGAAGACAACGGGAGGTGTTTCACACCCTCGGGTTCTGCGTTATCGCTGCTCCCAAGGAGAGAATCCGGCAAGGAGGATGGAAATGTCGGCCGGCGTAGCTCTGAGATGAACTGTGTTAACTGAGAATGTGTCCTTGAGGCGTAGTAGATCTGCAGATAATTAGTCGGCAAGAATACGAAGATGCGAGGCAAGGTCGCCGAGTGTAATAACTACTGGTCGATATACCTTCACCTCATTTTCGCCCAAGTCTTCTTGGTCGTCTTGCTTCGCTTGAAGCGACCCCAGACCGAGTTTTTCCATCAAGTTCCTCGTCTCCTTGCTGAAGGCTGATTGGCTATCGCCGTCTGCGGGTGCATCCTGGTCTTTCAGCAGCCATTCGTCTTCGTCGTCGGTACCGTCGTCGTGTTTCCTAAGCGTGCTTTCGTCTAGCTTCCTTCGTTTGGCGCCCCTCTCCTCTCTCAGCTTTTCTTCGGCTCGTGCCTTTTTGAGCCGTCCTTCTCTTTCTTCCCATCGCCTCAGCATTTCCTGCCGCTTTCTGTTCAGCATCTGGTTCACTAGCCATGTCGGCTCGTTCTCGAACCCCTTAGATGCTTCGGCAACAGAGCTCTCGAATTGTGACCTATTGTAGTTTCGCAACCAGGTCAAGGCTGCACATATCAGGGACAGCGATTTCCCCTAACTAGGTCAGCAGGCAATTGAGTCTAGAGTTGAGCGGGGACATACAGTTCCGGTTGGGCTTTCGAGGATGCCAACCTGTCCTTCTCCTTGCTGCAGAACTTCATATACGGCATTCATGAATCTCTCCTGAACGTCATATGGCGTATACGGGTGATGGAAGTCGATCTTCCGAACCCCGTCGGTTACTTCATCCATATTGGCAGCTGACTGCTGGAGGCTTGATGCCCCGATTAAAGGATGCAGGGCAAACCCAACTCATAGGAGGCTCGAGTACAAATATGTACGGGTTTACGATATGTGGCTTTCACAACGCTGGGGTGTCACGACGAATAGGTCCCGGGAAAAGAAACGCGGTCGACGATAACGTTGACGACGGTTGGGCTACGTGCACACAGGCTGCAAGGCGTTCACGAGAAGCTAAATACAGCTTGGGGCATCCGACATCCCCGATATGTTCGCGCCAGAGGCCATCGGCATCATCACCAAGGGGATTGGAGTGTTGATATAATTGAGCGCCAAGACCGCGAAGGTGAAATGGGTCGCGTCCGTCGCGGTAGCGTTCATAATTACGAGGTGCTCTGTGGTTGGTGAATAGAGATGACCTAATAGCCGCACCTATGCGGGATAATGTGGCTAAGTAATTGTGGATGAGTATATGTGGCTGGTGGGACGAGAGGTACGGAACAGATGTGGGGGGCCAGGTGTGGCTGGAGCACGCCAATGCGCCCAAGCCCTACCACCCGAAAATTAAACGAGCAAGAATTTCACAAAATCGCTAGCACATTCAAAACCCGCCCCATCCATCACAACCCACCTCGAGTAGGCAAAACATCACACCCCAACAAGCGACTCACCAGCCGAAAATGCCTACCAGATTCTCCAAGACTAGAAAACAGTATGTTTCCCTGTTGATTCGATTCGATTCGATGCAAATTTCCACTCGTTGCTCCGATTCACGTCGCGCCCGCCTCTGCCATGTCCTTCCGTATGGGTTATCGGGTCGAGACAAGTGGGAGGGGGAGGAGAAGAGAAGGAAGAACAGAAACAGTCCCAAAATCAGTGCCCGAGGAGGATACAGAGCGGGAAAAAAAATGATGTAGCTGTCGAGTCGGTTATAATTGATCGAGGGGAGGAGAAGATGGGAATGGGCGTTGGCGATTTCCGGCGGCGCGGCGCATTGGACGACGAGTCTATCACTGGGGTTTTTTTTCTTCCAGTTCTGCCTCGATGAGAGAGCAACGCTAACGATCTCGATAGTCGTGGCCACGTCTCGGCCGGTCACGGTCGTGTTGGCAAGCACCGCAAGCATCCTGGTGGTCGTGGTATGGCCGGTGGTCTGCACCACCACCGAACCAACATCGATAAATACCACCCTGGTTTCTTTGGAAAAGTCGGCATGCGATACTTCCACAAGCAACAGAACCAGTTCTGGAAGCCCATAATCAACCTTGACAAGGTACGGTACCTCGTAACCCCCCACTTGACTCTGGACTTGTGCTGGGAGCGGTTCGAGGCACGCGGAAGTATTACTCCCGTCGCTGGGCGATTCACTAACTGGACGTTTCGCAGCTGTGGTCGCTTGTCCCCGCCGAGACCCGCGAGGCTTACCTGTCCGGCGCGAAGAAGGACACGGTACCAGTCATCGACCTCCTACCCCTCGGCTACTCCAAACTCCTCGGCAAGGGCAGAATCCCGGAAATCCCGTTAGTCGTCCGAGCGCGGTGGGTCAGCAAATTGGCGGAGAAGAAGATCACAGACGCTGGCGGCGTTGTCGAGCTGGTGGCGTAAAGAGGCGCCGGCAGAAGGGTTTCTATTTCAGGAAGATGGGAACGGATACCTGACGTTTGGGACGGTTGTAACTCAAGGACCTGCATAATGACAGGTAGGCGTCAGCTTTCTCGAGCATGGCATGGCATGATCGGCTTCTACATATGAAAGGGAGTTCAGATGAATACAAAAATGCGTTTTACCCCCAAATGACAGCAGGGGTCGAGTTTGACCCCACGACCCGACTGCGCCCTGCTTGCGATGATCAGGGGATGAGAAAAGGGCGGTCTGACGAGAGGAGGGGCGCCGTCTACACGGACTGGATGTGCGGCCGCAAACTACGATTATGTTGCAGCTATGTACTACGCTGTAGGGCTGGATTTGGGCGGACGGGCGTTCGCTCACCTCACGAGTTAAGCGGCGGGCCATGTTCATGTTCATAGCTGGGGGGGGGGGAAGGTGGAGCGAGGCGCGAAAGGCGAAATGCAGACGGTGGAGGGCGATTGGGATGGTATGGCGTCGCATCAGGGAATACCGTTGGTGTGTGTTTAGGAGGTACACATGTGCCAACTGTATTTAAAGGAAGGTCAACGAAGCGCTCCCGTGTCAGGTTGGTCGGCAGTAATGTCTGTGACCCGGACGCGGTGGTGACTAGAGAGGGTCATATGGGGGATGCTTTCGGCGGCCGTCTCGAAAGGCGCGGAAGCGCGACATTGTGCGTAATCTGTCGAGTGGCATCCGAAGGCTCCGACCGAATTAGCACCTGATCCACGGATGCGCTCTCCCCTAGCCGGGTGGATGCTGTATAAGAATACGATGTCTGTCTAGCCCACTCGTCTACGATAGATATATTGACGCGGTGTACGGACTACCTACCGCAGAACCTCCCGCCGCAGGTAGACCGGGTGTCCCTGAGGAGTAGCAGGAATTGCGCTGAACATCCTGATATCGACATCCGGGGGTCCACGAGGATGACTCGGAGCAGAGGACTAATGGGTCCGAGAGAGGAAAAAGAGCGAAATGGAATAGCAGTGGTATGATGATGATAAACAAACAAATGCCTGCCTGCTAAGGTAGTAAGTAGGTAGGTAGGTTAGGAGGTAGGCAGATAAGGAAGAGAAGGAGGCTATCTCTACCTACCTCTCAGTGCACGTCAATAGCATGTACCTTAGGTACTTAAGACGTGTACTCATATGCAACTGCGCAAGGGGCTAGACCGTGCGGCTGGGAAGGCGCTCTAGCACCTAAGCACCTCTGCGGATCCTGCATGTGACGGGGCGCGAGGGCTTGGGATCTATTGGTCACGCAGTCATGGGATGGCCCCGAAGGGGAAAGGCGCGTTGCGATGCTGACTTTGGCACCGAAGGGAAGTACCTTGGGTACCTACATATGTACATGTCTACCTATAGCCTACGGGTACCTTAGGTACCTACCTAGGTAGGTAGATACCTCTAGCCTACCTCTACTCAGTGGGAGGCAAGCGTTTACCATAGGTACATTCTGCACTGGGGCCAGCCCGACCCACAGGAGTGCCTAGCGAGTGCCTAGCAGGTGCCTGGTTGCTGTGACTCAATTCACACCTCCTAGTACCTGGTCACCTAAGCTCGGTTTCAGAGGTACCTAGCTAAGCTAGAAGAGCACCGAAGTTGTTAGATGTTCGTAGGTAGGTATATTATACACGGTCCAGCACGGGCTGGAGGGGGGGGAAAGCAACGAGGGAGCATGACAACTGAGGGGGTTCTCCGGTCACACCACGGTTCTATGCGCGGTAGCAGAAGTTAGATTGGTACAGGCACCCGAGGTGTGTCGAGCAACAATGCAAATGTATGTACGTGTACATGTCACCTACATACCTCCTCTACGATCCAAGTGCGCGGTGGATACCCGGTTGTGGAAGGGTTCCAGTTCAGGGGTGTCATATGTACAATGAACAGGTGCCTTTCGCAGGGCAGACTGGCGCTCCACGTCATCTCGGCTCGGCGCCTCGAGGTGAGGGAAGCAGGTAGAGGTACCTAATCTAGGTAGGTAGGTACTTAGGTTCCATTGTTACCCCCACCCGAGGACTGAAATTCATCGTTAGAGGAGGTACCTACGGGTAGTCCTTATACAATGCTACTACAGACCTGTATGTCCGTAATACCAATATCTGATGCAAGGACAGGCAGGTTATTAGACCCGAACTGCTGTGTGCCTCGAGGCCGATAATAAGAAGGCTTACCTTAGGCTGGCAAGCCATTATGCTCGAAACATAGAAGGTAATACCGCTCGGGCGGGCTTCTGTATAAGATACCTTGCTACCTAGGTACTTCTTGGGTACCTAGGTAGACGTACGTCCGCCATGCAGGTACCTGCCCTCTATTACATACCGGTAGGCAGGCAGGTATAAACTCGAGATAATCCCCGGGAGGTCAAGCCCCTAGCCGGATCCATGTCCATTAGGTAACCCTGCATATTCAATACCGTCGATTCCACCATCCATCCCCATTCATCCGTCCCGTCCCATTTGCATATGTATCTGCGTTTCCATCACCACACTCTCTCCCCGATCCATCCCTCCGCCTTTGTTCCTACATCTGGGATCCTACGCAGGTGCACAGATACATACCTAATCTGCTGCTGTCCGACCTGTCCCATCCGTTGATCCATCCGCATGCCCAGCTCGCCGTCCTCACCTATCCAACACCCAATCGTCTAGCCCCGTCCCGATCTGGTCATCCGCCGTGCCCCTGCGCTCGGAAACGAGCATACAGCGCCTTATCCGCTGACGGGTTCTTGCTTACCGCGCCTCCCTATCTACCTACTACTGTCGGCCTCGCTGCCTCTCCGCTTGGTTTCCTGTCCGTCCGGCTGCCCGTCCGTCTAGTTACCTAGCTGCTTATCTACCCGTCCTATCCCGCTTCGCCGAGTAGTCTCCCATACTTCTTCTCTCCTCCTCCTATCTCCATCGCCGTCTGCCACCTCGACGATGCGTCTGCGCTGCTGATTCCACCGCCTGGATCAACGGGCCCGCTTCACCCGACTACTTTTGCGACAACCTTCCGGCAGCTTTGTTCTCCTCAAGCTTTTGAGCCCCTTGGCGCCGCTGCCCGTGCGGCTTTAGGTAGCCGTGTCGCCTTCCCATTCGTCTCCGGCCGGTCTGTGTGGAGCCAAGCCCTGGGCACCGCTGATTTCCACGATAGCGTCCGCGAATCCAAAGTTGTCCGAGCCGTGCGGCCTGTGCACAAGTCGCTCGCCTTGTAGCCTGCTGTGACCTTTCCTTTCCTTCGGGTTTGCCGTTCCTTCGACTCCCGCCTCTCTTCCCATGGCACCGTCATCAGAGGACGGCGCCGCACAGAGGCACGTTAGTAAAAAGCTTCATAAGAGGCACAAAGAGGATCGCCATCCGACCATGGAGCTTCCCGACCGCCTCAAAGACCATGGGGATGACGCCGACGAAGACGTCTTCCCGCCTCACCAGGGCGCCCAAATGTTCATGAACATGAACCAGTCGATTTTCGGACTGATTGCCGCCGCCGGTTCCACCGCAGATTTCAACGATCGATTTGACAACCAGTCCAGCGACGACGATGAAGATGCCGAGCAGGGCGACCGTCCGAAAAAGAGCAGAATACCGGAACGAGTCTCGCAGACCACCATATTGGAGCGGAGCCGTTCAAGAAAACAAAAAAGCGAGAAGCAGCAGAGGAGGTTATCGGAGCACTTGCTACGCCCCTTTTCACGCTTGTCGCCGCGCAGCAGACTCAAACATGACGGATCCGCCAGTACCCGACCCTCCGACTCGAGCCCCGACGCTGACGTCGAGAGTGTGGGCTCTCCCATTGCCGACGTCCCGTCGCCCACGCTCGACGCGACCCAGGTCGACCGCGAAGAGCGAATTGCCCCTGTCATGAGCAGAATGCTCAACGCAAAAGCAGAGATGTCTTCGAGGCCGAGTTTCGATCTCGAAAGGCTATCGGGCGACAACCGTAGGGGGGAGAGCGAAGACCCCGGACCTAGCAGGTTGGCTCGGCAGTTGAAGCGGATATTCGAGTTTGACGAACCCGAGGAAGTCATCCAAGGTATTTCTCCAGTGCTAGCTTGACCTAGCTTCAAATTTGTTACGGCGTACCTGCTAACCTCGCCGTCTAGAATATCCTTGCTGGCTACTCCAAAGCGTGCTATTGCAGGGTTACATGTACATCACTGCTAAGCACATCTGCTTCTATGCCTACTTGCCTAAGAAAGCGGTATGCCGCCCTCTCTACAGCTCACATACAGGAACAGTGCTAATGCCGGGGATAGCACGAAGTTGCTAAATCAGGGTACTTGTCGAAGAGCGGCAAAAGGAACCCCAAGTACAACCGTTATTGGTTCCGCCTGAAAGGGGATGTGCTGGCTTATTACCGAGACGTAGCCAACCTCTACTTTCCGTACGGCCAGATCGACTTAAGCTATGCCATTTCGGCCAGCATCGACGAGAAGGAGAAAGATGGCTTGTACTTTTCCGTTGTCACGCATCACCGGACATACTACCTCAAAGCCGACAGCGCCCCGAGTGCTAAGGAATGGGTCAAGAGCTTGCAACGGGTCATATTTAGATCCCGCAACGACGGCGACAGCGTCAAGATTTCCCTCCCGATCGACAATGTCATAGATGTCGAGGACACCCAGATGATAGAGTTCGCCGATACTTGTAAGATCCGCGTGATCGATAACGATGACACGTACGCGATAGACGAGGTAAGAAATCCGTCGGATGCCTACGTGGACGAGCAGCTTGTTTGCTAACGAGAGTAGTACTTTTTCTCTTTCTTCAGCTTCAGCAAAGACGCCATCAGTGTCCTCAAGATCTTGGTGGACGGCGCTTCGAAACAGCAGGAGGCGAAGAACACCGCGGAATTAAGACCTTCCCAACTCGTGGTGGGTGAAGGCCCCACCCGCCATAGCTCTATTAGTGCTCGGCGCAGTAATGGACCTGCCGCTCTCGACTTGAGATCGCCCAGGCTTCGCGAACATGTGAGGGCAACATTGGTTCCCATGTCTCCCCATAGCCCCCGAGAATCGAGCCCTCGAGCCAGCACCGAGGCGACTCGTAGCAGCTTCGACGCGATCCGCCAGTTTGGGCGACGAAGCCTCGACCCCGATACCCTAACCCAGGATGCGCCTCGTCGGAGTTTTAGTGCTCGCCGCTCACTTAGCAAACACCGCGCCCACGGGAGCGTTCCGCCTCAGGAGCAACCGGAATCATCCGAGTCCTTAGTTCAGTCCCTTGAGGATCCTAGCACGTCCGCCGTGGCGTCGTCGTCAAACGATGACCCCTCTGGCAGCCAGATATTGCGTGGTAGCGAGGTGTTCCACAGGCCTACCATTCGCCGCTCGACCTCCGCCTCGCGCGCCTCTAGGAGAGATAAATCTTCCGGCGCGGGTCATTTGTATGATAAGCCGACAGAATTTTCGCCTTACCACGTGCATCACGCTGCCACCACGGGACACGTCGATGATCTTGGCGCGAGTGAGAGGTCTGACCAAGCCCCATCCGCGACGGCGCAAGGACTCCGAGGAATAGCCAAGATGGGGGCGTACCCTTTACAACGGGCGGGGTTGTTCGCTAACTATTTGAATCAGACGGGCCGCCAGGTCAGCAGCCTGCTAGCGACCGAGTCGATGGGCTACGTGGAGAAGGTGTCGGGGATGTGGAAAGGCGGGCCTAAACATTATCACGAGACTGCTACCCTGAAGCCCGATGGCGAGCTGGACGACGACGCTGGTAACGGCATCGACATGGACCGATTTCGCGCGCACTTCGCGCTCCCGGAAACGGAGAAGCTCCAAGCGGTTTACTACGGCTACATAGTTCGCGTCTTACCTCTCTATGGCAAGATCTACATAAGCGATCGCCACTTCTGCTTCCGCAGCTTGCTACCCGGGACGCGGACGAAATTAATTTTGCCCTTGAAGGATATCGAGACCGCCGAAAAGGAGAAGGGGTTCCGCTTTGGATACTCGGGCTTGGTTGTCGTGATCAGCGGGCACGAGGAACTGTTTTTTGAATTCACCAAAGCCGAGATACGGGACGACTGCACAGTTACCCTGCTGCGGAACCTCGAGACCACACGCTATCTCCGAGAGGCTGGCCTGCTGGATCAAGAAGGCCACGACTACGTAGACGAAGCCATGGCGGAGCGTGACGCCCTCAACGAAGCCAGGCTTCAGGAGAACACCGAGCATGACCTCAAGATGCCCCGTGAGACGTCTTGTATAAGCGACTCGTCCCCCACGATCCTTTTCGACGACCCCAAGGCGTCGTTCCTCAACTTCAAGCCGTCCCAGTCGATGAGAGTTACCTGCTTGACTATAGGCTCCAGAGGCGATGTTCAGCCGTATATTGCCCTCTGCAAGGGACTGCTTGCTGACGGCCACAGGCCCCGGATAGCCACCCACGCCGAGTTCAGAACTTGGATCGAGGGCCACGGCATCGAATTCGCGCCCGTCGAAGGCGACCCCAGCGAGCTCATGCGCATATGCATCCAGAATGGCACCTTTACCTGGGCGTTCTTGAAAGAAGCTAACTCGAAATTCCGGGGCTGGCTGGACGAGCTTCTCGTATCGGCCTACACCGCTTGCCAGGGTTCGGACCTTCTGATCGAGAGCCCTAGCGCCATGGCCGGCATCCACATCGCGGAGGCGTTAGGTATCCCGTACTTCCGAGCCTTTACGATGCCGTGGACCCGCACGCGGGCCTACCCCCACGCGTTTGTCATGCCGGAACACAAGATGGGCGGCGCCTACAACTACGTGACGTACGTCATGTTCGACAATGTATTTTGGAAGGCGACGGCGCACCAGGTTAACCGCTGGCGGAACAATGTCCTCGGTTTGCCAAGTACCAACCTGGAAAAGATGCAGCCGAACAAAGTCCCCTTCCTCTACAACTTCTCCCCTGCGGTCGTGGCACCTCCGCTGGATTACAGCGACTGGATTCGTGTCACGGGCTACTGGTTCCTGGATGAGGCTACTGCATGGACCCCGCCGGAGGATCTCAGAAATTTCATCCAGCAAGCACGCAAGGACGACAAGAAGCTCGTCTACGTTGGGTTCGGCTCTATCATCGTACCGGACCCGGCCAAGATGACGCAAGAGGTTATCGACGCTGTGCAGAAGGCCGACGTTCGGTGCGTGCTATCCAAAGGGTGGTCCGACCGCCTCGGTGGCAAAGACGCCGCGGTTTCGGAACAAGCACTCCCGCCCGAGATATTCCAGATCAAGAGCGCGCCCCACGATTGGCTGTTCGCCCAGATGGACGCGGCCGCTCACCACGGCGGCTCCGGAACCACGGGCGCGAGCTTACGGGCGGGAATCCCCACCATAATCCGACCCTTCTTCGGGGACCAGTTTTTCTTCGGCAGCCGCGTCGAAGACCTCGGCGTGGGCATCTGCTTAAGAAAATGGGGCGCCAACAGCTTCGCGAGGGCGCTATGGGAAACCACGCACAGTCAACGAATGATTGTCAAGGCCCGCGTGCTCGGCGAGACCATTCGAAAGGTGAGTCTACCTCGGCGGGCACGTCCTTTGGATCGTTACGTGACTGACAGTATGGCGGACAGGAGCGCGGCGTGGACACGGCTATCCAATCCATCTACCGAGATCTCGAATACGCCAAGAACCTGATCGTGGCTAAGACGGGCAAGAACGGGACCACCGGCAGCTCTGACGGCACCGTGGGCAACGACGATTCCGAAGGAGAGAGCTGGACTTTTGTCGGAGGCGACGATGTCGACCCCGAGCTCGTCGCGAAGAAGAGTGACCTTCCACGGACGGACGTCGACAGGAGCCGGGCGGCCGGGTTGACCGCGCTAGGCTCGAGGCTGCTCGGCGGCAGAAGCGGCAGCGGGACGGAGGTGGCTCCGTCATCGCGAATCGGGGTTGGTTCCTAGGAGGATCCCTGCCGGATTGGCTAGTTCGGAAGCCTCTGGTGCCCGGTAGCCTTTTTCGGAGAGCCCTGGGGGGGGGGAGCGCCCGGGTTGCCGGGCGACGAAGGGGGACGAGACCGTGACAGCTGCGTCGGGACCATCCGGCCGCAGAGGCAAGGGGAAATATCTGATATGGGTTGGTTGAGAGATTCCGGAAACGCGTGCCCTTCCCAAGGTTTATTACACTTGCCTACGGTGTATTGGTGCGGTGCGCACATAGACTGACTTGCATTTTTTTTTGGTTTTCTTTTTCTTCTGCATCGCCAGCGCCGGCGTCCGGTCCTACTTAATAACCCCCTCTTTATCTCTACACCGTTCTCCTACCGACCCACCTTCTCTCTCTCTCCCTCTCCCTGTCTCCCTCTCTCTCTCACTCTCTCACTCTCGCATAATGGCACGGGCACTCCACAGGTTGGTATACGGGTTCGGGATTAATTCACGGGTGCCCGGGTAATGCAAACGGGCAGGCGGACGAGGGACTAGAGGACTGCCTAAGCTACGTTGTCTATCGACTGTATCAGTAGTATGAATGAACGGATGGCATACAAGATGGGTGGTGACGAACTTGCCCCCCGTCGATGCCTGGTATTTTAATTTTTGCCTGGTTGCGACGGTAGATTTGGTTGTAGCGCAACGCGTCCGTCTGCGTACCTGGCGGGTTCAGTGGCGACGATGCATGCCCTGGCAGTATGGCGGAATTGGCGAGGGGTATGTGGGAATAGATTCGATATCTGGCTTCTTTGCTCTTGGACATTTTTTAAAAGCACAAAAGAAGAAGAGAGCGGCTTTGGTAGTGGGATGCGCGTGGGTAGAAAGTACTAGCATGTATCCCCATCGAACCTCCTAATCCAAAGCCGAAGCGCTTCCAACAAAGGAAGAAAAGGGGGTTGATGCCACCAGCCACATCACATGGGAGGAGCCTCAGCCACGCTAAGGCAATTTGCGCCAAGTACGCGGGTACGGAGCAGGGGCTACGGGTCTGAGACGCATCAGGTATCCGCTGCTACGTACCACTTGCTCGCCGCAACCGCGGGCCGGTACTTGCCTCTGGGGCCCATACCAGGTATCTGGGATGTACCTGCTCCTGTGTCCTGAGGTACCTGGGGGGGGAGGTACCTACCTGGGCAGGTTACATATACGTGTAGGCAGAAGTGGGAGGAGGTGGGTAGACATGATGTACTCCAGTACCCCAGCACCCCAGCACGTCAGGTACCTGTAGCAATGCTGAGAGGGATCGGGAGCTGCCTCCCCCCCCCCGCCCGCAAACGGACTGGGACGGGCGGAGGGGTTTTTTGGGCTGTCGACAGAGCAGCGCGCCCGGGCCACGCATCACCCAGCAGTACAAAAGGGGCCCCTCATCCCCAAGGCAGACTCGCACGTTCTAAGGGGAAATGTACGATTTTGCCCAGGGACTTTTTAAGGCAGAGAGAAAAGAAGAAACGCGCGGCTCCGTGTCGGGCACGCGACTCAACGGCCTTCCGTCCGGCATTTTTATTTGATCTGATTTGATTATTATTATTCTCGTCTTCCGTCCGTCCCTCGTCCGGCCCTGCTTACCTACCTCCGCAACCTAGTCGAGCCCGGCCACCACACCGATTGACGTCCCGTCTGCGTGCACCCCTTATAGCCCGGCGCTCGAGGCTCAAGGGCAATCCATCACACAGCACAGGCGCCCGGGCCAGCAGCACCGCCGCCCGCGCATACCTGCCTCCTCGCCTACCAGTTAGGTAACCTTAGGTACCTAGGGTAGCGAACTGAATGGTACCTCCCTCCCTACCTGAGGAGCCTCGGGTTATCGATCCTGTCCCGTCCGGCTTGTGGTCGACGTCCGTCCCCGACGCGGTAGAGAGCAGAGAGAGAGCGCAGGGGATAGGAATAAAAACCTACTTACTTAGGTATGCTGAGCTTCTTTTTTTTCTTTTTCTTTTTTCTGGGTATATTTTTCGCCTTTTTTTTTTCCCTCTTCTCTTTATTCTTCTTGCCCTTCTTCTCCTTCGCCCTGCGGTCTCTGGCGCACATACGATTCGTCGGGGCGTCGCATGTCGGCCGGCTGGTGGGTGGGTGCATTTGTACTGCTACCTCCCTCGCGTTGCCGGCATGCGCACGTCCATCCAACCGTCCCCGTGCCGACAGGTAATGCCATCATCACCCTATCGCGGCCATCGCCTCACTGGCACCTCCTCCATCACCCGCTCGCACGCCCCCGTCGCCTGGCCTGCGGCACCCATGCCTTACCTACCTACCTACCTACCCAGCTTCGCAGCGTCGTCGCGGACGCCGCCATGGTCCTGGTCGTGGTCCTGGTCGTGGTCCTGGTCGTGGTCCTGGTCGGGGCTGGAGTGCGCCGACGGTCTGCGGATGCCCCGCTGGTACGATTGCTGCCGCCCGCCATGTACCGAGTACCTGGCCGCCTACCTTTAGGTACCTAAGGCTAGGTAGGTACCTGGCCCAGCTCTGCTGCGTGTTCCCCGGGGGCTTGGCCCTACCTATATGGGCGCTGTCCCTTCGCCCTCACCTTGCACTGCAATCCGGTCCACCGAACCGTCTCCTCCCCCAATTGGTAGCTGGTTACGCGGTACCGCCACCGGCACCGGCCCAAGTTCATCGCTGCCCCATTCCCCCCATCGCTCCTCGGCGCTCCCATCACCGCCGTCGACCGCCTGCTGCTTGTCCTGCCTTACCTGACCGTCCATTGCCCATCCCTCGCTGACCACCTGCCGCCCCGTAGACGGAGAACGAGTCGGTCACAGCTCTCCCTTGTTACCATCAACAACCACCACGACCACCACCTCCCTCCCCCTCCCGCGACGCGCCGCAGTAGTCAGTAGCCGCTACGGCCAGCACCCATCCCGAGCGAGTTGGCTTTTCGCCGGTTCCGCCCACGCTCCGCCGACGCGAAGCACGCCGTACCACGTGAGCTTGTCGGGCCTCTAGCTGCGTCGTGCACGAGCGCCTCGAGGCCGGCTTGCTAAGGATTCGCTCGCGACCGCTGCTTTTACGCGCGACGCCGTCATCCCAGAGAATCTACCGGCTTCGTCCATCCCCGTTCCCACGGTGCAATGGGAAAAGCTGGGGCTCTCGAGCTCAACCCGTCCTATTTTCCCACTTTCCGTCATCCGTAGTGGTGGCGCGTCATACCCTGGATCAGTGTATGTGTGTATGTGTGTGTGTCTGTGTTCGTTCTCGCTCTCTCCCTTCTTATCCACCGTGACAATGGCCGCTTTGTTTTGTTCGTTTCTCGCCTTTATTCCACCTCACCGCCTATTTCTCGCACCTCTCCTTCTCGAGTCCTACCCCGTCTGGTCGGATCCGATTTCGATACCAACCGGATACGGCACCATCTCATCTCCTCTGCCGCTCCATGCTGATCTCTTTATTGCTGTCTAGGATATAGCTCGTGCCTAAGCGCATGACCGCCCTTACACCCTCCCAAGCCACCCGACATGGCGAAAACCCTTCGGTTAGGAGCTCGGCTCCGTTACCCCATCACTATATCAAAGTTCCTAAAGAACCACGGTGACGACGTCGCCAAACAAGAACCCATCCTCCGCTACACCTTCAGGTATACCCGCAAAGTTGGCGACCCCAGTCTCGGCGAAGAGCACGACATCGAGGAGACCGGTGTCGCGGACTGGGATAGCCCTGCCGAGGGCAAAGTAAAACAATGGCGCGTTAAGGTGGGAGAGGTGATCAAGAAGGACCAAGATCTTGTTGTCATCGAGGAGACCTGTGGCCACGAGGTGCAATATGCCGGGCTCTGCGCCATCTGCGGGAAGGATATGAAGGAGCAGAGCTATGCTACCGAGTCGCTCGACACTGAACGCGCCACGGTCGCCATGGTGCACGACAACGTTGCCCTCACCGTCAGCCAGGACCAGGCCACGCGCGCCGAGATGCAACTGCAGCGCCGGTTGCTCAAGGATCGGAAGCTCAGTCTCGTCGTCGACCTGGATCAGACCATCATCCACGCCTGCATCGAGCCCACCGTCGGCGAGTGGCAGCGCGACCCCTCGAATCCGAACTACGAGGCCGTCAAGGACGTGCGCAGCTTCCAGCTCGACGACGGCCCGCGAGGGCTCGCTAGCGGCTGCTGGTACTATATCAAGATGCGCCCGGGTCTGGCAGAGTTCCTGCAGAACATTTCGGAGCTGTTCGAATTGCACGTTTACACCATGGGCACCCGCGCCTACGCGCTCAACATCGCCAAGATTGTCGATCCTACCCAGAAGCTATTCGGTAACCGCGTTATCAGTCGAGACGAAAACGGCAGCATGACCGCTAAGAGCCTGCAGCGGCTTTTCCCCGTCAGCACCAACATGGTGGTGGTCATCGACGACCGCGCCGATGTGTGGCCGCGGAACCGGTCGAATCTGATCAAGGTCTCACCTTACGATTTCTTTACCGGCATCGGCGATATCAACTCTAGCTTCCTGCCCAAACGCGAAGACATCATAGCACCCTCCCCTCACCCTGAGCCGAAGCAGCCGAACGGCAACGCCCGGAAGCCAGACGTCGGCGCCGACCCGACCAGCCCCGCGCCCGAGAACGGGAAGACACCTGCAAATAATAGCGAAGAAGACGCGCTGCTCCAGCTGCAGGCCGAGGAGCAAGAGAGGACGCTGGAGAAGCAGCTCAAGGACCGTCCTCTGCTGCACCTGCAGGAAGAGCTGGACCGGGAGGACGACGAGGCCGAGAAGAAGTCGGCGACGGAGAATGGTGATAGCCAGCAGCATTCTACTAACGGACACCCGGAGAGTCCCGCGCATCACCGGCACCACATTCTACGCGACGACGATAGGGAGCTGGTATATCTCACAAAACACCTCACCAACCTACACCATTCCTTCTACGAACAATACGACGCGCGCTCCGCGCATCGTCGGCCGGACGATATCGTGCCGGACGTCATCCCCGACGTGGGATCGACTCTCAACTTCCTCAAGTCGCAAGTTCTGCGAGACGCGAGGATCGTGCTGTCGGGGCTCGTGCCGCTGGGCGTCGACGCGCGCAAATCCGACATTGGCATGCACGCTGAAAGCTTTGGGGCCGAGATCCGGACACGCGTAAGCAGCGACATCACCCACCTCGTCATCAGCAGCTCCCGGCCACGAACACAGAAGGTCCGACAGGCGGCGCGCATCTCGACGATCAAGATCGTAAACCAGAACTGGCTTGCCGACTCCATCATGCAATGGAGAAAGCTCGACGAGGCTCCGTACCTCGTGCACGTGCATCCGTCCGATCGAGCCGCCGAGGCGCCCCTCGAAGAAGGCTCGGCTTCACCGCCCCGGCCGAGGATCACCATCATCAACTCGGGTCGACAGCTGTTCGAGGACGAGGGGAACGGCGGATTCGAGGACGGCGACGCGGACGACTCGGGGGACGAGGAGGACGACGACGACGACGATGGCGACGAGGACGAGGACGACGAGGACGAGTTCCACGATAGGTACAACGTGATGCCGCCCGAACTAGAGGACGGCGAGCGTAGCCCGGTTGACGGCCTCGTGGGGATGGAGTGGGGCGACGTCGACAAGGAGCTCGAGGAATTCATGGGATCCGATGTCGATGATTCAGACATGGATAGCATGCAGGGCACGGACCTCGGGACGGATACGGACTCTGAGGAACCGAAGGGCCGGAAGCGTAAGCTGCAAGACGACGGCGAGGCCGAGGAAGCCGCGGGCAGCGCGCTGGCTAAAAAGCAGCGCATCGCTAAGGCGAGGACTACGGGTCTACGGAACGTACGGAACGCCACGGACGAGGAGGACGCGGGCGATAGCGGCCTACCGACGCCGATGGGCACCGGCGACGAGGAGGATGGTAGGCGCGACGCGAATGCCGACGACGGGGACGAGGGTGATAACGATGTAGACGACAACGCCAACGCTGGAGTCGACGACGACGACGACGACGACGACGACGACTTTGCCGACCTAGAGGCGGAGCTCGAGGCGGAATTAGAAGCCGAAGGCGAGAAAGGGTGACAAATAACAGCCTTCCCGTCCCGGCCAGCCCGGGGCACAAGCTAGCTCAGTTGTCTTGACTCGTTTTGTCGCGTTATCATTTTTGTTTCTTCTGGAGTTCTGAACTCGGCGGGCAGGCGTAGTTATACCGGGCAAGAGGAGGTGGCAGGGTAGAGGGGCCCCTCCCCCCTTCGCAGGTTTGGCTGCATAGCGATATCGCGTTGAGAGCATGGCAACCGAGTCCTTTTTCTTTTCCCCTGTCGCGGTTGGCAATCCGAAGGCACGCCCACCTATCGCGCGCGTGCGAGAGACAGAGAGAGAGAGAGAGAACCAGGGAGAGGGAGAGAACCAGGGAGAGGGAGAGAACCAGGGAGAGGGAGAGAACCAGGGAGAGGGAGAGAACCAGGGAGAGAGAGACAGGGAGAGGGAGAGAGAGCTTTACCGAGGTAGGGCGAGTATGTAGGCCGGCATGTAGGTAGTAGATCTAACAGTGTACTTAATGTGAAGAGGAAATGCTTCCTCCCCTCCCCCTGTTCTCTTGGTCGTTCTACCGACTTACATCCTCGTTGTGTCGCTCTACGTACCTACTGGCATGCACATGCACATAGGCTAGACAACATGCCGCTTGATATGAATTATGTGATCTTGGATCGTGCCAACATCGTGTAATACTATCCCGCCTCGTCTGGGAAACGCTAGGGTACCTGACTCACGGGTTGTTTACGTGATCCTTGAAGCCTTCCACGTGACTGACTTACGTAAATTCCGCCAAAAACTCGCGCCTCTGCCCATCCCACCCGGCCAATCCAGATCGACGCATTTTCACCCGCTCTTCCCCATCCGTCCCGTGGACATCCCATCGTCGACGAGTCGGAGCCCCCATTGCTCGACACCACCGCACCCCGCGAACCGACCCAGTTAAGCCCACGAAAGAATCGACACCATATAGACCGTGTACGCGTGCGCGCGCAGACCTTCTCGCCCGCCATGCCGCAGGATATGCCCCCCACCGGGGGCTACGGCCCCGTGCAGTACAAGGTCGGTTGTGCCCATCCCGTCCCACCCCCCCCCCCCCCCCTCTCTCTCCGCACGGGGGCGACGCTAGCTCCGGAAAAAGCGAGACCGCGGCGTAGCAGCGGAGGCAGTTATCTATGTGATCGCCGCGCGCTATCGACCGCAGCTCGGCGGGCATTCGTATCAGGGCTAACCCGGGGGGGGCCGTGTGTCCTGCGCAGCGCAACATCCCGGCGCCGGGCTTCCGGCCGACGACGTGGCTCCTCGCGATCGGAGGCATCATGACGTACGGGTTCTACAAGCTGGGGGTGGGCGTCAGAGAGCAGAAGTGGGTTGGCACCGGCGCCTCGAAGGCTTGTCTGTTGTTATTAAGCAGCTGGAGCTAACCCCCCCGGACCCCGCAGCGAGCTCGCCCGCGAGAAGATGTGGTCGCGCATCCACCTCATCCCGCTCCTCCAGGCCGAGGAGGACCGCGACCTGGTCCGCAGACACCTCGCGGACCAGGCGCGGGAGAAGGAGCTCCTCGGCGAGAACCTCCAGGTGTACAACTCGGGCAGGTATGTTGCCATCCCCCCCTCCCCTCCGGGCCGAGACGCTCGCGCTGAGAACCCCCGTTCCTCGTAGATACGTGCGGCCCACCTTCGCCGTCACGCCCGCCAACATAACGAAGTGAGGATGCGACACGAGTTTAGAGTGGTGGGACCTGCAAGCATACGTCGCCGAGTACGCGCGAAACGGGCTTCGCCAAAAGCCGGTGCGGTGGGATTTGTACATAGACTGACAGAGAAGGCAATGAGTACGACGCTTTCCTTCCGCTGACGCGCGGCAACGCGGCGATTTCACGTCGGACTGAAGTTTACGCCAGCAATAACAACCAGAGAGCCCCAGGGACATTTATTGCTCGAGCAAGAATGGAATGGTTGGCATTATTACAACCGCTATCGAAGATCCAAAAAAAGAGAAAAAAAAACCCCCCGAGTTCCAGCTGTCTCCAAAACATGCCTCATGAAGTAGCAAGCAGCTCAAAGCAATGCAGTCGCGCAAACACCCGCTATCCCTATGATCTTATATATACACACACATAAATATCTGTACACCCACCTTCCGCTACCGGAGCTCGTACCGGCGTATGCCCTGGCCGTTGAGCTCCGACTGAGGACTCTGGGCCGCCGACGTGGGCGACACCGCGGGGGTGAATATCGCGGTGGGAGACTCCGCGCCGTCCGGGGACACGCCGGGCCCGGAGTCCTCCTCGCGGCCGACGGAGGCGGAGGCGGACCGCGTCGGGTCGGCGTCGGCGCGGAACCTTTCCGCCGGCAGCTCGTAGATGTTGGTCGGCGGGCGGAACGGCGTCTCGACGGGCTTCTCGTAGACGGGGTGGGGGGCCTCGGAGCTGCCCGCGGCGGCGGCGGCGGCGGCAGAGGCTTCTTGGTCTCGGCGCCGCCGCCGCCACAGCAGGAAGATGAAGAACGCCGACGCGAGGACGCCGACGGTCAGGCCGACGCCGAGGCCGGCTTTGGTGCCGTTGGAGAGGCCGTCGCTGTCGATGCCGAGGCGGGGGTCTGCGGTGGACGAGGGCAGCGAGAAGGAGGTGGAGATCGGTTCCAGAACGGTAGGCTCAGCCGGAGAAGCGGTGGCGGTAGCGCCGGGGGCGATCGGGCTGCCGTCGTTGCCGCTGCCCCCCGCCGCGGCTATCGTCGGGCTGCGCATGATCTTGAAGCCGGCGGCGGCGGCGAACGCGGACGCGGCGGGGAGGACGACGTCGGTGGTGATGGTGGAGGCGGAGACGGTCTTGGGCTGGCCGGGGACGGGGACGCCGGAGGGGATCTGGGCGCCGTGGACGGGGAAGGGGACGAGGCGCTGGGCGTCGGCGAGGCCGGCGGCGCCGGTGGCGTCGCGGCGGGCGCTGGCGAGGCCGAACTTGCCGTTGAAGTGGTCGAAGACGGCGTAGGCGGAGAGGAGGAAGGCCTCGCCGAGGTTGTAGTAGGCGGGGTCGGTCTCGTTGAGGACGAGGAACTCGCACATCTGGCCGGGGGCGTCGGGGCCGAGGCGGTGGGCGTCGTCGTCGTCGTCGGGCAGGATGAGCACGGGCCGGTCCGCGACGAGCTGCCGCATCGGCAGGTCGATGCGCGGCCCGCGGTCGCCGCCGAGCCCGAACACGAACGAGCCCGAGCTGTTGCGCATCGCGCACGGCACCACCGGCCCGCCGATCCCCGCGTCCCACTCCGCGCCCGCCACCGCCCACATGGCGACCGCCACGTCCGCCGGCAGGTACATCTCGCGCACGCTGGTCCAGACGAGCGCGAGCACGGGCAGCGCGCCCGCGGGCCCGAGCGTGTCGTCGACGCCGCTCGGGCTGACCGCGCCGACCGACGACAGGCAGACCATGGGGAAGAAGCCGGCGTCGTCGCTGAACGTGGTGTTGTACGTGTCGAGGACCATGAGGTCGCCGTCGTACTTCTCCGTGTCGACGGCGCCGAGGAGGAGGTTGCCGGGGTTCTCTGCGACGAGGCGTTCGCGTCAGCGCTGGCCCCAATGCGGTGGAGGGGCAGGGAGGCGAGCGTTACGAGAACAACAGGCGGTTGGGGAGGGGCGGAAGGAAGGCAGACGCGAAGAGAAGGAAGACTCACCCTCCTCGTTGAGCCAGAGGCTGAAGGCCTCGGTGCGGACGAGGCCCTCGCTGACGAGCCCGTACCACAGGTTCGTGTCGGGCGGCACGCCGCGGGGGCTGCGGTACCCGAGCCCGAGGTAGCCGTGGGTCCGGGTGCCGATCCACTCGCCGAGCGCCATGGCGCGGTTCGGGATCGTCAGGCCGCCGACCGTCAGGTCGTCGCGGAACAGGGTCCCGTTGGCGCCGTCGCTGCGCCACGTCAGGTTGCGGGGGTCGGTCACGAAGGTGCTCGAGAGGCTCTTGTTGACTGCGCCGGGGGGGTAGAACGAAAGAAAGTAGCTGCGCGTTAGCCACCTCCTCTCTCTCTCTCTCCTCCTTTCTCGAAAAGGGGGGGGTTTGGGGGGGCAAGAGAGAAGAACTCACAGCTGCCGTAGGGACAGCCCTGCTTGATGCAGGTCTCGGAGTCGCTCGACGGGATGAAGGTCTCCTTGGCGACGGTGCGGGCTTCGAGCTGGACGCGCTGGCCGGCGGTGCCGACGGCCACCTCGACGAACCACGCGCCCTCCTTGCCGCGGTGCAGCGGGATCGGCACCGGGGTGTCGGCGCGCGCGACGAGGTCCGCCGCCCCGAGCATGCCGCCCGCCGGCTCGAGCAGCGCCCGCGGCACCACGCTGCACACCCCGGAAACGGTGGCGGTGGCGGCGGCGGTCGTCGCGGCCCAGAGCGCAGACTGTCTCATGATGGAGGGTGGCGAGGAGTAGCGGGGCGGGAGGGTGAGTAGGAGTACGAATAATAGCGGTGGTGGTGGTGCTCGTAGTAAGGTCGGGAGAGCGAGCGAGCGAGCGAACGGATGTGGTCGAAGCCGCGGAGGAGGAGGATCCGGCGGCGGTGCCCTGCGTCGATCAATCGGTCGAGGAGACTTTGCCCTCGGGGGGCGGGCTTGTTGATGGTGGTCTGCTGCTGGTGGCAGCCAGGCCGATAGGGAGGCAAGTAAACAGGTACGTTCGGTAGGACAGCCCAGCTATTGTCGATCGGACGACGGCAAGAGGAGCTCCAGATGAGCCGACGGCCTACGTCTGGCAGGGAATCGCACGTCGCCGAAGCGGGCACTTTTTTTCTCTTTCCTTTTTCCTTCCTTCCTTCTTTTCCAACGCCTTCTCTGCTCTTCTCGCCCTCGCTGTATCTCCTAGAGGCGTGTGTGCGTATGTGTGCGATTGTGTGTGTGTGATCGTGTATCCGGCACGTCAGTCTCGACGAAGCAGCAGCAAGCGACAACGACCTTTTGCGTTGCGTGCGTGCGTGCGGCGGCGGCGGCGGCGACGATGTTGGTTCTCTGTCGACAGGCAGGAAATCTCGCGCTGGGTTGCCAGCAGCCACCTACCTACCCAACCGCAGTCCCCGTCGTGCGTAGAAGGATTGTTTCGCGATAAGCCCGCACCGCTTCCAGTAACCGAAATAAGAGTCCCCTCTGGCTCGTCGCCAGGATCGTCGCGGCCTCTCTCGACCCCTCCCCCCCCCGTCCCTGGGCCGCGGCACCTCGAACGTCGCCCCCCCTCATGCCATATGGTCGCAAGCAGCGCGCGCTCCTCTCCCTCCTCCAACCAAGCTCCCGTACGGGTTAGGTAGGCGCTGTCGGGGGGGGGTGATTTGAGGTTCGCGGCAGAGGAGCCGCCAGTACACTTCGGTTGCTCGACGTGACGTTGCGGCCGACCGCTGTTAACCCGACTGGGAAGCTGTCAGAGTGGGATGCGACGACCCCTGCTCGCTTCCCCGAGTCCCCTTGCGGGAGAGGAGGGGGGAGGGGATGGGGGGGCTGTTGGCGGCGGGAAACCCATTCGCCCCCGACAGCAGCAGCGCTGACAAGAGTGAGTTAGTAAGAGAGAGAGAGAGAGAGAGAGAGAGAGAGAGAGAGCTCGCCGGCGGCAGAGCCATGCGGTTAGCCCCGTCGCGCATAAGCGGTTGGGGCAGCATTAGGAAGCTGGCGGATCGGGCCAGCGCGCGACAACATTCTATGGCCACTGTATCTCAGACGAGGTTCTCGGCCGGCTCCTTAAGCTGACGCGATGGCGACCCCCCCCCCCCCCCTGCCCGCAGCTTAATATATATCTGGCGCCGCGGCTTTTTATTTTTGTTGCGTGGTTTCGACGGCGCAAGGGCCGAGGCAAGGCAGGCCGCGAAACGTCGGCCCCAAGGCGTTTCAGGCTGCTGCTATTCTCGCGATCGCTCGCTGTCCCGCGCCCGTTTCACCCGAGCGGACGGATTTCGCCTTCACCTACGCCCTATACACGCGCAGAGCGGACCGCCACGACGCAGCGCTCTTTTCTCACACAACACACACACACACACGCACACATCCTTCCCCCCATGCACACAGACAGCGCGACCCCTGCGACGGCCCAAATGACGCCAATCAACTACGTAGCCAGACGGCGAGCGCCAAGCACCGATGGGGACTGTGGGTAGGTGTATTTTAGGCGCTGCCGCTCCCGGACTGCCGAGGAAACTTGTCGACGGCGAAGGCATGCGGGTAGAGGGCGCGGTAGCGCGGCAGTCAGGGGGGAGGGGGGCGTAAATACAGCTTTCTAATCATCTACCTACACGCGCAGACATACGGCGCCGCTGCGCGTGCGTACGTACAGCACCGCACCACACGACCATCCCCTCCCGCCCCCGGTCTCGCCCGTACGATCCGCGAACGGATCACTCTGGCGCTGTCTACATGCTGCTGTACCCGTGCGACGCAAGCGTTTGTGGGCGGCGTGCATGGGGCGCGGCTAGTCGAGAAGTCGGCAAGCTGGCTGGCGAGTAGTAGGCAAGTATTCCCCGAGGCGCTGACGAGCCCGTGGGGTGCGTACGCGCGGTCTATGGGAACTACAGCGCCGCCCGTAGAGTGCTCGCAAGCGCCGGGCTGGGGAGCTGTTGGGGCGTAGTCGAGTCTCTCTCTCGCAGTAGCAGTCTCGCGCGGTGGGCCTTCGTTCATCCGTTCGTTCGTTCATTTGCTCGTCGGCTATAGGCCTCCTCGACCTGTTCTGTACGATCCCACATTGGATCCCACCATCGTGGGCCGCTTTCCTTCGCCCTGGCGGTCGCGAACCGACAGCATCCCCCCCGACGCCACACTCTATCCTCCCTTCCCTCCTTCGTAGCAAGTTCGACGTAAGCAATGCCCCAGCAGTTCGTCCGCCCGCCTTCACGCCGCCGTGTGCACGACGCGGAACCCTTCGCTCACGATCTTGGTGATGTCCTCGTTCTTGTGCTGCAGCAGCCCCAGCGCGAACGCCACGTCGTTCCACTGCCGCTCCGTCTCGCATCGCGTCAGCCGCGCCGCCAGCTTCTCTGCCAGCTGCTTCGCGTGCTTGTCCTGTCGGGTAGTGTGCCGCGGTTAGCAACGCCCAATTCGTCATGTCTCGCGGTATGGAGAGAGAGAGAGAGCTGGTGAGGTAAAGGGAGAGGAGACGAGAAAAAAAAGAGAAACATACTTTCTCGACGAAGCCTAGCAGGAACTTGACGATCCGCCGGAACGGCTCCTCCTCCATCTGGCCCGCCGACAGTAGGCTGAACATGTCGACGAAGTGGTTGTAGACGGCGTTGTCCTTGGTGCTCAGCTCGGTGAAGAACATGCGCGCGAGGTCGGCGATCCGCTTGTCCTCGTCCTCGAGGCACTTGGCCATCTCGCCGAGCTGGCCCTTGACCTTGACCTGGCCGGCGAGGATGAGGAAGGTCAGCGTCATCAGGCACGTCCGCTTCACCGACAGGTCCTGGTCCGCCAGCCGCCGGTACAGGAAGTCCGTGTTCTCGTCGATCAGGTGGTTGAAGCACACCGCCATGTCCCCCAGCGCGATCACCACGTTCGACCGCACCGCCGCGTCCGGCGACCGCTCCATGATCGTGATCAGCAGCGGCAGGTGCACCTCGCAGTATTCGCTGCTCACGCACATCAGCTTCGCCAGGCACAGCGTCGCCGCCGCCTGCAGGCTCTTGTCCCGGTACACGTCGCTGCGCGAGCACACCTCCGCCGCCAGCGGCCCGAAGTTCGCCAGCAGCGACTGCGGCCCGAACAGGAGCTCCTGCTCGCGGATGTGCGCCATCGCCTCCGTGAAGTCGTCCTCCGTCGTGCCGCCGATCAGGTCGAGCTCGTCGCCCGCCTCCTCCGCCGCCGGCGCCGGCGTCGCCGTCTTGCCCCTGCGGCCTACCGACTGCCGCGGCGGGGCCGGTTTAGCCGCCGCGTCCTTCTCCTTCTCCTGCTTCCGCCGCTTGAAGTCGAGCTCGCACAGTTCGAGGTGCACGATCTGTTTGATAGCCACGTGGCCGACGACGAAGAGGAGCTGCGACAGCGCGATCGCCGCCTTCTGCTTGGGCTCGGCCGGTGGCTCCGACGGCGGCCGGTTGATGGTCTGCGTAGGTGCATCGAGGCCCATCGTGATGCCCTGAGTCGCCCCTGGGTCGGCGGTGGCGGTGAAGGTGGCGTCTTGGTCGCGCGACCCTGGCCGCGACAAGGAAGGGGATTTGTGCCTGGCGGCAAACACGGTCTTGGTCCTGCGCCGGATGATCTCGGAGCATAGGGCGTCGGGGTGCTTCGCGAGGACGTAGATGGCGTTGATGGCCTGCTCGGCCACCCCGAACCATTCCTTGCTGTCGCTTGGGACTTCGGTGATCGCGGCTAGCTTCGCCAGCACGGCGTGCTCGTTGGGCAGGCGGCTGAACGTGACCGTGGAGTCCTTACCCTGACGGCCGGTCGGGTTCAATCGTCGCAGGGCGATGCACGTATACTTGGCTAGTTGGAGGTCGGCTCTACCGTGCGCACCAAGCCCAGTTCGTAGCATCGTCTCCATCTCGCCGACGACGATCTCCGGGGAGGAGGTAGCGAGCATGCCCAGCACGATGATGGCACCCCTCCGTTGGGACCGGGAGATCTCCCTCTTGTGAAAGCCGTACACCTCCCACAATTTCGTGATGACCCGGTCGGAGATCATGCCGCCCTTCATCATGGTCGCGAGCAGTTGCTCCAGACTCGTCAGCTCCGCCGGCGTCGTACCCGACGTGAGACTGATCATGTTTCTCGCGATGTAGATAGCGGCATCGTTCGGACTAAAACTATCCGGCGCCTCGAAGAACAGTCGCTTGTAGCAGTCGATGAGATGCGACTGGACGCCCTTGCCCTCGTCGCTGTTGCCCTTCGTCCAGATGAGCCGCATCATCCGCCGGATCCCAACCATGTTGTCCTCGATGTTGTAGGCGTTGCCGATCTCGAGGTAGTCCATCGCCTCGATCACCTCGGACTTGTTCTTGGACCCTAGAAGCTGGCAGACAGTAGACGTAGCCTCGTGCAGCACCTCGATGAACTTGAGGGCGTCGGTGTAATACCTCTTTGTCAGGGTTAGCTTCTCTATAGCTTCTGACGTAGCTGCGTCCTCCTGGGCCTTCTGGACCGCCGCCGCTTTCTCCTCGTCGCTCATCTCCCGCGGCTTCTGGGGGGATTCGATCTGGGTGGGCTCGTCTACCAGCGCGGTGCTGTTGCCCTTGTCCTCCCCCAAGCCGGGCTCTCCTGCTGGGGGCTTCAGGGCGTCCAATTCGGCGTCGACCTTGTCGAGGCGCTCCTGCCAGTCCTTGCGGGAAAGCTGCGCTCCGTGCAGCACGGTGAATGGGTGAGTCTTGATGAGAGTCCCCAGGAGCTTTATCGCGTTCCTCCTAACGTGGCTACTCTTGTCCTCGAGACTTCTGCAGGCCAGCTCGGCGGCTTTCTGTCGACGCTTGGGAAACTTCTGCTCGAGCTCGCACAGCTTCGTGTAGACCTGCATGGCTCTGCACCGGCAGTAGGGGTTAATGTCGAGGAAGCGTTCCTCCAGGACGTCGAAGAAGGCATTCAGCTGTGATTTGTGGTTCTCGCTGCGCTCTTCCTGGGTGGTGAGGTGGGCGATCATGTTACCGCAGACTTCTATCAAGGAGCACCTCAGAGTGTACGACTTGAGAAACGCACGTTAGAAACCGAAACCCCGGCGCGATCCCGCGCGGAGGTGGCGGGACATACCTCGCTATCCAACTGCTTAGCTAGCATAGTCATTTGCTTGATCACAAGACGGGGGACGAGTTCAGATAGCTTGATGATGAAGGAGGAGACCGACTTCGGACCCTTGGTGTCGTTAGTGTTGAATTCTTTATTGCTTATCTCCCTCAGGATTTCGTCCGCTAGCTGGGGATAGTCGTATTGCTCGGCCAGGATGTGTAGGAATTCAGCCATGGGCTCGGATAGATGTTCGAAGTAGGTCAGGTTTTGGACGATGGAAATCTGCGCAGCTGTTGCGTTCGCCGCGTTAGCACTGGCGACGAGCAATTGACCACCTTTGCATCCCCGATGCTCCGTTCTCACGGCGCTTACCGTAGCCGTGGCCGTGGTGCTTCACGGCGATGCAGAGGACCTTGAAGGCGTGCATCTTGATGGCCGTGTTCTTAACTCTCTGCTCGCTCTCTAGGACCATGTATACGGGTCTGGTGAGGAGGCCGATGAAGGTATCGCGTTCGCTCGTCGTTAAGAAGATCTTGCCTAGTTTCAGCTTGAGGACTTTGGACATGACATCCAATGCTGACTGCAGCTGCGCGGCGCTGTCCCAGTTGCCATCCTTGTCTCGGCTCGCCGAGGCCGCCTTGGACTTGGCGCCCTTACCTCTGGCGCGCGACACGGGGGCGGCGGAGGACTTCTCGGCAGCTTTCGTCTCGACGCAGGCGATGGTCCACTGCAGCAGGAAGCCGTAGATCTCGAGGAGCGACTTATGATGGGCGATCATCTCCTGCTCGTCGGGGTTCTCGAGGTCATGGTTGATGGCGTCGGCCTCGGCGGCCAGGCCGCTCATGATCAGGTCGAAGATCTTGCTGAGGGCGTGCGTGGGCAGGAACTGGGTATATCTGGATTCGAGGAACAGCTTAGAAATTGGTTCTCGCAGGTGGGAGTTGAGTCTGGAAGATTCCGAAGACGGAGGGTAGTCAGGGGAGGCAGGAGATCTGGGTGCACACTTGAGAAGGAACTGCAGCGAGTCAAAGTAGGCGCTGCGCATGATGGCGTCGGGGTTTTCTGCGACGGCATCGACAATGGGGTTCAGGACCGGGTTGAGCAAGGAGGTGTTGGACAGAGACTCGGGATCGCTCTCGCAATCGACCAATGCGCTGTCGGCCTCGGGGGTGGGTATAGCGGCAGGGTCGCTCATGTAATGCATGAGCGCCTCGTTGATGTCGAAGTTGATGTGCTCCATCGTGGCCGGAGTTGGGCGCGCCGGATCAGCGCGACTGGGCGGTTCCTAGGGGGTCGATGAAGGAGAGGAAGTAGAAGACGCCGGGGGAAAAAGAGGAGGAAGATGTTTTCTATTTATCGACGGCGGAGGGGCGGAAGCAGTTTTAGTTATTCGTTATCGCCGGAGATTCATGCTCGAAAAGCGAAGAGCAAAGCATGAAGAAAAGGGAGGCACAGCAGGATGGCGCCGGCAATCGAAGGAGGAGGGTGTCTTCGAGGGCGGTTTATGTTGTCGGGAATCGCGGCGAGAGAGGGGAGGAGGGGAGAGCGAGACGACGATGACGGTGGTGGTGTCGGCGGGTGTTGGCAAGTGGCGGTGATGTGGATTGCCGGGTTTATCGCACCTCTGCAGCTGCTTCAGCAACGGATTTGTTTTTGTTTAGTTTTGTGGACGAGGCGCGCTTGACAAATCACATCGTCTGACCGCGGAGCCCCGCCCCATCGCCCGTCCGGCGCCCGCCATTGGCGATGTACCCAAGTACCCGGACGCGTCGAGGAATGGCCCGACAAATCCCCGGCACGTCCCGACCAGGAATGCAGAGAGGTATTTGTATTTTGCTGTACCGCATTAGATAAGCGATCCTCCCGCGACTTGCCTGCTTGCTTCTGCTTATACCAGGAACAGGCCGTCCTGCTCATAGAACCTGTTGCTGCTTGCCTCGCCTCGCCTACCTATACAATCCTTCGCCATTGTCTCTGCCGTCGTCGTAGGCCATTGGCACTTTGTTGCACCACCCATTCTTTTACCCGTATTATGCCTCTGGTTCCCCCCTTATAGGCCCGCCCTCTCGCAGCTCAAATCCGACACGCCAATGACCTGGCCTTGTCGATAACAACTTCCCACGCCAACCATACCTTTTGGTGACGAGGAGGTTTGGGGCTGGAGGCGAAACTGAGACGACCACAAGGAGGAGGACCGCCGTGTATAATATTTACCCGTAATGGCCGCCACCGTCCAGCGTCGAACGGCCAAGGAGCCCTTCCACATCCACGAGGACCGCCGTAACACGGCCGGGACCTCGGACGTCGACGAGCCTGCGCAGGATGAGACCCGGACCAAGGCCCGATCGCAGTACACTGAGCAGGACTGCGAGGATCGCGAGGACCAATCGGCAGGAGGCGCCGAGGAGGAGGAGCAGGAGAACCACGCGGAAGACGAGGACGGCTGCGAGACCGATTCCTCCTCCGACGGCGACGAGATCGACCTCAGCGTCCAGCACGACATGGACAAGCTGCAGGCCACCTTTCCCGACTTCAAGGACAAGTACCGCCTGATAAAACGCATCGGCGAGGGCACCTTCTCCACTGTCTACAAGGCCGAGGATCTGCAGTATCACAAGTTCGAGAACAGCTGGGACCTCGATGCCAGCGAGGGCCAATGGAGACCCCCGCCGCTCGCCGCCGTCTCCCATTCCCGGTCCAACTCCCTCTCTTCCCGCCCGCGCCATAAGCCCAAGTTCGTCGCTATCAAGAAGATCTACGTCACCTCCTCGCCTAGCCGCATCCTCAACGAGCTGGAACTGCTCCACGATTTGCGAGATTCCCACTCCGTATGTCCCCTCATCACCGCCTCCCGCCACGCCGACCAGGTCCTCGCCATCCTCCCCTACTTCCGCCACCAGGACTTCCGGAAATACTACCCCCACATGAGCGTATACGACATGAGGGTCTACTTCCGGTCCCTCTTCACCGCCCTCGCCGCCGTGCACGAGAAGGGCATCATTCATCGCGATATCAAGCCCACCAACTTCCTCTACGATCCGGAGAAGAAGCGCGGCGTGCTTGTGGACTTCGGCCTGGCCGAGCGGGAGGGCGTCGATACGAAGCCGTGCCTCTGCCACGAGGATCGGCAGGTCCGGAAGCAGAGGCTGCAGCAGTCGGTCGCGTTCAGCTCGGCGCAGGCCGGCCCCCAGGCCGGCTATCCCCTGAACGACACGCGGCCTTCCCGTCGCGCCAACCGGGCAGGCACGCGCGGGTTCCGGGCGCCCGAGGTGCTGTTCAAGTGCACGGAGCAGACGACCAAGATCGACATCTGGTCCGCGGGCGTCATCCTCCTCACCATTCTCTGCCGGCGCTTCCCCTTCTTCAACAGCGCGGACGACGTCGAGGCCATGATCGAGATCGCGACCATCTTCGGCTCGAGGCGCATGAAGCAGGCCGGGCAGCTGCACGGCTGCATGTTCGACAGCAACATCCCGACCATCGGCGAGAGGGGTTTCAGCTTCGAGAAGATCATGCTGTGGAGCACGTGCAGGAGCGACGGCGGCAAGGACGGCAAGTCCAGCTTCCTGACCGAGGAGGAGAAGGGCGCCATCGAGTTCCTGACGAGGTGCATGGACCTGGACCCGACGCGGCGGATCAGCGCCGAGGAAGCGCTGGCGCACGAGTTCTTGCAGGTCGACACCGAGCCCGAGGTAGAGGACGATGTGATGTTGTTATGAGAGCGCCAGGTGGCCCGGCTCTCACTCCGCGGTCGATGCTACCTCGGACGAGTCGCTCCCCAGCGTGCGGCGCGATGCCGCCGGAAGGTTGCACGCCAGTAAATCAGCCTGTAACCCCCCGTGTTGCTCCTATTTTGCGGGCTGCTTGAGCCGCCTATCCGCCAGGGCTGGGAATGTCGGGCAGTTCCCAACCGGTGTCTGTATATATGTACGCTCTGTAACCCGGCATGAAAACTAATGAAATAATCGTCAGCACGGCTGTAAGCGGACGATCAACTAGGCGCTTGGCCCGGGATTTGTTCCTCCCTGCTCTCACCCTCTCCCCATCGAAAAGCGGCTACGTAGGCATAGAATATATTCCATCTACCCCTCGCCCTTCTGTCGACCCTCGAGTGGTACTAGCTGAGATTTCCAACAATTCGTGGGCTTCACCCCGTGTAGAAAGCCCTGCCTCACAGATGATGAGACGAGACATCCGCGAAGGTACTTAGAGGCAGGTGTATTGTCATCACCCGATAGCACTAGGTTTGCTATCTTCAGCCCGATCATATACGAATCTAGGGCGTTATACGTGGACTAACGATTTTTGGTTTCTTTTCAAAAACCCCAAGTTCTCGAATTGCTTCTCGAAAAGCGCTGGCATTTTTGGGCACCAATACTCCTGTGAGCCGGCCGATGGTAGGGTTAGTTCATATTTTGAGTACGAAAACCAAAGAGAGAAAAGACTGCCTGGATTTGGGGCCTCTTTGCCAGAGTAGGTTTCGTAACAGGAAATTTTCTTCTATTTTCTCCCCTACGTATTATCTTGGGTAACCTGTCGTGTAGACAACCGAGACGAGTAATGCTCGAGCAAAACATCATATCAAAACACCCTTCGACTAGCCGGTCCTCGCCCCGAGGATCAGGCATATCCAGTCGCAACACGCTCGGTTGCGATTTTGTTTCCCCTTCGACTCTATTTTTCCCAAGTAATGCTCAGCCGGCCGGTCTCGCATCTTCCAAACCACAAGCTATCGTACATCCAAACCGATATCACATCCAGAGGCATAGTTTTCCGCTTCCGGTTCCGCCGGCCTGTACGGGAAATCAAAGTTAGTCATTTCTAGCTAGGTATTTTCGGGGGGTTAGGGATGTGTGCGGTAGTCGGTAGCCCAATAAATCCGAGCAGAACACAATCGAGATTATACATGCACCAAAGTTAAAACATTCAAGGACAGAAAAAAATACACGTACTAGCCAGTTCAACTCGGGGTGGAACTCCGCAACGGCCGGCACGGCGGTGATCCCCTCACCATCTAGCTGGCCGAGTTGCTTGCCCCGGCTGTCGTAGATGTCGACGAACCGGTTCATGTTGCCGATGGCGAACTTCTCCACGCCGTCGATTGGGTTGATCTGCCACTGCGGCTTGAGGATGGTTACCCACCGGCCGGTCTGATTGTTGTGCGGTATTGTGTGGGCCGGCGCCATCTGCGCCTCGGAGAGGTCCTGGCCAGTCTTCCACTTGGCCGCCTCGGACATGTCGTAGATCTTGACGGTATCGTCGTACGAGGTCGTCGCCAAATACCCACCGCGGCTCCAGGACGCGTGCGATACCGAGAGGCGGGAGTGGTGCTCTCCCAGAAGTGAAGGGTGCTGGAGTTCTCCCTTGCCCTTGATCATCCTCAGATCCCATACCTTCAAGCTCCGATCGAGAGACGCGGTGGCGAGCAGGTGAGGGATGAGGGGATGGACCGAGAACCCGCCAATTTTATTGTCACAGAGGCTCCACATGTCTGCCTTGCCCTTGGCCCGCCTATCAAATCGGCCCAGAGTTCCTTCTAGGGTGGAGAACATGATCGTATCTTTGGCCTCGGGCGAGATGTCGATGCACGAGATGCCTACATCCATCTCGTCATCGTCGGGCTGCCACAGCTGGCTGCTAACTTGAGTCTGTAGGTCCAAGCAGCGGATCGACGAGTCGTAGGAACCGGTGATGACCGAATTAGGGTCAAACAAGGGTATCTTGATAGAAGTGATAGTCCGGCTGTGCACCTCGAAGGCGCTCACTTCGGGTAGCGGGATCTCGAAGTCTCCTTCATCGTCCTCCGGATAGTCGGGCGCCTTTTGCGAGGCGTCGAAGAATCCCAAGGTGCCCTTCTTGTCGCCAGCTACGACGAGCGGTTTATCCTTTGCGGGGTGGAACGAGAGAGCATATACGCGTTCAGGGGTGATCTTGATGTCTGCGCCGAGTTAGGTTCATCGCTCATCTCAGATTCTATATATAACTACGACTCGCCGACATGCCCGGCCCATAAACTCACCATTCGGCAGCCAACCCTCGTACAACTTGAGATCGCCCATTTCCTTCCTCAGGTCCTTGAGCACTCCGTCCGACGTGTCCTCGACGTCCTCCTCGGTGAATGTCCTCACGCCGGGCTGAGCGCCTTGCACGAACGAAGCCAGGGCGCTCGTATTTGACCATCTCTGTCCTTCGACCTGGAGATTCGAGAGTTTCAGATCGGCGTTTGTGCGAGAGCGCTTCGACTCGGGCGGCTTCAATTCGGCGGGGATGTCCTCGAGCTTCAGCCCGACACCGTTCGCCTCGGCACCAGCCCCCGCCAGTCTCGCGCTTTGACGAGTGGGCATTACGCGAGTACGAGGGGTCGGCTCTGCCGCTTTTCTCTTCTTCGGGTGGGCTGTTCTCGGGGGCGGGGCCGCGGCCCTGCGCATCTTGGCCGCGACCTCGGCCGAGTCCTTCAGCAATTTGGCATTGTTCGCGACATTGGCTCGCCTCCGCGCCTCGAAGGAACTAAGCTCCGGAGCCATGGCAAGCGTGCTAGTATGGTAGGAGAGGAATCCAATGCCGCGAGGACAAACACCAATGGCTATGCTTCTGCACGGTCTGGATGACGTGAAGCCGAGGATGGCAGGGTGCCGGCCTTTTCGGGGTTTATCGGGGGAGGGTGAAGGTTAAACCTCGACAGGTTGCGGAATAGCACCGGGCAGACGTGGTTCGGCACGACCTGGGGGCGTGTGTAAGAGTGTGTGATGCGCGTGAATAAAACTCGGTAGGAATAAAGGCAATGGGAAATGACGAAATCAATTAAGACGCGCCAACGCGAAGTCATGCGATAGCGCGTCTCCATTACTTAAGCCGCTGAGTAATACTAGCTGGACTTTACAGGTTGACGGTACTTGCATTAGGAGCACCCCTCCGCTGCCGTGGGAGATAAGGTACCTGGGTACGTAGGTACGTACAACGCAGATATTGAAGCGTACTCGTTAGGTAGATATACCGGACAAAGTGGGTCTATCGCACACCCATACACCATATATGCATCTACCATGATGAGAGGGGTTGGACATTTTATCGATAAAACAATGAAAAAACGCAGATTTTCGCATCTCGCATCTCGCATCTCGAACCGCTTCTCGTCAGACGTACTTGCAAGTCTGACCACGTCTCGCAAGCCGCACATGGTACACGCAAAAGGCATATCGGTTCCTGGAGGCTCAGATTTTTCCCTTCACAATGCCCTCCACCTTGGTCCCTTTCCTCTATCGCACGAGGACGATCCTCCGAGCGAATCCGCGAACCGTTACCCTGTTCGCGCGCTCGTTTCATGGCACTCACAGGCGACTTGACGGGCCGTATAATATCCCGTTCGTCAAGGAGGTCGGTGAGGGCCAAGATTCGTCGGAACCGGGTTCTCGTAGCACTATCACTCTCGCTGAGAGACAAGTCTTTGAGCGCATCTTCGCCGACATTAGGGCCCGAGGCCTCAAGCCCGCCACGCACGATAGCGATCACCCGCAGCCATCGTCCCCCGCTGCCCGCTCTGCTATGCTCATCATGCAGCAGGCGGCTTACGATGCCGGCCAATCGCGTTCGGCTACCGTCGCCCCCCCAGCGCTTCTAGCCGGGGCCGCCAAGGATCGCAACAAAGCCCTGTTGAGATTCCCGCCTCCCCTGCGCGCCGCCGCTCAGAGGGCCCTTGACAGCATCACACACTCGACATCGGCGTCACCGCTAGACGAAAACGTCGCATACGATGAAGAGTCTATCAAGGCCGAGGAAGATGAGGACTGGCAAACCCCCGCCCACACCTTTGGTCGCACCGTTGAGCTGGAGGCGAAGCGCTACCCGGAACGTTCGCGAGTTGAGGGCTTGATTATGGCCGCGAAGTCAGACCTGGAGCTGTGGGACGTCCTCGTGAACGAGGTCTTTTCGATTCCTCCTAGGCTCGACCTTGGCAAGACCGACGCCGATATTAAGGAGGAAAAGAAAAGGAAAAAGAAGGCGGAGAGAGCCGCTCGTAAAAAGATGCTTGCTGAGGGGCCAGTTGAGAAGGAGGTAGTTAAGGAGGAGGTAGTTAAGGAGGATTTCTACCCTGAAGAGGGCACACCCGATCCTTTCAACTTAAGCGCCGAGTTTTCTACCACTCCTCGTGGCGATGCCCAAAACCCCGACGCTGCTAGTGTCGCTGATACTACTCGTGACGCCGATGCTTCCGGCACTACCGCTACCACTACTTCCGACACTACCGCTACCACTGCTTCCGACACTACCGCTACCACTGCTTCCGACACTACCGCTACCACTACTTCCGACACTGCCGCTGCCGCTGCCTCCGACACTGCCGCTGCCGCTGCCTCCGACACTGCCGCTGCCGCTGCCTCCGACACTACCGCTACCGCTGCTGATGAAAGCGAGGCCCCCCAGCCAGAGATAGAGGACGAAGTACAGAACCAAAAAATAAGCCTCTATGTATACGGGCCACTGTATCCAGCCTACCTTCTCCTCGGGCTCCGACGTCTTGACACCGCCTTCCGTGTGCCGTCGCCCCTAGCCTTTTCTGTCTTGCCCCGTGTCAAGGATCTAGGACTCGAGTCTTACGTTCTCGGTGTATCTACGCCGTTCTACAACGAGCTGTTGCAGATCCACTGGAACCGGCGCGGCGACCTGCCCGGAGTTTTGGATCTGCTGGAAGAGATGCGCCGTTGCGGGATCTACTTTGACGAACAAACTGCCTCGATCCTGAACCAGATCGATAACGATATATCGAGTCTGGGCGAGAAGGGTTGGAAGAATAAGGCCTCTTTCATAGGGGCTCTCGCGAAGACGCCCGAGTTAGACGATATGATGCAGGGGCGCATTAGGCATTGGCATAGGGCGGTCGATCTGTCCATCAAGGAAAAGCTCCAAGATCTCGGAGTATGAGCCCAAGCAGGGAAGCCGATCTAGCTCTTATGTCACAGGCTGGCCAGAGGCCTCGTGAACCACGGGATCAATGTATACCCGTCATGAGGCGAAATAAACGGATACCCCAATCCTATGTACTATTATATACACGACCACGTTATTGTACATTGTATTAACCACTCCGTAGCCTTGTCATCGTCCGCTGTAGCCGTCGACTCTGCTCGTTTCGAGTCGTCGGGTAAATCCGATAGGGGTCGCTCGTCCGAGTCGTACAAGTGCTGTTTCGCATCACTAAGCCATCTCACCTGATGCTCCTCCGCGGTTGGAGTATCGACGTCGGGGTTTCGGCCATTCTCGGCGTTGAATTGGAGAGTGGAGATGCCCCGATCCGTCGACGGGCGCAACCCGGAGCATTGCGTCCTCACACAACATCCTCCGACCCTAGAACGTGGCGTTCGTGCAGCCTGCCTTGCCTTCCCGCCATCCGCGCTGCGCGATGGCCTTCGACGAGAGCTACGACGTGGTGGTGGTAGGCGGCGGCAACGCCGGGTTTTCGGCGGCGACGACGGCGGCGCAGGCCGGCGCGCGGGTGTGCCTGGTCGAGAAGGCGCCGGCCGACGACGCGGGCGGCAACACGTTCTACACGGCGGCCGCGTTCCGATGCTGCTTCGACGGCCTGGCGGACCTGCTGCCGCATCTGTACGCGGCCGACGGTACCAGGGGCCTGCCGCCAGAGCTTGTCGCTCGCATCGAGATGGCGCCCTACACGCGCGCCGATTTCCACGCGGTGAGTGCGAGCGAAGCGAGAGCGGCAAGCTGGGGGCCGGTCGCGGGGCTGACGCTCGTCTCAAGGATATCCACCGCGTCACGAAAGGCAGGGCGGACCCTGTCCTCGCGAAGATGCTCGTCGATCACTCCCGCGAAGCGGTGCAATGGTTGATAGACAACGGCGCTAGGTTTGTGCTCTCCTTCAATAGGCAGGCGTACTTGGTCGATGGCAAGTATAAATTCTGGGGCGGAATGGTTATCAATATGGCCGGTAAGGCTCGCCCCCAACACCCCCCTTCTAGCCGATACCTCATGTCTCGGCGGCCTAGGTCAAGGAAAGGAGCTGTTTGAGCTGCATCTAGGCCTTGCAAAGAAACACGGAGTGTCGGTCTACTTCGGTTGTCCGGCCGTGGATTTAATCGCTGACGACACGACACGCGAGGTTCTCGGCGTTCGGGTCCTCAAGGACGGAAAAGTCGTGAATATTGGTGCCAGAGGCGGTGTCGTACTGGCGAGCGGGGGGTTCCAGGCCTCACCGGCACTGCGCGCTCAGTACCTGGGTCCGGGTTGGGACAAGGCCCACGTCCGCGGATCTAAGTATAACACGGGGGATGACCATAAGATGGCCGTAAAGCTCGGGGCGAAGCAGGAGGGAAATTATTCGGGGTGTCACTCGGTCGCGTGGGACGGGAACTCTCCCCGGGCATCTGGGGACCGTCTCCTCACGAATCAGTACACCAAGTCCGGCTATCCGCTCGGCGTCATGGTGAACGTCGACGGGAAGCGCTTCGTGGACGAGGGCCTCGACCTACGGAATTTCACGTACGCCGTCTTCGGGAAGGAGATCCTTAAACAGCCCCAGAGCATCGCGTTCCAGGTGTGGGACACCAACGGGAGCCGGTTCCTGCGGAAGGAGGAGTACGCCGACGACGTGACGACGAATTTGAGGGCTGAGACGCTTGACGGGCTGGCGGACATCCTGGTCAGGAAGGGACTGAGAGATAAGAAGCGGTTCCTCTCGACGATATCGGACTTCAACGAGGCGTGCAAGAGCTTCCGGGCGGAGCATCCCGAGAGGGCCTTCGACCCGTCCGTCCGGGACGGCCTGTCGACTCAGGGCGACGAGAAATCCCTCGCTGTGGGCAAGACCAACTGGGCCGTACCGATTGAGGACGGCCCCTTCCAGGCCGTCGAGGTCACCTGCGGCATCACGTTCACGTTTGGTGGGCTCGCGGCTACCGCTGCCGCCGAGGTGATCAGCGAGTATACTGGGGCCAAGATCGACGGCCTCTGGTGCGCGGGAGAGCTGCTCGGCGGCCTGTTCTGGGACAATTACCCGGGAGGCAGCGGGTTGACTATGGGCACCGTGATGGGGAGGATAGCGGGGAGGGAGGCCGCGAACAGGGCCGAGACCCGCCCTCCCGTCGAGCGAGGCAGCTCTTAGGTACTATAGAGTCCGCGCGTCACGAAGAGGGGGTAGGGGCCATGCCATTAGGCATAGGAGCCTCCTTTCAAATTCTAGCCCAGTGGGCATCCTGTGTCTTCGGGGTACTATAGTATCCAAGTTCAATTGCTAGTCTTCTTTTCTATTCAGGGGTCTTTCCGCCAGCGATGTCGGCACCCTTGACTCAGCGTTGGGCTCCGATAGGGACCGGACCATTCAAAACCCTACCGAACTGCTAGAAATTCTCCGTCCGGCACATACCTAGGTGCTGGAAATCATGCTTGTGGCACGCTGTCGCGAAGTAGGGATGTTATAGGCCTTCGTCACTTCGGGCCTCGACATTCTAGATACGCCACTACATGCTCTAAAATTGGGAAGCACAGCATATATAACTGATACAGCCGTCTCGCTTCCGAGAGCGGGTAGCAACGGGCACTGTGCCGAGAAAGAGATAAAGGGGTGTAGGAAGACAGCAAACAGTCTGGGTTCAGACGAGACCGCACGGCGCACGACGATAGAACTATCTGCTGATCTCGACATTAGGCGGAGACGATTGGCACGTAAGACACCTTGCAGCCGACCTGTTATGCTTGCTGAATGTGTGGCGACGGGGAGGGTGTTGTGGTGAATGAAATCTACACAGTACGAGAAAGTCGCCAGGCCTCACATAGTCGACGCTATCACGCACTGTGCTACTCCGAGATATTAACCGCCGGCTTTCCCACGCATCCGCCCCCGGGAGGATCTGAGAGTGCCGAGGGAAAAAATTCTCCTTCTTTCCCTTGTCGCCCCAACACCGATCTGGACGCCTTCGACTCGTGCCGAATCAGAGACCCCGTTTTCTGGTGTCTTCGTGGTATTGATGCCCCCTTCTCTTTGCGGCCCCTTGCTCTCAGAATCCTGTCTGTGCAACACCTGGTATCTTCTATTGGGTATACCAACGGGTAAGCTCTCTGTTTTCGGGAAGAATCAAGCACGCTTGCTCGTCGAAAAGATAAGCTTGCAGCTAGCTAATCCCCGGATACTCCGGCCCTCTCGTCGGGTCTCGAGCGTCGAGTCTTGTCGTTAACCCCTCTTAGCAGCTCTGACTGTTCGAGGGACACCAGCTCGAACGGGTCATCTTGACATATTCGTGGTGTAAGATGTCTACAGAGGGATGTTTTCGCTACCGAATATCGCGCACGAAAGCCTATCTGCTCTTTAGGAATTAGTTGACTAGCTACTCGCTCATTGTGACCTAGACATCATCCATCACTGACATCTGTTGAGCGCACACAGATCCCAGCAGTCGGGCGGGTGAAGACGCCAGTTATGTCGCGGGAAGTTCGTCCATATGGTCACGGCAGCCCTGTCCTCGGCGAAGACGCCGAGAAAGCCCCCGGGCTGAGCGAGGTTGTCGCGTCCGGCGATCGCCGGCCCAGAACTCTCCGGCGCGCTCTTACGGCTCTCATCTCCGCGGGACCCATCGAGGAGCGAGGTGTCATGCCCGTAGCCCTGGAAGACAGGACGGCGACTAATTACAGCAGCTATTTCTCGATATGGGCATGCGTCAACACCAACCTTCTACCGTAAGCCCCGCGAACCGTGTGCTACTACTATAGCCATAATAACCGAACCTGGTCGTGCTGATTCCCTCCTCTTCTTCTCTCGCAGCATCACCTTTGGCATGCTCGGCCCGCTCTACGGGTTAAGCCTGCGAGACTGCGCTCTGGTCATCGTCTTCTTCTGCCTGCTGACCGCCGCGATACCCGCCTACCTCGGGACGCTGGGCCCGCAGACGGGCCTGCGGCAGATGATCCAGGCGCGGTACTCGTTCGGGAGGTACCTCGTGTCGGTGCCGGTCGTGCTGAACCTGGCGACGCTGACGGGCTTCTGCGTCGTCATCTGCGTCGTCGGCGGCCAGTGCCTGTCGGCCGTCACCGGCGGGTCGCTCGCGCCCGCCGTCGGCATCGTCCTCATGGGCCTCCTCGCCCTGCTCATCTCCTTCTGCGGCTACCGGGTGCTGCACCAGTACGAGCGCTTCGCCTGGGTCCCCGCCCTCGCCGCCATCGCCGTCGCGGTCGGCTGCGGCGCCGACCGCCTCCGCGAGCAAGCCCCCGCCCGGCCCGCCACCGCCGCCGCCGTCTTGAGCTTCGGCATGATCGTGGCGTCCTACATGATCCCGTACGCCTGCCTCTCCTCCGACTTCACGACGTACCTCAACCCCAAGTTCTCATCGCAAGTTGTCCCTTTCCTCTCTGTCTGTCCGTCGTCCCGGGTTCCCCGCTAATCGGGCTGCCGCGCCCGCCAGAGTGCGACTGTTCCTCTACGGCTACGCGGGCCTCATCCTGCCGTCGGTTCTGCTCATGATCCTCGGCGCGGCCATCGGGGGGGCGATCGATAACGTCCCGGAGTGGCAGGAGGGCTTCGAGGCGACGCAGGTGGGAGGCGTGCTGGCGGCGATGCTGTCGCGGGCCGGGGGGTTCGGGTCGTTCGTGGTGGTCGTGCTCTCGCTGACGATGCTCGGGAACATGTCGGCGACCATGTACTCGATCACGCTCAACTGCCAGATCCTCGTGCCGCAGCTCGTCGTCGTGCCGCGCTGCGTCTTCTCCGTCGTCATCACCGCCGTCGTCATACCCGTCAGCATCCGCGCCGCCGACGACTTCTTCCCCAACCTCGAGAACTTCGTCGCCCTGATCGCCTACTGGTCCGCCGCCTTCGTGGCGGTCCTCATCGAGGAACACGTCGTCTTCCGCCGGTGCCGGTACGACACGTACGACCACGACAGTTGGAACGTGGCTTCGCGGTTGCCGCTAGGGATTGCCGCGCTGGCCGCCAGCGCCCTCAGCTTCGCGCTGGTTATCCCCAGCATGTCTCAGGTATGGTTCATGGGGCCGATCGCGAGGCATTCGGGCGATATTGGATTTGAGGTGGCACTAGTCGTCACGGCAACTCTCTATCTCCCCTTTCGCTTCCTAGAGAAGAGGTTCAGCGGTCGGTAAATAGCGGTTAGGATATAGGTACGGGCACTTACGGGACGGGAGGGAGGTAAATACTAGGCACAGAATTTTCACTTGAATGTGAACAAGTTGCACTGCTGTCGTTTCAGCCGTGGAAGAATCTCATAGGGTTTTAAGGAAGGTTGTAGGCTCCAACTTCATCTGACTTCAGAGTTATAAAAGGCATCGCCACCTCGTCTCATCTGCATTCTAGGATTTCCACGTTTCAACTATTTTTGAAACCTTTAGGAGGGAAGCTTCAATGGAATCGTGTGGTTTGTATTGCGAGTATACCCGAGGAGCCGGCGCGACATGGCGATGTCTACATAAGGCAGGTCGTGAAAATAGACTGATGTATATATATCGAGACCTATATCTAACACACTGGCTTGGGAAGTCGAGAGCCTGAGGGATACGCCTTTTGCGTGCATGTCAACTCAGGCTGTGCACAACCCTTCTGCCCAGCGGCAGTGTGTCGATTATAATAAACGGTCTAAATGGGCACAGTGCTATTCTGTGGTATGCATGGTCCGTAAATCGAAGTCGTCAAGGACTCGGTTGAATTCTTAACAGCCGCACCGAGTGCTGATGTCCCACACTTCAGGCCTAGGACAAAGCTACCTGCCATGACATCGGCCATGTAGGCTCCCGTGTGCGTGTGGTCCTTTGGATAGCCAGCGTTGACAGTCGAGGGCCCCAGGTTCTTCATAACTTGAACCGCGTAGGCCTTGTGGGGTACGTGGAAAACAGATGGGCTTGCCAGCTGGGCGGCAGCGAGCCTTCGAGTAGGCGGTTAGCGAAACGAGAGCGAAAATGGTCTCTGCAGATATATGAGTGCCTACCACGCGTAATAGTCGAATCGAGAAACGTCGTCGACGCAGGTGCCGGTCTCGCAAATATTGTTAGGGGTGGGCGAGTTGAGGATGACCTTTGCCCCCTTTTCGAGGAACAGCTTCGCGGCGTTCTTATAATACGCAGGATACGTCAGAACCGTCTCTTGGACGCCGTTGTACGTCGTCTCACACGTCTGGTCGCCGTCTCCCGGACAGTCGGTACGCCCGTTATCGGTGCTAAGACTGCCTCCATCGTTGTGACCGAATTCGATAACGACCCAGTCGCCTGGGTTGACCACATCGGCGACGGCCGCGAACCGGCCCTCGCGGGTAAATGACCTCGCGCTTCTGCCGCCGATAGCGGCATTGCGTACAACATATTCGCTGCCGAAGCTGTATTGAAGATATTCACCCCAACCCTCTGTCGGTATTCCCGACCCCCCTCCTCCTTTGGCCATGGTCGAGTCGCCACATAGATGAATAGTCGTAGCCGCCGACACGGTTGCAGAAGTCGTTACTAGGCCTAGGCCTAGTAGGTGCAGCCAGCTAAATCGTCGAGAGCACATGGCTAAGAGCAACGTGTATGGGAGCGTAAAACAGCCTGGTTATGTGAGACGAATCCGGATGCTCACAATTGCCGTTGTCGTGCGTAGTCCGTCCTGAGCTGTGGTAAACTGCGACTGATTTGACCCGAGCTGTCAGAACGGGTGTGGATTCGTAGGTATTCACAGCTACCGTGGATGCTGGGGAGCAACTACAGGGGCACGGTTATAAACAAGATTAAGCTGATGTCAAGTTAAGGTGCCTTGACCGTCTCCCTTCTATCGTAGGGTCCCTAATCCCTAATATATATACTCTATCTCGGTGGAGTTTACGGGAGATCCGCTTAAGGGAAGAAGCCCGGAGGTCTTTACCCCTTTAGCCGGCTTGGCAGCTACCCTAGTTCTCGTGACCAACCCTCCTGCGACCAGGTGGAGCCGTGAGGGCATTCCTAGGTAGGTAGGTATATCCTGCGATACATACCTACGTGGTGCCGGTGATCGTAACAAGCTCTCCCCGATCCTAGTGCGCGGCCGCTGCACTCCGGATCCATTTGATCCCTTCATGTTACTTATGTAATTTGTCCACCTTCCCTCTGTCTTGCAGCGGTGATGACGGCGGCGTGGAGACGGCCATTAGAATAGGGCGGCCAAAACTGCTGGTGCTTTACGCTTCCAGGCGTCGAATGCCGCTGTGCGCCTGCGAAGTCGCCCTGTCACGTCTTTCGGCCCCGCCCTCCCGACAGCCCTGGGCTGCTGTTTGTGTGCCTCGCAATCGGGCCTAAAGGAGAGAGGTCGACAAGGCAGCTATGGTGGAACATATTTGGTGTCGGGACCCGCCGGGCTGGCGACGCCCTCGCCCCAAGAGCCCGATGAAGTGCTCGGTGAGCGGGCGGGCTGTCCCTCATCTCGGGGCGGAGCAAAAGCGTACCAAGCTCCTTGACGTTTATAACGGCTCGCTGGCGTTGTCCCCGAAGCTCTGCGCCGGCTAGCCACGCGCCAACCTGGAGCTTGCCGGCCTTGAGGCCCTCGCCGGGCGTCTTAATCTCGACGTAAAGCTACAGGGGCTGTCTATCAACGGCTCTAGAGAGGTATGGCTGATGACCAGCTCGGGCTGCTTCGTGCGGACCCGGCCAACGGTCCTGATGGCGTCGAGATGGCCCATGATGCGGGCGTCAAGGAAGACACCGAAATCAATCATCTTGCGTAGAACGGTATGGGGGGAGAACAGGTGACCTACATAAAAGTATGTGGAGTGTTGATGTCGATGCAGACCATGCAGTTACGGCAAGCAAAAGGGGTTGACGTACGAGGGCTACGCAGCACAGAGCACAGTAATGGAAGTAGGTGGTGGGCGTCCGTCTTGTATTATTATATTTCCCATGTCCCTCGCAACCACTAGGTTATATTCCCTCTGTTGCGTAAAACGTAGACGCCTACATTTACGCTCTGCGGTATGTAGGCTTATAAGTGCTGGTTCAACTGCTACGTGACACCCTCGTGGCTGGTTGATTGCTTGGTAACCACCGTCTCGCCCAAATATCTCAACACGCCCCCACCACTTTAACGGCTGGCTGTTGGCTACGTTCAGCTCAAATGACTGAAGTCGGGCTTCTGCTTCCGCACAGGCATAGCAATGGTCGTTTCTCAACTTCTAGTCGAAGGACGCCACATACTTGTCCTGGTCCTTGGTAGACCAACCCATCGCATCCCGATAGCCCATCATCGAGAAACATAAAAAACACGGCTTGTTGGGACTTCAAGGCAGTGGCCGAAGGGCGAGTCCCATCTCGTTCGTATGCCCCAGGAACGCCCCGTCCCCTCGGAGATCGTTCGCTGCCCGATACCGTGCACCCAATAATTGCTGTTTACCTGCTTCTGGTTTGAGAGCCGCCCGCTGCTCCTCGTCAATCTCTCTTAACTTGTTGTACGCCGGCCATGCTATGGAGATGTGATCTGCGAGCCGCACATCCCTTGCTGCCTTAGTTATTGCCGACACATCGGTTAGGCATCCCCAATTGGTCTCATTGGCGCCAAGGAGTAGACGGGGGGAGCCGGTATTGTCGAGCTTATATAGTGAGACAAACAGCATTGTAGAGCGTCCGTCGGGGATTTGGGGAGGGGGGGGACCGTCGGATGGGTCGAGGAAGGAGAAGAGGGCACGTTTCTGAAGCGAGCCTGGACTGTGTTCACATACGACTGGTAGGAGATAGCAGGGAATGGCATACGCATCATGGCTTTCTTGTTGACAGTCGCCAGCGTTGTCTCCACGTCGATACTCTCCAGCATCAGCTGGTGTAGTAGCTGGTACGGGTCAGCCGTCGCGACTAGGTCCCCCGCTTGTAGTTGAGGCTAAGATATCAACGTTGACGTGTTGCTTGCCAGGTCGGTAAACGATTCCAATTTGCACAGCTGAGCGTCCACATCTACGATCTTGACCCCGGTTTGCTCCAATCTGTCGGCAAGGCCCGCTGGAACGGGTGTTGTTACAAAAACTGGCGAACGTTTGCTGGGCGAGTACCCTGCCATAGCTATTTGTGCGTTTTGGCTGGTCCGCTTCCTGTGATCCCACGATGCTAATAGTTAGAAATCAAGTAGTAGATATGAGAATCGTTAGGATGCCGAACCTGCGCCTGATCTATTAAGAGGATAACTGGGAGCTAGAACAGTTAATTGACGAGCTTATATACAGCTCCTTTTACAGTGAATATTGGCTCGGCTCCTAGGGTGCCGTTGGCAGTCAATCAACCACAGGCCGCCGCGCTCAATACCGTGAGCCCGCTGTCGGTAGGTATAGGTCGTAGGTGGGTGGGAAAGGTAATTTCGGTCTCATCATTCATATTGAAAGGTGCCATTGAGCTTTGACGGTGTCGGGCTTGTGTCTAGGGTAAACTTGAGGTTAAAAAACGTTGGACACTGGACGTTGGGTTGAGTTGGTTTGAGTTGAGCGCAGTCAAGCTTTTGTCTTTATATTAGTAACTCGGCAGCGCACTATATAAATTCCGTCTGCCCTGTCGAACCTGCCTTACTTCTACCTGCCTGCCTCTTTCCAATATCGAAATCTTCCATCAACCCTGCATCAACCCTGATATTATCGATATCAGTCCTTGCTTAACCACCCCCTCAACCTCCTGCCATCGACACAACGCTGCGAATACTCTATCCTGTATACAGTCAGCAACCAAATCGCCCGCGATGCCTACTGATAAAGACTTCGAGGACCTCCGCCGACTCGGCTTCTCCGACTCTCGCCGCATCATCCAAGCGCTTCCCAATCCTGGGGACCTAGAGGCGTATTGTGCGTGGCTACATGCCCGCAGCCAAGCCTTCCGCGCGCCGCCCATCTCGTGCGCCGACTTTGTCGCCCAGATCGACTCGGCCAACCTTATGGACAAGACTGTTCGCATCAAACTCACCAGGTCCGCGATGGAGAACATCCCGCCGGTGGTGCCTATTGGCTCTGACATTGATAATCTATATCGCCTCGTCGTCGACCCGTACCACCTCATCCCGCATGACCAGAACTGCAGCTATAGGACGCTAGACGGCACTGAAGAGCTCATGAGCGGCTGCATACTCGGGGTCAATACGACCATTCAGCCGCGGGAGCCCGCCCTCCCCGTCAGTTGCCGCAATGCCAATCTCTCAGAGCGGTCAACGCGGTCCGCCGAGAGCGACGACGACGACACTCCCGGCTTCATCTTCTTCCAGCTAGGGACACTACAGTATGCGTGGCACAACCACGAGGACAACTGGTCCTCGGACATTGCCGAAGAGGTAGCGGCTACCATGGACGATGACGACGACGGCAACGTCGACTGGCTAGATACCGAGTTTTACCTGGTTGCTCGGCTGGGGCAGTCTGGACGCACCACCGGCGTCTATGCCATCTACAATATGTTCCAGACCTACGGCAATAGCTGCTACCGGCGACAGATCGTCCACGATCAATGGGGCATCCTACCTCCTCTGTATGGCGGCGGGGAGAGGCAGCAGTTCTCCATGGCACGTATCGGGGACACCCTAGGATGTCTAGGGTATGGGAAACCGCTTGTCCTGGAGGAAAAGGTCGAGCATCCTGTCGAGCTCGTCCGGGTGAAGCCTTCGGGAAACGCCCTAGGTGCGATTCGGCAGACGGTGGACGACACCGCGACATTTAATAGAAGCATACATTAACTCCCTACCGGACTCGATGTGTAACGTGCGTGATTGTGAGTGAATATAGCCACCTTCTAGTACGGTCCGCGGACTTGTTATATCGCCTTACCCCTATTTACCTATCCCCTATTTACCTTAGTCAGGACTAAGTTAGTAAGTAGGGATAAGAGCCCGAGAGATTAAAAGAAGGACAACGTAGCTATATCTAGTTATTAGAGCTTTTTAGCTTTACGAACGATAGCTTAGAACCTAGAAGAATTAAGCTTTTCCTACTAAGTCTTATCTATCCGAACCGTAAGCCGTAATATAGTAGCTTTACCGCTTCGTTCGGAATAAGCCTCTAGGGATAGCTTTAAATGCCTACTAAGAAATAGCGGGACGTAAAAGGCAGATTTATTTCCGCTATAGCTCTACCTCTAGTACCCCCGATAGCTAAGGCGACTTTAACTTTAACCGCTAAATCGAGAACCCCTCCCCGGGTAGCTTTAGCTACTTTATAACTAATTTCCGAACCTCCCCTAGCTCCTAAGAAGATTACGAATTAAAGCTAGTTATAATTAACCTTCGAGCCCCCTTTAGTTCTTAAGAAAAAGATTATTAATTTAACGATCCTTTTACGAAGCTAACGTCGTTTCCTTCTTTCTATACCTAATCCGCCTCCGATAGTACTACCTAATCTATCCCTAAACTCCTCTTTAGAACCTTTTCTAGACCCTCCTTCCTCCTTATTTTATTTCCGCTTATCTCTATTCTTTATTATAAAAGAAATAGGACCGTTTATTATAGCTCGTAGTAAATAACCGGAGTACTAATATTAATAACCTTTTCCGGTACTACTATCTTATTATTCCTAATCTTATTCTCTCCTTCCGGATATTTCTTAACTAACGATAAAAGACCTCTATTACTTCTACTTATTAATAGCGGTACTAGAATAAATCCTACGGGAATAGTTTCAAGGAAAACTTTTATATTTAAGGACGTTTTAGTTTAAGATTACCGCCGTAAAAAACGAAGCTAAAGCTATTTTAAGAACCCTACCTTTCCGTTAACGTCTTAATATAACCATAAAAGCAACCGACTTCTTTACCGATTAAATCTAGACATTAAACGTCGTAGAATTCGAGAAATTTATAAGAATCTAGCAAAGCCGACCTCTTATTACCGACTTTCCGGCCCTACTACCGAACTTACGGCAGAATAATAGCCCGAAACTACGCATTTTTCCATCTAACCTAACTCCTACTCCTCCTTAACTATACCTGGAAAGACAGGCATCTCATAGGCCTTACGTATTAACCGCGGAGAAATAGGTATCTTATAGGCCTTACGCGCTACCCGTTCCCCCGTATACTTTAGCCGTATCCCTATATATCCCTTAAGTAGGATAGGGAAAGTTTCGATAATAAGGGTACCTACCTCCTTTATAGTAATATCGTTAGGGCCCTAGAAATAATCGGAGCTACGATAAACGTTTACGTCCCTACGACCGTCTTAAACCCGATATCTTTATTTATAATAATAAAAAGACTCCTATAACCGAATATCTTAATAAGATCGACTTCTTAGCTTATCGCAAGGGCCTTAAGGTAATCCTAAATACCTTTAAGTAAGGAATTATAATAAGGGATACTAACGGAATTACCTTCTTTAACTCGCTACCCGTCGGTTTACGAAACTTTATAACATACGATTTAGACTTATTAAAGATTACCTTTTACGAAAGGTTTCAAAAGGATAAAGGCGAAACGTTATTCTAAGCCGATAACTTAAAACATTCCTTCGATACGGAAAATACTCTCTAGCTCTATAACTACGTAGATTAAAAGATCCGCTTATATAATAAAGCCGGCGAATTCGACGAAGATTCGTAAGTAAGAAGAATTAAAATAGATTTAAACCTACGGCTTATATAAGTCATCGTCCTTAAAACCTCTTAGAATATCATACGGGACCTTAAATCCTAGCTCGTTACGGTAAAATACGCTACGAGGGCTAAATATAAACGAGCTAAGATATAATAGGATAATAACTATTCCCGTATTATTACTATAGAAAAGGAGCTTTAATAACTTAAGGCAGCTAAGGGATAAATATAAACGCTAGGCGACGCCGCTAAATAATTTCAAGGATATAAACGAAAACCGGGATAATTCTAACCAAAATAAGACCAAAGGTAACTACTTTAATAACTATTCTAGTAATTAACGTAATAACTAAGCTAATAAATATAGCCAGACCAGTAGATATAACCCGGCTAATAAATAACGTAACTAACTTAACCGTAATCGATATAGCTAGTTTAATAACTACTAGCCTAATAAACTAACGACAGTAATAAACCTCGCCGCCGTTAGATTTATTATAAGTACGGTAACCCTAACTACCGCGGCGATTACGTTAAACTAAAACAATAAATTAACGCCTACTTTATAAAGGATATCATTATTATATCCGACCTAAATACTAGGAAAGAAAGTCTATTACCTAAAGAAGAATTCGACCGTATCGTATAAGATATCTCCGATATTAACGTAGAAACGGACCCGGAAAACGGTACGCCGGCGACCTAACTAATACCCTAAAGCCGTACGGTACCGACGACGGGATACTACTATCGACCTTACTTCCGGAATATTAAAGATAAGAAAACTAAAAATACTATAAAACGACGAAACCTATAAAAACGAAACCGATATAAAGTATTACGGCTTTACATTTAAATCCAGTACTAAACGGCGCTTATGTTTTCTTTTTAAACGATAAAAGATATTTATTTCGATCCTTTCGGTAACTCCAGACTACCGTCTTATCGGAAACATTAAAACTAATAGCATATATCGATACTTACTCTCCTATTACTTTCATAAGCCGACCAATATTAACCGTATACTATCCTACCGTAATAATAACGCGCCTCCCGGAACCGATAGCCTTAAGCGGCGTCGGTAACGGTCCGATAATTACGGAATTAACCCGTTTAATACTTACCTTCCCGACTACGGATAATAATAAATAATCCGGCGATTATACTATATTTATAATTAATTCCCTATCGTACTCGCTTCTCTTAAGAACGTTATTTCTTTAACCTAATAAGCTCCATATTAAATAAAGAGATAAGGAGGATATATTAATAATAACTAACTCCGACTTTAAGATACGAACCGCTAGCATAAGGCATAAAGATAACTAACTATATCGTTAACCATTAAAACGAATCGTAATTCGAATAATAAGAATAATAATACTCGAGCCGGGCCGCGGATATAACATTCTTATATTATATATTAAACTTCCCGTCCTTAAATCCGGCTATTTAATTAAACCGAAAATCTTCTTCTCCTTAATAATTAATACCCTAGGAAGCCTTATTAACGGCATTACTACCGGCTAAGATACCGTCCTTTCCTTCGCTAACCTTAATAAAACTAAGATATATATCCTAGCCGGGCGATATATAGGATCCTTAGCTAGAGTTAATATATACGACTCGGTTTAAGCGTACCTCGTAAATATAAACGATAAGAACTACGAATAATACTAAGCTATCTTACTTTCCGATTTATTAGGTAATACCGACGATCTTTTAAACGACCTTAAATATCCTAAATACCTTAACGGCTACCTATATTATCTTTCCTAACTAAACGACGTTTAAGAAGTAATACCTTCTACCCTAATAAACGAAGAAATAAATATATCTAATTATTAAGGACCTAAAGTAAAAGCCCGCATATAGAAGATCATTAAGAACTACGCCCATTTCTTTCGATAGCAACTAAATAAATTTAACGACGGCATTAAGATACCTATTAACTTTAAAGAAAGGATTAATTTAATAAACCTTCGATAAAAGCCTTATTATATATCTAAAAGAGATAAAGACGTAATAAATAGCATACTAAATCCCTTAAAGAAACTCGGTATCGTTAAAAACGTTCCCTTTAGAACCGAATTACTATATTCTAGCCTAGTATTTATTATCTAAAGAAACGACAAGCTAAGGATAGTAGTAGACCTTCGTAAGGTTAATATTAAAATATAGTTTAACGGATACCCCTTACTACGCCAGGAGGATATCTTATAAAGCATATATAAAGTAATAGTATTTACTTCTATAGACGTCGTAAAAGGCTTTTTCTAATAAGATATCGTCGTCGAGGATCGCTAGAAAATAGCCTTCGTTACTTAATATCGAAGGCATAAATAACTTATAGTTAGTATAATAAGACTAACGACATTACCTAGTTTTTTTTAATACCGTATGGAAAGGCTTCTCTTTCCATACCTATAGTAATTCGCCTTAGTTTATATCGACGATATTATTATTTATAGCCGTACTATAAATAAATACATACGATATATAAACCTTATCCTAATAATTCTCGAAAAGTCCGGAATTTCTATAGCTCTATTTAAATACTACTTTACCTAACCCGAATTACGCGCGTTAAATAAATGGGTCTTTCGTATAGGTATTAATACTATCGACGATAAAACCGAAGCCATTTAAAAACTAGAACTTTATACTTTAAACGATTTAAAATATAATCTAGGCCTTATAAGCTACCATAAAAATCATATACCTAGATATTCCATAATAGCCTAACCGCTATTCGAGATTAAGGCGCTAGGCTTTAGGACTATACCTAAAAAAAACCCTACTAGGAAGACGTACGCTAGAAATACGCCTCTATTACCGCTACCTCCGCATCTAAAAATATATACGGAAAGGTAAGCCTACGAAAAGAAGATCGAATAACGCTAAATCCTCTAAGCCGAAGTAAAATAAGCCTAGGATACGTTAAAACTAAAACTAAAGACTACCGTTAACCTCGCATTTCCTAACTATAATAAACCCTTCCTTTTATTTATAAATAATAACATTAAAGGCTATAGGATAGCCGTATATTAAATCTAAAACGATAAATACGTACCGCTAATATTTTTATCTAAGACATTAAATAAGTATTAACGGCATTACTAACCTACGGAATTAAAAACAGGAGCCCTCGTTTAGGCGCTATAATAACTAGGACATATATTAAATCATAGCTTCATATACGTTATTACCGACTATATAGCTATCCGAAATACCTTCGCTAAAACCGGCGTCCCTCGCGGATAACGACGACTACTAGCTTAGCGCTTATATCTAAGCTAATATAAAAACCGTATTAAAATTATCTACCGCCTAAGAAAACAACATACTAACGTCGACGCTCTCTCTCGCATATATCCTTTCCTATCGGATCCATTATAAATAATAAATATAACGGACGTAT